TATCTAATACGTATAGAGCTAAGTAAGTCTTACTAGTTATAGTACGTACTATATACGTATCTAATATATATAGTAATAGTAGTAAAGAATTAGTTTTAAATTTAATTTAATTTTCTTTAGAATTTAGCTATAATACTATTAATACTATACGTATAATATTCGTATCTAATACTTATAAGTACTAGATATACTAAAAGTACTTTCTCTATAAATTTTCTTTATAATTATACTAATAAATAATAATATTTTTTTTTATAATTAATTATTATAGTTATTATACTCTTAATATTAGATTCGTATCTTATACGTATCCTAGAAACGTATTAGATACGTATAGCTATAATACGAATCTAATACGAATCTAATATATTTTAGATATATTTTAAATCTATTCCTTTAAATAGTTTTTTCTATCTTAAATTTCTAGAAATTTAAACGAAACGTATTAGAAACGTATCTTAGTGGCCGGCTAGGCATCTATATGGTCATCTTGGCGCGATTAGTAAGCGCGGAAATCATCCGAGTGGTCAGCCGAATTTGCCGACATGGTCAGCTCACCTGCACACTCGCTGCTTGCACACGAGCTCACTTCTGAGATTACGAATCGATCATGATCCCCGTCTCTCTCTGACCGAACTTTGTATTTCGAAGTCGACCGCGTCAGCATCGTAAGACAATCCAGCATGGACATGGCTAGCCTATCACGCTTTCACGTGCTCACGCGTTAAAATGAGACCTTGGCATCGCGAAGATACATCAGGCAAATGGAACATCTCTCGTACATTGCCAGCCATCGAGAGCCGAGCACTTCGGGTGTCTCTCATCTATATATCCTCTATACTCGCTTTGGGGTATATGCAGTATTACTGTTATTGTTCTTCGCAAGTCGCCACTCCTCCTCTTCCTCCGTCTTCTCATACAACCACCTCCTCAGCCCCAGAACTAAAGCAGGATGCTTGAAAGAAAAAGCTGTTGCAACGATGCAGAATGCTATGCGCTGAAGTGCCACAGAATAAAACAGACTCCCCACGCACAAAAAACTCAAAATCTCATCCGCGTTCGAACGCCGGTTTCGATCATCATCAGATCATGAAAATCCCATGCAGAAAAAGCACACCAAAATCGACATTCGTTCTGCTTTCCAGAAGTCTGTACAGGTCAAACAAAAGCGTGGTATCAAGAAGCGAAATTGCGTCCGTGTCGTCGTTGATCATCTTATGGCTTGGTGAGTTGCTCCTTGCGGAAGAATGTGAAGAAGCCCACACAGATGCCAAGTTGGAAAGCGAGACAGATCCAGAACCATGGCTGAGAAAGGCCATCAACCCATCCGCCAGCGAAGTTGGGGAAGGTCGGTCCGGGACCTGTGCTGTTGAGACCATCTGCTCTTGCAATCTGTATGAATGTCAGCACGTGTGTGTAGGAGAAGATGTGTAGGTTGTGGGAAGCGACTTACGATCGTGGCTATCGCACCAATGACTTGACCAGCCATGAGAGCAAAAGAGCAATGGAAGCGGACCATGGTCTGCAACAGGATCATACCAAAGCCGATGCCTTGGATGGAGTCGAGCACGCCGAGCCACAGCCAAAGACACCTGCCCAGCAGAGCAGATGCGATAGGGCCGCCAGCCCAAGGAAGGTACTGCCCAATGTTGGAGTTTGACCACAGAATCTGACACCATCTTGGAGCACCTAGGCCGATAGCGAAGATGGGGATGATCCAGCTGTGAGTCGTTGAGAGATATCCGAAGAAGAGCAGCACGCCGATCCACACAACCACAAAGAAGAGGAGGATGAGCAAGAAGATGGCCCATCCTGGGGCGTGTCTGGAACTCCAGAGATACGACCAGTTACGACCATATGGTGCAGACAGGAAGATGTTTTGGATGAACACAGCGACCAAGAACCAGACGACGATCTTTCTTCGGAAGATGGACGAGTAGAAGTCGGGCACGCCACCGGGTTTCTGGCGATAGAAGTCTGGGAGACCGAAGAAGAGAACCAAGCCGACAGCCCACAAGAAGATGGAGATCGGAATGCCGATTGCGGTCATCTTGTAGCCCAAAGAGGTTGATTGTCCATTCGCGTTGGTGCGTGTAAGCTGGCTACCCCAGGCCCAGAGTCCAACAACATACAGCTGTTGTGTGCCTTGAATTGCGCATGCTCTGAACGCCCAGTCCTTAACAGGCGCCGAGCCAAGCGAACCGAAGTTCTGAGCAAAGAACAGTGAGCCGGAAGACGATGCCACTGCGTACATGGCGGTAGCCACGTTTTGCACCCATCCACGAGCGCTGTCAGATTTGCCGAATGGTGCAAAAGCCAGGAGCCAGAAAGCCAAGCCATAGAATACCCATGGTAGACTGAGACACCAGACAGCCTCGAAGCGACGGAAAACAAACCACCAGATCAAGGTTGTTGCCAAGTAGATACAGGCGATTGTGTACAGTTGGCCAGCAGTCTGTCCGACCTGGCCACTGATGAGTGTGATCTGGTAAGAGTTCGCGGCGAGGATCTGTCCCAATGCGAGCAGGAGAGAGTAGACGGGCCAGTCTCCCACCTTCTGCAGCATTATACGCTTGATGCCCGTTGGGGCCTTGTAGTTCTCGGGAAGCAAGAACTGGGCGAGCGACTCGTCTGTCTCAATGCCTTCGTAGATTGAGCCAGCTGGAGTTGGTCCTCTCGATGCGTTGGGCGTTGTAGCGCGGCTCATTTTAGCATCATGCAAGCGGCCGAACCATTCCTTTTCCGACTTCTCCAAGTACTCCTCAATGCACAGAGCGCTTTCCGAGTTGCTGCCGTTCAGGGAATCGAGTTTCTTGTCAAAAGTCTTGATATACAGTCCAGTAGGATCGGTAAAGAATGGCATCAGGTCCTGAGGCTGGTTCTTCTTCTCGTCCATGACAGTCTCCGTAGAGAGAGGGGTCTGCGGAATGCTGGGTGCCATGCCTCGCACGGGGCTATGTGGACGAGATAAGAAGGGAAATCGTGCACCCTCTGGTGTATCTCCTGGTGTCGTGGGGGAGAAGTAGGGATTATGCGTTGCGCTAGGAGCCGACGGACCTGCATGGCCGAGCGTACCATCGCGCAGTGAGTAGTTGTATTCATTGACACCGCCCAGCTGAGACCGACGCTTTGAATCTTCTGCTTCTTGACGCGTGATGATCTCTTCGTCCTCGATACTGCTGAGACGGCGACGTGGGTCCTGCTGTTCTTCGAGTGAATTGCGGCGAGAGGCGCTAGGAGTGTGAGAAGAAGGTGTCGTCGACTGTGGCGGAGAGCCTCCGTGACCAGGACCGTGTCGCATACCCAGTGAGAGAGATGCAGGGCGAGACGCGTTTGGTGTGGTCGCTCCGGAGCGGTTGGGCGAAGACGGCCGTGTGTTCGGCCTGCTGCCGGCAGGAGTGCCCCAGCCACTACGTGGAGTCATCCAACCAGGAGTGTTCCAGCCACTCGATGTGCCGCTCTTGTCCTCCAGTCCCATACGTCTAGCAGTGATGTGTTCCATGCGCTTCTTGTGAATTTTGATGCAAGTCCCCTGCAGGATTTCGAGGTCCTCTTTCCATTGAGCCACAGGGAAACGCTGCTTGGCCGATCGAGCTCGCATCATGGCACGTGTATTGTAGTCAGACTTCAAAGCCGCTGCAATGGCCATCTTGAATTGATGCATCTGGTGTTTGGTGGTGGAAGACTCAATCGTGTACCACCAACCCGGCATTTGACCGAGACCTCCAACACGAGAACCCACACCAAGCGCACCTTTCCTGCCGAATTCGACAGCAACAAGACCGAACGGCTCGTCTCTGCTAGGAATGAGGGCAAATTCGGCACCGCTGAAGATGAATGGCGGGAGCGCAGTGAACTCAGGCTTGGAGTAGACTCGTCCAGGATACTTCTCCATCATTCTTTGCAGCTTCAGTGCTGCGAATTTGCCATAAAGATCGATGGTAGGGCCAACACAGAGCAGCTGGACGTGCTCATATTTCTCCAGGATAGCCGGAAAGACATCTGCGATCAAGTCCACACCTTTCTGCATCGACCAGCGACCAACAAACACAAATAGATCTGCATCTGCGCGCTGTTCTAGGCCTGCCCATTCTTGCGCCTGTCGCTTCAAGCTAGCTCTGCCGCTTTCGAACACCTGGTCGATTTGTATTGAGTCTGGGTCGGTGAGCTTCTTGTCCCATTCGGCGATATCACTTGGGTCAGGGTTTGGCAGAGCACCGATCTTCTTGAGACCCCAGAAGATTGGGTATCGTGCCCAAGAACGCTTGCCGTACTTCTTACTGACACCGACGGCGCCAAAGCCCTTTTGATGAATTCGCAGAATGCTGGCTCCAGCGTGCAGAAGATTGAACACCTCTCCAAACTGAACATAGCGCTGTACCACAGTTTGCGGCAGATTGAAAACAGAACAGATTTCCTCAGACTCTCGTGTGTTTCGCATAGGCCACAGACCCTGGAACTCTCCATTGTGAATTGAGAGCGCGCAAGGGATGGTATCTGGAAGGAGGTAGAGTGGCGCGACTGTGCCGTGGTAATCGTTGATGTGGTAGAGATCGATCGGGAATCGGCGCATAGCTTCTGCAACACACTGGTTCCAGGCAGAATAGTAGATTGCGCTGTCGAGGTCGTCCATACGAGCCGGGTAGGGCTCTTTCGCATTCTGTCGGCGGAATACCGGTGCATCGAGAAGCATGTACGTGATGTTGTTGAGCTTGTGGTATTGGACTTGAACTTCGTACGTGCGTCCGAGGATGGTCACATCGATTGGCACGCCAGGAGTGTCGACGGGATAGTCAATGCCGCCAGCACATGGGACTACCCAGATCAAATCCTGATGTTCCAAGTTCTTGCCCATGAGCTGGGCCATGACACCGAGTCCTCCGATTTTGATCTTGATGTTCCAGTCGGAGATATCATACTCCATTGTGGCAATCAAGACTGTCCTGCGATGTTGTTCGACCACGGCACCAGCACCACCAGCTCCCATCGTGTCGCGGATGATTCCGGCGGCAAGATCAGGCGAAGAATCACCAGATACGGGGTCGTCTTTCTCGCTGTACTTCTCACGATTGAATATCTTCCCAATCGCTGCTACTGGAAGGATGCTGTTCTTCTCCGACAGTCCGATTTCGTTGAATTTGACGCCATAGAAGTAGTGCATGTAAGCCCAGACGGCGGCCATGGCCGAGAGAATCGGAATGATGGCCAACAAAACCCACAAGACAAGCTGGAGGTATCGATTGCCGACTGGAACCATGTAGTATCGCAAATCGCCGTCGTTGAACAGAATTCGCCAAGCAAGGGCAGTGCCATTGGGACCATCATTAGTAATGTTGGTTTGCGCTTTCTGCAAAGAGACGGGCGAGATGCGGTCGAGAACAGTGTCGTTGTCGACATCACCGTACGCCATGGAGACATCCGGACTTCCATCATCGGCCATGCCCCAAACATTGATCTGAAACTGAGACGGCCACTCGTCCATGAAGTCGAAATACCAGGTACCATTGTCGAGCTGAGACATGCTGTTATCCAATCCGGAGTCGTAACCAAATTGATTGAACGAGCCATGGAGGAACAGGTGCGGGAATCGCCTTGGAGGCGTGTCGGAACCAACAACATCACCTTCCACGAAGTGAGCACTGCTTCCAGCAAGGCGAGACCAGTACTGCACTTGGACATGGTCGCCAGACCACTTTTGGACCTTCTTGCCTCGCCAGGTCTGCGATTGTATCGATACGTTGCCGTGAGTGTAGTCGAACCAGTCCGACCAGACTGCACCGAATGAAGTAGAGTACCGCCACTTGTCAGCTCCTGGCGCGTTGTGGTTGACCATGAGGCCTGATGTGGTGATCGAAGCGTCGCGCTTTTCGCTTGTGGTGTCTTTGTAAACGAGAGACGTGCTGTAGTTTCCTTTGAGTGGGAAGACGATTGGGTTGTTCTCTTGACCGACGCGAATCATGTAGTGGTCATGAGAATTTGTGAAGGTGTCGCCGGCCTCGCTTGTGACGTTGTTCACATTGATTTGATGGACACCGTCGTACACATTGGTCAGGTTAAATCGAGCTCGCCAGATGGAAGGACTGGGGCCATAGTAGTAAGCTTCGAATTGAGGATCCATCACCGCACAGTCGATGTTCTCCGTATCGAACTCGGCGACTTCGCCATTCTCAGTGGTGGAGTTAATGGAAAGCGCATCAGACAGCGAGCTGCAGCTCATCTCCGTTGAGAAACGCAGTTCCACCTCGAAAGTCGTTGGGTCAGACACAGGAGTATCGGAGAGGATGCGCGCATCGTGGCCAGGCAGGAAGCGAGTGATCACTGGCGATGGTGCCACCCATTTATCTTTGGGCACGAACGCTTTCCACCCGTACAAGGTCATGTTGAGTCGAGGGACGCAACCATTCACATCCGACGAGTCTTCAATACCCAATGACACAGTTGAATCTTCAAGCGTGTACTCATCAAATGGATAAAACATGTTCTTGACAGTTGTACCCGAATCGAAAGGAGAGATGATGGCGTCAGGACCACTGCAATCGTACTCGTAGTCTCGGGATCCGTTGTAATTTGTGTAGAGCAGCCAGACACCTTGGTTTCCGAAGCCTTCGCCTTCGAAGTCCTGGAAAGGCATACGACCGCGATACACGCTCCAGAGACCAGTCTCAGTTGGGACACCAAAAGAGCCTGGCAGCGTGTAGTTGAATGTCTGGCTCGAGAGTTGTTTCACATTGAAACCGTCCTGGAGAACAGGGTAACGTTGTCGCATCTCGAACATCTCCTTGAGCACAGTGTACACTGGGTGAGAAGTGTCTCTGTGGTCCAGGCTGACGCCGTCATCTTTGCAGCCATTGAGCGTGCTGTTGATTGGCCAGTCGTTCAGGTTGGTGTTGCCGACTTTGTAGCAGCCATGCATCTGCCAAGCTTGCGCCGAGGCCATGGGCTGACGACCGAAGATGTAGTTGCTTGCGGTATTGTCAAGGACATACATTGCCTGTTCCTCTCCCCAACTGATCAATGGGATACCTGGCATGACCATGGTAATGATGAAATCGCCAAGCAGCTGCCGTTGCGTGCCGTTAGTCAATCCGGGCCAGCGAAGCACGTCGTGGTTTGAGACGCCATACATGTGGCGTGGATCGAATTCGCCAGTGATTGCATTATGCATGTCGTTGGTTCGCACAAAAGTCGCCCACTGATCAGCAAAGTTGATCGGAGCGTCGTTCGCAGCCAAGAGGTTACCGTCAAGCCCAAGCATTCGCATCAGTGCTCGGTAGGTGGAGTAGTGAAATGCGCCTGCATCGAGAGCTTGCAAGCCCGCATCTCGAATGTATGCTGAGTTGTTGTCTTGTTTGGTCAACATGGCTTCCGTCTCGTTGTACTCCTGCATGGTCGGTTCCTTGCCGCGTCCGAGGTAAACTGCGCCGTTCGCATTTCCGTTGACAATTTCTCCCGGGATGAAGAAGTTCTTCTTGCCAACAGACGCAGCGCACTCGCGTTGGTGTTTTGACCATTCAGCTTGCCCATCGACAGTCACCTGCATGGCTTTGTCGATACGGTACCCATCGATATCAAGAGCCTCGATCATCATGCAGGAAAAGTGCTTGATCTTGTCCAGCACCTGCGGTCGCCAATCTCGCAAACGATCTTGAACACCGTTGAATTTGCTGAGCTGCTTTTGCCATTCCGGATACACACCAAAAGCACCAACGTCGCCAAATTGATCGAATTCACTGTCCATGCAGCCCACCATCGCATTCGTGTTGTTATCAATGATCTGGTTGCCACCTTGATCCCAAAAGCGTGGAAAGTCGTAGGGACAGACTTCGTGAAATTCGTTGGTCTGGTAAAAGTCACGGTATCGGTTCTTGCTGATGTAATTCATGTTGTGCTCCGAGAAGGACCAATCGGTACTTGTGTTGTAGTATCCTTCGAAACCAAACAGATTGGCCATGGTCGCCATCGTGTTGTCCATGATCACATACATGCCCTTGTCGTGGATCGCCTTGATGCCCTCTCGCCATTGAGTGATGTTGCCCAAGTGGTGGTCGAGGATAGTGTGATCGAGAGGACTGAAGCCGTCGGCTTCCCAGGGCTTGTTCAAGAAGGCACTGCCGACAAGATAAATTCCGCGAATGCCCAACCCGTGGAGGTAGTCGAGCGAGTCCTGGAGGCCAACGATGTCTCCGCCATATCGAAGCTGCGTCTGGCGGTAATCTTCCTCCCAAGTGGTGCCATTGGCGTTATCGTTGGTGGGGTCGCCGTTCACGAATCGGTCCAGGAAGAAGCTGTAAAACGGGAAACGCCAATTCTCGGGACTAGGCGTGTGCTCGAATCCCGCAGGCCATTCCGGAGTGGTGTATTCGAGAGGTGTTGCCGCATTTTCGTTGACGTTCAGATTCCACGGCTCTTCCACGGGGTCATAGTAGGAGCCGGAGACCAGAGCCGCGAGTGAAGCGAGGCGGAGAATACATGTTCCGAACATGTTGCTCGCTCGCATCGAATGCAAGTGCCGCGGCAGCACTGGCTGGAGTCGAGGGCCTCTAGGCAAAGCTCATCCAGAAGGAGAAGGTGGTGGTGAGCGCGAGGAGGGGAAAGGAAAGCACGCCGGGTGCTGGTCCGCTGGGCAGTTGCGAAGAGTTAGCAGCGGAGGTGAGTGATGGGCTGCGAAAGGATGCGGACCTGCGTTCAAGTGTATGCCAGGCACAGCGAGGTGCAGGGATGTTAAAGCGCTGAACGCGGGTGGGGCACAACGGCTGCGAGTGGGAGAACCATCGACCCGAGGGCGTGAAGTGAAAGAGCAGCAGCAGGGTTGCATGGGCCGGACATGAGGTCGACGAGGGACAGAATGAAGCAAGGCGCAAATGCAAGTGGCAACGGGCACAGCTGCTCGACTCCACCAGCGCTCAGGCTTGGCCGGGCGTTGGGTGACAGCAACGAGATGGTGCGTCTCCGATGTAGCATGCAGTGCAGGCCGTGGTGCTCTGGGTTTGTACGATAGTGTTGGGCGCCGCGGCAGCGATTGGCCGCCTGCCACCACGGCGCGCCGCATTGGGATGCGCCCGAATATCGTCCATACTACAGGCAGATGGCTCGCAGCTGTGGCGGCAGGAGGTTGACAGCAGGACCCATTCTCGCACTCGCGTTTGCCCGTGATAGTGGGCTCCGGAGCCCGCCCACGCGTCGCTGCTAAATGCCACCCTGGCCACCGCCAGCTCGCTCGCCTACAGCGCTGCGGACAGCCGTTGTGCTGCTTAGCACCAGTCCTCCATCACCGCCCTGCGCGAGTCTGAAGTCTGGCGCACCAAGGTTCGATCAGCGCACAGGAGCACCTCGACCGCGCGCACGACACAAAGGAAGCCATCGCGATTGAACTCTGCTGCGAAGCTCCACGCTGGTGAAGCTAGCCAACGTGCCGTCGTATGGACGCGCCTTCTCCATGCCGTCCATGCTGGCAGCGCGATTGCCACACGTGTGCGCAATTGGCCGAGCCCGTTGCAGTGAGATGACGTGAAGCGCAGTTGCGCGAAAAGGTGATTAATGATAGCGCTTGACGTCTGGAGCAGAATCTGCAGTCGAGCCAGGCGCGCAGGGAAGGTGCGGTCGTGCGCACGGGCCACTCCCATGTTGCCGATCAAACAAGACTTGCACACGGCTTCCTTCCGGCACCACTTTTCGTTTGTTCCTGCATGCATTCCATCACCCTTCATCATGCCGTGCAAGGATGGCCCGAACGCGTTTTGGGACCCGCGTTGAATTCCAACCGCACCGCACACCCTCCCACACCACGCCATCGCCATTCTCGTGCCCGCCTGCACGTGAGCAACGCTCCCCGGCATCTTCCTCGACATCGTGCTCGAATATGGCCAGGGCCAGCCCAAACCGGATCGCCCTCATGGCACGATCTGCCCGGGGAGGCCAGACGACATGTCTTGCCTTTGTTTGAACCTCACAGCTCTCTGCGTCTGCGACACGATTTCCTCTGTCAGTAACCAGACGCTGTGTCGCCTTGCGTGACTTCGGCAGCACCTATCCAGCCTATCGTCGCCCAGTGGAGCCCTGGAACCAGATCTTTTCCCAGCTGGGCCTGCACCATCTCGACATGGCCCCTTCTGCAGAGTCTTCACCTCAACGCTGTCTCCCGGCGAGTTGGTTATGCACGCTAGGCTGTTCTCGTATTCCAGACTGTACGTGGTGGCGGTCATTCCACACGAACTCGTGTTTGAGTCGTTATCGCCGTTGCTGCCAACTGGACTTGGCTCTTGATCGTACCGGAGCACAAGGCTTGGGACCGCCGTGACTAGTTACTCAACTTGAGGCTCAGCTCAAACTTCAAACTCTGCGCCATTCACTCTGCAGCCATGTATATGCTAACATCCGCGCCGTAATTGAAAGCACCCCGCTCATTTGACCGAGCCATGAACTGTCTGGTGCCTTTGTTCATCATTGCTCTCATCACCGTCTGTACCTTGGAAGCAAGTGCAGCTACCCTCGAAGACTGGCGATCCCGGACAATCTATCAAGTCATCACAGATCGTTTCTCTCGAAGCGATGGATCCACAACCGCACCTTGTGATGTCGTGAACGGCAGATATTGCGGTGGATCTTGGAAAGGCATCACCAACAAGCTAGACTACATCCAAGGGATGAACTTCGATGCCATCTGGATATCACCTGTTGTGGAACAGCTTCCCCAGGAGACCATCGACGGCGACGCTCACATGGGCTATTGGGCACAAGACCTCTACGCACTCAATCTCAATTTCGGCACTGCTGATGACCTCCACGAGCTCATTGCTGAGGTACATCGACGTGGCATGTACTTGATGTTGGACATTGTTGTCAACCACATGGCATATGCTGGTCCGGCATCGGCAGTCGATTACAGGGTGTTCAATCCTTTCAATGATGCGAAGTATTTTCACTCATACTGTAAGTGAACACGATCGTCATTGGAGACCTCGAATGAAGTTGTGAAGCCTGTGATCAAAGACGTATCTTCTTGACAGGTGACCGCGTTCTAACGACTGCTCCAGGCCCAGTCAATGGCAATACAAACCAGACCGAAGTCGAGGTCTGCTGGATGGGCAGCAGCGCAGTCTCCCTGGTCGATCTGCGTACCGAAGACAGGGCTGTCAGAGACATGTGGGGAAAATGGATCTCCGAGATGGTCTCCAACTACTCAATTGACGGCCTCCGCATCGATACGGCTGTCAATGTCGAGCCCGATTTCTTTGCCAGGTTCCTCAGAGCTGCAGGGGTCTTCGCTACAGGCGAGACGATGTTTGGCGACAACAGCATGGTATGTCGCTGGGCTGACACCATTGGCTCGATTTTGAACTATCCAATATACTATACTCTCATGAGAGCTTTCGGAAGCACAAGTGGTAACCTTAACGACCTCATCACTACCATATACACGACCAGGGAGAACTGCGAAGATACCACAGCATTCGGCACCTTCTCCGAGAACCACGACGTCACGAGATTTACGGAATTAACGAACGACACGGCACAAGCGAAAAACGTCCTGGCATTTACCATCATGTTCGACGGTATCCCAATCATATATCAGGGTCAAGAACAGCATATGGCGGGGAAAATCTCGCCGCATACAAATAGATCACCACTCTGGACCACAGAATTCGACACAGACGCAGCGCTCTACAAACATATCGCTACCTTGGTACTCGCCAGGCAACACTTTCTACTGGCCGAAGACGATTACATCAAGTCAGCGACAGAGGTCATATATCAAGACTACCACACAATGGCTCTACGCAAGGGCGTGAGCGACAAGCAGGTGATCACCGTTCTCAACAATGATGGTGAAGCTACCGGTGACTTTGAGATCGACCTTTTAGCGCACGGACTTGCATTTGGAACTCAAGTCATGGAGGTGCTTACTTGTACTAATCTCACAGTCAGCCCAGTAGGTGTGCTGAAAGTCCCTATGGGCAAAGGCTTGCCCAAAATCCTGTATCCGAGTGAATACATGAGCAACTCAGGACTTTGTGGAATGGGCGACCCTCTGCCGAAGCCCACCACCACGGGCACCACTTCACAGCCAGCAGCACCAACATCTACGAGTTCTGAACCAGATAACTCTGGCACAAGAAGTGCCTGCACTGCTCAATCGTCAATGCCGGTCCTAGCAATAGCACTATCGATTCTGCTGACATCCTCCGGAGGTTTCGCCTACTTCTTGGAAACATGAAAGCGATATGCACTGCAGATTGATATCTCGCTTGACTATCTGGTCTCCGATCCTTTCTGTGCAGCCGCTCGGTATTTTCATGCTTCAAAGATAAGGTCGTCTGGGCAAAACTGCAACCTTGCGCTAGCTGGGCTAGACCATTCCTGCAAGAAACGGCACTGTGCTATCTGGCGCCCACCAAGACTAGCCAACAACAACCCATCGGAGGTCCATGTGGCTGAGCAGCACTCGATCCGCGATCTCAAGACCAGCATTGCAGCTCCGGCAGTCACAGCAACGAATGACGATCAGTCGAATTTCGGTCGAAGTATTCGGAATGCTTCCTGAGCCCCATCTTGCGGGTCGAAGCCACTGTTGTGGCATCGATATCTCAACGCCTCAAAACAACCTTGCAAAGCGCTGCAGTAGCTTATCGGTTGCTCTTGGATCTATGCCAAGAAGCGTGCATGAGAATCCCTGCACAGCCCTGCCGGCAACGCTTTCGGAACGGGATCGAATATAGTAGCACACCATTGATCACAACAGAAATTTTCATTGCCGCTATTTTTCATTCTCACCAGCTTGATCGCGAATTCGCGTTCTGCGGGGTACACGGATTATCAACACAAAACAAACCGTGATGATGGAGTGCACCTCATGCGAAAGACACTTCGGGTCGTGCGCAGCAATAGGTCTCGGCCAAATTTGGCAGTTTTCTATCCGAACTTTTTCTTCAAGTTTCGTATTTATTCGCGACTCCCTTCCTATCTCGCTTCGCTTCTCCCGGCTCTGTGATACTGTACCGTAGATAATTGCGGCATCGCATTCGCCGCAGATCCTGTACTTTGCCGCGATTGCTTTGCATACAGTACTGTACAGTGACGAAAAAGAAAAAAAGTGGAAACTGGGTGGACACTTTTCTTAAAACAGGTCCACACTTGCAAGCAAAGAAAACACTGGCACGACTGGCAGCCGGAGGAACATCCCAGAAGAATCGATAGCGCCAGCACAGCCAGCATTCGACGTGTTCTGGTCTGGTCCTTTTCTCCCGCCACGTTATATTTCGGGGTTCTCGCGAGGTTCTCTCAAGGATCACTTTGCTGGGTATCTCTTCGGTGAAGTGCTCCACGGTGGATCTGGCACTGGACTTCTGGAAATCTGAATCATGTGATGCAAGAGTTACATACTTGTACTTGGGAGGTTGCACTTCCAGGCTCGCTACCCAGAACCTGCCGTGTGAGAAAACATCGTTGATGGATGAGCTATCGTTGAGGTAGTACAAAGTGCCCGGCTCGGCGGTATTATTATTATTTTATATTCGTTTTCTTTGTTGAAGATTTTCTGTTGAAGACGCCAATTCTCGGTGCTGCACGACCGCATAACGATCTTCTCCGTTCTTTGAACCTATCATTTCACATACACATCCGGATATCCTCAGAGCGAATCGACCTGGAAGCTTTCATCGGCACATACCGGTCGGTCGGCAGACTTTTTGTTGCTTGCTGAACTCTGAATAACCTCACAAACTTTTCGGCGGCGTGGGGACCGAACCTGCCGGAACTCGGCTGCACCGTGCATGCACTGCACTTACAGATCTGCGTGATGTGATGTGATGTGATGGCTTTCTCGTTGCATGCATTTGTTGGAAGAATGTCGACAGGTTTGTTGAGTGATGATGAGCTCGATAATTCAAATCTCGAAGCACGTTTCGTTCGGCTTCCGGAACTGAAGATCTACAATACATGCACTGCGTGGAAAGGCAATCTGCTGTTAATTGATTGATTGACGAGCCTTGTTATTATCTATCAGTGCAGCACCGCTTATTAGTTAGTGGGGAGATAGGGAAGTGCGATTGCGACGACATGCTATGATATGCTGTAGATCTTTTCCTCGGTCTTTCGATTGTTGAAGCAAGCAAGCAAGCGAAGCTGCTGGGCAGAAATTTGTCAGATTTCTTGTTGAATCTGTTCGGACGTGCTTCCGAGCGTCGATGGATCAAGACATGGATGTCATGCGTTTGCTCCACACGCTATTGGACTTTTGCTTTCCTTGTCTTTGCTGGGCAGTGGGCACCGACGACTGACCGCGGGCCTGCAGCCGCGATGAGAGACGCCTCGCTGTCAACGAACAAGGAATGACGCTGACGTCTCCAGGTCTCCATAACTTTCTTGACGCGTGAGAATGGCATGGCATGGCAAGCATGGCAGCCACGGCCAAGACATATTTTCTCGTTTTGTGTGGATCCTATCTTTCGGGTCGTAGAGGTATAGTGCTGAATATCATGTTCCTTTTCTTGTTACTCATGCCGTGAAGCAAGGAGATCGAAACGCGGGTCGAAAGAGCCGCCAGGTGACGTCCATGGCATAGATATGCGCGACACACCTTCCAAAAGGCTCCAGATCCCGCCGCTTGGTACTTGGGAAGCAGGTCGCAGAGCCATGCCGTTGTAGCTGGAATGCATGGCGATGAGTATTTCGAGTTCTTGTGTTTCAGCTACGAAGCTGGAAATCGAGCGATGTGACTGGATGCACAGATCGTGTTCTCTTTGCGAGTGGCCTGAAGATGGCAGTCGAGGAATTTGAGATGTTTGACTTTGAAACATTGACGTCGAAGTCAGCTGATGAGGTCGCACGAGGTGGCCTGTCACTGTCAATGCGACTTCGGTGGTGCAAGTTGAAGATCGAAGCAAGGAGCACTATGTGAGGATGAAAAGAGGTCGATCACCGCATACTCCTCTGTGCGGTTCATGCAGTCAAGATCGACGAGACTGCTGATCGAACCTGGTGACAGGTGGCGAGAATCTGTTTGCGTGCATGTGCACAAGGAATTGGGCGTGACAAGCGTCAGCACTGTAAGAAGCCTCGCAAGTTCATCGCCTGCGCTCTATCGAAGAACTTATCTCGGCCAGAAACTGTCGCCAGACCTATTTATACGAGCTCGTTCAATGTCATTCTGCATTAACTCGGTGTGGTAGTGTAAGGGCGCCTTGGTTGTAGTCGAGCGTCATCTCTTGGGGGGTTTAGCCACGAAGAAGACATCGCGTTTCTTTCCAGAATTTGTACCAATATTCGGACCAGGTTGCTGAAAAGCACTTTGTCGACTGAATCCCCAAGATCTGCGCACCTGGTGCTGTGCGTCACTTCTCCGCCGCCATTTATCGCACATATTTATCCATGAACCTTCTGTGGAAATCACTTCTCAGCAAGTCGTTCACGAATCTCTTCTCCTTGCCCCTCTCCTCCGTCCCTCGGGCCTGGTTTTTGAATACCACATCGTCATCCCATCTCCGCTTAACATTATAGTCCTCTCTCCCTGCATTCAACAACGGATTTCCTAACGCGATGTCTTTCTCCCTCTGTTCTTCATCTTTCTTCGCTTGCTCCGCAGCTTCCTTCGCAGCTTTTTCCGCACGCTCGGCTTTGATCTTTGCCAGCTCGCGCATCAGCTCTGCTTCTTCATCCTCGTCTTCATCCTCTTCACTCTCTGAGTCTGAACTCGATGATCCGGAATCGGAGTCTGCGTCGATATCTCGGGTTTCCTCTAATACGCGCCGCTTCTTTGCTTCGTAGTCCTCTTCGTCTGCTTGTCCTTCCGCGTCACCAGGTTCTGAGGCTTTGCGCTTCACGCCTCCGCTTGAGCCGGCTTCGATTTGTCGTTGGGGCTCGGCCGCATCCTCGTCATCTGGAAGCTCCCGCCCTTCCTTTTTGGCATAGTGTCTGGCTTCGTTCCGTAGCAGCTCGGCCTTGAGATCGCGCTTCGCTTGTTCGGCGGGGGTGCCTTGATTTTGTTGGCGGAATTTGAGTGTCTTGTGCGCGGGGAGGAGGCGCTGGTGGTAGGCCTCGCCGCGGGCGGCTTCTTTGCCTCGGGCTGGATCGAAGGTGGGTCGGTGAGCGGTAGTCATGGTGGCGGTGGGTCGTCGTGGTGTTGTTGGATGTCTGTAGGTTCTGGCGCAAAGCGAGTTCGAGATGTAGAAGTCGATATCCGCTGTGGAGAACTGAGCATGTGGACGTGGATGTCACTTCCATCTACACTTCGCATTCTTTAAACTTTCTAGCAACTGAAATGCGCCAGGTCCAGCAACCATGCCGTCCGAAGCGCTTCCCTCCACCAACGAGCGCGAGTTCGTTCTCTCTGCCCTCCAGCAGAATGTCCGCATCGATGGCCGCGCCTTTGACGAATTTCGCCCCATCGATCTCGCGTTCGGCGACGACTATGGCCAAGCAGATGTCCGCATGGGCAAGACGCGAGTGCTTGTGAACATTTCCGCAGAAGTGATCACCCCATACCCAGACAGGAAATTTGATGGAGTCTTTACAATCAGTACCGAGCTGAGCCCCATTGCGAGCCCAGCTTTCGAGGTTGGACGGTACGGAAAAGCACATGTTGTTGTGGACATAACGGGAATTGACTGACTGATTCTGCAGTCAAGACCAGACTGAGCTCCTGATGAGCCGGATACTTGAGAAGACGATTCGAAGGTCAGGAGCATTGGATACTGAGAGTCTGTGCATCGTGGCAGGACAGAAATGCTTTCACATCCGAGCGGACATCCACGTTTTGGATCATGATGGCAATCTGGTCGATGCGAGCTGTGTAGCACTGGTCGCTGCGCTGATGCACTTCAGAAGGCCAGATGTGGAAGTCCGAGGAGAAGAAGTTACAGTGTTCGGTCTAAGGGAACGAGAACCTGTCAAGCTATCGATGCAACACCAGCCCTTCTGTATCACAACGAGTTACTACGAAGGTGGAGAGGTCATGTTACAGGATGCTACATTACTTGAGGAACACTGCAGAGAAGGTGAGATTATCATCAGCATCAATCGGTTCGGCGAAGTCTGTCAGGTTGCCAAGTATGGAGGGACGCCGGTCGATGGGCTAAGCATGCTCACTTGCACCAATGCAGCTCTGGAGAAGGCGAAGATGTTAGACAAGCTGGTCAAGTCAAAATTGGAAGAAGACGAGAAGCAGCGGTTTCCTGGCGGACTCATGGCCGAACTGAGTGCGGAGAATGATCGGGTTCAGGAAAAGCCTGTAGGCTGAGATTGTCAGCGCGACAGGCGCTCGACTTCGCGAAGCGCCCTCAATTGATACGCGACCTGGCTGCGAGATGTTACCTGCATTTCGCATTAACGAAGAGCGACTGCTCGAGAGAATGGGCCAGAGAGTTGCCATATCCGCCTTCAGGTTATGACATTGAATGATGCGTGGCAACACCCGGACAGCGCAATCATAAGGTAGCAACATCACAGTCACTCCGCCACCACGACCGTGCTTACGCCGTGGAGCAACCCCAAAATCTCAAGCAGGCTATCTGGCCCCGCTTCAAGACGCAGCTCTTGGGTTCGAGTGAACAAGATAGCATTCATAGATGGATATGGAACTCGCTGCAAGCGGAAACAACTGAAGAGGCCAGAGGCGAATAGCTACAACACAACGGCAAGACTGCTAGACCTGCAGTGCATCATGGCAGAGCCCTCGACAAGAGTGAGGCCACCAGGAATTCATCAAGCCGTCTTCGCAAAACACGTAGTGCTTCATCACAGGCCAGAATGTTCACTTTCACAAGACTGAGGATTCCCACAAATTCACCCTCTATCACTTGATCATTAAGTTCCGCGGCTCGCAAGCTTCGACACTGCCTCGAACCTCAGCTCTCGACTTCGACTTCGACATCAACAACTCCAACAACAACTTCAATCGATAATGCCAAACTCAACCACCTTCCACAGGCTCTTGCCTCATGTCACTGGATGAAGTTTCACCCCCCAGCGCCCTCCTACCAGCCACGATTCACAACTGTGCTGGCGACTGCGAAGTCCATGATCCTGAACAAAGCGACTGAGAGAGGTCCCGACATCTGCGACCTCGCCCACCCTGACAGTCACCAAGTACGTCCTACCCCCTCAGGTCAACATCGAAGGCCGTCTTCGCGTTTCCCTTCCACGAACGTGAAGTCCAGTGATGCGCCTTAATCTCCACGAGTGGAACGACGATCACTATGCGAAGCTCGGCTTAATCCGCAACATCACTGCCCAACTGCTCATCGAGTGGGTGATTCTTGGCCTCACACACTGTTTGATCTCCTTGTGAGAGCATCGAATTGTCGGCCAGCAATCCCAACTATTGGCGCTGTTCTGTCAACCTGCGACGTGCTCACCGAAGGGCAATTCGCACACTTGCAGTACACAACGGGCTTTGCTGATACCTGCGTCAGAGTCTCTGCTATCACGAGCTTGCATCCAAACATCCACGTGCCGAACTAGACCTAACAGTTACTTGTTCAGACAAATGTCACGTCACGGAGGCTCGCCGATGTTGCTTGCTCGTTCCAATATGTCCTTCGTGCCTGGAAACAGCGATCCGGTGGTTGATTCTGGTATGGACGATATGGACTGGCAGTGGGACTCAGATGATGATCAAAAAGACGGCCGGCTTACAGATTACACAGCTGATCACAAGCAAACATATTTGAGTACTCCAATAGAGCTGGATCTGCCAGATGCTTCCAGGCCACGTTTCAGCCGTCTTCGAGGAAGTCTGGACCTCAAACGGCCATACAGCACAATCGAAACGAAGGTGTCACCAGATATCACGAAGAGGAGAAAGATTAACATGCCTCCGGTCCCGCAGCGATCCTCGGCATCGTTGCTGTCCGAAAGCATAGATGTTAAACCGCAGATGCCATTGGGAACATCTTCTGCTTCGGCTGGGCCAGCGTTTCGCGCGAAAAACAATGGGCCCTTCCAGGAGATGGATTCCGATGATTCTGACGATGAGGGGACATCTCCACCAGCGCCTGCCTCGCCGCCAAAAAATCTGTCCCACGGGCCGTCTCGTCTTTTGGAGCCGAATGCTGACAAGGCATTGGCAGCAAGTGCTGCATGGCGAAAAGAGGCGCAGAAACGCAAACAGGCTGCCCAGCAAGAGGCACTCGATAATATTTCGGAGCGGAGGAAGACGTCAGATCATCGCTTCGCATCCAGCAGTACCTTCAAAGATCGCGGAGAATCATCGCGACTGCGGCCTACAGAGACGCTGGGCTCGCGACTGCAGAGTCTGCCGGGCACGAAAGCTCGGCCATCCTCAAAGCCGCTGGCACGGGAAGTCATCACCATCGACTCTGATTCAGAAGGCTCTTCCCGACCTCACCGATCAAAGAACAGAAAACCAGTCAAGAGCTCTGCTCGCCACAAGACCTCCGAACAGCACTCGAGGTCCGATGCTCCAACCACCGGGCAGGCTGACTTTGCATCGTGGTCAGATCGACTTCAGCAACTCAAGAAGGAGCGTTCGGTTGTCGCATCTTCTACGCCACAGTCGACGATTCGGCCTAGTATTGAGATCCCAGATGCCGCTGCGAGTATTGAAAAGGCCGATGATAGACGAAAGCGAATCGATGCAGAGGGCACGAAGAACTTCGAGGAGAGAATGGCATTGGAGCTTGAACGTGGCCGTGCAGCAGAGCAGCAGCGTAAACAGCGGGAACGCGAGGCAGATGCAGCTCTGAGGCATCAACGTGAGGAAGAAACCCGAGCCAAACGAGAACAGGCGTCCAAAGCCCGACAAGCTGCAATTGAACTCAAGCGGCAGGAAGAACAAGAGAGACAGCGCAAGCAGGAGGCAGACGATAAACTTAACAAAGATCTCGCAGACCAATTGCGAAGAACACGCGAAGATAACATCAAGAAGAAGGCAGAGGCAGACGCCAAACGCCAGAGAGAGAAAGTTGAGGAGGAGCAGCGGCGAGACGCAGAGCGCACACGCTCGATCGAGCAGAAGAAAGCCGAGCTGGCGAAGCGTTCGTCGATTCTAGACGAGAAAGCTCAGAAGCAGAGGGATGAGCGGATCCGGCAGAAACAGGAGCGCGCAGCTCGCAACAGGCAGGCCGAGCAAGAAGACAACAATGTCGATGAGCTGATTGTTGAGGCAGCTCCGAGGCCAAAGTACAGAAGTGTCACGGCCACTGCACGGGGCTTGGAGCTCAGCAGCAAGCTGGTAGCTGAGCAAGACGACGTGGACACTGACACATACACACCTACGCCGACTCTGGCATCGAAACCTCTCGCCCTTAACAGCGCAGCCGGTGTCAAAGCAGTCGAGTCGGCATCGAGACACGCTGGTGCCAATTCTGCTCGCACTGGCCATGATCGCGTGCTGGGCGAGATCCTTGACGAGGACGCGAAGCTAGTGCAGTGGAAAGATACTGGTGACCAGTGGCCGGTCATTGTTGAGAAGTACGAAAAGCTCACTGGAAACAAGCGCGCTGACAGCACTCTGCGCCAACGGTACAGACAGGTCAGCAGAGCTCTGAACGAGGCTAATGTAGATCCCATGCTCAGACAGCGCATGTCCAGAGGGGATGAAGACGCGCGGCGGCAAGTCAATATCAAGGTTCACAGGCAGTGGCCACCTCCGGCAAAAGACTTCTCAGGCAGGGACGTACCCAAAGGACCAAACATTAAACTCATTAGGCGTCAGATACCTCAGGACTCACTTCCAGCGCCTGGAGAAATCCTGCCCATTGATGCGCTACTCGTACGTTGGCGTCGGGACAAAATGGCCTGGTCCAATGTCATACAGAACTACGAGAGTATTACAGGCGTGCGAAAGAGCGAGCCTACGCTAAGAGTTCGATTCAATGAGCTGGACAGATCTCTCGAAGATGCCAACGTGTTCCACGATGAAATCGAAGATCTATCCAACGACGCCCCAGGCGCGAGAGCCAAAGTCAATGGCAAAGTCTGGCAGGTCTGGCCACCAGTGATCAAGACTCAACATACACCACGCACAGAAACTCCAGAGGCAAGATTTCGGGGAAGACCGCCTAAAGTTGGCCCCTTTGGTTCTGGATCTGGACCGCAGCGCCTGGAACCGCTCTCTCGTCCTGCTGTTACCATTCAGCCACTGCTGCAACTCAATGAGGATTCAGACACCGAGGACTCCGATCCGCGGCCGAGACCTCGAATCGGAGGAAAGACGATTAACAACGAAGTCTTCGGCACCTTCATGCAACCTCGGGATGGCGATGATGACGGCTCGAGCTCTACCGATGGATACGAAACTGACTTCGATGAGAACAACCCCGCGGACTTTTACTATTTTATATGGCGCGTCTACAGACGAGAGTGTATCTTTGAAGACGAACAGGGAAAGGGCGACATCAGAAGGAGTGAATGGCGAGATTGTGGCAAGACGTACGAGAACCTTGATGAAGCAAACCAGGCCGCAGAAGCAGAAACAAAATTGGTCCTTCCCGGTGGTCTGGACTTCCGAAATGTCAGCTTTTCCGCAGACAGGAAGGTCCGTGACGATGGCTGCCATCGTTACACACTCAGCAGCCACAAAGTCGGCACCCTCCACGTCAAAGTCAAGAGGCATGCGCGTCTGCCCTCAGAACGGATACCTCCAAAGAGCAAAGGAGGTTGGCTTGCTGCCATTCAATACTCCGTCAAGGTACGTGAAGTGACGACAAAGAGAATCTTCGACGAAGCCCTCCAACAGACCACGCTGAAGGAGAAAGATTGGTGCGACGAGATAGATGGCACATCAACATCCTTCATCGACCACGCAAATTCGCGTGCCGCGGATATTTTCGCCGGAAAAATCCTCGATAAGACAGTGGACCTCCGACACAACTCAATCGTCAAAGCCCGGAAGGTGGAGGAGTTGTTGCAGAACATGAAGTGGGACGAACACCTAGGGGCACCGAAGTTCTATGGCAAGCACGTGTTTCCAGGGAACGAGAAAGTGTTGGAGGTTTGGACAAAGGTCAACTTGGTGAATGGACCAAGGAATCATTTCCAAATCAGCAAGGCGAGTGAAGAATAAGGGGCGTGCGGTTGGCGATGTGTTTGAGGGAGATTTGATTTTTGGGGCGAAGTTAATATTCATCTCACGCGAGGGACACTGGCTATTTCTGAAGACTTCAGGCCGCAACCCACAATTCCACTCGTTGTTGCCATCAGACAGTCACTTGTGCCACAGCCCGCACATCCACCTATCAAATGCAAACCTCAAAACTCTACTCCCCTGATCGGGAACTCCACATACCCCTTCCCACTCACGAAAGTCGCCTGCCACGGCACCTCATCGCCTTTCCCTCCCTCCGCCAAATCCAGGAAGAAGCTAGCATGCCCCTCGCCGGAAACACCGTTATATATCGGCCCGCCAACTTCAGTCCTCTCATCAACGTAGTGGAACCTGATTCCTTTCTTGCTATACACCAAATCCGCTTCTGCGATCAGATACGCTGTGGCAGATTTCCCCACGCCGAGCGTCAAGAGACCTGGGATTGGCTTTTGCTCGTTAAGGAGGTTGCCTGTGAAGATGAAAGTCTTTCGTGTTAATGAAGGGATGGCATTGAAAGATTTGAGCGCTTCTTGCGCGGCAACGAAAGGGCTTGTGGTGTTTATGGTGAGATCCGTAGTGAAGTCGGAGAGAGAAACATGGTTGAGGGTGTCGGCGGCTCCGCCGAAATGGGCGGCGGCGGCTGTGCAGCAACGTCAGTGTATTGGAACTCTTTGAAGAGACAGTTGATGAATTGAATTTCTCGGATGATGATACCATTATAAATCACAACATTCGGCTCTCCCAATTTCTGCCTCGTTTCTTCGAATGCTTTTGTAATGCTTTCCGGCTTGGTAGCATCGACCACGAGTTGAAGATTGTCTTTCGTGCTATCCTCCGGTTTCAGAGACCGTGAAGCTTGTGCGACTCTATAGCCAGCTCCGAGAAAGGTCTTGACAGTCGAGGCTCCAATGTTAGCACCACTGCCGATGAAGAGCAAGATTTTGGAAGCCATTTCTTTTGTTATATCCGAGCCAATTCAAGTTGCGCTGAAACAAATTTCGCTGTTTACTCGTTTGGAAAGTTGTTGTTATGCTTTTATATAGTTGTGTGCCAGGGTAGAGCTGAAGTCGGCATATGTGGCTTATGAAGCCGGAGCTTATGTATAGCTCTTCCCCGGTTCCGTTTCAGCTGCAAGCGCACAATGCTTTGTCAGTGTCGCACGCAATAGGACCTCAGCTTGTTGTCCATTGATGAAAGCGATTTGTCAGAGGTAATTTAGTCGTCTATCCTCTGCAGACAAGCTGGCGTGGAATTGAAGCCGCATGGCCACGACTGAGGTCAACTACACTCTGTGGACGGGAATTAGCTCGAAAGACAATTGTTTGAAGGCCAGCTTCTTCTCTCGTCTATTGTTTTCTGGATAGTGGAGGGCACCGCCATAGGCTCAAGATCCCCACCGAATGGCACACTTGCTTCGACTTCCTCAAGAAAAGCATTCTTGAGGCTTTCTCACCCAAGAACAAACTTAACGAAAGTTGAAATTTCGCGCATAGCCTGCTCGATCAGCAGATCAAACTTGATTTCTGTCAGGAGCTTCTGCGGCGTTGCACGGCGTATCTGTAAAAAAACAGAGACGTACGAACAATTCTGCCAGTAATTTCAGAAGTTTGTCAAGCGCCCATTGTTCCCCTTTGCAACGCCATTTCCACAGTCGACCTGCAAGATTCAGAGTTGTCGTAGCCGGTTAATCGGAAACGCCCGATCATCATAAAAGGACCTCTCTTGCATCACACCCCAGTCGAAATCATCTTGCGGCAGACCTCTTTGGATCAGCCGCGAGCGGAGCTTGCACTCAATATCACGCCCTCTTGCTTCACCAGTATATATCGAGATATCCCGGACCGTTTGCGCCCCAACAGCAGGCTGTATGCTGACCAAATGGAGTGATGAGAAGGTCGAGTGGGCAGAGAAGGGCGGAACAAAAATATTGTGCTTGAATTGGTCCGAGCTTTGAAGGCCTTCCTAAGGACATGTCGCTACCACGGACTCCGTCGACCACAGACCTGCATTGCAACGCAACATTGCTACCAGGAAGAAGCACAGCGGATGCTGCCGCTGGCTAGTAGGTCGCGCAAGATCTCGCGTTGCGAACTCATATGCAGTTTCGGGTTGTCAAGATGATCGGAGGAAAAAATAGGCTCCTCCTGAGCCATCCTGGGCATTGATTCACTGTAGCTAGATGTCATCGGGTCCGCGTCTCAGGAAGCTGCTGCATCCATCACAGCGTCTTTCAACCTGCACTCTCAGCTTTGAGCTCCACTTCATTCTCTCTACCTTTCGAATTCGCTGGTGTTTCGAAATCGTCAGGCACCCCTCTCGCTGCCCTCCCCAGATCTCCATAAGTCGGTCCAACCCAACAGCCAAGCATAGAGCTCCACTGACAGCCGCCAGCCAACAGCCGTTGAACCATTTTGTATTCCATAAGACCAGCATACGAAATTCCGGTCTTTGGATCTCGGAACTTTGCAGGAAAGGGCGTGAGCGCACATTTCGCTTTTGTCGGGGGAGGCGGAAGATGCTCTTTAGCTGTCGCACGCTTTTTATGCGTGAGATACCGTGCTTCTTCCGGTGCAAAGTGAGGATATGAGCCTGGAAGGAGTATTGACGCGACGGGGGTAGGCTCTAGTAGATTCTCTTTCTGCGCCCTTGATGAGCTGCGCTTGCTTGTCGTTGGCGCATCAAGGTTCTCAAAGGCCTCGAGCATGATCAAAGAGCGCTGGGCTTGTTCCTTAATGAGAGGCGGCGGAGGGGGCTCCGGCACTTGTTGTTGTGGTGTGTTGAGCTGGAATTGGCCGTATGTACCATATGGTGGCAAGCCATGATAGATCGGGGCTTGGCTTGACATATGCTGCGCTGCCGACGGCTGCGGCGCTAACATGGGCAGTCCGTTGGAAGCAACAGGCGGTGTATTGAGTGCTGGAGTGCTAGGGGTGTAGGTTCCCGGTTGGAGGGGTGTCGACGTGCCAGAACCATTTGCATATTCGTGAATGCCATCTAACCAGGACGAAGGGCCTGCTACTGGTGGTTCAGGCTGTAGAGGAGGATGCGCAGGCTGCAAAGGTCGGCTGCCGGGGAAGCCAGGTGTCGCCGGTACGCTTGGTGGTGCGGGACTTCCGTTGGCCGTGGCATATTCTGTCGAGTGCCCTGAGGCAAGCTCGTCTTTGCCTGCGTCTCCGCTGACACTCACGCCTCCAGCACTTCCTGGCCGATCTTTGATCTCGTCTACTTTCTGACTGCCATGCAAGCGGTTGTCCTTGATCTTGTCGCCTTCCCACAGCACACTACCACTCCAATATCTGATCACTGGCCCCTCTATGCCTCGCCTCCGCTTCGCAGCCAGAGCCTCCTCTCGCAGCCGCTGTCTCTCCGCCTCTTCTCTCTCCCATCTGCCAAACTCCTTCGCCGTCTCCTTCTCGATCTTGGCAGCTTTGGCAAAACGTTCCTCCTGCGTGAGCACGGCACGCGTGTTAGCCTTCACCTTCGCAGCATGATTCGCCATAACCTTCTTCTGCTTCTCACTCCGCGCGATGCTTTGTTTCAGATTGGTATGCACCATTTCTCGATTCGCCACAGCTGTCGATCGACTCGACTGTCTGACAGGCATATCGGCCTCAGTGGGTAGCCAATTCTGCCTCTCGCTCTTCTTCTTAGGCCTCTCCACCGGCGTGGCAGAGCCATCCTCCGTCTTGACATCGTCGGCCAGCTTGACTCTCTTTTTCTGCCCAAACTTAGGAAGACGCATCTTCGCCTCCTCAATCTTTCGCTTCCGCTTCAGCTGGGCGCGTTCCTGCTTCTTCAACTCCCGCTCGCCCTCCAAGTCCTCCTTCTCGCCATCCTGCGGGGGTCCAGCATCGTCTTCGTCGCCCGACGAGGACATCGCATCGTCGTCATCTTTGTCGGATCCCACGAATTCGCCTTGGTCATCCTCATCCTCGGCGAGAAGCTGTTTCTGCAGCTCTTCATCGTCCAGGATTTCGCGGAGTGACGAATACAGGTTTCCTGCGGTCGCTCGTTTCGCGCGCGTAGCGATGAGTCCGGATGTGGCGACATCTTCGTCTCCAGAAGACGAGCCAGAGCTCTCGTCGTCGGACATATCGAAAAAGCTCAAGTCGTTATCGAAGTCGTGCGCGCGAACGCGAAGTTGAGTCGCGATGTGGAGGGACACGCGGAGAGCGCTCCCGTCATTCCGAAGTTCGGCCGACAGAGACAGATTCACTTGCGATGCCCTTGGCGACAAGATCCGTGCATCACCAAATCAAGTCGATAGCGCAAAGAGACAGGTAGGCTGATCAAAATATGAGGTAGCTGACCAGAATGCAGGGTCACCGAATTTTGTTTCTATCTATGGGCAAGATGTGTATTTCAGGCATCTCTTCAATGGCCGTGACCGGCCCACATCTTCCAACAAGACAGTGAGCTCTCTTAGAGGCTGATCATCTGAGCTCCAGAACATGACAGAAGACCATATTCCGTCTCAAAAACTCAGCGATGTCGCAGTACACTGCACTAAGCCTTGAACTTTCCAACAATGCACTGCTTCACCAGCGGCAAATCAGTAAATCCTCCACTGCCACTCTTGCTCGGAGTTTCCGCCAACTCATAACTGCTGTCGAACTTTCCAGCCGCCCAGCCCGTCCACCCCAGATAGACATCAGAATACTCGTTCAAGACATCAAACTGCTTGCAGAGGTTGGCCAAGCAAGTCTCATCAGTCGAACCACCACCCGTCTCAGTCAAGATGGCCTGGCGCTTGTTCTGCCTCAAATAGTCTCCAAGCTCACGGAACGAGTCGGCATTGTCGGTGACGCAGTTCGTGTGGGTACCGCTTCCATCGGAGTCAAGGTACTGGTGCACGTCGAAGATGAGATTGGTGGTTGAGCCATCGAGGTTCTTGACTGCAGAGAGGGCTTCGGCTGAGCCGTCGGAAATGTAGCTGGAGGCGTGAGTCCAGTCATTACCAGGCAAGAGGATTTTGTTTGAGGTTGCGCCGGCTTGACGGATGGCGGTGACTGCCGCCTGGACTGTGGTGGCCCATTTGCCAATATCGACATCGTGCGGCTCGTTCATGATTCCAAACACGACCTTGTCGTTGTTCTTATACTTGGTTGCGAGCAGAGACCACAAGCTAGCGAATTCAGTGTTGGATGGACCGCCTTGCCCGACGATGGCTCCGTTCCAGCGAGCGTAGTTGTGAATGTCGATGATACACAGCTCGGCGCCGGCATCAAGACAACCTTGCACCAATTTATCATAGGTTGCGAAATTGGTGGCGTCGAGGGAGCCACCCACTTGGTTGTTGACAAGGAATTGCCAGCCGACTGGCAAACGGAAAGTGTTCAAGCCATCATCATTGATGAAGTGCTTGATCTGATCGATGCCGTCTTGGCCAGGGTCGACTACGTTCGAAGTCTGACAGTTTCCAGAGGTATCGCAACCGAAGTCCAAACCTGCGATGTTGACACCAGCATAGCTGACTCCAGTCGAACCACGGGTTGCAGCAGAGCTAGTGAGAGTAGACGCTGGCCCAGAAGCAGAGCTGTACGCGGCAGAAGTAGGGCCTGAAGGAGAAGTGGTGCCAGAAGAAGCAGGACCGGGGACAGAGACGAAGGGAGCCGAGCTGACGGGAGCCGAGCTGACGGGAGCAGAGATTACCGGAGCAGAGATGACCGGAGCAGAGCTGACGGGAGCAGACTCGACAGAGCTGATAGGAGCAGAGACCAGGCTGGAGATGGAACTGGCACTGGCCACCACAGATGTAACACTCGTCCGAGCACGACAAGCCGAGGCAGAAGTAGAGCTGTTGCCGACAGAAGTAGGTCTAGAAGAAAAGGTGAAGCCAGAGGGAGCAGAGCCAGAAGGCGCAGTAACCGGGCTGAAAGTATAATTCGTCCCAGTTGGATAAGGTATGACACCAGTCGAAGCCCGGCAAGCAGAGCCAGCTGCTGTTGCCGTAGCCGCGAACGTCAGAAGTGAAAGACGCATTGTCGTCGAAGTGAGTCGAACGAGGGTAAGGAGCGACAAGAAGTGAAAGAATTGCTTGGAAGTGAACAAGAACAGAACATCAAACGTCAAGGAAAGCTTATTATATGTTATCTTCCCGCGTATACATACCAGTTGACCAGCGGTAGCGAGAGGAGCCGAGTAGTCCTTGAGTAATTAATTCTGAAGTGCATCGATATTGCAGTGGGCGCACTCCCATCACAATCTGGAATCGCGTGGAACGAACGCTGAGGGCCTGGAACAACCAGCACTGAAAGTTGAGCCGACCGAGCCTGAGTGCATATTTCACAACGGTCGTTGTCGACATCCGGTCAAGCGAATGTGAGGAATTGATTGCATGACAGAAGGCTTGTTTCATCTAGACCTTACCGAACGAGAGATTTCGGCTAATATCCGAGTCTTCGCGTCTTCACGTGGTCGTGTCGAAGGATTTGCTCTCTTTGCCGACGGGCGTTCCAAATCCTAGATCTACTGCAAGTAGAATGCGTCACCAGAAAGGGGCCATTCGGGCAGCCGTATTTGTGTGCCGATCCATGCTGTCCACCGAGCTAACCATGTGCAAATCGTGTGGTTGTCGCGTGGCTGTTGCCAAGCCCAAGGCCCATGGTATGGAAACCCTCAAATTGAACTTCATCCGAGAACAATACGTCCGGACTTGATTGCTCTGAGATACAACACTATCATGTGCCATGACTCAGCGCGATGGCCGTACAAGTGTATCCGAAGCACACAGGTCCAAAGAATATGCTTGCGATCTACCATCCAGGGTCCAAGTACGCTGTGCACGATGGCTTGTGAACTGTAGCATCTTCAGGCCTTGCAGTAGGTGTACAGCAGGTTCGTGGAAGTCTGCGATCGAGGATCCAGCTGCTTCGCCTTGTTGGTCACCGATCAAATTTTCCCCCGATCGACAAAGCCCTGTGCGACTGCTGTTGTCCACTCTCACACCGAAGAATTGGGTATTTAGGCTGCTTCTAGCAACCCAATGACCATACTGATCATCAGCGCATCTATATCGCCAATGCGCAGCGAAACTACCTCGATGGCTTTCACGGTCTGCTGAGAGGACGGCGTGACGATGGGCAGTTCGGGTGCGATGGAAGATCGCTTGGTGCCGGCAGCGGTGACGAGTTGTACTTTGGCAAGGAGTCGTTCGGCTTGTAGCAGCATGTGTTGCTATGCTGCGAAGCTAGAAGACCATCGGCAAGATTGAAGACTAATTGAATAGGCTTGTGCTCATCGACGTGCGTTGGTGTTCACTTCGGCTTGGCGAGCGACTGCCGGAGGGGATTCGTTCCAGTCCGTACGCTATCTGGCGACACCTTTGCATTGTGGGCGTCAAGAGCATAGTCCAGTCGAGGTGCTCGTCGCCCAAGGCGTAGACGGTGCCGCTCCGGAAATGTGCCGTTTCCTGTAGCGCGGAGGTCATCGCCAGACGATGCTCAGGGACATGCCCGAAGGAAGCGCTGCGTGGCCTGGAGGCATGATGGTGGACGAGATAGTGATGTTGAGGAGAAAGGAATTGGCAGGAGGTTGGAAGGGTTGAGACAATGTTGGCGGAAAGTCGCAACGGGCGAAGGCACGCCAGGGTCCGGTGGGCTGGGCTGGGGAAGCACAGGTACAATGTTACAACGGTCTCATTACCAACTCTCTCCAAAATGACTTGCTTCATCACGATTCTCATGCGAAGGCGCAAGACGTGCCAGATATATCCGGGCCTTGGTTCTCGATAGTCTAGTAAAACGACCCCATCAACATATTCTGATGTTCACCTCGCCTGAAAGCACCGTGCACTGAGCGAGTTATGCGATAGCACACAATGCTGCTCCACTCCACCTCGCGTACATCCCTCCGTGCAGATGTGGCTCAGTCCTTCTGCAGCGGGTCGGCACCAGCAGCAGCAGCCCCGACGAAAATCTAATAAGAGTGAAGAAAAGAAAACCGTCCAACAACAACAACTCGCCTGAAGATGTTTTCCACAATCGGCTCGTCATCAAGCGGCGGCAGGTCCGCTGAAGATGTCGATGACCCAGCCCGCCATGGATGAGCACCTCGACTTTTGCACTTTTTGCCACCAAATTCGCCCCCGTAAATCAATCTCATCGCACGATGTCTTCAGTGAAGTCGCCAATAAGCGCCGTGCAGAGAAACCGTGACGAGCGACTGCATCAAGCTCCTGGTATTTGAGATGCAAGTGTCCGCGGCTTCAATTGCCCTTGGACACAAATTGCCGCGACCCAGGAATTCTGTCTTCGGAGCAATGCTCCGTGAGACTTCGGAAGGTCCTCCGGCTCCGGCAGGCGTGAAGGATGCCCCATGCTAAGGGCGTATTCAACGGTCACTTGATGGTCTAGAACATGAATGTGGCACAGATAGGTGATTCGAAGGCTTGGAAGTGCAACAAATGCGATCTGGGGATGATAACAAGACATTATTCTGAACACCAGCCGCGCTTCCCTTGACCCTGACCCTGAGAACACCTGTATCGTTCGTGAACGTCGTAAAATGGAGTTGGTCTCGGACAATGTCTCGAGGCCAAAGCTCTGTAAGTTCTGCTCCAACGCCCAGGCTCAACACAGCACAACAAAGCATTGCCTCCGACAGGGGACAACAACAGGACACGGCGTCTCGCGTCACACGTGGAGGTCGGACGAATCCTCTATCGTATGCAGCAGTAGCATCCGCGACTAATCGGCGGCATCATGTATGGCGCATTGCAACCGCTGGCGCGATCACTGCGACAATGGGTGGGGATGTGTGGACCCTCCTTGTGAGTCCGGACATCGACGGCTTGCGAGAGGTGCGCAGCGGAATGTGCAGTGTTTCCATCGGACATCTCGCCGAAGCTCCGGGAAGGATGTACTCTAGTTGTAGCTCGTGGTGTTGTTGCTTTCCGCCAACATCTGCGGGTCGATGTTGTCCGGTGTTGGCGCACTCATTCCACCTCCACCACGACTGTTCCAACTGCGCGCATCCCAAGCTTGCGTATACATGAAATTCTGCATGCCAGGCGCAAGCGTGGCGAGATAGTCTGCACCCGCTTTGTCGGGTTTATCGATCGAACGCTGTAGTTCCTCGCTGGAGGTCGTGCGCTGTGTTGATGAGCGTGGAGAGAAGGCTTGGATGCGACGATACTCGTCTTCGATAGAACTCCCTGTCCGCAAACGCGCAAGGGACTCTGCCGCTTCGTGATCGCTGCCGGACTGCAAGTGATCGAGGATGCCCATGGCATGCTCCAGCTTGCGGCCTCGGTCGTCCAGATCGTACTGCAGCTGCTGCCGTTTTGTGAGGCCTTCCACTAGAAACGTTGGATGGGCGTTTAGAGTGCATTCCCACAAAGACGACTGGCGGCAGTGACTTACACACATCGTATTCGCACTCGAAGCCACGTTCGTGGCAGCGTGAGCATGTCGGATGCTCTCCGGAGCACTGGGAATTGGGCGTAAAGTCAGCGCCGGAGGGGTGCGCACATTGCGAAATATGGGCCGACGGACCTTGAGTTTGGCAGTTCTGCAAATGACACAAGCATTGGCAACTTGCTCTCTCCGAGCTTTGGCTTTTCCTTGCCCGGCATTCATGCTGAGCAGCAGTTAGCGGGAAGAGTCTTGCAGGGTTGGGAGGATGGAGCGTGCGCAGCGACTTCAGGCCTCGTCAGATGTGAGTGTATTGGGATGAAGCAGTTCCTCCACGTGGCAGGCAAGGTCGAGACATAAATGGCAGGGTGATGTGAGCGCTGGGGCTACGGCATGAGGCGACAGAGGGTCGCTACAGGCACAGCAGTGGCAGCGTATGCAGGGAGCAAGATACTGTCTCGAGACTGTGCTCGTTTATAGAAAAGAGAGGCGAGGGTCGAGCCGAAGAGCACGGAGGAGTCTCCAGGTGGGAGCTGCCCACAGCGGCAGTCAGGCAGTGCCACCGGAGAAACGCGTCGAGAGCAGCAGCAGAAGCAAACCAGCGAACCAAGTTGCTGGCGTGCATGGCTCCGCTGCCGCACGCGTAGGCCTGGGCAATCCATCGAGCGTCTGCAGACAGCCAGCCAGCAGCGGGAGGTGCATGCAGCCCACTGTTCTACAGTCCAGGTCAACCGCCGAGCGCTTCCCGCCAAGAATGCAGCGCACCTGCCCCTCCCCTCCCGCCGCCACCGCCGCCGTCGTCGACGCGATCGCGAACTCTTGGCACATCGGCGTGGCGACACATCACCGTCGTAGCGATGAGACACACTCTGCGATCCTCGGCGCGGCGTGCAGCTCCTGCTCCGACGGCCTGTGGCGCCCACGTGGCGCAGCTCTACACCTCTGCAGCGAGCTACACAGGCTACAGCAGAACTTCCGCAACGCACACACCAGTCGAGTCATGCCGACCAAGCTCACCCTCGCCGTCTCCCAGTCTCGCACGCTCGCGTCGCTGCCAGACACCCTCGATGCCCTCGCCGCCACCGCCCGCCTGGCGGCATCGAAGAAGGTCGACCTCGTCCTCTTCCCCGAAGCATATCTGGGAGGATATCCGCGAACCGCAGCCTTCGGCGCCAGCATCGGCTCCCGGACCGACGATGGCCGCGAGCAGTTCTTGCACTACTTCCGCAGCTGCGTCGACCTGGGAGACACGCCGCTGGGAGCAGGCGATGACTGGGTGAAGCGCAAGCTTCCCGTGGCCGAGGGCAAGGAGTATAGAGGCGACGGTACACGTGAATTCCTGGAGAAAGTAGCACGGGATACGGGTGTTTTCATCGTGACAGGTCTGGTTGAGAAGTCCGGCGGCACGCTGTATTGTGCCGCGCTCTACGTATGTCCCGAAAAGGGTGTCCTCGGCAAGCGACGTAAAGTCATGCCAACGGGCTCAGAACGACTGGTGTGGGGCCAAGGCAGTCCATCCACGCTGAAAGCAGTGACGACCACTATCAGAGGTGTCAAGTTGACCATGGCTGCTGCCATCTGCTGGGAGAACTTCATGCCGTTGCTGCGATACAGCTTGTACAGCCAGAACGTCAACTTATGGTCAGTGTCGCCAAATTCGAAGAAGAACAAATTTGTTGATCTTGATTGTTAGGCTCGCACCAACTGCAGACGCTCGTGACACCTGGCTGCCGCTAATGAGAACAATCGGAGGTGAAGGCCGCTGTTTCGTCCTCAGCAGCATCTCATGTCAAAAGAGAAAGAACCTTCCCGGCTGGGTCACAGGCCAAGCGACTCCTGCATCTCCCGCTGCAGTAAAGACACCCTCTCTCGTCAACGGCTCCCTCTCGCCCGCCCGGGGCCGCCGAAGATCAACAATCGTCAAAGAAGATCAACACGAACTCGTGCTCCCAGCTCTCAATGAAGAAAACGGCTCCGATCACGCTTCCGCCGAACAGGAACAGACGGTCGCTGGCGTCCTCGCCAAAGCCGACGTGAATGACACCAGCGATCCTCGCGGCGAAGAGTTCGTCTGCCGCGGCGGCTCCTGTATTGTCGGACCCATGGGCCAAGTCCTCCAAGAACCTCTCTGGGAAGTCGAAGACGGCGGCCTACTAATTCAAGAAGCAGATTTCGAAGACTGCGAGCGTGGGAGACTAGATCTCGATGTTGCAGGAAGCTACTCAAGAAATGATGCTTTCAAACTGACAGTGGAAGGCTTGGACTTGAACCCTCCACCTACATGAAGTGGCATTGCCGCACTCCCCCCGTATGAAGAATCATGCCGAACGACGTATGAAGAAACGCAAAAGATGACAGTCAAGAAGTCTACGAATTGGAGCCAAATTCCATCTGATATGCAGAAAGGCACATGGATGAAGTGAACAGCAAAAATGTTATCTTCTCGGCAGACAATGTAAAAACTCTATTAGTATCAGTATCAAACGACTTCAACTATCTTTTTAAAGACACGCCTCGCACATTCGCACACTGTGGTGATTATCTATCTGCTGTCTACGAAATCTGTGCCTTTCACGCGAAAGCCACGCGTTCCCACAGTAGGATAAAAGTACCGCTCGTGCAAAAAGCTAAACGCGACTTCACGCCGCCCTCTCCCCTCCGATTTCCCTTCCTCAAAAAGCCGAACCTACACCACATTGGACGCAACCACAACCACCACCTCAGCCACGCAGTAGAGTCATAAGTAATCAAAGGGAGTCAGAAGAAACATCGTCTGCCACTGCAAGCAACCAAGTCTCGTCTGATGCAAATCCATGTCTCGCTCGCCTTTGCCTCACCCTAGCCATCACCACAAGGATCACGGCACGAAAGGAGAAAGAAAGACCCCGCATTGATCAATAGAATTTCTCGCCATTTCAACTTCATTCAGAGAGAAAATAAAACACAGGTATGAAAAGAAAAGGTTGTGAATCCCAAATTCTCTTTTCCCTTTTTCGCGCGCCATCTTTCCCATGCTCTTTTCCTATTTTGAAATGCTTTCCCGTAGCCCCCACTTCACACGTCTGACTCCAGAAGAAACCAGACACCCAGCAGGACCTCAATTCTCAGACACCTTCCAGCACCATACACAACAAAAACAAAGAATAATGACTAGACATACACACACAAAAAGGGCAGCCATGCAACAAAAGGGTTGATTTCGCTCGAGGTCTTTCCGTCTTCAAAGTCGTTAAAGAGGGGTTGTTTCCTCCTCAAGGCATCGAACGATACGTAAAACAAATGCCGACGTGTGCTCGTGATGTCTTGGCGTGTAGCTCAGTCACCAAGCGAGGGGGGCATGAAGCAGCTGGACCTTGCGGAAGCAAGCAAGCAAGCCAGCAGGCAGCGATGCAGAGATTTGAGGATATATGCACCTGAGTTGTGCCCTGTGCCCGCCAGAAAGACACCATATGTCATTGAAAACTTTCTTCATTCAGGGACGCGCGCTGCGCTCACCCAGGAGCGCCAACACAACTCCTTCCACTTCGTAGCGCAATGTGCATCGGATGCAAACAAAAGAACTCGGCCGTTAGCCTGCTGTAAAAGTGGCTGATAATTGTACATTGCGACGAATGTCAAACTTGATCTCCATGTCAGGTGAATGCCGAAGCGCCAGATCACTGGCCGTAGCCGTTACCATTTGCGTTGTTCCGGCCTCGGCCTCGTCTGCCGTTGCCGTTCATGGGACTTTGCTGTGGCATCTGTCCTTGTGAATAGTATTGCTGCTGAGGCATATATCCATATCCATTGACAGTGCCTGGCATGCCGAGCATTTGATTGCCAAATCCTTGTGGCTGGAAGCCGGTCTGCATACCCATACCAGGAGGCACTCCACCCATATTCTGCCGGTACGGATCAACCATCTGTGGCGCGGGAGACGCAGGTCCATAAGGGCTCATGCCAGCTGGGGTGTTGTAGAAGCCAGGAGCACGACCCATGCCACCTTGTGCCATCATGGCTTGTTGATACTGCAGATTGATAGGACTGATCCCTGCGTTCGAAATGGCAGGGCTGTGCGTGTACTGCTGTGCATAAGGGTCAAAGCCATTTGACTCCATGCTGATCGTGCGTTGCAGCCCGGCACCCATGTTCGGGTCCATGTGCTGGGGAGTGCCGTATGGACCGCGCGCGAAGTTGTTCTGAGTGTCGAGATGTGGACCATGGCCATTGGCTGGGCGAGATCTTGAATGCGAACGGCTGTCATGACTGACTGGAGTACCGCCGTGCCGTGTGGACATGCCGACCTCATCCATCAACCTCTTATAGCCTTGAGATGGTTGAGCCTTAAGACGGACGAGTACGTTGCGGACATTCTCGATGCATTGTGGACGCATAGAATCGTCCAAGAAAGGAGTAGTGAGCACCTTGAAGACAAAGGTGGCTCCACAAGCTTGGTCGGAAATGACATCGTACAGCGTCTGATCTTCGAGGAACAAGGCTCGGAGGATACTGTCGCGCGCGTCTGCTTCGTTGCGCTGGTTGATGATTTTGAGGACGGTGAGATAGGCAACTTTGTGGGTGCACAGATGCACAAGGTGAGGAATTATGCGTGGTGCCAAGACCGATCGACGATTTGCGTACGTGCAAGTGTCGAGGAACCAGGTCAGCAGCAGCGCGCCGTTCGAATTGGTGGCAAGCTGCACACTGTGTAACGCAATGGCAGCGGCCATCAGCCTCTTCTGGTCATGAGTAGCGAAGTGGCTTTCCAGACAGGCACGCATCGCCCGAGCTCCGAAGCGTCCTTGCGCAACGTCCCAGAGCTTACTCAGCATCGTGTCGAATATGAAGTTGTTCGAAGGCGACTGGAATCGCAAGCAACACTGCATGACATAGTTGCCATACTGATCGAGGAACAAGTTGACTCCGTGAGGCTTGAGAGCTTCCACGATGAGGTTCATCTGAGCAGGGGTCCTCGCAACGTCGATGATCTTCTGAGCTGCCCAAGTGCCGTTCTTGTGGACACCAATCTCAGCCAAATGCGGTGCAATCTGGGTCAGCATTGCCTCCTTCGTCTCTTCGGAACAGTTTTCAAACAGTTTTTGTACGACAGTGTTTCCGAGATAGTCGGACGATAACTCGGCAATCTCCGGGAGCATGTCCATGGCGATGGTTTCGATTTCCATTGGCGAGATGGAGTTGTTGTCAATTCGCTTCCTAATCTCACGCAAACGCGGAGCGTCGTGCACGCGATTATGGCTGGGCTCTGGAATTGGTGGGATCTCCGGGAGAAATGCATTGTAGCTCATCGCATGCTCAAGGCTTTGGTCATTGCGCGCCTGCTCCTCTGGTGACGCTCCGAATTGTTGCACGATCTCGGCAATCTCCTCTCGCAGCTCGAGCAGGTCTGGCGTGACGAGGGCTGCAGCAGCAGTTTCCGCATTGATGTTTGCTCCTGTGCCAGCACCGGATCCATCGTTGCGGCTCTTGGAGACAAATGGATCTGGGCTAGGCGAAGGATAGGCTCCGTTGGCACCAGGTGTGTTGGAAGCACTCTGTTCTTTGGCAAATCCAATCCTGACTGGGCCACATCCGGGGAAGATCTCTTTACCGTTGCACGTTGCCTTTGCAGATATGGCGCTCTGGATATTCTCGAAGTTCACGAACCCACAGCTCTTGTGAGTCAAAACTCTGGCGAACTCGATTGGGCCGAACTGACCGAATATGACGTTGAGCGAGGAAACAGTGGTAGAAGAAGGTATGTTGCCCAGCCACAAAGACCGTGTGGGCGACTCCAGGCTGCCAGTGTCAAGGCCGTTATCGTAGGAGGCCTTCTTGTTCAAGTTCATGTTATGAACCGCCGCTGCGAGATTGCCGTAGTCCGAGCCATCGTTGCTTTGCAGATCAGCGGCGCTAATGCTATTGTCCAGTCGTGATGGCGTTGGCATGTAATTGCGAAGTACCCTTGACGAAGGAGAGTCCAGGACGCCGGCAGTGCGAGCTCTTGGCCTATTGGCGCTTGCATAGTTGGCGAAGGCCTGGACTTCGAGATTGTGCTGACGAACTGCCTCGTGGATCGCAGCGGCAGCAGCAGCAGCGTCATCGGTCGAAGGTGTGATGGCTCCGTTACCATACATTTGCTGCTCCATGATTCCGTAATCGTCCATCTCGTCTTGATCTCCATTGGCGTACTTCTCCTTTGCGTTGACCGAGTAGGATCGGAAGCGATTTGCGGTGTTCTTGTTATTGAATGCGTTCAATGCTGCCAGATCAGCGATTGTCACCCCATTCTGGCGTTGCTGGTTCATCAGCATGTCCATGTTCGCCTGAGACAAGCTGTTCCTGCCCTGTTGCGGTGTATCGACCAGACCCAGATAGTCAAGTGTCCGGACGTCGCCATCAGCAGGCGAGGCAATGGGCGATGATGGACCATCGGAGGATCTTATGCTCTGAAGTGTGCTCGCTCTTTCTCGTCCAGCCATCCAACTGCTCGCAAAGAGTGAATTGCCAAACGGATTATTGCCGAGCAGTCCCGGGCGTTGTGGCATCGACCCAGCTCGCAGTCGAGACAGCAGGGCTGCATTGCTTGTTGGCGGGCCTCGGGAGTTGATTGATGGTTCACCAATTGCTGGTGATCCATTCGCGTAGGTTGACGATGGTGTTACCTGACCGGACTTCGACATCGTCGGCTGTGGTTGCGAGCCATTGAGCATGGACATAGCTGGAAAGCGAGATGGCACTGTGCCGGCTCGTGTGCGTCGAGTGGAGGACGATGCGGAGGGATTGTTGGGGCTACCAGCGATGGCTTGCCCGGCGTCGAAGTCAGGAAAGCTGTCACTGCCTGGAGACTCTGGGATGGTCTCGCGCAGAGGTGTTGAATGGCCACTGCCAGATGTCGGCGGGCCCCAAATTTGCGGTGTCAAGCCTTCTTGTTGTTGAATCTCGCGTGCACTGCCAAAGATCAGCCCCATTCTGTTCAGAGTCTGGTAGGCTGGTTGTAAAGAGGCTGGACACGCAACTCACCGTTTCGGAAACAAGCGACTCCCCGTGTATTCCTTGGATGGAGAGCCAGCTCCAGCACGACCGGTTCCCGCCTGGCTTCCAGCTCCGGCTAGACCATTGCCTAGAGGATAGCGGAAGCTTGATCCCGCAGGAGCTTCGATCGGCGAATTGCCTTGTGACGTGTTGGCAGAACGCGTTTGATGCATGTTGAGTTGTGGCAGGCCCTCGAGGTTGAGTTTGTAGTCTGGACGATTCGAGGGAGCCATTATCAATTAAGTTATTGATAAGGTTGGATAAGACGTTTCGTGCCTGCCGAGCCTTTCTAGATCTGCCTCTGGTCAAAGGAGTGTGAGGTGGACTGTGCCACGATCAAATGTACAGGTCTGTCAGCGGTGTGTCGTCGAGATCACGCCGAGATTGTAGCACTAGGATTCTCGATGCGTGACACGTGATGATTGTGCGTTTCTTTCATTCAAGTCCAGCTTGGCCGGGAGTCGAATTTGCTCCGGTGGCTCTCACGGTCTGCCAGCACTGCGGCGCCCGGATGATGTGCAGATGCAGAACGAGGCAATTGCCAGAGCACAGCCCCCGTACAACCAACGTCTCTTTTCGTGCTTGCGGCGCGGTCGATGTGGAGAACGTGTTCCAAACTCTCTCCTGTTTCACCTGCGTGCTCGGCAGGTCATACAGGGACGGAGTAGAATGACGCTGGGCGGGTGCGGGTGTGATGGGAGGTGGTGACGAGACTCGGCCGGTTTCAATATCGATAGGCGTGTGCGAGGAGGAGAGGGATGGCTGGCGTGCAAAATTAGGCCGGCTGGATGCTGCAATATACAGACGCAGCCCAATGGTGCAGCGTCTGGCGAAGGGTAGGTGGCAGTGCGGACGGGAATTTGTCAGGGCGACGTTGCTCGGTGCTCCGCTAGCAAGCAGACATCGGCGGAGCCCAGGGCGGGCGGAGGGAGCGGGCGGTGGTGGTGATGGATGGCGGTGGGTGGAGGGCGATGGGGAAGATGTGCGTGCAGTCGCGGTGGTCGACTGCTGCTGGTCGATCCCGATGCGAGCAAGACACGCTCCGGGGCAGCAGGAGGATGATCGAAGAGAGAAAGCTTGGCCGCGTGGGTGGGTGCGCTGTTTCACCTTTTTCCTGCCGAAAGCGCCTCTCACTTTCACTGCGCGCCGTCGTCTTCACACCAGCGCACGCTCGCTTGCGGCTCAAAACACCGCGTCGCCGTCGTCCTGGGCGGTGGTGGTGGTGATGCGATTGTCCCTCGTTCCACTGGCCGGCCCTTGCGCAGAGTCTGCCTCTTCCTGGTCCGCCTCCTGAGCGCTGCTTCAAGGGACACGAGGGCGCGCCCCAAACCCAAGTGCGACGCTGCTGTCTCGCGCTGTGATTGGCCGTAGGGCTGCAGCTGCAACCTGAAACGCAAGCGTGGCGAGCAAGGAAGAACTGCCCCAGGACGCCGTGCCGGCTCGTGTGAGAGGCTGCTGCTTTCGGTGGTCAAACCGGAGTGCTGCACTTCGATTCCAGGACCACGTTCGTGAAGTGGTCACACATATCACGAGCCATTGAGGTCGTCAGCACGCTTCACGACGTCAAATGATGAGCGCTAAATGGCCTAGATTCGAGTCGGAGCACGGACCGCGATTATAAGTGAATGCTCTACGATATAAGCCTTCTCTCCGAACATGAAGAGAGTTCTCTGCTACAGGAGTGAAGACGCATGATAGTGCCACGCGGAGCTGACTGACTGAGACATGACTACAAGTGCGTTCTGCCAGGAATCTGGGGTATGCTTCGGAGAAATATAGCTCGCTGTGAAGAGCGGCCAGTATGGTCTACATGCGAGAAAGATGCTATCGCTATCATTACTGGTCGTGACATGTTCTTACAATGCTTTGGCTTTGCGCCGTGGTATCTGTATCACCCAGCACGGTACAAGAAAAGTTCTATTCATCAAGAGCTGCCAGCGGCAGCATTGGCAGACCCTCTGATGTTGCTTACAACACTGGTCCCTGGGCCATTAATATCCTCGACTTCGTCATCGCCTCTCTCGGCTTTGTCTTCATCGAAGTATACTACGAGAAAACGGTCAGCGCATGATGATATCTGCGGGAAGCTGGACGCCAATCTTACCATGAGGCGTGATAAACCAGCTGACAATAAATGCCAGCCCAAAAGTAGCACAAAGACACACGAAAACCGCCTGGTTGAACTTGCCGACTGTAGCCGCAAAAATGGCGCTGAACACGGCCGGCGAGACAACTCTGGCTAATGCGTGCAAAAGCCCGATTGCGCCAAGAAGCTGTCCTGTACGATCTGCAGGAACATGCTTCGTCAATGCGGACTGCAACGTCGGTGAACCAATTCCTCCAAAAGATGCCACGACTCCGGAAAGGATGAACGCCGAACCTTGACGAGCCAATGTATAGCCTAGGAACCCCATGGAGTCGATGAAAATGGCAACTCGGATGATGGTTAGGTCGAACATATCTGCGCCAGTATTCTTTGTTTTGCGCGAACTTGCTTTGCCGCGCACGATACGTGTCAATCCCGGCAGAATTACAAGCAAGCAGAAAACTCTGGTGCTGTTGACGATGGTCATAAATTTGCCAGATTCGAATGTCTGCCACCCGAACTGCTGGCGCATGTAGATCAAAACCACCGCCATGCTGCCCATCGCCACTCCAAACACGATCGTGTCAACCGCAGCCAGAACGAGGAGATTCCTTCGCAGAGCTTTGCTGCTGCCGGGACCTTTTGGTCGCAAAATCTTGAGCGGCTCCAAAATATTGAACGAACGGAGATTGTTGATCCAGTCTCGGTTTGGTTCCTTCTCCGCTTGCAACAACTCATGTTTTTCCTGAGCGATCGCCTTCCGCTTCTCTGATAGCGACTCCGGCACAACGAAGCCGACAAAGAGCATGAAAGCGACGTGCACCGCTCCAAGGATCCAGAATACCGTGACAATCTTACCAGTCCACTTCACAATATATCCCGCAATGATTGGGCCGACTGCGATGCCCGTGAACAATGAAGCGTGGAAATATCCAAACGCCACATTCCTCATATTCGGCGGAGTGCAATCTGTTGCATATGCGTTCGCGATCGACATTGCCACGATGAAGGATCCCGTCAACCCATCGAATGCGTAGCTGAGCAACAAAAGTGGCACAGGAAACGTATTGGGATACGTTGCGGCAAAGATGGTGATGACCTCGCCACATATCGTACCCAAACTGGTGATGACCAAAATCGGCTTGCGTCCATATCGATCCGACAACACTCCCAGCTTCGGTGCAGTAAACGCTGATAACACACCAGCGATGAGCGACCCCCAGAGATTGAACATAGATGTCCGAGCCGACACTTCGGGAATCTGACATTGATCGTTTCCTCCTTCGATATTGTTAAAATCGACAGGTATCAGGTGCGTGAAGCCAGGATTCGAAGCATTGCGTTCCGAGATGTACTCTCTGCACACCAGATCCAATATCAAATTCATCTTGGGCGCGATGATGCCACCGAATGCGCATGCCATGATGAAGAAAGGGCCCAATACCCAGTATATCGAGGGTCGTCTGTACCATGGTAGATGTTCGAAGTCTATACTCCCAGGCCACGAGGGCCTTCGGTCCCCTTCTTGTTCTTCATCTTCTCTTTCTGATCCTCTCCGTCCAGGTAGAAGCGGTTCTCGCTCATCGCCGAACTCCTCGTGTCGCGTCGTGACGCCTCCTTTGGCAAGTTTCGCAGCGACCTGCGCTCGTTCGCTTTCTCGTCGTTGTTGTTCTCTCGCCGTCGCTTCTGCCGCTAATCGCACTTCGGCTTCGATCGCCGTCTCGCTGGTATCCATTGTGTATCTGTATCTCCCACCCCTTTCAAGGCTCCAACTATTCTTCTTGTCCCAGTCGCGGGCAAACTTGACAGCCTTTCGAAGAGGCCGTGAATGCGTTTACATTGACCAGAATGTAAAGGTGACGCGTCGACAAATTACACCCGTAGGAGATCCGTCCGGTAGGCAGTAGTAGTGTCCAATCCAGGGCTTATCGCATGTCTCGGGTCGATTATCGAGGGGTGATGCAATCAATCGCCGCGGTTACGCGAGGGGGACCACAACTGGCAGTAGTTTAAGAAAAGCCCCTGTCGTCGAGATTCCAGCATACTGAGGACAAAACAATGAAGAAGAAAGAGAGAAGAAGCCTGCTGTATGTGCGAAACGATGACCCCAAGACTCTGCGAGAGTGTGTGTGGAAGCCACCACAGAACAAGGCCCGGCTTTTAGGGTTGCTGTTGTGTACAAATGATCGGAGATCGCATCAAACTTCGGCAAGGAACAAGCTTTTAACCGGCTTTCGTTTCCTTCGTGCCACAACCAACCCGAGCACAAGATTCTACTTTCACACTTTCCGAATACTGACATTTTGTATCCTTGTGCGGTCTAGTCCTTCGTGGACTGATCTGTTCTACTGGACCACGAATGTACTGCGTTGTCCTGTAGCCCACGAAACCGGAGCCAGCGAGGCGAGATCTCGACATGCAGGAAATGGTGATGTCAGGACTCGCCTCGTGGCCCATTTAGCGCGCCATCAAACGGCGTTGCGGCTCCTTCTTTGTCCCATCCTTCCTTCCGATCGGCCTTCTTTTCCTCCGAAGCAGACTTCACGTCTAGACTCTAGAACCACGAGCATCTCCTTGAGAAAGATGCACAAGCATGCCAACCAGGGCTGAAACCTGTACATTTCACGTGGCGAAAAAGAATGTCGTGTCATGTCGCGCCTAGCGACGTGTCAAGCAGAAGTTTGACGAGTTCCAGCAAAAGCTGCGCCTCAATTTGATGACTGGTTAAGACATACCACTTCAACCACTACGGCCGCATCCAAGGCAGGAGTCTCGTTCTACTTGCTACGACAATGCCACCTCATCACATTCACTCGCCTCGGACGAGCTGACATCGTAAGACACTAGAGAACTGACGAACAGGAACAGGTAATTCAGAGTTCACGACTGGCCCATGTCTAGCTGGGATTGGCTTGCAAGCATCGTAATACGGGCCGATGGCCGAAAGATGGTTCCTGGCACCCGGCTCCTGGTCAAGTGAAGTGGTCGGCGGGGCGGGGAGACGATCCAGACGAACCTAGTAGACGCGGCGGATCTCGTGAGAGCTGTGCCAGTACAGTGTTTCGTTCGAGGGCATTGCGAGGGTCTGGGCCTTTCCGAGCGCCGAAGCTGACAAACTCCATGACTACAAAGTAGCTGGAGTGACTTTTTATGCATTTGATGAAGGTTTGGTGGTGAGGAGTTCGGTGTCTTTGATCTCTGAGGAGGTGTAGAGGGAGGAGGCGCCGCTTACAAATTTAGAGGTCGGCTCTTGCTCCATGAAGAGCTTTGCTGGTTGGCTTAGCGACCTGCGGTCGCACTCCGAGNGTAGCCACATTTATGCTGGCCTGGTGCGGGATATGTTCTAAAATGCTTTGAGTGCAATCCCCAAACCAGATTGGCTCTCGATCCATGAAGAGCTTTGCTGGTTGGCTTAGCGACCTGCGGTCGCACTCCGAGNAGGTAGCCACGTTTATGCTGGCCGGTGTGGGATACGTTCTGAAATGCTTTGAGTGCAAGCTCTTAACCAGATTGACTCTCAATCCACAAAGAGCTTCGCTGCTTAGCTTAGCGACCTGCAGTTGCACTCAGAGGTAATTGCATCCAGAGGTAGCCACGATTATGCTGGCCGGTGTGGGATACGTTCTGGAACACTCGATGAGAAACAGCGGAATACACAGCAACTGGATTTTTCAAATCGTTCATTCAAAAGCTAAGGCTACAAGTACACAGCTTTTTGTGATACGCGAAGAAGCTACCGTTTTCTCAAAAAACAGCAAGTAAGCAGGAAAAGTCATGTCTCATGTATGAAAAAACCCTCCCTTGACACCAATAAGCCGCCGCAGTAGTAGTAGCCGCCCATCATGTTTGTGTCGAAGTGGTATGTCGTTCTCAAAATGCAATCTCGCTCAAATAAACTCGCGTCCAAGAAAATCTCTCAAAACTCTCTGGTTTTTGATGTCATGCAGTCAGAAAAAGAAGGCCAAAAGGAATGTGATCATGCGTTGCAGTCGATGACGGTGGAAGGTCGCATGTGGGACTTCGGTGTCGAGACTGGCGATGTGTAACGCGGGTGTTGCGTTGTAGTGATGTGCAGTCGGTATGGTGTCGTTAAAGTAAATGGAATGGAACGTACAACTGTATCTAGACAGTGTATTTGCGGCCGTTGCCGTTGTGGTGATTGTATTGGCGCGCAGGGCGAGCGCGAGCACGAGCACGGCCGTCGAAGCGTCTGTACCGATCACCGAGGCCGTCGAGGTAGCCGGGATGCTTCTCGCGGGCAAGGACCTCAGCCTTGTAGATGCACTCCTTGCATTTGCTCTCTGGGCGGTAGTCTTTCTCGAAGACTTGCGGAGTCTTAGTGCAGATGACGAAATGGTCTTCATCGTCGGCTGGGTGTGGAGGTACCATGCCGGGCATCTCTGAAAGAAGAATCATGGAGTTGACTGAGCCTTTGCAGGCGTACTCGTAAAACTTGAATTCGAAGGCCTTCATCTCTGCGCGCATGCGCACGACGATTCGGACAAGTTTTTCGATTGGGTCGAGAAGTTCAGCGCGGGCGCGCGACTCTGCACCGGTGCGCCAAGCGAGGCTGAACTTGTCGACGATCTGGTCGTTCGTCTTCGCGGCGAACTCCTTGATGAAGTCATTGAACCGCGGGGTGGTCTCGATGACGCGGCGTGCTGCAGCGATGCGAGCTTCCATGAGAGGCCCCTTGATGGACCAGTCATCGGCCTGGATGGTGCAACAACCAACATCAGCCTTCCAGGCGTGCAAGAACTCTGGAGCGTAGCGAGAGTATGCTTGGTCGAGGACGGGAATGTCGAAGATCAGGTCGTTGACAAGGCGCCAGATCATGCCATGGACCAGCGATGAGTGCAGATAGGCGTGGCCATGCTGAATCAAGTTGATCGCAACCTTGCGGTAGTTGACGTGGCGGGCGGTGAGGTCGATGAAGGCCTCTACCTGCTCAGGAGTGGTGTAGCTGTCCGGCTCGAAGCCGACGTATTGACGGGTAACGAGGTTGATTTTGTCGTTGATATTGTTCAGTAGCTCCTTGTACGATTTTTGGTCGAAGTTCGAGCTGGTAAACGATGCGTTGCTGAACGTGCTGAAAGACGATGCATTCGAGTTGGTGCGGAGATGAACAAACTTTTGGGGAGAGTTGTTTTTGAAAGATGTCGTAGGCGTTGGAGAACCGACCTCTTCACGGACAGGCTTTTCGGGGCGAGGGCTCTGGCTAGGCGAGAGCATGGCGGTGAAGTAACCGGAATCAAATGGACCACTGTGACGAGCGCCTGGGGAGCCGCGCGTGGCTGGGTCCTCGAAGAAGAAATGGTTCTTGTTTGCTGCGAGCAGGCGGGCAGCACGCGGGCTCTCTTCGACCAGCGCCTCAGAGCCTTCGACCAGTTCGCGCAGACTCTCCGCGCTGCTGTTGCTCACGGACGGACTTGCCAGCAAGACTCTGCGCGTAGGTCAGTGTTGCCGTTTGTTGCAGTTTGCGGATCTCAACTGACCCGCCGTCGGATTCATCATCAGTGATGTAGTCGTTGGGTGATGCCTTGATCTCATCACCGATTGCGCCAAAGCAGTATTTGCCAGCGCGCGGAGGCGTCAATGCGCGAGAGCTCAGCGCCATCTTGAACGACTTCGAGTCTGGCGTAAGTGACTTGAGGAATGGCAGAGGTGGATGGGCAGATGATTGGAAGAAATGTAAAGGGGAAGTGCAGAGGAGGTAGTCGAGATGCAACCTCCTTTGGTAAGAGGATCTGGGGGAAGAAAGAAGAGGTGGAAGAGGTGGTAGAAGAGATGCAAGTAGAGGCAGCGCGCATGACAGCGCTAATTCACCCGCGACCCACTTTGACAATAAGAACCCTCGTGACAATGGTATCAGTGTGACTGACAAGTGAAGGTCCAGCCCTCATTGGCCGGGGATTGTCGAGGCTGGAAGCAAACCCGCAGGGACAATAGAAAAGCTGTCAGCTGTGGTTACACATGAGCTTGCACAATCGCCAGGTGGTCCGTGTAGCTGACTCGGAGTCATCGCATTGGCCAGTTGAGGTTCTTCATGGGTTTGAGTTGAAGCTCATATGCGCGCTAAGAGATTTTGCTGCATGTGTGCAGAAAAACGGCGGAGCTTCACATGAAGTTGAGGCAAGAACCACCGAATTGGCCCCTCACATGCTGCGAGGAAGATCGTGCATGCTACGTTTGATAGACAGGGGAAGCGGTTTATCGGAAGGGCCTTGGAGGCTGGGAGCAACTGCGAGATCAGACCAGAGCATCTGTATTCATGGAGCGGTTCCGTGAACATCGCGTTTGGAGAACCGACAGTCTTCAGACATCAAGAATGAGTGCCGTCAGCGCAGCCAACGTAAAAGACCGGCACTCTCAGTCGTATGCGCGCAGTAGTGCCGCAGCTTGAGATGGGACTGCAATCGGTCTTCTCAGCACGCGTATGCTCAGCGTGGAAGGTGGCCTTCTGTTCCTGCGTCCTGCAGCAAACGATTTGCGTCGAGTTCGCATTTTCTCCGAGACAGTTTTGGGGTCTAGAGAGCCTTATCCTTTTGAGGCGATGCGCTGAGATGTAAAAGTTGCGATGGAAAGACTGGCTGTGAACGTTGTAGGGAGGAGGAAGTGAAGTGAAGTCGGATGTTGTGTCGGGACTCGGGACCGAATTCGTCTCCTCCGCCTCGGCATTCTTTCTCTCCCATTCTTGCCCACCGCACTTCACACTCTGTACTACCATCTCATCCATCTTATCTCCTGCATCCCACCTTCTCGGCTTTCGGGCAAGTCCTGCGTGCCTTCGTTCGCCTGTCGATGATTGCCGACGTGTTTCCTCGCGATGGATACCGAAAGAGGGTGCTGCTTGGTGCTGCATCAATAGCGCTTGGAGATCTGCAATTCTCCCTCCATTTGAAGACACAAACGTGCATTCGCAGGATCTAGCGGGCGCCGTGGCGATGTGTTTCTCTTCGACGTTGCACAACAATGCCGCCGCCTTGGCCTACCCTGCATTGACGATCTGCTCCGCAAAATAAGTACCGCGCACTCCGCAAGCTCTCGTTTTCACGGCATGCGTTTGAAGTCGATCTGGCCTACCTCCTATTTCCCACTGCAATGGCGCGGCAATTCTCATACGATAAGGAGGCACACGTTGCGTCCTCAGATGCTGAGGACAGCTTAAGCCGCGATGGCGACGTTATCGCCCAAACCCGAGTCGAGCGTGTGTTCAACACGATTCAATTCTTCGCTCTCAGCATTACTTTTATGAGCATCTGGGAGGCTGTTGCCGGCAATCTATACACCGTGTTTTACAATGGCGGCCCGCAGACACTTGTCTGGGGCTTTTTGCTCGTATGGGCAGGCGCCATGGCACAAGCTGCTTCATTGGCAGAAATGGCGTCCGTTCAGCCCATCTCTGGGGCGATGTATCACTGGACATATGCTCTGGCGCCATTGAACATAAGACGCTTCGCAACTTGGATGCAAGGATGGATTACCTGGGCCGGTTGGCTCTCAATGACAATGGGAATTGGCAATTCAACGGCTTATGTGAGTTGCTGGCTGCGTTGCATCTGACTGCGCAGAGGCTGGTCCAAGACCCTCCCTTGCTGACCGTCCACAGTGGATCACCAGTCTGGTTCAGCTAAATTTTCCAAACTACCAGGCCAAGCTGTGGCACAGCACACTGATGATCTGGGCGGTGCTACTCCTTACGACAAGCATCAACTTGTACAAGTTCGGCAAGCTCGTGCCCTGGATAGAAACTGTGGCAGGCTGTCTCCATGTCTCCATGTTTGTGGTATTCAGCATCGTACTGCTGGTTTTGGGTCCTAAGCACAATGCCGACTTCGTCTTTTTCAGCAGGGTCGACTCTGCACTCACTTCCGGTTGGACTAATGATTTCGTCAGCTGGAATCTAGGCTTACAGACTTCGGTGTGGTGTTTCGTTGGTAAGCGGGCGTTTCCCGGTGGCCCTGCCCCCGTCCATGCTAAACAAGTATCAGGATTTGATTCTGCAGTCCATCTTGCAGAGGAGGTACGAAAACCAGCCAGGACCGTGCCATCCGTGATGGTCCTGACTATTCTCATCAATGGAGCGATGGCTTGGCTTTTCATTCTGGTCATTCTCTTCACCATGGGAAACCCCGACGACGCACTCAATTATCCGCAGCCCATGCTTGCAGTGATGCTCAACGCCACAGGGTCGGCTCGTGGTGCCACCGCGATGGGCTCCTTGTTGGTAGTGATTTCCATCTGCGCCATGATTGTCAACGTGGCTTCCATGTCGCGTCTAAGCTGGTCTTGGGCCAGAGATGGTGCTCTGCCAAAAGTACTTGCATACGTAAGACCATCTTGCCGAAACACACACAGGAATACTCTCTAATATCCGCTAGGTTGATTCTGTCAAACGTGTGCCCGCACGAGCTGTACTACTTTCGGTAGTCATTGTGGTGCTTCTTTCACTCGTCAACATCGGCAGCAGCGTCGCGCTACAGGTCTTCATCTCGTTGAGTACGCTGGCGATGTACATCAGCTATTTCATCGCCATCCTCGTGATGCTCTTGCGACGGTTCGGGTCGAGTTCGCCACAAATGGGACCATGGACAATGGGACGCCTAGGGTCGACAGTCAATGCATTTGCCTTGATTTACACGGCCTATGTCATCATCTGGCTGCCTTTCCCAACCACCATGCCGATCACTGGGGCGAACTTCAACTACAGCAGCCCGATTCTGGCTGCTGTAGTACTCATTGCCGTTGGCTGGTGGTTTGTCAAGAGGGACAGTTGGCCTGGACTGCGTGAGGACATCATCGAAGTCGCCATCACCAAGGATTAATGTCTATGCGCAATCGCGCAAGGAAGCCTACCTTACCGTCCTTCGCGGACACAGGGTTGTTGCATTAGCCAGGCCTTCGTCACAATTGCACTGTGTAATCCAGTGTCTCACACTAATGTCGAACGTTGTTAATGTGACAAAACAGGCATGCGGTGATTATTGTCTCGTCAAATCGTTCCCTCGATTGTTGGCCCAATGAGACCCCACCAATGAGATCCTGCGAAGCCGAAACTCACATCTCAGCTCAGCTCTCCTTTCCAATTTCATCTCCCTAACACACAATCACGCACATCGCAACTTACTGCTTAGTCCGTTGGTCTCCTGTGGCACAATAACAGAGCAAAGATGTCTTACTCATGCTTGCCTTCATGGCCTTTGGTCCTGTTCGGGGTGCTGGAACCTTTTGCGCTGTACGTATACTTCGGTCTATTCAACCGCAAACAAGAACACGGCACTGAGATTGCTACAATAGAGTATGGGCATACATCACTGCCATGACCGACGGGTTCACTTTCTTCGCGAGCCAAGCTCCGAACCATGAGATTGGATCGGCGGACTTCACTCCACAAGCGCAAGCTCTAACCTTGCAAATGGGCAATGTCCTACTTCTTCTGGGAGCCATGGCTATCATTTGCTGCTGGACAAAACATCCGGAGATCGCCAAGTGGTATCTCATCGCGGTCGCGTTTGCAGACATCGGCCACATCTATGCTGTCTACGCAGCTGTGGGCCCGGCATATTTCTGGAACTTCGCTGAGTGGAACGACATGACCTGGGGAAATGTGGGCGTGAGCGCATTCCTGCATGTGAATCGATGGGCGACGGTTGCAGGGTTGTTCGGAAGCATGTCCGGAGAGCAAGCGAGAGTGAAGAAGGTGCAGTAGATTGCGTTTGTTCGAGGCGTTGGCACCAATCATCGAATTTCCCGCTGCTACAGCAGGAGGAGCTGTTCGCATTGTGCCGCCAATGCCAACATGCACGAGTGGTACGAGCAAAGAGCAGGGATTGGAACGACTTCTGACTTCAGCATGACATCAATTCGCTTAAAACATCTCCCGACATCCTCACTGTATTGACCTGTGTAGCAAGTCCAAACACCTTGAAGCAAAGCTATCAGCATCCTCAAACCCAAAATGGATTCTCCAAAGTCACTCCAACCAGTCGTCCTGCCACCGACCACAGATCGCGCCAGCAAACTCAAAGCCACCTGCCACGGCTTTGCGAAAGCACTAGAAGCCCCACCATCTCCAGAAGAACTCCGAAGCAAGTTCTTCACATCTTCACCAAAGATTACGGAGCATGGTCCAGAATGGGCACGCAATCGCCTTCCGTTCTTAGCAAAGACTTACTCTGGCTCGGACGAGTTTGTGCAATACTTCAAGACATTGTCTGAGGTCTTGTCCATGAAGCCGGACCCCGCTCCTGCTTCGCATCAGTTTGCTGTGCAAGTAGGTGCGTTCCGAGAGACTGAAGATGAACACCAGGGCAATGGACATGTCAAAGGGAGTGGTTTGGTGTTCGTGCAGGGTGGAGGAGAATTTAAGTCTGTGAAGACTGGCAAGTCGTGGAAAGAGACGTTTATTTGGAAGTTTTCGGAGTTTGATCAGGATGGAAAGATCGGACGTTGGGAGATTTGGGCTGATCCTTTTAGTGCTTGGAATGCTGTGAATGACGGACAGGCGGAGGCTGGAGCATAGATTATCAGAGAGGTGCGACGAGTCACGAGCTTGTTCAAAGACAAGTGAGCCAAAAGGGTGCAGGTGGCTACTGTGAAGATTGTAGGTGAATAGGAGGAATGAGGTGTCTAATCACAGTGATCATTGGCTGTCCACACAAATTGTGCAAGCCTCACATGCTCCTGCCTGTGCTGCACGATCACATGCAGCTTCCGCGACTTCACTTACAACGGCACAGCTGATACCAATCATAACTTGACTCCAGCTTCTGCGAAACCTCTTTCTTCTTCTTCCACACTCTTCATCAATCTGCACCGAAGCACACACACCAACACTCTTCAGTCACCCGCTCCACTTCCGACACCATGTTCGTCCCATTTGAGAGCAACAACAGCGACGGCACTCCATCTCCACCCGGCCGCAACGACAGCGAAGTTCCCGCCCCAGCTGAGGCACCGGTCCAGCTGCAAATCACCTTCCGCCACAACCGCGGCTTCGAGCAGGCGTTCAAATTGAAGAAGACCACCAGCATCGTCAAGGCCATGGTGAGCCATCCGTTCACGCCCACCCTTTGAACCAGCATTTCCACTGACCACCTCTCAGGATGCCTTCAGCGCCAAGATGGAGCGTCCTCGCAACCAACTGCGCTTCCTCATTGATGGTCATCGCATTACCGATGGCACTGTGGAAGATGTGAGTCGAATCATTTCAACTGGGCTCACGGGTAAGAATGCTGACTTGACACACAGAACGAGCTGGAGGACGGAGATCAGGTGGATGTTCACGAGGAGCAGTTTGGAGGCGGCGATGGCTGTTGTGGTGGCAAATGTCACTGCGGTGACAAGAACTGCGACGGAAAGTGCTGCAGTGGCAAGGGAGGTTGTGGTGGAGGAAAGGGCAAGTGAGGTAATGAACTTCAGCTCCTGGACGCGGGATGGGAAACTTTCTCTGACCTGCCACCAGTCTGCCTTGACGATCATCATCACTCAGAGATTGATCGGTGCTTTGTGGAGACTTGCGGCCACATGGGCTGCAGCACTTGATGCGCTGAGCTCGAGCGGGCCGAATGCCTACAGGTGCTTGCAAGAAGACTTGCAATGTAGCATTGGAAAAGAAGTCCATGAAAGGTCGTCACGACCGTACATCCAATCGATGGCTTCATTACATTCGATTCTCATCTCATCGTCTCATCTACGTGTATATGTGTGAACAATATGCCATGCAGCGCTCCATGCTATGCAAATGCCAAACATTTTCGCTCACGCTGCAAACTCTACTCCTCAAGATCCATAACCAACTCATCCTCCACATCACGAGCATACCTCGTAGCGCCACAAGCCTTCGCGCGAACAGCGCGAATGCTTCGGATGGAGTAGTCTGGTTTGCTTGGGTTGTACGAAGCCACAAGGTTCGAAGCCTGTTGGAAGTAGCCATCGATAGCAGGCAGGACGTACTCGCAGCGATCATCGTTGATCTCTTGTGCAATCTGCTGGATGGTCTTGCAGTCTCTTCGCCACTTCTTGTTCTTGAGTTCTTCTAGACGGTCCTTGACATTCTGGCCGTAGGATCCCTCGCCGGTCCTGTTTTCAGTTGTCAGCGGCTGATGTCGCATAGTATTGGGTTGTGACAGTAGATTGTACTTACCATGTACCATTACCCTGCTCAGTTCCATTGCTGCCGTTGCTGCCATTGCTACCGTTCTTTCCCGCGAGGTATGAGTCCAAGACGGCCTTGTTGCCCCAAGTGGGAGCAGTGGACGAGTACTCAGCAAGCCAGGCAAGTTTGGCGGCTTTGGTGAATTCGGCGTCCGAACGGAAATTCTTCTTCGCAATGTTGTCGAGGAATGTTGATACGATTGCGGTGTCCCCATACCAGTCCTTCACGGTATACTTGATGATCTGGACATCTGTGAGGGACGCAAAGGCTGCCGGAACAGCCTCTGGGTCGGCCTCAGGGAGAGCTTCTGGCACGGCTTCTGGGTCTGGGATGGCGAGAGAAGTGACAGTGGTGGCAAAGAGGCCGGCAGCAAGGGCAGAGAGGAACTTCATCTTGTCGGCGCAAATTGTCTAGTGGCGAGACTTGAATTTACGAGCGAATGTTGGAAGAGATGTCTTGCTGGCTTCTGGTGGACGTTGAGAGGAAGCCACAGTGCATATCTATATGTACCCCTATGGCTTCCACATAATTTGTCGCCATGTCGCGTGCACGTGGCTTTTGTGTTGCGCCCGAAAGCCACTCATGACAGCTAAACGTGGTAGCCCAGCTGAAAAGGTGAAGTAGACAACACGGAGACCGCGAAAAGACAAGCTTGTGGCGTTGAGCCAGGACAGGTAGAGCTCTTTCTGGACGTCGGACATTGCGCGCGAAGCAAGCCACATGCAGTCTGGCCAAGTAGTTTCGGATCGCGGAAAGTCAAGTATACGATGCCGGGCACTCGGGAGCGAGGGTCCTTTCTGACGCTTCCTCGAGGCGTGAAAAGTGAGGCATTTCTCAAAACCTCACGCATAGAGATGCCCGAATGTGAGAGCGAAAGAATGCATCTTGACTGCAATTATGGAAGATCTTCAAGTTTGCATATCGAAACTGTGAAGACGGAAGTGCAACCGAGGCCTCGGGACGCTAAGCGCTAACGTGGTAAATCCTGTTTCACATGCCACGTGGAGAGTGTTCTGGCTCTTCTTGGCAACATCCAGACGAGCTGTGGCTTGCACCTTAGCAGCACATGGCTTTCGAGCCGCAAGGTTTGATATGCTTTGCACGCTGGCACCGCTGAACTCTGATCGAATTGATGGGAATGAGACTCACCTCCTCGTGGGCGAAGTGTGCCCCTGCGCTGATTTTGCATACGCCCCGAGACCTTGTGCCGAGCGAGTTCTTGTACTCAGAGATATATACAGCATCGAAAGCTGTTGCCCGTGTGGCGCCTCCAACAAGGACGGCAAAATGGGATGCAAACAGCTCTCCGCATCGAAGCCAGTCAAGCACGTAATGTCGATGTGATCTCAGCTAGTGTGTAGCTTTTCCGCGGTATACTTGATGCGCTGTGATAAGTCGCATCACTGGCCAACAGCCATGGAAGCAAGCGCCATGTGGCGCATAGCAAGGAGTCATGCGAGATCCGAATCCTGCTGGCGCATAGGTCTCGCCCGAGATGCTCGCGTCTCGTATGTGCTCAACTACAGCCCCAATGTGTCCGCGCCCTGAGATTTGCCTTCCTGCTTCGGTCTTGCTGGTGCAATTGCTGACAAGGTCGGCTTCAAAAGGTCATGATCTATAGCATTGTACTCGACAGGCAGCGTGTATTGACCAGTTTACTGCTTCTGTCCTGGGTGTTCTTGCTTTACCGAGAGGTATCTGCACGCGGCACATCCGATATTGAGTTTCACTTGGAAGATTCGCTTGCGACAACTGCATCGCCGCCCGCTGCGGTGGTGGCTGAAGGAAATGGCGCAGCAAGATACGCCATCATGAGCATGGCCTCATCTCCAACGAGCTATGACTATATCACAATCAGCAATAAACACAGTCAGTCTACTCACTCAACTTATCTGTCTCGTGCACTGACACAGTGTCGTTTGTCCTGCAGGACATGCCTCGAAGCACAATTATGACATGGTCTGGGACTTTGAGCCGAATCCTGGTTACGGCAAGAGCTGGGACAAGCTCAACATCACCAGAGATACCATCCAGCGCACTCTAGTCGGCGAGAAAAGCTATGAGTGGGTATGGATGCTCGATCTCGACACTCTCATCATGAATTCCTCAGTGACACTTGAAGACTTCGTCGAGCGTAGCTTGGAATATGGTGAACGAGAGGGCAAGAAGCGCGAAGACATCCACATGATCTTGACTAGAGATTGGTAGGCGTGCTCCCGACATTGTCTTGTTCAATTCGACTGACAAGTCCCAGTGAGCCACTAAATGCGGGCAGTATGATTTTCAGGGCCAGCCCATGGATGCTGCAAATGATCGAGCAGTGGCGGTCCCATGATGTCGATGCGGATGCCGGCGAGGGAAATCGTCTGGATCAAGGTGCTTTGAAGGGCATGCTCCAGGAGGACGTTTTTTCTTCTGCTCAGAAGAGCGTGATTGTGCCACAGACGTGGATGAACTCGTATCCCGAAGAAATCCAGTGCTATGATCCTCGCGAAGAGGCATTAACGAGGCCGTGGGAGTATGGCGATTTCGTCATTCATTTCGCTGGTGCGGCCTGGCATCATGCTGAGCTGCATGATCCAGTAGGACACTTCATGAGGAAGTATATCAAGTATGCACTCCAATGAGCTTCGAGCTCTATCTCCTAGCAATGGCTCGTTGCCAAGCTCACTTCCGTCTCGACTCCTGCTTGTGTCACTTGGGGTCAAATTGAACATGCCAAGCGGCACGAGGCGGCATACGGAACAATGCGAACATGAGTTGCTTCAGTCCTGTACCTCTATCACCTCTGCAGCTAGGCATATTCCGGATCGGCTTTGGACACGTTCGCAGGTTCAGGCCGGGTTCGCCGAGGTTCTCTGTGCTGCTCTCAACTGTGACACAATGCATAGCTGTGTAAACAGCTTGTCTGCTTTCCTCAGGAGTCATGGCATGGAAATACTCTCCATAGTCGCCCCAATGGAACGGCGCTTGTCGGCCCAGGCATGCATGCATCTTGTTTCGTGAAGCCGAAGGACGAATCGCAGAGTGGCAGAGAGTGGGAGGTCTGTGGAAAGTCCAAGGTTGATGACGAGAGCTCCGCAGCACTTCTCCGCGATCCCTGCATTCGGCACTCTGTCACTGTCCCAACACGCAAGCCACGCATGCAGACTTTCCCATCAGGACCAGTTTTTTGAACATGATGCAAAACCCTTCTCCTCTTGCCAGCGCACCTCCTGCGTCCAGTGCCAGTCTGCTTGGCAGAGCTACCAACAGACCTCGCTGAGCACAGGTCCTCGCCTAGGGCGGCACTGCCTCCAAAACACCCAACGTCAGCTCTGGGCAGATGAGAGCAGACATTCTCACAATCCTTGGCAAGGACAATAGACATAACGACGTAATTCAGGTCTGATCATCTGCGCTTTGGCGCTGAACTTTGAGCCGACCTCGATACGAGAGGATCACAGGGATATGGCGAGCGCGACATCAACTTCGGTGCACGTCGCCAATGGCGATGTAACACAGGTCAATGGCTCTGTGCGGCAACCCACTGGCACAGCAGATGCACATAACGGAGGCATAGCCATAAAAACTACAGCTCTTGAAGGATCCACGTCGAGAGACCCGCGGTCGTCATCGAAGAAGTACAAGCACACATTCGCCGTACATGCCAAAACACGACCCTCCGTCTTCAGCGCCGATGCGCCTAGTTCGCCGTCCACACTCGGGTTCAGGAACCTGATGGCGCTGGTCATCATTACCTCAAACCTGCGATTGATGATAGACAATTACAGCAAGTATGGACTTCTCGTAGCGATCTCCGGCGGAGCAAGCGTTAAAGAGGGGGATTGGAAGTGGTTTATAATCCTCTACATTCTCACGCCCTGCCATCTTTTCGTGGCATATTGGATCGAGTGGGGAGCTGCACGATATGCAGAGAACGTAATAGCGAGGATGAAGAAAGAGGGAGGTGTCGGTGCTGAGCAGGTTATCAAGGAAGAGAGGGCGAAGAGTAAGAGCTTATATTCGACTTGGACAGCGATTGCCGTCAGCCATGGTCTGAACGCAACCTTCATGCTCGCGTTTGCAACATATGTCGTGTACTACTGGATACACAACCCAGGCCTGGGGACGATTACCGAGCTGCACGCTGTAGTGGTCTGGCTGAAAGTCTGCTCGTACGCTCTCACCAACAGGGACCTTAGACAGGCGTTTCTGCGATCCGATGCTGTGAGCGAGCTGCCAGAACTCTATCATAAGTGCCCTTATCCACGGAACATCAACTTTATGAACTTGTGCTACTTCTGGTGGGCACCGACCTTAGTATACCAGCCAGTATATCCCCGAACAGACAGGATTCGCAAGGACTTTGTCATCAAGCGCGCCGTCGAGTTCTGCGCTCTCTGCATCCTGATCTGGGTCACTTGTGCGCAATACGCCGTGCCTCTTCTCCACAACAGCGTGGACGAGATCGCAAATCTTCGAGGCCTGAAGATTCTGGAGCGCGTCATGAAGCTCAGCACGATCAGCCTCGTGTGTTGGTTGGCAGGCTTCTTCGCACTGTTTCAGTCATTTCTGAATTTGCTGGGAGAGCTGTTGAAATTCGGGGACCGAGAGTTCTACTCAGACTGGTGGAACTCCAGCAGTGTTCGTGGGTACTGGACGAGCTGGAACAAGCCGGTTACAAATTTCATGAAACGGCACATCTACTCGCCCCTGGTCGGCCGTGGCGTTCCACCACCCATGGCGCAAATTATTGTTTTCCTCTTCTCTGGGATACTTCACGAAGCCTTGGTGGGCGTACCCACGCACTGTGTCCTCTGGGTGGCCTTCTTCGGCATGATCGGCCAGATACCGCTCATCATCCTCACCGATGGTATCAACAAGATCGGTGGCAACGGGCCGAACGCTAAACTCATCGGCAACTGTATATTCTGGTTGACGTTCTGTATTTTCGGGCAGCCGCTTGCGGCTCTGGCCTACTTCTTCGCGTGGTGCGTATTTCCCATTCACGCTGATCGTGCTATTGCTGACGTGTCCCAGGCAAGAAAAATATGGGGCGGGAGTGCAGCTCAAGTACTCGTAGGACTTCAACCTGACTTGTCCTCTCTCTGCGTTCTGTTTGCTCACAGTTTGTGGCTGGTACACATGGTGGATAGAAGATGATATTTGGGACGTACTGAGCCGTGATCTTGATCGATACCAATGACAGAAATAAATGCCACTTCCTGGACGAGTAATGTTCTCTGAACGTCGTCCGACTGCGTTTAGTGAGGATAATCGTTGCTGAGCCCTGCAGTAGTCTAGTAGAGTGCTTTCATGTGCCGGCACGAGGGTCTATTCTCGCTAGCACCAGAATAGCTCGCGATTTCGTCATCCACAGCCGATGCGCTGTTTCTTTGCACGTTGCGCCACAGACAGGAGATGCGCCGTTGTTATTGCCTCCTCCACAGCGCGTCTCGGAGAATACACGCGCGTACATGACACTCGGCACTCCCTGCAAGTGAGGTTGCGCAAGCGAGAGGGCTTATCGTGTTGGTGATCGCTCATCAGCGCTCAGCGGAGAACCTGAAACGGCGCCGGGAGCACGGACTTGACTAGTCTACTCACACGACCGTCGCTCTTGGTGGGCGAGAAGTTTGAGCGAAGACTGCACCGAACACGTCTTATTCACTTACGGCCCGCATTGCGTCATAAAGCTCTATCGACAGCACCGACACCGACACGCGACACACGTTCTACGCGCGAGCAGGCCCGCAGCGACCAGAAGTGCGGGTGGCGGAGAACCACCACGACCCATCGCCACACCTCCGACCTCCTCCGAGTCGCAGAACCACAGGCTGACAACAAACTCTAAGCCCGACACGACACCCTCACGCGCACCTCAACTCGTCGGACGCGTGCCTCGCCCGTGCCAGGCGACCGGTCGCTGCGCTATCAGCCTGCGCCGCGCCAAGAACAGGACCGAGACTGAGCCCGGCGCATATCGAGGTAGTCATTCTCGACGGATGAGGCGGCGGACGTAGACAGCAGCAGCAGTGCGACCATGGCGGCGCTCGCTCCTGCTAACAACAACAATGCAGACAGGAAACGCGTCAAGGTGTACGAGCTGAAGAATAATGACTGGTATGACCGTGGGACTGGCTTTTGCGAAGGAAAGCTCGTCAGCCCGGCTGGCGCGCAAAACGAAGAACTCGATGCGCGCGTTGTCGTCACCAGCGAGGAGGAGCCGGAGCGCGTGCTACTGGAAACGCGAATAGCCAAGGATGATGGGTACCAGAAACAACAGGAAACACTGATTGTGTGGACGGAAAGCAATGGCGTGGACATGGCTCTCAGTTTTCAAGAGGCGGAAGGGTGCGCGCATATCTGGCAGTTTGTGAGCGAGATACAAGGAAGACTCGCACCCGAAGACGGCCTGTCCGACGACCTGCTGGGCCCCGAGCACGCAGTATCCTTGCCCGAACCGCAGATTGGAAAATTGGAAGAGGTCGTAGACGCGATACGGCAGCAAGCGAACACACCTGGAGGTCGAGATGCGCTGAGCAAGTACATCATGAGCCCAGAACAGATGTACATTCTCAAACTGGCACCGGTGCTGAAAGAGCTGGAGGAGAAACACGAGATCAACGAGCTACACCGCCTTTGCACGATCATGAAGCACATCATTCTGCTCAACGACACGTCCATTATCGAGTTCATCGTCACCGACCAGGCGATCATGGGCGTAGTGGGCGCTCTCGAGTACGATCCCGACTTTCCCTCACATCGCGCAAATCACCGGCAATTCCTCTCTGATAAGTCGAAGTTCAAGGAAGTGGTCAAGTTTGAAAACATGGACGTTACGAGGAAAATTCACTACACGTACAGGCTCCTCTATTTGAAGGATGTTGTACTGGCGCGAATACTCGACGACCCGACCTTTTCCGTGCTTAATAGTCTCATCTTCTTCCATCAGGTGGATATCATCGGCCACATCCAAGCAAACGCCCCATTCTTGAAAGAGCTGTTTGAGATCTTCACAGACAAGGAAGAGCCGGAGAGGAAGAAGCAGGCATGTCTCTTCATACAGACCTGCTGCGCAGTCTCAAAGTCGATACAAGCCCCTGCGCGAGCACAGTTGTACGGCAACTTCTTGCATCATGGGCTGTTCAACATGATCACATATGCTCTACGGCATCAGGACTCAGCAGTGCGGGTGGCAGGTACTGATATTCTAGTGTCATTGATTGATCACGACTCGCATGTCGTGCGAAATCATATTATCAAAGCCATTCAGGAGAAGACGACACCTCTTACCGACATCCTCATCGAGCTCCTCCTGGTGGAAACGGATCTTGGAGTCAAGAGTCAGATGGCCGATGCGATTAAGATTCTCCTCGATCCTACATCTGCCTCGGCTGGCATGGAAGCCATGAACCGTGCTGGTAACTCGGAAATGATGGCAAAACGTGGCGGACCCGGCGATCATCCTGGTCACCGCTTTTCACCTCAAGCAAATCAATTCATACAAAACTTCTACGAGGACGGCGCGAAACGGCTGTTCAAGCCACTCAAAGATCTGGAAGGTCGACCATCCATGCGAGATCTCACTGTACAAGAGACCAGCCTGTACACACATCTCGTGGAGATACTCAGCTTCTTCGTCAGACAACACGCCTATCAGTCGAAGCTCTTTATCCTCTCTGAGAACCTACATTCACGGATAGCCCAGCTTCTGGAATGCCCGCAAAAACACATGAAGCTGATTGCGCTCAAGTGGTTCCGGACGTGTATTGGCCTCCAGGACGAATTCCACAACCGGCAATTGACAAACAACAAGCTCTTTGAGCCGATCCTGAACATTGTCTACGAGACCATGCCCAGAGACAATCTGCTCAACAGCTGTTGCCTCGAGCTCTTTGAGTACATCAAGCGCGAAGGCATCAAACAGATCATTTACCACCTCGTGGAAACGTATCGGGAACGATTGATAGGTATCACCTATGTCAACACCTTCCAGGCGATAGTACACAAGTTCGAGCAATACCAGAATCCATATGTACCGGAGCGTGAAGGAGATACGAGCTTCACCACCGAACCAGATACGCCTGACGCATTGCGAGGACGTATGACGAACGGCAGACAGGTGTTCAGCGGCTTGAAAGAGGATGCAGATGAGGACGCTTACTTCAATGCGGACGACGAATTGGATGGCGAGTTCGGCGACGATGACGATGGAGACCTACTTTCTCATGCGACGATGGCTAAGCTTGATGCTGTCATGTCCAATGGCCACATTGACACCACCAGCGCTAACAATACCAACAATGCTAGCCCCATGAAGGCACTTGTCAACTATCCGGATGATGACGATGACGAGGAAATGGATCTTCAAGCAAGCTCACCCGATGTTCTCAAGGGGCAGAAGAGCAGTAGCAGCACGAATGCTTCCGAAGCAAACACGTCAACAGATTCCCCAGATGGTCAACGAGGACGTAGTCGAGAGCCACGAGCTGTTTCAGATTCACCACCGGAGTCGGTAGCTATGAAACGACGGAGGGCTGAAGTTGATGATGACGATGAGTTGGGCAAAATGATGGGTGGCGGGAAGAGGCGCAATAGTTCCGCGTCCCTCAATAGCGCAAAGGGGAGCTTAGCTGCTGTGCAGATTGACGAGAAGCGCGACGGAGCGCCCGTCGGGAGCTCTCTGAGCATTGCAACAGACAAGGACGTGGATCCTGAAGATCTGGCGCTGGCGAGTCCGAAGGATCAATCAGCGAACCCAGCCGAGCCTGGGCACACTCCTGGACCGAAGCTTAGGAGGAAAGGCTCATTGAGGGTTAGAAACGAAGGCGCGACGAACATTGGGCGATATGCAATCAAGCCGGTTGGCACCAGTAATGGTGGCTCGGAGGACGGCGGCGAGAAGAAGAGCAACGGCGGCTCCGGCGGCTAGAAGGATGCTGGAGTCATGGTTGATGATGATGATGAAGATTTGCCGTGCTGCTATGCCCGTCACGATTCTCCGCGTGCAAGTCCGCCGGCGCCGTCCTCTGATTAAAAGTATTGGCAGGTACGCGACGACCACTATTCAGACATCCACGCGGACGCCGAACCCCTGAAGCCGATTCCAGCTTTCGCCAGATCGCCCACGCTGCTCACGGCTGGAGAAGAACAGAGTTAACAGAAGCGGTAGCATACTTTTGCTTGGAGGAAAGAAAGTTCTGGTACTGCATTATGACAAACGAAACTTGGACCCCTTTTGGAGCGCATGAAGGAGCAGGACTTATCTTTCTTGGCTTTGTGGCTGGCATTGAGGACGGACGAGCTTCTCCTGGGTCCCCTTTGCCTGCTTTGCAGCGTTTGCACGAGTCGAGCTATTCAAGCATTTTAGTGTACAAGTGTATCATAGCACAGAGGAATGATGAAATGGCGCGCGAGCGTCTTGAACATGATGAGATCTTGCACGTGTGGGGTGTGTGAGAGCTGAGAAGAGTGAGCAGGGAGAACCGTCGATGTGGACGACCAAGTGAGAATCGAAGTGAAGCTCAAAGCGACTGGTTGCTGCCTCAGACATTTGCGCCGCCTCACTACGCGGCTAGCTTGGTCTGTTGCTTCTCGACAACGCACATTTCTGCTGACCACAACGCACTGACGCCAACGTCTACCAGTGGCGCTCACCACTGTGTCACGCGCCAACTCCAGCTCCCCGGCCACGCTTCAAGGTCTCGATTCGGACTGATAGCGACCAGCCGCGTCGCCGCCATGGATGACTTCTTGAGGTATTCATCTTTGGGCTTCATGCTGGAGCGGAGGCACTGACAGCATCGCAGATCATTGGAAGGCCCGACTGTGCTGGTAAAAGTCGGAACCGGCGACAGCATTCGCCACTTTACCGTTTCGCGTGCTCTGCTATGCCAGAATTCCGTGTGGTTCAAAACCGCACTCGAAGGCGATCGCTTCCAGGAAGGCCAGACTGGCGTTATCTCCCTGCCAGAAGACAGCCCGCGCGCTTTCAGCTCCTTCTACTTCTATCTCTTTCGACGAAAGATAATACTCACCGCAATGAAGCTCAACGAGGGCACTTTCGAAGCATTTGTCGATCAGCTGGAAACCTGCATTGAAACGTGGATATTTGCAAACAAGTATTCTATGTGTTTTTTGCAAGATGCTGCCATGCTCGCGTTCTGCTGGCATCTGCAGCTCGCGACTGGCAACGCAGTTGGTCTGCCTGCCTCCTGCCTTGCACTTTGTTTCTCACAGACCGCGGAAGGTTCCCCACTACGAAAGCTCGCAGCCGACTACATCGTCACTCGCATGCAAGGCGAACAGCCTGACGCTGGCGAACTTGTGGGGAAATTAGCGCCATTGCAAGGTTTCATTCAAGCTCTCAACGAGGCTCATCAGTTCCACCACGATGCAGGAAAAGGTTAGTCAACCCGTGTTGTGTCGTATGCGGTCTGACATGAGCATCCAGATACGAGAAGACGATACCAGAGGCCTCGCGAGTTCATTGAGTCGCTTGGTACGCAGCGAGATCGTGACGAAGGGGTCAATTTGGTGGGGTTTACTATCAGCTGGACGAGGTACACAATGACATGCCATCAATGCGGCTACAGCTTCTTCGAGGGTACAGCCAAGTGTCTAGAGTGTCGATCACCGGGGAAAAAGTGTCTCGGCGGATGCGAAACTGGTTCCCTGTGTTGGTGGTGTTCGGAAGATAAACCTACCTGGGATGGTTCAGAGGATGAGTGAACCATTCGACACAAGAGAATTTCCCTCCATTATTTTCGCAGCTCGGCGAGAGGCAGCCGTATGCCCGTCTAAACTCCAGGGGCAGCTTTTCTGCGAATAGCTGAGCTCAGATATGGAGTAGCGATGGAGTTTGGGAGGATTGAAGAGAGAAGGGCTCAGAACGCGCCCGTCTTGCCGCAGTTCGGTATGAATTGTGGCATTGGAAGTTAATGCAACGTTGAAACGTTACAAACCATCCTGGTACCTGAACTCAGGGACATACAGACCGAACGACTTTTCTGATGGAAATATTCAAGCAGTGCCACTAGAGTCCTTCACCCTCACTCGCTGCTTCAGCCGACTGCGACCTCCCTCCTGATCCCGAGCAGACTTCTGGTGGACAACTACGGAAACCCAGTACACAGTCTCCGCATCGGAATCCGCAGCAGTTCACATCAAACGTGCAACGTGTGACCTCGCAGTGATTATGACCTTGTCTGGGAAACATTTCCTATAAAATCCAAGTGAGCTTTTGGTTGCAGAAGATAAATACATTGGATGGAGTTAGGTACAACGCCGGATTAGGCGTGATGGCAGAGGCCGAGGTGAGCATGCCCAAAGAGATCAAGGTGATCGCGAGACTCTTGAGCAGCATGATTGACGGATACAGGGTCGATATTCGAATTGGGAGAGCATAAGCTGTTGGTATTCGAGAAGATGGTAGCTTTGCTGCTGGAATCGGGAACAGTACCTATGCTGTACGCTGCGCCGACTGAAGTGGCTGTGGCATATCCATCGCACGCCATGAAGCCCTTCACCCTCGCGGCTTTCATGCTGGCATTTGCCATGTCGGCTTTTGCCCAGGGCCCTGTTACATTGCCGACAGCCCGAATACGTGAGTCTCGTGTATCTACTGCGAACGGAATGAGACGAGGCTGATTCGACCTGTTATCATAGGGGTATTGGGAATCACTGTCGATGCGAAGATGGCTCATGCTGGCAGCTGGATCCAAAAACAGAGGTAGTCTGCCAACCAACTTCGGATAGGCAACTTATTCCGTGCCCAGCAGCTGAGCGCGTTCACGGGGCATGGTAAAAGATTGCTTTTACGAGCTCAGACTGGTGATATACCAAAGGCTTCTGGTGTCTCATAGGCAGAGAAACGTGTAGGAATTGGAGGACCACTTCAAGGCTACCAGGTGCGGTCCAAAGTCGGAAGGTCACGACGTTCTTCTGTCGTAGGTGAACAAAATGTCTTAGCTCTTTCTCTCTTGATAGCGATCTCGTGTGGTATGACGAATGAGGTGATGTTGTTGGTGGAAGAACGGGGGAGGTGCGGACGTGGAGGAGAAGCTTTCTAGGCATGCAGACTGCCGAGGCTTGGCAGTCGATGAAGCCTCAAAATGTTCATGCACAACTACGTCCTGCCTTTCGCCGACGGCCACGTGAAATTTGTGGTTCTAAGCCTGCCGTGTAGATGTTGTATCTCTCCTCCACTGACTCTCCCCTTTAGCCTCGAAGCACCGCCACCAATGTGCTCGGATCAGTCCCATCATGGAGCAATCAGAAGCAGGCCGGCATCCTTCGCTGAACATTTGTGGTCTACGAATTCCCGGCCCAGTGCTACCCATTATCCTTGCTATCTGGTTCCTGAGCACTAGGCTGCGACGTGAAAGGCATGGTCTACGATCTCCGATTACTGGCGACCATCTACGAATCCTCCTAGTAGTCACCCACTCACTGACCTACTTCTGGAGCATTTGGAATACCATACATCAAGACCAGCACTCGGAAACCCCAGTCAGCAACAATGCCTTGATCCTGATCGAATTCATCACTCTGACCTGGGGCGAAGCGTTTTTGCCAGAGTCGGATATCTGGCCTTACACACTGACATCAATCGGCTGGATAATGCTCGCTCTTCATCCACTGTCCAAGGCCACATCGCCTTCTTCGCGGGACATTTGGCTACCGCTGGTGTTGTCCCTCCCGTCAGCCTTGCAAATGGGTGGAAGAGTCAGCTCAGGAGCAATGCTTAGCGGGATCTCGCTGCTCAGCACCGTGATCTTCGGCCTGGTCGATGGGCTAGGTGCCTTTGGGTCGTACGGGAGTGTACTTGCTATACTCGCCCCACCGTGTCTTGCAGTATTGGTCCGACTGGCGTGCAAGAACGACTGCCTGCAGGGACTATGGCGTGCCATCTTCAAGCACTATCCTACAGAAAATCATATGCGGTGCGCCCAAGTCGTCGTTTCCGTGATCAACTTGGAAGCTGCCGGATGGATCGTGAGTAGTTTTCTGTGGTCCTGTCTACGCTGGCGATGGCTATTCTGGGGCGAGATCTCGAGAAACCCAGCTTTAACAATGTTCTCGCTAGCTGGAGGTGCTCTATTCTTCGCAATACATGCTCTGGGCAATTTGTTTCGGAATAGAGCGCCAATCGCAGACCCTGCCATGTTCGTCCAGAACTCATTGAGCGATTGCTTCCATGCAATTCAATGGACGAATTGCATATATCTCGGACTGTGGCTACTCTGCGAAGTGGCGAGGATGTATCAATAGATCTCCAATGGCCCAACAAGTAATACTGGCTAATGAAACCCTTTCAAATTCGGTCAGCCTGTGAGTTTATCGGTATCTATCGTGAGTATCTATCATGATCTTTTTAACAACCTCGCTGCCAGTCCCTTCTTCATCTGTCCCTCAGAATTCTCCTCATCAACACCATGCCTCTCCACCACATTCAAGAAAACCTGATCCAGCGTCGCATGACTAACGCTGTAATCCCGAATTCCCATCTCTTCTCGACTGCTTTCCACAGCCCGGAACAAAGCTCCCATACTCCTCCCATCCAACAACCCATCTTCTTGTGAGCCCTCTTTCCTCTCCACTGGAACCGAGAACCTCACCTGCCCGCCGACCGACCTCTCCGTCTCAGCAACAACAAACGTTCTTCTCACCCATGCCCACAGATCCTCTACATCTTTCAGACTCGATCTCGGAGCATCCTTGTGCACAACTTGCATATAGACTCTGTCACCAAAACGTTGATGTAAATCCGGAATCGTTCCAAGAGCCAACATTCTCCCCGCCATGATACCAGCACGATCGCAAAGCGCGTCAGCTTCTTCCATACTATGCGTCGTGATCAGTAAACATCTTCCAGCAGATATAGCAGCCAGTGTTGCCCAAAGAGCTCTCTTTGCCGCTGCGTCCATACCCGAAGAAGGCTCATCAAGGAGAAGGACAGAAGGATTTGCGACAAGAGCGATACCGAGTGAGAGTTTCCGCTTCGTGCCACCAGATAGCTTCTTGACCAGTTTATTCGTATGATCTGTCAATCCAAGACGAGTGATGATCTCATGAATGTTCTCATCCTTTTCCTTCCCAGTAACGCCTCTCGCGCGGGCGTAGAATTCGAGGTTCTCCTTCAGAGTCATGGAATCCACAGCATCGAATTGTGGACAGACGCCGAGGTGCTGTTTGGCGGCAACAGGAGTCTGCTTGAGATTGTCGCCAGAAATGTAGATTTCTGATCGACCGGAGAGAGAGTCGGGTGCAATGTCGCCGCGGATTAGAGAGATCATTGTGGACTTTCCTGCTCCGTTCGGACCAAGTAATGCGAACTTTTCCGAAGGCAAGATGCCGAAACTGACATCGTCGACGGCTTGGTTGCTTTTGAAGGTCTTAGAGATGTGTTGCACGCGGAGACCTTCGTTTGCTGATGTCAAGCGGTTCATGTCCTCTGCTACATCGGAATCCGATCCGACTTCTTTTTCAGTGTCCTTGTTGCTGTGAGTTTTACGGTTGGATCCAAGGCGGATACCAAAAGCTTCAAGGCTGCGACCAGATTCCCAGAAGATGAGGAACGCAACAAGCAGGAACGATTGCAGAACCAGATATAGTATCGGCCCTCCATACAGTGTGATACTGCCAGGATTCGTCGAGCGGAATGATCCAGCACAGGAAATGGCGTAGACGTTCATACAAACCATAAGTCCACGCATCAGACTGACAGCTGGACATATGAGACCAATCGTCCAGAACAAAATCTCCATCTGGCTGTAAATGACACTCAAGTCAGCCATGTCGACTGTCAGGAAGCAGCCGACGAAGAACAGCATGGCGATTACGGCTTGCAAGATGCAGGTCATTGCAATTGCGGCAAGCTGAGAAGTAGCGAATAGCGAGATGACATAAGCGTATGCCGTGGCTGCCGTTCCGTAGAAGAGGAAAACAACGAACATGTAGCCCAGAGCGTAAAAGTTGTAGCCGTTGGTCAACCATATGACCGTCACCAGAACGGCAATGAGCAGGAGAAAACAGAAGTCGAAGAGCGCGTATGCCGTCCAGAGTGGACCACTGAGAATGCCATTGGAGTACTGCATCGATCGGACCTTTTGTAATCGTTCACGAGTCGGGTACAGAGCGAAAAGACCGGGAAAGAGCACGAAACCCAGAGTGGTAAATACAGCGACAAGACTCTCGTAAAAGTCTCTTGGCGCATAACCTTTTACGAAGCTGGAGTGTGAAATCGCGATAGTGGTGTTCGTCAAGGCCATATCGAGCACACCTAGCATCTGCCAAGCGGGCCAGGATCCACTGGAGGAGTCAGCGAGCCATGCATACACCGGTGGCCCGTTTGGATCAATGAAGAAGCCTCCTCTGTCATTCGCTTGTGTTTGCACTCCATTGTTGATCTGCTGGTTGAAATTTGCCAGCGTGTCCACCGACACGGTTGAGTCCCAGTAATTTGAAGTGTCGGTACCATCATTGCAGTAATAAGATCCTGGATAACAAAATTGCTTCGTGGGAACAAGCGCAGCGAGTGTATCGTTCGTGATCGCGTCGGGAGGACCAAAGATCAGATTGTAGGAGATGTAGCCAGGGGTCAAGGCCGTCGGTGTGAATTGGTACGAAAACTGCTCGTCTGGATCTCTGCACTGTAAGCCTGATGAAGACACATTTACGAGAAAACGTGTAACGACACCAGCCACCACGAGCGGGACGAAGAGAGCCGCCACGTAAGGCATGAAATTGTGTTTCAGGATGGTCAGGCGTTTTCGAAACAGTGCTCTGGTCTGCTTAACAGGTCCGCAAGGCTTGCCGGTGTGCAACGACATAGAGCCATGTACCGCGGTGGCCTCGCTTGCCACGCTGTCTTTCTTCAAGTTGATGTAAGTGTTCTGTTGTTCCTCGTGCTTCATCTCATCAGCCAGCTGCAAGAATATCTTCTCGATGCTGGGGCCTTCGATCGCGTAGTTGGTGTCGTCATTCCGGTCAAGGTTTCCAAGAAGAAGAGTAAGTGATGCACTGTCCTTGGCCGTGAAGATAGTGTTGCCACCCTCTTGGCTCTCTGCAACACCTGTTGGCATGTTCTGAATAGGCTTTGCAGCACCTGGTAGCACCACACGGTAGCCTCCACCGAGAGAGTTCTTGAGTGTCGCCACAGTGCCTTCAGCTCTCATCTTGCCCTTCGACAACAGCGCGATGTGATCTGCCAATACTTCACTCTCGTCCAAGAAGTGCGTGGTGAGGAGTAAGGTACGATGTCCTCGCTCGCGCAGAAGAATCTCCCAAATCTTACGACGCGCCAGCGGATCAATACCAGAACTAGCTTCGTCGATGCAACACACTTGGCTGCCACCAGCCAGCATCATTGCCAGCTGCAGCTTTCTCTGCTGACCACCAGACAAGGTCTTGGATTTGGCATTTGTTTTCTTCTTGAGGTCACAGCCTTCTATCAAGCGTTCCACCTCTGTCTTATTCTCGGCCCTCGCCATGGAAGGGTTTTTCAGTTTCTGGAAGAACGCAACGTGCTCTTTCACAGTCATATCGGGCCACATGACATTCTTCTGAGGACACAGCCCAATTCCACCGCTGCCATCAATGTCGATCTCGCCATCTGTAATGCTTTCGAGACCGGCTATGCAGTTCATCGTCGTGGACTTCCCGCATCCATTTGCACCAAGAAGGACTGTGATTGACCCAGCATACAAGTCCAAGGACAGCTGATCCACCGCGAGGGTACGGTCACTCTTCTTTACGGCTTTGTTGTACCGCTTCGTGAAGTTCTTGATTCGGAGTGCGTTTCCTTGCATGTCGTCCTTTGACTTCAAGTATCGTCCACGGGAAGAGCTACCCCAGAGAAAGCGCTCAATGGCAATGGCGAATATAGGGTAAAGTGCAATCTGGAAGGCCAAGAATCCCAAGAAATGAGCAGGGGTGAGTGTCCACACATTGATCTCAAGTAAGTTAGTAAGCAATTCTGGATAGGTAGTGTTCGGCTTCAGAGGCTGGCTGAAGATCTCAGAAACAGCACCGGAGACCAAGAAGTAGACGAAGCTGCTTGGGGGGAACAGTAGCCCAGTAGCAGTCGCAGCAGCGTTGGATGTCGATTTCTGACCAGACTGCGTGAATTGAGCGACAATGGCGAAGACAATGGCCGCGACTATTGCGCTAATCGCAGAGAGTTGCTGTCTTCGGAACAGCGAACTGGCCAGAATGGAGAAGCTTGTCATTGCGAGCCCTGCCATGATGTACAGTAGCACGAACCAGCCAGTGCTCGAACGGGGGAATATGATAGCTCCCACGACCGCTCCACAGATGATCCAACCTGGCATGTAGACAATATCGAATGCGAGATGTGTAGCAAGCATTCGCGCGACCAGGCTCTCGTAGCGTGATTTGTTTGGCATCTGCGCGTCAATCAATTGCAGCATGCCTTCCTCCCGTTGTCGGACTACGTGTCCTGTCAGATGATAGGCGATTCCGGCCATACCGATAAAGAGAGCGAATGCAATGGCCTGAGTGACCAGCAGTCCAAAGAACTTGCTGTCCTCGAAATCTTTCTGCGCCTGCGTCGTGGAGGTGAATGGGTATTGCAGGATAGTGTCTGGCAATCGTGATCCGTTGTTTCTCTCCGATATCAAAGAGTCGATTTGCCTTTGCAATGGGAGAGTATACAGTTGAACAGCATTGTCGTCTCTGTCGACACGAGCACCACTAATGACACTGTCTTGCCACTAACGGTCGTTAGCATAGATCACAAATCAACGTAAAGACTTCTATTGCGGCAGATGATCAAGCACCGAGTTGCTTCCTCTGCGGCCAATATCGGGAACATAAGTCTGCTTACAATTGTGTAATTGAAGAGCTGGCCGGGGCCTTCTGCAGGTGAGCTCCAAAAGTCCACGGCGGCGAAGCAGTCGGTCACTCCCTTGCTGGAGCTAGGACAAACTCCAGGTATCTGATAGTCGTCCTTGAGAATAGTTACTGTTCGCCCGCCATTATTTGCCATGTCGCGCAGTTGGTCAATGATATAGCGAATGTCTTCTCCTTGAAGACCTCGATCCACGATGACGAACTTCTTCCTGGCATCTCCGACGGCGTCGAAAGCTTCTGGTAATGATCGGATCGGCGAGGGAGCGCCGATGCCATATCCTCCGTCGTTGTGTATCCAGTTCTTGATTGACGCGAGGATAACTGTGAGAACGACAGGAAACGCGAGGGCTCGAATAAAGGTGCTGAGCCATCTTCGCCGTACAATCAGCAGCAGGTCCTTCTCAGTCAAAGTCCAAGTCTGCCCGAGAAATTGCGATATCCGCATCTTGTCGTGTGTGGTTGTTCCCAAAGGAACTCTGAAGGAATGTCAATTGTGCAAGGGCAGAAGAACAGCTCCATATGGAGCGCTCCGCCGGGCTGTGCTAGATGTCGGAGTAGTGAGTGGCATTGCGGATGCCTGAAAGTATTTACGCTTGTAGCACAACACGAGCCGCCGCGAAACCATACCAATCCTTCCAAAACTGGCCGCGGGCATTATTGGCCGAACGACTGCTATCGACCTGGGGTACCGCATGGGCCCTTTAGCGTGCGAAGAAGCTGCCAAGAACATTACGTCCTCACATGCTTGCCCAGTGGGCAGGCTTGATTTGTTTTAGGGAGAGGCTTGTTGCTGCTCGCAACTCGTGTCGCGTAAAACGGCGGGGAGGACGACCGCATGCCAAGGCACGGCGGCAAGAATCAGCCAGTGAAAGCTACAGTAGAATGCAGCGCCTCATCTGCGGGCATCGAAGGATGCATTTAGTCGCAGTCCATGATGTCAAACCCGATGGTATGAGCCATAGAAAATGACTTGTTCTCCTCTCCTTTGTTTCAACGATCTGCAATGCCCGAGGCGCAGCACTGTTCCCGCGTCCTTCCCGAAAGAGTCAAAGCGAGATCGCTTGTCATGTCCAGTGACGAACGAGCCGGTGGCAGATGCACAGGCTCTCCGGTGGTATAATTGCCTGTCGAACTTTACAGATGCTCGTTCTTGTGTCTTGAGGTATTTGAGGCACTTCTGAACGCGTCAGGAAGTTAGGAGATGGGGGAAGAGGAGGACTGTAAGAGCAACAAGGTTCAGCACTACGTGCAGTATGCCCGTGCCAAGTCTGAGATCTGCCAGGACGAAGTATCAGGTGAGGTCTGCCAGAGTCGAGTAGTCCATGGCGACGGCACGCTGTTCGTAAGAGAAAGCGATACAAGCTGTGAACTTGAGCATGCTTGCGAGTTTACTACAGCGGCAAAACCAAAGGCCCAGTTGCTTGAATTAGATTAGAAAAGCACCTAGCAGGGGCAGGAGCGAGGTCCTGTTCACGATCTTGGCATGCCCGACAAGCTCCGACCGCTTGCGCTTCTGTCGTTGCATGATGCCTGTCCTCCGTTCACATAGCCATTGAACACCACCACCGCCATCATGTCTCTCCAAGTCCAAGCACGCTCTCTCTACCGCCGCTTCCTACGCGAACTCCCAGCCCGTTCACCCTCATTGCTCGCCAATCCATCACCCATGCAGAAGCACATCCGCGCAGACTTCGCAAGCCAACCGGGAGACTCGGCCTCATTGCAACATCAAACATCACAAAAATCACCCGAAAGACGGCTTGAAGAAGCCGAACAATACGTGCAATACCTTGCCGCGCAAAGAATGTATACAACTCTGGTGGAAAGATACAATCCTGGTATGAACATGACCGAAGAGGAGCGCGTTCGCCTCACAGCGAGGAGAGTCGGAATGGATATGCCTGATGATATGTGGAGAGGACGTGGCTAGAGCACAACAGCTATGGATCTGTCTCAAATGCCAGCGGTTATTGAAAACGCAAAACAAGCCAGACAATTTCAGCGATGGCTCCATAACCCATCAACTACGCTGCCATCCCCACATCACAGCCTGAAGACTAGCGGCAGACCTCTCGCATTCTCTAACACGCCAGTGCCTCTCTACACAATGAGGAAAACGACGAACTGAAACTGGACCAGAAGACTGCGATACACTGCAGAGCTGCAGTCGGAATAACCTTGCCTGGCCTCGTATCCATTTTAGCTTCGGTCAAGAATAGATCGAGCCATGTACGCGCGGTCAGTTCTGCTTTTCAAAAGAGACTCCCAAGCGAGACAATGGCGCATCTAGCCCGCGTAAAGGTAGTGAAACGACTCGTCCTGGCCAGTTTCACGCGCATACCCTCATCGCTAACGCCAAGGAAAGCGGTCGCGGAGTCATGGTGAGAGGTCGGAAAGGGGTTAGTCACTGCTAGAATGCACGTCGCCCATCTACACGGAGGTTCCAGACCGCTCAAATGCACATCGAACGCCATCGTCCGTGTCGCGTTAGTCGATGTTGGCGCGATATCGTAGCACGTGGGGTCGCGGTCGCGGAGGAAATCGAAAGCTTATCAGGAAGTCACATACGGTAGCATGAAATAATTGTTTTCGAATCACTTCATAATACAATAAATTTCCTCTTGCCTGCCTCTGGCTATCGGTCAAGATTGTCATCGTTTCTCTTCCATCCATTCCATACCCTCACATACAATGAAGCGCTCGTATGCCATCACAGTGTCGCTCACTCAAACAAGCATAGCTGAAGTAGCTTTTCCCCCTCAAGCCGCATGCTGCAACAACCCAACGCCACCCTCTCCCGTCCACGAATTTCCGGCATCATGCTTTTTGTCCCCTTTTGCACAAGATACGTGACTGCCATTGCAGACTTCGTCATAAGCCGGTTGTATTGCTCCGAAATGTCTGGCCTCCGCTCCAACAGTAGGGCATCTCCTATGCAAGCAGTGCGGAAGGTCTCAAGCACCTTGATGCGCCGGAGGATGTTGAGAGCCTGAGAGCCAACAACAACTCTATCTGCGAGCAATTTTGCATCGGGCATCGCGCTGAGGCAGCTCTATTCTGGCTTTTGATCGTCACTGGCAGAGCTCGTAGGCCCATAGATGTAGGAATGTTCTTCGCCCAACGTGATTCAGCCACCTTTCCTTTCAGACTCGTTGGCCGGCAATGGTTGCCCACCAGACCCATTCGCAATTTTCGCACTAGCCGAAGATTTATTCTTCTTGTGCTTGTGCTTGCCTCCCGGAGCAGTCTGCCACTCGTTGGCCTTCGAGGACGGGACACCGAGCGAGGCGTTCTGGGAGGTAGAGCTCTTGCCCTGGGTAGCTGTGGCGGGGCTCGATGGGTTGGGTGCACTACCCCTTCTCTCATGCCCAAGCTTGGTCTCGCCCTTGAGGCCTTGGCTCTCATGCAATGCCTGTTTAGCATCGGCGACTTTGGCGGCTTTCAACAGCCCGTTAGGCTTGGATGATTCTTGTTCGAACGTTCTGGCATGAGTTGGTGATGGGGTACGAAGCTCGGCCACTGGCGATAGCATTGGAGCTCCCAAAGGTTGCAGCGCATTCAACTCTGAATGATGCCCATTAACCCCATTGACGTGCGTGCCATTGGGCACAGGAGCTGTGCTTCGTTCTGGCGCCGGCTTTTGCTTCGGAGGGATATTCTCGAAGTCGCTAGCACGCCGCTCCGGGGCGGGCTGATCAAAGCTCGTTCGGATCGGTTGCGGGCGATACCGAGATAAATCTTCGTGCTGAGTGCTGAACAAGACCTCGTTCTGAAGCTGAATGCCGGGCCCAGCCACTCCGTTCACATGAGTCTTCTCGACAGGTCTTGGTACTGAGGGTCGCGATGACCCATTGACGATGACCGGCACAGTTGTGCTACCATTTACCACGAGTGGGCCTGAATTGAGAGGTTGACTAAGCGGCACTGTCGACGGTGTCTGAGGCTGTGTAGTGCCTTTGGGGCTTTCTCCCATCTGCACCGGCTCGGCGGTCATTTCACCATTGAGTGACAGTTCTCGCAGGTGCCCCAGCGGCGAAGGTGATCGTGAGTTGTGTCTGCCGTTGACCACAGGCGGCGCCAAGTCAGGCGTTACCCTTCTTTGACGCGTGGGAGGGTCTCGAAGCGTCATCATGGGTGGCTGCATCTGGCTTGCATTTGAGAAATGTTGCGGTCCAAGCTGCGGTGAGCTAAAGTATCCGACATATTCCTTTGGCATCGCACTATCGAAAGCATGGCCAGCAGGATGGATGCCGGGGAATTGTGCGCTCAGGGATAATTGCAGACCAGGGTGGCCAGCATGAACCTGCGAAATGGAACGTTGCCCGCCAAGCGCTCCAGAAACATCGTAGCCAGGATGTACTTGTTGCTGCAGGGTCAGCGGATGCGGCAAAGAACGTCCCGGCTGAGACTGTGACCTAATCGAGCCGGCCGAGGCGTCTGGCACACTGGCACGATGGCCATTCCGTCGCAGTGCTGGCACTGCGGCTACGAGTGATGGTGATGACGGATTTGTGTTCGTTCCGTCCCTCTGTCGAGCCTGTGACAATGGTGAAGGAGGTGGGTATCGCGGAGCCGCTGGATAGTGATAGAGGTATCCAGGCAATAGCGGTGCAGACTGGGGTGGCTGATCCGCAAAGCGTGGACTCGTAAGTCCATTGGCATACTGTCGCGGTCGAGGTGAACCGGTTCCAGCTAAGTCCCCAACTCGCGCGGAAGCAGCAACCTGTTGTTGTTGCCTTTCCAATTGATGTCTGAGTGCGTCTTGTTGAGCCTGCAGGAACTGGTATTGCTGGAACAGCTGTTCGTGTAAAGTTCCTTTGACTTGAAAATAGTCTGCAGGATTGCCACCGAGGGGCGGACTGAAGGGCAGTCCCGTGCGATGGTGACTGTAAGCTGCGCCACTAGACGCCCTTCGATTGCCAGATCTTTGCCCAGACGTATTCCGGTTGTTCTTTCGTGATCGCGTTGAACCGGCTTCCTGGTTGGATCGATTCGTCTGCGATGCGCTCCTCGTCAAGGTAGGCTTGGGTTTCGGAGGTGGTCTTTGGAATATCGGTCGCTCCGGCTCCGGTGGAAACACGAATTCCTCGCACATCTTTTGCAGTTGCAGCCCATCTTCGAGAAGATCAAAAGCCCGCCTGATCTCCTGGTGGATACCATACCAAGCATAGTCGTCTGCCGAATTGCCCAGATTCCGATCCTGAGTGAAAGGCTCTTCAACGCAAAGCCGCACCCTCGATTCCTTATCCTGGTAGTTGATCTTCGGATCCCATCCTTTCTCCTTTCTGGAAATCGCTCGTCCCTCTCGTACACAAACAACATTTTTGGAATATTCAAACTCGTACCCGTAATGTCGGAAAAATTGGAACAGCAGCTCTCCAAGACTTTCTGTGTTTTCTGCGCCCAAGCCTCTCCGTGTCCGCAACAGCGAGTCGACGTCGTCCGCAAACGGGGAGATCTCTCCAGAAGGAAGCTTCGTCCGGCAGTCAGAAATCTTTTGAAGCGAAGGTAGAATCGGTGGATCCCGTGTTTGCAAAAAGTTTATGATCATGCAAATCCACGTATAAGAGCTGATGGTGCCGCCGTATGCTGGAGAAATCTCAGTACTGTATCGAAGGGGAAACGTATGGCATTGACTTACCCGCGTCGTTCAAGATCCGACACTTAGTCCAGTGCTTGATGATCTTAGCCAACGGACGCACCCTCTTATCCAGTTGCACATAGGTCTTGATCATCCGCGTATTCTGCAGAGCGAGCGAATTGTTGACATTTAGATCGACCGACAACCTTAGCTCTGGATCCCAGCACTTAACAATGGGCACTTTGGCATTCGGTCGACAGACGACTTTCGTCATGCCATCTGTGAGGGGTTAGCTCTTGATCTGCGTCGTACGGTCTGGTGCGTATTGTAGCGCCCGTAAGACATACTGTTGTGCAGCACCTCGGCCAGCGAGTGCATCGACTCGAGCTGTTTGAGATCTGTTGTGATGCAAATGTCCACATCCGAGTCCTTCGTGCTCAGGAGATTCCCTGATGACCCAAAGACATTCACGCTTATTTCATGCCCTGGCCACTTTTCTCCCAATATTCGTTCCAACTTTGTTGTCAGTTTCTTCCTCCGTTGTTCACTGTCCATATCAGGCAGTAGCCGGTCATAGAGGTAGCGGACGTCAGCACTCAGCTTTGTCTGCTCTTCGGGCTGTAATGTCTTTTTGGGTTCCTTCTTGGGCGGACCCAATTCCTCGTTGCCGCCATCGACATAAGGTATGCGTCGCTTCCGGAACTCGCTGCCAGATTCAAAGGCGCACACGCCCGTGTTGGCTCTACTCGACTTCTGGTTGTCCACGGCTTCTGAAGCCACGGAGCGTGGCGACTGGTTGGCAAGGTTGCGGTGCGGTGACGGCGATCTGGAGTGAAAACGGCCTAAGTCGCGCGGCTTCTGGTGCGGTGTCGAAGGGACGGAGCTGCTGTGATGCGATTGCAAACCGGGTCGTGACATTGTCGCCGAGGGCTGTTGCTCAAACCTCGAGGAGGGATGTGCAAGACCCGCCATGGCTCTACAGACTTCCTGTGTCACCGGCGCGGTCCCACAGATATTATGCTGGGGAGTGCCGCTCCCATGGGCCACGACGGGGGATGGCAGCAGCGTGCCAGCGAGCGGAGGAAGTTGCAGCGGCGGTCGGCTGTTTGGGAGACAGCGTCCCAGACACGAGGGTTTCGGGCGGGTGCAGCAGGGCAGGAATGGGTCGCTGGCCGGGTCGTGGTCTGGTGCGTGCGACGCCACTCAAGGACGGGCAGCGCTGAAAGGAGTGGTGGGCGGTGGTGGTGTCGTGGAGGCCGTCGCGTGCGGAAAGTAAAGTAATTGGTGGTGAATACAAGCACTCTCGTGTCCGGACCCCTGTTCGAGACGAGCCAGAGAGATTGACCGAGCCTTCCGTTTCAGTAGAGCAGCGCACTGGCAGGTTCTGCGAGCGACGAGAGGCAACACGCCGCGGAAAGCAGCAGAGAATGCGGTCGACTCGGCGGGCGGTGGTTGTGCGGGCGGTGGTGCAACACGTGGGCGACTGTGATGGCGGAGGGCGCTGCTTTGGGGGAGCGGTGATCCCTCTGGGCTGCAGGAAAGCAGTGACAGCAGCAGCAATCGATGCTGATCAGGCCGACCTGGTCCTGTCCTGTCTCTGACCCGCGTGGAATCCTTTCACGCGTGCGCCTGCACCCACTCTCGTCGGCGGTCTTTGACAAAGACAATAACAATATACTGCGCGGGTCCGATCACACGGCGTCCGCGGCACATGGGCAACACAACAACAATCACCACCACTCGCACGGGTAAGACTTGTCTCCCACTGAACAGTACCGCATCGACCCTCGCTGCCGCTACTGCTGCTGCCCGCGCGGCGCACCGCGAACGAGGCTCATCATGGGTACATTATTGTCGCCGCGGCGATGCTCTGATGACGGGCACATCCTCATCTCGAAACATGGCTCCCCCCATTAAACTCTCCTCCTGCCTGCGTGGCCCACGCAGTCATCAATCCCAATTCTCCTGGCCCGACATCAAACACGCCACTTGCACGCTGCACCGCGCTTTTCGCGTTCCAGAATCGCGCCTCACTGCATGCATGCTATCCTCGTGGCTTATGCGTGAGCCGAGTGCCCTGTCAGCCGTCGTGCTCCAGGAGTGCAGAACAGCGACGGCCTGATGGAGCAGAACAGGCATTATGCTCAGCGCTGCTGACCGACCCAGGACAAAAATATCCCCCTTCGGACCTCTACCCATACTTTGACGAATTCGGCGACACGCGCTGCGCTCATGTATTACCCGAGCGCTCACGACCTGATTAATCATTTCTCAATTCATTCACATGCACAGGACTGTACAGTTTCAGACACGTCGACTCTCATTCAAATCATTCACAGCATGTCTCGTATCCGGCCTCCAACCCTCAAAACTTACACAGTGCCTGCAAGCTCTCCTTAGTCTTTGCATTATATTCCTTCACCAGCCCAGCAATCGCCTTGAATTCCTAAAATAATCAGTCAGCACAACACGATCCCATCCACACCTATCCGCGCATCAGGCCCAGAACAAGAAGCAACTCACCTCAATCTTCGCATCCCCCATCAACTCATACAAAAAGCTCTCCGAACTCGTCACCACCGCCCCCTCACTCCTCAACCTCTGCAACGCAATCGGAATCTCCTGCGGATTACAACTACTCACCCCATCCGCAATCACATACACCTTATGCCCCTCCCTCAACAAATCCAGCGTCGTCTGCGTAACACAAATATGGCTTTCAATCCCCACAATCACACATTCCCGTTTCTCGCTCCCCAACTCTTGAAATGCCTTCTGCACCTCCGGCGTCCACATTGAAAATTTCGATTTATCCGCATGCACGATCGTTTGCACTCCCTCCGGAGCATCGAGTTTCAATTCGGGACATGTCTCGCCGAGTTTGGAGCGGAGTTGAGTTGTTGCGACGACGGGGATGGAGAGGATTTGGGAGGCTTTGAGCAGTTTTTGCGTCGTGGCGATTACGGCGGGGTAGTTGTAGATTGCTTTGGCGAATTTCTCTTGGAGGTCGCAGATGCTGATTTCACGTTTGGCGGTTAGTGGTGTAGTGGCTTGTGGATCTCTCGTGTGGGATGTGAGAAAGGATGCGACAAAGAGGTCGGGCGCGTGGAGTGAAGATGGGATTGGTGGGAATCTCACAATAGTGTCGGTCGTGCTGTTTTGAAAGGGCATCATCAGCTCAAGACACTTTTTTCTTCCTTAACGTTGAAGGAAGGCATTGGATGGGGAAGTATACCTAATCGTCGCGCTGGACCCGCCATTTTGATAATTCAATGTGAAGCGTTTTCAATTCTCAGTTCGTCTTTGTTTCTCTTATCCAGCACTAAATCAATTGTGCAACAGTGTCGAGCGGTATGATGTGAACAGCAAATAGAAATTTGGAGAGTATCCCATCACAATCACACATCCCACCAACGACATGCCATGATGCACTCCGCATTCGTCCGCATTACCCGCCGGGGCGCCAAAACTGTACTGTGATGTCAGTCCGATCGGCCGGATCCTTCGAAAAGCCAAAGGGTCCTGGTCGCCAAGGATTACACAATCGGATGGGCTGAAGAAGAAGGGGGTGGGGTTTCACACGTGGATGGTATAGAGTGTGGACTACGGAGAATATATTGTGCTAATGCTGTGTTGGCTTTGAGACAGATTCAAAAGGTTAACGTTCCTGGTTCCTTCATCGAGTCGGTGGGCATGTTGTAGTGAAAACAGGTCGTGGATATCAGGGGCCAGATCTTAGCTCACCACTTGAGATGGTCTTGACCACGACTGCGTCTTAGACATAGTGAGGTGGTGAGCTGGAAACTGTTGTGTTCAGTACAAAGCAGACATAACTGACAAGTGCTTGATGCTTCTGTTTATGACCGAAAGGCGACGGCACCAAACAAGTGGCTTAGCCGACATTGAGAGACCTGCTGCTCCCACTACCCGCCTTATATATCAGAGCATTGTCAGTGTCATATATATCCCAGCCACGGTTGTCACAAATCTTCTTCGCTTGCCGGTACAGGCCTGGAAGTTCATCCTCGTACATATCCCGCACTTCTGGATGCAGGAACCATTTCTGAATGTTGGCACCCTGCTTGGAAAACAAATTTGCATCCTGGATTTCGTCTTCTTCCTCGGCCCCGGCGGCGCCTCGTCGACGGCGGGCAGCTGCAGCTTGTGCTTTTCTGACTTCTTGAGAATAAAAGTCCGCTTCGTAGGCGAAGAAGATCTCGCGGAGCCATTTTCGAGCCTCGGTAGGGTTGTAGAATGGATTCGGAGGATCTTCCTTCGCTTTCTCTTCCGGTCGTTGGATGGCTTTGCCCGCCTTGTAGTCTTCTTCGCTGGCATACTCATACCGATCTGCAGTCATCTTGACAGCTGCCTCAGGAGCGTCAGCTTGCGCCCAGAGATTCTTCTCTAAATGCAATTGCGCGCGATATAGGAAAGCAGGAGCATAAAAGTACTTCGCTGCTATCTGGAGCCATTCAAAAGCCAACATATATCGTTCTTTGGCTGAGTGAGGGAAAATGGCATTGTGAAAGAGGCTTTCTTCTGGTTTAATTTCAGGTTGCTTCGCAAGCCCAAAAAAGAGCAACACGTTTTGCAGCATCGAATTTTCTGTCGGTGATGGGAACGAGTCGAAAGGTGTTGGTTTGACGTGATTCGGTGGCTCGTCCTCGAGATATTTCCAACCGCTCTCGGCGTAGAACTTTCCCAGCTCATATGCAGCAATCGGATGATTCGATGCGGCAGCTTTCGTGACATAGTACAACCATTCACTCGTCGGCATATGGTTGTGCTGAGCATCATACTGCTTCACAAACGTGGACGCATGGTAAAATGAAATCGGATCGTCTTGCTTGCAGCCAACTTCCATGGCCCATCGACATTGTTGCATTTCGTCTTTGCCTTTGCGCTCAGATCTGTAACGATGTATTAACATCAGCTCGATCCATGGGCTCGATAGTTCCAGGGGGTCTGGTGCAAATTGCTGAACATCTTTGAACCCAGTAAGACGCTCCCTCTCTTTCTCCTCCGCATCTTCGACAGCTGCGGCCATTGCGTCGGTCCACATCTCGATCGCTCGCGCTTCATTGCCAAGAGCACGTGCCACTTTGCCCTCGCAGACCATGGCGCGAAAGTTCTCTTTCTCGCTGGCAATCCGTGACAAATGCTGCTTAGCATATTCGATTTCTCGAGCCTTCAACTTTTCAGGTTTCCTTCTCGCCTCGAGTAGAACGTGTGCCATTACTCTGATCGTGGCCTCAACCACGCCCGCGCGAGACATGGATAGCAACATCCTCTTGGCAGTGTTTCGATCGTACTTGTCTCCAACAGTGAGGAGAGTGTTCGGAATCTGCCAGCAGTCCTTGTCCAACAGATCGTGTGCGTCCATAATCTCGCGCATCTTTCTTGGGTCTATCGTGGTCGAGCTGCGCAGGTTGGGCTGCAGAGCGTGAAATGCCTTGATAAATCCTGCCACTTGCTCCGGACCCGTGCTGAAGTACCCTCTTTCGTGATCACGTTGTAGCATTTGTACCACTCTTTTGGAGCCTTCCTCGCTCCCTTTTCTTAGACTAAGGCCGTCTATCTTCCTCCACGCAGCAGGACTCTTCCTCCAACTTGACCATCGAACTGAGCCGCCATTGCTGCCGAATGTGGTCCCGCATCTGCACGCGCAGATAGTGCATTGTGCATCGGACTTCAGAGCCGAAGACGAGACGGCCGCGACTCGCTTCAAGGACTGCTGTAGCATCGAGAGTAGATCGGAGGTCCAATGTCGAATGTAGGACGGAGCTATCGGGCAAAGCTCCAAGCTGGACTTCGGCACGGGCCACACGCGCCATTTTCGTGTGGCGGACTTTCCATCTCGTGGATTTTGCAACGCAAAACGTATCGGCATTTCCTCAACAGATCTCATGGCGGAAAGCATGTCACTCACACAGATCCCCCTGACAATCATCGTCGCAGCCACAACGAAGAATGGCATCGGAAGAGCAGGCGGATTACCATGGCCAATGCTGAAGAAAGACATGGCCTATTTCGCCCGCGTCACAAAGCGTGTACCTGTGCCCAAAGACACTGGCTCGCTGCAGTCTGATAAGCTGAAGGAAACCATGCTGTCAGGCACGCGACAGAACTTGGTCATCATGGGCCGCAAGACTTGGGAAAGCATTCCGCCCAAATTTCGACCACTAAAAGACCGGACGCACATCGTGATCAGTTCACAGGACCGAGCTTCACTGCAACCTATACCGGACGATGTAGTCGTTGCCTCAGATATTCTTTCTGGTCTGCAAACACTGGAAGAATCGATCAAGGCTGGCAAGTCGCTGCCAGTCGGCCGTGCGTTCGTAATTGGCGGCAGCAGCATCTACAAAGCAGCTTTAGAACTTCCACAACTGCAGCGGATTCTCCTGACTCGCATCGAGAAGGACTACGACTGTGACACATTCTTTCCCATAGGCCTTGGCAAAGGCCAGGAATCCTCCGGCGAATGGCGCTGTGCAACGCACGAAGAATTGCGAAACTTCGTGCAGGAGGAGATCGAAGAGAATCCTGTTCAGCAAGAGTCTGGCGAGGATTTGGTCTCGCTGCATTTTCAGCTTTTCGAGCGTACCGCGTGATCAAAACATTGTCCTCGAATTCGATATCACGAAGCACGGAGAGCCCTGACACGTGCTGGTCTCGGCAAAGGATGTCCCCGCTGCTCCACTGAACCTTGTCGCTAGCTTTAGTGGTCTGCACATGAAAGCTCATCAGCGTCATATGCGTCAGGCACGTCGGCAGAACGTTGGCACAGCTATGAGCAACTGTTTGAACAGCGCTCGTCCTCGGGCGTGAGCCTTGCGACTACTTGGTCCTTTCACATGGCGCGCCGGCCTCACTTCCGAGGACTCCCTTTCAGCGCTCGAACCCGTGATCACCCGAGCTCCTGTGGCCGAGGTCCATCTCCGCTCGTCCAGAATCTGGAGAGCTCTCCGCGTCGACGCGACTAGCACCCAGGCTTGGCCAACCTACGTAAGGTTGCAATGACTTCCTCGGCCTGCCGGTCGAGCTCATGCGACAATTTCGAGCTCTCTGCACGCTCACAATTTTCGACTCATTGCTTCTATAGTCATACTCTGGCTCACGGGCTCAGTAACCATCAGCGCCTGCCTGCAGACGACTTGAACAGGTTCCACCTCTGTTGGGTGTTACCATAGACTACACACACTGCTATACAGTAGCCGGCGTCTGAAATGTCTGCCAAAAGCACAGCAGGCCCAGGTGGCCGCAAGCCTGCCTCAGCAGCCACCAATCTCATTGGTAAGGACACCAGCAGAAGTCTGTTCGGCCAATTGCTAACCACGACCCGTAGCTGGTGGAGGAGCCGGCATGATGGAGGCCCTTGCGTGCCACCCACTCGATACAATCAAGGTGCGAATGCAGCTGTCAAAACGGCAACAACGAGGTGGAAAGCGACGTGGCTTCATTAAGACTGGTGTGGAGATCGCCCGTAAAGAAACACCTCTTGGTCTGTACAAGGGTTTGGGTGCCGTTCTCACGGGTATCGTTCCAAAGATGGCCATTCGATTCACGAGTTACGAATGGTACAAGCAGCTTCTCGCAAACGAAGACGGTACAATCAAGGGAAGTGGTAACTTCCTGGCTGGTCTGGCAGCAGGTGTGACAGAAGCTGTTGCTGTGGTCTGTCCGATGGAGGTTGTGAAGATTCGTCTGCAAGCTCAGCACCACAGTATGGCTGATCCGCTCGACGTGCCAAAGTACCGCAATGCTGCTCACGCTTGCTACACTGTCATCAAGGAAGAAGGAGTTGGCGCCCTGTACCGTGGAGTTTCCCTCACAGCCCTTCGCCAGGGCACGAACCAGGCCGCAAACTTCACGGCATATACAGAACTCAAGGATATCATGCAGAAAAGAAGCGATGATCCTACCAAACCTCTACCGGGCTACACGACTGCCGCAATCGGACTGATCTCAGGTGCCGTTGGACCTTTCTGCAACGCCCCAATTGACACGATCAAGACGCGTCTCCAGCGAACACCAGCCGAGCCAGGACAGACCGCTATGAGTCGTATCACAACTATCGCATCGCAAATGTTCAAGCAAGAAGGTGCACGAGCTTTCTGGATGGGTATCACACCTCGTGTCGCTCGTGTTGCGCCCGGGCAGGCTGTCACCTTTGCCGTCTACGAGTATCTGAAGGATATTCTTGAAAAGGGACGTGAAATGCTACCTGGCAACGACTACCAAGAATGAGAAAGTAAAGCAGCTATTGAGTCTTGGTGTGGAACCAGACCACTATTGGAAGTTGGGAGTGATCAGTGTTGCTCAGGTATGTTCGCCAAATAGTATACCCATGATCTGCTGCTATGCGCTCAGAACAGGCGCCGAGACGTGAACGACGAGTCCGACAGTGTATAGACATCCAAATTAGCCGGGCATCCGACAATTGAGTTCAAAAGCGGCAGTTCAAGTTCACAAGTTCTCCACATTTGGAGCTCTCAAGCTCTCGCACTTATCGCACACCCTGTGAACAACATGTATTACACACGATATGCTGTCAAGACTTGTACATGACTTTAGCATCTATCTTCTGCCCCCACCGCACTAACATTGTTTCTCTTCCATCTGTTCAGGATATCATTTTCAACAGCTCACCTCACTAATTCTCTAGCTTCACTGAAAGTCCCTCGCCACAATGTCATCGAGCAATGCCCAAGACGAGCAGCACCACAAAGCCGTTATTGGCAATGGAGACAACTTTTGGCTCTTCTCATCTCAATCAGGCTTCGACCTTACACACCCTCCCACAGCAACTTCACCTCCCGTACAACCGAGCGTTACCATCGAAACGACTGCCTCGCCGATCACGATCGATCCTGCGAAAAGCGCTCTGATTATTATAGACATGCAGAATTACTTTCTCTCGCCTGCACTTGGGCGAAGCAAAGGAGGTGGACATGCTGCTGCAGAGCAGTTGATCGAACACGCAATTCCTGCGGCTAGGAAACATGGCATCAGAGTGGTATGGGTCAACTGGGGTCTGACTGAACAAGAAGTTGATGAGCTACCACCTGCTGTGAAAAGAGCTTTTGGATTTGAGGCTACTGTTGATAGTAGTGGGAAGGAGAAATTTGAGGGGATAGATGTGTCTTTCGGCGTGGACAAGCATGGAGTGAAGGGAAGTAGAAGGCACAAAGGTGTGGGCAGTGATATCGGCCCTGTGAAAGATCCTGAGACTGGGAAAGATTTCGAGGGTGGGAGGGTTCTCATGAGAGACAGCTGGAATGCTGCGCTCTTTTCGCCACTCGACCAGGTGTATGAAGAAGGCAGGCAACTGGAAAAGTTGCCAGATGTATGGATCCACAAGAATAGGATGAGTGCGATGTGGGGCGTCGATACGGCTCTTGAGAAGTTTCTGAAGCAAGAAGGAATCAGGACCTTGTTCTTCGTAAGTGGCACCTTTCTTCTCTCGCTGATTTTAGCTTGGCTCGCTGCCCTTCGGAGATGGTGGCACGCAAGCATTCGCAACGGCGTTTGTGCAGAGTCGACTAAGCGAAGCTGACTATCCGTAGACCGGTGTGAATACCGATCAGTGCGTTGGCGGCACGCTCACGGATTGCTTCAGCAAAGGCTACGATGTTATCCTGCTGACTGACGGCGCCGCAACAACGAGTCCGGACTACGCGCAGAATTGTTACGATTTCAATGCGAAGAACACGTATGGATTTGTCACCCGTTGTGAGCGCTTCGCGGCTGGTGTCAAGCGATCACCTTGATGAGTCTCGGTGAGAAGTGAAGGGCAGGCGATGGTAGCATCGACCACCCACTCAACCCGGAGCTCAAAAATGCACTCGCACATTCGGAAAGCGATTTTACAAGTTTCACGAGACACCAACAATTCACGTGAAGGTGAACAACCTTCCTTTCGCGCTCCACATTACTCACACCCACGCTGACTTGACTTTGGCGCAATACCACAACTTGCTAGCAACTACGCGCCGGCAATAGCGACCTGCACTTCGCATGCCGCGAGCATTGTCGTAAGCCGAAGAATAGGAACTAGCTATTGTGCCTATTGTGAGTTGCTGCATTTCGTCGACAACAATACGCTCTGAACAACGTCAATAGGAAGGAGCTCCTATTGTACGTGAATAAACGATTAGCCGGCATGCCGCCGGTCTTCAGCTCACTTCGCCGTTTGCTTTCTCTTTGCAGCTTCCACCTTTCCGCCTGACCTTCGCAATTTCACGATCATCGTCGCCTTCACAACTCACTTGCACACTACCAGACCGCGCGCACAGCGATTCCAGCCACCATGGCGACTATCAACGAAGCCATTGAGATCACCTCTGACTCAGGAGGAGAAGAAGAACGTCCACAGGTGCCCAGCACACCAGCAATCAAGGCGTCAGCCTCAGTGCCTCCACGAAGCGTCGCTCACGACGTCGAGGCAACGCCGACTCCAACACAAGCGCCAGCACCTGCACCGGCTCCTTTGCCAAATGATGACTCAATTCAGGAAGTGACGGCCACGTCAACAGCGCCAGCAGAGCCAGCTAGGCCTACCAACTTCCAACCAACCCCACGTCGTCTTTACGATCTGCCCGAGTACGCCGACCGATACACCCCAATCTTCTCGACACTTGAAGAGGTCGTGTACCGTGATCCGTATGCATTCTCGATCAAGCCACCTTGTTGGCAAAAGTGGAGTGCCGAGGAGTATCGTGCTTTCGCGGACTATCTCGAGCTGGTCGATTTGAAGCCTCTTTCGCGGATTTTGGGCAAGCCCGTAGAGGAAATTTACCACATGTATCACACGTTGGTCACAGGCCCCTTGCTCGATGCCAGCAATGCACGTCGCCGAGGTGAGGAGGGCATGAAGAGTCTTTTCGAACTTCACAACAATCATGGAACCCCGAACAGATCCTGGACCGCCGAAGGCATCAGGGCTGAGTTCGAAGCTGCCACGTTCTTGACTGTCCACCTCATTCTCGAGGAGAGTGGAATCAAGCGCAAGATCAAGCTGGCTGATCTGACGAACGATGACTTTTCTTGGATCAAGCAGAACGTACCTCTGGAGCAGCGGAAGGTTCTGTCTGGGATCGACAACGGCGTCATCAACAAGCACGACACAGAGGACGGCCTGCCCCCGTGCGTGATGTCGAAGCGCAAGGCATCCCCAGAGCTCGAAACTCCCAGACCAGCCAAACAAGCTCGCCTTATGAAAACCAACACCGCGCCTGCAAAGCTTCGGGCAACTCCGTCAACATTCTCGAATACTCCGAACGATCTGACGGCGTCCAGTCAACGACCAGCGACACCATCAAGGCCACAGCAGACACCACAACAGCAAGATTCGGCTACCCTACCGGCGCAGACACCAGCCAGTCCCTTGGGCCCCCAAACGCCAGCAGCAAAACCGTCACTGTTGGCCAAGTTTCAAGCACCATCGCCGAAGTCCCTTTACAGAAAGTGGACTGACGTAGGCCTGGATGCGCGGTTCTTCGACACTGCTCCTTCGACTGTGGTACTATTGGAACGATCGAGCAGAGAACAAATCGCCATATCCCGCTTTGCCATGAACGACGATGACAAGAAGTGGCTGAACGACATGAGAGATGGCAAACACATCGATATTCATGCGTGGAAGCCGCTCGTCAAATCGCGAAGCCTGGGCACTCTTGAAGCTTTCCGTCCATGGACTACTCAAGGCTTCATTGCTCGATTTGAGAGCATATCCCGTCTCACGGTACACGTTTTGCTTTTGAGTGACCGAACGCAGGCAACAGTCAAACTTGCGGATCTCACGGACATCGACAAAGCTTACCTTCAAGAGCACGTCAGTGGTGAGGATATGAAGACGCTGTTGAGCAAAGGCCAAACCGCTGCGCAAGCGGCTTCCTCTCAAGCTGCATATGAGAGAAGAGCTGCTACTGCTATCAGCGATGGTGCCGAAGAGGGGGCTGATGAAGCTCAAGACGCTGCTGTGAGTGAGCGAGATGCCCAGCCGATCAGACACGATTCAGTATCACGTCAAGCTGTTGATCCCGTCAAAGACACCGACGTACCTCCACCTGAAGGTGAATCTGCGCAACATCCCGACGAAGTGATTACTGGTGCGCCGCCACGAAGCTGGACAGGCCGGAAGCTTGCTGGCAAGCTTGAAGGCATCTCCAAGCACCAAGTCTTCCTCAGGCTTGAGAACCAGCAAGGACTTAACTTGATCCCTATGGAAGAGTGGTCAAGTGAAGACTACAGCTGGTTGAAGGGGTATCTCACTCTCGAGCAGAGGAAGGTTCTTTCGGGGAAGGCAACATGAGACCAAGAGGAGAGGCATTGTTGCTATTGTCGTGTACAGTTCGGTTTTTTCAGGAGTCTCTGGTCGTCCTTCACTTGGTATGAGAAGGAAGAGAGGTGATGTCTTGGAATGTTCGAGCGATGTGACATTGGGTTCGAAGAAGACACGCGTGGTGCAGATTGAGAACACTTGGAAGGCATTGAATCGCAGAGAGGTGGTTTAGGCTGTGTACCCATCAGAATAGCAGCTCTGGATTTCGAGGATAGAGATCAAAATGCTTCCACGCGACCTCTTGTTGCTGTTTGTCGATGTTTTGTTTCGTCTGACGCTGCCAGCTGTGAGTGACGAAGTGGGCCACTGGCTCAGACTTCCAAATGCGGACGACTTATCCGATTCCCGCGGTCGTTTCTCCGACCGTGTATCCGACGAAATGCAATGCATCACCACCTGCTTGCATTTTGGTTCAGAGATCTATCGACTACGCACGAACACCCACAACACCCCAGTCGATCATCCGCAATCGCATATGCATCACTGCTGATCAGTAGCCCACAATGGCGCTGCAGCAATGTTCAGCAACGCTCGACACGTGCCTTCGAAGGCTGCCCTGAAGGTCCTTTACCAACTCGCCTACATTTCTTCTGGAACCGCAGTGGGCGTCGCAACGCTATGCGCCGAGGAGCGCAGACGGCGCACGCTGGTCGTGCAGAAGATAGCGGATAACGCGAAGAGAATCAGGCAGAGTCCTCAGCATGTTCGGAATCGGCGACGACGATCCGCGGACGAGAGTCGCGAGAAACATGCCATCTTAGCAGGAGAGGGCGATGTTGGCAGTGGAATCGAGCTTGATGAACGTGCAGTGCGAGCGGCGGAACTGCCATCGGCCGTGGAGGATGGATATGCGCAAGTAGCGCAACAATCTGGCCGGACACGAAGACGATTGCGAGCATCGTCTAAGCGACAACCTCGTGAGAACGTCGAGGACAGGAACACTTCAGTCGCTTCCCGCACGAGTGAAGATGCACCAAACGAGCAGTCTATGGGTTCAGCGACGCAGGCTAGCATTGTCCGCTCTGTACATGTACCGTCTCAAGCACGTTCCATGGATCCGGCTTCGGCACCACAAGGCATCGTTCGCAAAGTACAGCTTGGCCTTGACCATATTACAACTCGCAGCGATGGTCGAGAACATCGCCAATGGCCAATTCGACCCCCGAGGCTGCGCACCTTAGAGGCTTTTCAGCGGTCATCGCGAGTCAGTCCACCCAGCATTGATCATACTTATGAAGCTGCCAAAGATGTTATGTGGGAAGTGGAGAAGTTCCTCGTCTCTGCAGCACGAGTTGGCGTAGCAGGTGTGGATCAGCGTTGGAAACACATGGCCTCGTCTCTCCTGCATCTCTCTGCAACGTGTGGGATGAGGTTAGAAGTGAACCGACTGATGCAATGGCTGGCCAAATTCGATGCTTTGTCGCCAGAGCTGATTCTCATGATTTGTGAATCATGTCGCCGATTCTTACGAAGACCTAGAACGCCCATGCATAGCGTTCTCCTGCTCTACCGGGATTTGTTCAAGATGCCCATATTTACCCAGCAAGAAGATGCTCTCCGTGTACGATCACAGCTTGCAGTAGTAGAGGGCATTGCTAGCTTCTCTGGCGGAATCGTGGACAAGGAACAGATCTCCACAGCCTACATCGAGCTTTTCGACAGTGAGCTCTTAGTGCAAGAGCTCGCTGCACGGCACGAAACGCTCTGTGCCCATAACGATCATCAATTGGCGCACACCCTGGTCTTTTCTGTCCTCGAGAGTACGACCGTGAGCAACGAGTCGAAGACCCGGTATGAGAAACTTGTCGATCAGTGCATCAAGTCCTCTCTCAACGGTGGGAAGCTTGCCTGTTCTGTGCAACTATGGTTGAAGGGATATGCCTTCTTTCAAAATACGGAATACGGGCTCTCACAATTTGGCCGCCGTCTGACTCATATAGCAACGCTTGCCAGAAGAACAAGGTCAATCAATCTGCTAGAACCAATCTGCAGGCGGCTAGCAGAGGCCGAAAACGGGCATTACGCCGTGCTTGATTTCATCAATGAAAACTGCAAAATTTCGCTGGCTATGGCATGCATCGCGATGGCGGAACCACCAATGGCGCTGCTCGAAAAGCTCCACAGCGAGCTGGCCCAGCCGCGAAAGGACGAGATCCTCTTTGCCCAAGCGGATGCGCAATTGAAAGAGATGTGGCAGAGTACCCGCAGCCTTCCGGCCGTATTTGCAGCCTACGAGAATTTCCGAAAAGCCCGAGCTCATCTTATCGATGAACAGGTCTGGGCTGGCTCAGTCGGTCCCCCTGAGATGGCATTAATTGAGATCTGTAATTTGGCTGGTCAACCAGATCGCGGGCTTCAGATTCTGTCATCCGCACAGATTACCCGCCTTGAATCAGTTGATTCATTCTCGTTGGCGGCTTTGACATTGGCCACTAAGAATTCTTGGGAGACGTTTGCAACGTTGATATCGTCGGCTGCAGACTCGCAGCTCTCGATCGCCGACGACAGAGTCGCAACGAACCGATTGGATTATGCTGTGATGAAATATGGACAGCGACACAGCGCAGCTGAGACCTGGGAGTTCATATCTGGCTTGGTGGCACGTGTCAAGTTTGTTCCCACTGCGGCGACCGCGAAGACCATGCTTCGAAAGTTAGCATCTGAAATGACACCAGATGAGCCCAGCCCGATTCTGGATTGGCTACATTACATGCAATCTTTTGGTGTCGAGTCCATTCTGGATGCAGATACGGTAACGACAATGTTTCGCCATCATTATCGTGAGGTCCGCACACCGCACACGTTGCTCATGCACTTTTCCCGACGGTTATACAGGGCTGTGCCTTACTTGAAAGCAGGCAGTTTGAGGGGCATCGTCAAAGAGGCCATTGCTTACGATATGAGAGAGTTGGACACCAAATATCAACAGGCAGTACAGCTCGCAGCAGAGATCAATTTGCAGCGCGTAACAGAAAACAGCGCGATCATACCTTTGCCCATTGGAAGGACACAGCTGCAGACACGAGCAGGTATTCAAAAGTATCGGTCTTCGCAGACAGAGCAGACGTCGGGCGTTCGTGAGAATCCGCTGCCAAGCGCGGATGCGAAGCACGATTTGCACGATGTGCATCCCTCCTCTGAAGGAGATGTACGCTGGGAGCCCAACGACATACCACTAGGGAGCCGACAAGGCGCTCTTGTGGAAGCAGAGAGCCCTGATCTTATGGCCGAAGTCAGTGACGACGCTACCATCGAGCCTTTCGAAAGGGTTATCCAAGACTACTATGCTGCGGAAGACGACGCGGCAATGGAGCTCAGCCCGCGACGTAAAGAGACAGCTCGGACTACAAGAGACGCGCTTTCAGCCGATCGCGAAACGGTCGCAGCAGCCACCGCTGATTCCACGCAATCGACCCCAGGACAACCCCAAGTACACAGGCGCGAGAGGGAGAACAGCAAGCAAGATATCAGTGGCCTTCCAACACGCATTGGCGCGCTCTCTGGAAAGCAGGAGATCGGATACTCTGGTCATGGCAGCTCAGTGTTTGCACGTAAGCAGGTATCGAACATGGTTCTGGAGTATTCCGCGAAAAGGTTCGTGGAAGTCCTTGACCTGTACGAGAAATCTCTTGGGCCAACTGGACGTCCCTCGTCACCTTTGGCGCTGTCTGTAGCTGTGCAGGCACGCATCCGTCTGGACAACGGTGCGATCGATGGAGCCAAGCAAATCATGCTGGCAGCGCAAGACGCCGGTTTCAATGCAAGCTGCGCCTCAGCGCCGATTCTCATCAGAGAAATGCGGATGATGCGTCGCGAGGACAAGCGAGATCTTGCAAAGTTACGAGATAAAGTGATGGAGTACTATGTTGCGAATGCCCGGAACGGCTGGCCAGTATCGCACTACGTGGGCGTGTCAGCTGCAAACCTTTTGATTGACAATCATGAGCCTGCTCTCGGCATCGACTTACTTAACTTCGTTTGTAGGGACAGATGGGGCAGCCACGATCCACCTGACATTGTCACGATGACCGTCTTCTTGAAGGGCTTCATGGCACTCAAGCACCTCAAGGGCATTATATGGGTCGTGCGCAAGGTTCTAGGTGAGAAGATGCGGATCACTCGCAAGTTCTTGCATCGTTTGCGGACCAGTCCAAAGTCATTCGAAAGGTTTCCACATCTACCTCGAAGTCAACGAAAATCAGTAGACCCGATGACTCTTCGTCGATTGAAAACAGTGCGAGTGCTTTGTATACATCAGCGCATGGCTCAGCGGAACAATGCCAGACGCCTTGGATTCAAGTTTGTCGCTGTTTTACGTCTTGCGGCACGCTACCAGCAAGCATCGAGTGAAGAGGAACGACAGTACCTTGTGCAGCTTGAGCATGAATACTACAAGAGGAGATCGGGCGAGGGTTCCACGATCTTGAACAAGCAAGTCACTCAGATGTACACGGCCCGTCGAGCCTGGTCACGCTACAGGCGCATCGCTCGAGCCTCGTTTCGTAAAGAATGGGTACGCACGAGGTTCGGTGAGAGGCAGAAGACCACTGCAGTGTTTCAAAGCTTGCGGACAAGGCAGTACCGGCAGTTCAAAAAAATGAACCCTGCAATTCCCGGCGGCCGACCTGCATCCCTCAAACAGTATCTCGCACTACTGAGGAGCAATCACGGCAAGCTCCCGAAAGATCTATCAGGCAACCCTTCATCGAAGGCAGCATATACACCACTGCTTCACGACGACACGACTGATGGGCTCCAGCAGCAGCAGCGGCCGCACGTTGAGCCCTTTGCGCTTCCGGAAACGAGAGAAGAGTCAAAGGCATCGTTCACACCACCGCTGCGTGAACACCCGGGAGATATGCTCGAGGAGCAGCATGACTCTGGGCTCACGAAAACAAGAGAGAATTCGCAGCTAGCGTACACGCCAGTACTGCATGAAGGCGCGGCAATTGGACTCCAGGAGCAGCGTGACGACTTTGCAGAGTCGATGAGAACGAAAGCCGAGTCGAAGGCAGCATATTCTCCACTGCTGCACGACGACACCCAAGATAAGGCCCCAGAGCAGCATGTCAAGTTCACAGAGCCCGTGAGCACGAGAGAAGAGTCTCAGCGTGGGCATGTTGAGCATTTGCGGAAAATCATCTCGAGGCACATTCCTGCACAGGCCGATTCATCGTCAAAAGCACCGTACGCAACCTCGATGCACTACGACGTTGGACAAAAGCCACCGGAGCAACACTCCAAGTTCACGAAACCCAGGGCCACGAGAGAAGAGTCCCAGCATGGGAAGATAGAGCATTCGCAACAGAGCACTTTGAGAGAGAAACCTGTACTGACCTACGTACCGTTTAATTGAAATTCAGCCGAAAGCCGGCACAGATACCCTTTGGTGAATGACGCTGTAGATGATAGAGAGCGACGGAATGTATTCACTGGGCGTTGAAACGGATGGGAGGGCATTGTTTAAGCATAGCGATGGTGTTATCGTCGCAATTTTCAATGTAAGAAGGAGTCCAGATCCCGACATAGGTACATGGAGCTATCTGGCAATGTAAAATTGCGGCCGCGAGAAGGAGAAATAATCACTCGTCTCATTTCAAATCATCCCAATGCCCGTCAATATCTCACTTGCATGATTCGCTTCATCATAATTGAGTGACTTGAATTCTCCCCTTCTCTATCGTGCAAGGCGTGGTCAATTAGTCATATGTCTCCCAACGAATACTCTCTCCGTATCGTTCCATATCGAGTCTATTCGTTCGATTGACAAGAGGAAGCTTCTCTGCCTCGTAGACACATGTTGATTTGATAGTTGATGTGCATATGTTGAAGTATTTATGCCTGAGGCATGAAGCTTCCTCGTGGCGGCAGAAGGCAGACGCGCCTAAGCTCGCCCAAAATTTGGGAAACAGCACATCACCCACTCGACATCACCGCAACTTGGTAAAAGCTGCTCACATAACGCCATGTCGCTCTCAATACCAGGTGCGCCCAATGCTGGGCTATTCAAGCCCGGCTACCAAAAGTACGCAGCACAAGTCAAGCCACCCAAGCGACACCGAACAAACAGCTGATAGTGTCCTCGTAGCTACGATGCAGAAGACGGAGCCGTAATCCGCAACATCGATGCCTGTCGCCAAATCGCCTCGACAGTTCAGACCTCCCTAGGTCCCTATGGCCGCAACAAAATTGTCATCAACCACCTCCAAAAAATGATCCTGACCAACGATGCCGCAACAATTCTCCGCGAACTCGAAGTCGTGCACCCCGCTGCGAAACTCCTCGTCATGGCGTCTCAGCAACAAGAAGCAGAAATGGGAGATGCGACGAATATGGTGATTGTGTTTGCGGGGGAGCTTTTGAAGAAGGCGGAAGAGTTGATCAGAATGGGTTTGAAGACGAGCGAGATTGTGCAGGGATACGAGAGAGCTGGAAAAGCAGCGTTGGAGGCGCTGGAGCAGTTGGAGATTGATAAGGTGGAGGACATTAGGAATCAGGAAGAGTTGGCGAAGGCGTTGAAGACTGTCATTGCGGCTAAGCAGAGCGGGAATGAGGAATTTCTGGCTGATTTGGTTGCGGAGGCAGTGCTTGCTGTCCTGCCGAAGAATCCTTACAACTTCAATGTGGACAATGTGCGGGTTGTGAAGATCATGGGAGGTGGATTGGAGCAGAGCAGGGTTGTGAAGGGTATGGTGTTTGGACGAGAACCGGACGGAACTGTGAAGAAGGCACAAAAGGCGAAGGTTGGTGTGTTCAGCTGCCCGATCGACATTTCGCAAACGGAGACCAAGGGCACGGTGCTCATCAAGAACAGCAAGGAGCTGTTGAACTTCACCAAGGGCGAGGAGTCACAGATGGAGAATGCGATCAAGGAACTGCACGATTCTGGACTTCGCGTGGTTGTGGCTGGTGCGACTGTGGGAGAACTGGCGATGCACTACCTCAACAGATTCGGCATTCTGGTGATCAAGGTTCTATCGAAATTCGAGCTCCGACGTCTATGCCGTGTCATTGGCGCAACACCACTGGCACGTCTCGGAGCACCAATGCCAGACGAGATGGGCAACATCGACATCGTCGAGACGCTGGAGATTGGCGGCGACCGAGTCACAGTCTTCAGACAAGAGAACGAACAGACCCGAACAGCCACACTCGTCCTCCGCGGCGCAACACAAAACCACCTCGACGATGTCGAGCGAGCAGTCGACGACGGCGTCAACGTTGTCAAAGCCATCACCAGAGACCCCAGATTAGTACCTGGTGCGGGCGCAACAGAAATGCAACTCATTGAGCGCATCACAGCTCTTGCAGACAAGACTTCAGGCCTCGCACAATACGCCATAAGAAAATACGCCGAAGCCTTCGAAGTCATTCCCCGCACACTGGCCGAGTCAGCAGGTCTTGACGCAACAGAAGTCCTCGCCAGATTGTACACTGCTCATGCACAACAATCTCAACGCGACGGATCCTGCAAGCCGAAATCCGACAGCGAGGAGGAGGATGTCCCAGCCATTGGCGTGGATCTCGACACCAGCGGCTCATCTGGTAGCGGGACACTGGATGCTGAGGACGAGGGCATTCTCGACCTCATGGTTACAAAGAGCTGGGCGATCAAACTCGCGACTGAAGCCGCGAGGACGGTGCTCAGTGTTGATCAAATTATTGTGGCGAGACAGGCTGGTGGGCCCAAGCCGCCGCAACCTAATGCCAACTGGGATGAGGATTAAATGTCTCGCGCGAAAGCTATGTAACTTGATTGTGTATGCAAGGGTCATGACAAGAGAGAAAGAGAAGCATAGAAGGCGCTGGCTGGCTAGCCTAGAGGCGTGAATGAAGTGGTATGTAGTATACCCGCGCAAAATGAATGATCAGCTTGCTTGTTTGGAGCTTCAAAGCGATCACCTGCTCACTGGACACTACCTTCTGATCGAGCTTCTTCAATCTGCCCTCGCGATTGCTGTGCCCTTCGGTTCCTCCTCCTCCGATTTGGGACCGCATTACCATTCCCATCATTGCTTTCCACACATTCTGTCGTTTGTTGCGCGTCCTCATCCTGGCATCCAGATATCTCTCGTTCCGCCAACTTTCGCCCATAATCATCATCATACCTCGCTAGAATCTCCTCCGCCCTTGCCCCAAGCACATCATCGCCACTCGCGAAAAGGAAATCTCGCATCTCTTCCCATCCGGCACAGGAGAGATACGCCCCTTGATTCCGATATCTCATGACGGCTGTGAGGGCTTGTGTCATGATTGGGTCGCTGATTGGTAACGACAGGCGCAAGTGCTCAAGTAATGTGACAGTGGGCCTTTCCCGGGTGACACGATATTTGAGCGCATCGAAGAGGTTCTGCCAGATAGGTCGAGGTCGAAGTTCGAATGCCAAAATGGCTTGGTAGAGATCGATGAGGTCGGATATATGCATTTGGGAGAAATTGCCAGGGGTAAATGCGGGGAGAAGGGTTCCCAGTGGGGTCGGCTCGACATTTTGCATCCATTCGATGATTGATCGTATTGCTTTGATCGAGGGCAGCCGTGGAGAGTCCAGGTCTAGGATGATTTGCTTTGGCGTGTTGGACCTAGGCGTGTCTAATGGGTGACGACGTTGGTTCTTGCTATTGCTGGTGGGACCAGTCTGTAATCTCGATAATAATGGCTCACCATAAAAGTGTCTCGTGTCTTCAGAATGAGGGCCTTGAAGTTTGAACAGGCGCCGTGCTACCGTGGAAAACCGTAGCAGCAGCCTTAGTGGTACTTTTTGAACAAAAGTCTCGCCGAGGTAGACATCCACGGGCTCTTGAGAGTCTCGATGGCCTGATACACCTCCCAGAAGTTGTGTTACAGGACCCGTCCACGACGAGGTTCCATTGTACGAACACGGATTGGAGGACGACAGGTAGTACGAGAACTTGTCTAGCGAGGGATCGTACCGCAAACGGTTGCCAGATGTCGCCCACTTTGGGTACTGATACCAGAAGGGCTCCGAGAATGAATCGTTCACTGAGTGATGAGGTGTAGCATGAGGATGACCAAAGCTACGGTAGGTGTACAAGCTGGAAAGCCTCGGAGGCAGCCCCTTTCCAGCAGCCGGTACAACATCTGAGAACTCCGGAGCAACACTCTCCCAGAGCATGGCGGGGTTCGAAGCTGCGGCCTCTGATCCTGAGACGGACGCCTCGGTCGAGGAGCGAGAAGAACTGATGCCTGCATCGCAATCCGTGACTGGGTTGGTCGAAGTTATATATGGGTCGGAGGACATATTGTGGGCCTGGGATCGCTTCTCGTCGATAGAAGAGGTATCGTTGCGATGCGCGGGATCTTTGGAGTCACGCCTCGCCTCTGTCGCGGCATCTGGTGATATTGACGAGCCATCGGTGCTGGCAGCATTCATGCTTGTGACCTTCACCCGAGATATTCCACATTGCTTTTGTTCACCAGTCATTCATGCTGTTTGCGGGTGTTTTGGAGGTGAATGGCAAGGGCTGTGAGAGGTGATTCAGCCCATTTTGGCAGCAGAAGGCGATGCAGCCGTGAAGTTGGCGTCAAGGAAGAGCGCGAGTGAGGCCTTGTTTGCTCCTGCATGCAGCGGCTCTGCGAGCGTTTCTGTTTCAACGCGCTGTGGCGCCTCAATCTGAGGGCTTTTCTCTTCCACGTGTAGTCACCTTCACTGCTTCACCAACATTAACACTTCACTCGACACGACCGACGGTAAGTCTCTGGCGATGGAAGGCTGCGAAGTCTGGCTGGCGACGATAGAAAGTCCGTCTTCCGACGAAGGTAAGCGATCTCCCTTCACTTCTCCAAGTCTCGGCGCATGTCATCACGAGTTGGCGGAAGGAACCTTGAGTGCAGCATGTCAACCACAGCTGCGGGAGCTCGCCCAGCAATCTATTTGGGCCTCACAAACAAACTCCCCCGATCAACACGAGTCGCAGCGTGATCGCGAGCGGCACTGCGCATTCCTTTCATCTTCAGCGCAGGGCAGCAGGGCACGGCAGACAGCAGCAGGCGACGCTAGGCAGGCAGGCAACATGTGGGACGACGAGGACAACAACCCCTACGGCTCGTTTGAGCGTCGCGACTCCGAGACCAGCGACATTCAGTCGCCTACAGATCGTGCGTGAAGCTAGATGATCCATTCTCCCGCTCGGCAGCCACTAACAACTTCCCCCAAGAATACAATCGAGCATCGACCCCACCATCTGGCCGCTCCTCACTCGATCAGCCGCCAAACTTCCTCTCCCGACCAAACGACTTGAGCGATGAGGATCTCGATGACAGTCAGATCAAGGCGCCCAAGGTGCAGCCCAAAGAAGGAGGATACGACAGCAGGATAGAGCAGATTCTATACGAGCATCCCGACCTACAGATCGAGATTGTCCACGCAGGCAAGAACACCGAAGGCGGCGGGGGCTTCATCACATACACAATACGGACCGGCGAGATCATAGTGCGGAGACGCTATTCAGAGTTTGCCTCGCTGCGACAAACACTGGTCAACTTGCACCCGACGCTGGTCATCCCACCCATTCCAGAGAAGCACAGTATCGCGGACTACGCTGCGAAGCCTACGAAAGCTAAGGAGGATGCGGGTATCATCGAGTTACGGACCCGCATGCTTGCGACTTTCTTGAACAGATGCAGGCGCATGAAAGAGGTGCGGGAGGACGGCGTATGGTGGAGATTTCTCGACCCCAATGTGAGCTGGAACGAAGTGCTTCACTCGCATCCAGCTGCCAGTATACCGAAAAACAACCTCAAAGCACCACCTCTCGATCCGGCCAACCCCTCGACTGCTCATCAGTGGCTACCGATCCCAGCTGCTAACGCAAAGTTGCGCTCATCCTCTGGTTCTTCCGCATCAGGCACACCCACTTCTCCTCCTCGCAATTCTGCAGTTCCATCAGCTGCCGCACATTCGACGCCACAGATACAGTATGCCAGGTTTCCACCGCTTAATCAGACCTTGAGCGAAAGTGAGCTGGATCCCTACTTTTCTTCGTTCGAGAACAGCTCGAAAGAGCTGGAGACGCTATTGACAGGCTCAATGGAGAAAGTCAATGCTCGGCTGCTTCGCCACCTCACAAGTCTCGGCGAGGACCTGATGGATCTTGGGGCACGGTACAATGCCTTCTCACTGTCGGAACAGTCTACCAGCGTGGCACATGCCATCGAGAAAGCTGGACAAGCCTGCGATTTCACATACATACAGTCACGCGATTTGACTTCCGCACTCAGTGCTGGCTTCGCAGAGCCAATGCGAGAGAGCGCCCAGTTTGCAGGTGTTGTGCGAAGTGTGCTCAAGTATCGGGTGCTGAAGCGTGTCCAAGAAGAGATGACCCGAGACGAGCTTGAGAAAAAGAAGACTAGGCTGGCGCAGCTTGAACAGAGTGAGATTGAGGCGAAGCGCATCGAGCAGTATATGACTTCTTCCGGAATGCACAACACACCCAGACGAAGCGCGAGCAGTGGCAGCAATCGCAACCGACCCGGCACAAGCGACGGCGATAATGCTTCGGTCGACAGTGACTTTCCGCCTACTCAGGGCGAGACCTTTCCGAGCGCGGAGCAAGGCGGCTCTCAGGAGCCATATGGCAACACGCCGACAAGATCCGCTAGTAGCGGTGGCCACAAGCGAGGTCCAAGTGGTATCGTGAACAAGATTTTCGGTCGCGTCAGCCATACGATACAAGGAGTCACGGACCAAGATCCGGAGCGCGCTCGAAGAGATGATCTGGGCAAGACGAAGGAGAGCCTCTCACAGCTGGAGCAGGCGCTCGAAGTCTCGCAGAAGGACGTCAAGGATGCTAGTTCAGGTGTGCTACAAGATCTTCGTCGGTTCCAAGGGACGAAGGAAGATGACTTGCGGATGTACATGGTGAGTGACGCTTGCCCAGACTTTTGCATTCCGCGTACTAACGTGTCAATTAGCTCAACTTCGCCAAAGCGCACGTCGAGTGGTCGAAACGCAGCTTGGAAGAGTGGGAGAAGGCAAAGGTGGAGATCAACAAGATCGAAGTCCGGGGGTTGTAATCAAGCCATAGGAGCTCGCTCACGTTATGCATGTGCCAAAGGATAGGGCGATCTTGCATAGAGCATTACCTTGGTTGGTATGCCCAATAGCTCTGCACTCTCTGCAGCGTTATCATCGCAGATTAAGCAACACCCGCAGTATCGCTCAGCAACGTGACCACTTTCATGCCAGACCGCCTATCTGCTTCGAACTCACAAGCTTTCACCGCAATGATAATTTTCCACGTTAGTATATCGGATAGTATGGACTATGCATTGGAATGATGTGAGCGTAGAACTTAATAATGCAGACGCTAGATTACATTTTTTTATGAACGGTATCCCGTAGCAGCAATCCTGCTTTCCACATTTCCTTTGCCGCGATTTCCTCCATGCAGAGCTATAATCGCGAAGCTCTAGCAGCCAACAAGAAGCTTCATGCTTCCTCATAGAATGAGCGGTGTGCTTTCTCAGCTATTGTGATAGCTGCTGCTACAAGCAATAGCAACGACTAATCACCATCGAAGCTCTCCACCTTTCACGCCAGTCATCAGCCGATCTGCGAAGCTAGGACTTGCCGACATGAAGGATAGATGCTTGCTGTGCGTGCGGGTGTGCCTAGGAGTTTCAGCCGCGGCGCGGTGCAGTGCAGCGCGATGAGGTGCATCGTGCCATGCGATGTTGAACTCTCGTGAATATGCCGGCTGCCATCATGAGATTGAAGGACTTGTGTGCTCGCATGCTTGCGACATCACACGGTTTATACCGCGAGCCGTAAAGATCCCGGCAATGAGTGATGTTTTGGTTGGTCTGCAGCAGTTCCGCCGGTAGGCATGTTCCTCTCCGAGGTCCGCTGGCAGCATGTTCAGCTGAGATGAAGCTCTATCTCGCGAATCCATACTGCATCTCCTTCCATAGATGCAGGAATCAATAACCTTGACACAGACCGCCAAAGTGGCTCAACTCTCAATATCATATCATACGCCACATCAGCTCATCCCCAGCATGCATGACTCGCGCATACATTTCCGCATGGGCGATGCGCGCTTACGGCGCTTTAGTTTTCAATTGCACTCCATGCCATTTCTTAATCTCCTCTCCCAAGACTTTATTCACGAGGCGGTGTTGTTTGATGACGGGGAGACCTTTGAAGGCTTCTGATACGATGTCTAATGCGTACATGGATCCGCAGCCGCCGGAGATGTCTTGGACTTCGAGTTTGGTGGGTGACAAGTCTTGGACGAGGAGGTCGAAGATGCGGCGTTCGTTGGCGTCGAGGTATTCGGGTGGTTGTGGAGTGCTATTTCGGAGGGTAGAGGTTGTGGAGAAGAGGTGTTTGGGTTGTTGTTGTTGTTGGAGGCGAGCTGGTGGGAAGCTGGTTCGGAGTTGTGAGGTGAGGTTTTGGCGGGGAGAGGCCCGGAGGAGTTGTGTTGCGAGGCGACGAGATGCCATGGTGTGTGATTGTTGAGATCGTGCTGGGGCAGCTTCTGCTATGCTCTGCTGTGCTATGGATGTGTGTCTCAAAACTTCGCGCACGCCTTGACATCACCTCGGACGAACAGCAAAAGCTAGGGCTGCTGACTGGCTCGAGCACTTCCGAGAATGTTTCCGCAGAGCCTCACAAGGGTCACGATGATTCGTAAGGCACGTGAATGGCTGTTCTCTCTTCGGCCTCAATTCTCGGATTTGTGACTCTGTGTGTGAGCGCCCAGCTGCTTCTAGTGCTGTTCTTCGGCCACGGCTTCATCAAAATCCGACAGATTTCTCTCCGGTCTCATCTTACCTCAGCTTCGCAGAAAAGCTGATGCAATCCGAAACTGCCAGTATCGCGCCGGTGTTCAGCTACGCCGTCTGGACCACAAGAACAGCTGTACGCCCGCACACGAACTCGCATGCCGTAGGATGAGTCTCCGCGTCCGGAGGGATTGCCAATACTGCATCTCCAAAGTCAAGACCAAGAACCCCGCGATGTCCCCGCACCCTTCCACGAAGTGCAATATTTGCACATGCAAAAAGGTCCATTTAGCTTTGCCAACGCAATCTGATAACTTCTAGACAATCGCAATTGACTTCTCGCAGTGACAGAAAACAGTCGCTGGCGTGAATGTACGTACCATTTCGATCTCGAGGCCGACGCAACGTCAGTGTGTATCGCCAGCGGCTGCATGAACTTCCCGTGAGCTTGTTCGCCATAGACTACAGACGGCGCCGGCCAGCGCGCCGTTCGCCTTCTTGCGTGCTGGACCCTGCTTCCGGTATCAGCTCAAATCATTTTAGCACTCACCAACCAGGCGTCTAAGAGTCTGGGCCACTGGTATCTGAATCACTTTCTCCGTGGAACCTGCCTTCGGCGAACGCGTTATCAACACTTCTTCCAGTCGAAGATGTTGGCGCTGACTTTGGACCGGCGCCTGTCGCAATCCTCTGGACGCGTTGTACAATTCGGGCAAACGACAGACTGCATGCTGTACGTGGACGCTGAACGCCACTTGATGCCCGCTAAGCATGCGAGCTCCATTCGCTACCACCAATGAAGGCCAGCGCGTATGCTCAACCTATTGCACGTTCGCACAGGCAATATGGAGATCTGCTTTTGACAATGATGGCAAGTTTCAGCAGGTTCCACTATCAGACCGCGACAAGACCGACCCCACGGAGATTGTGGTGCACCATCTGCAGACGCGTCTGGGGACTCGTACTACAGTCATGTCCGATGCACGTTGAGTGGGCCTTTGGATATCAATAGTACAACCGGACTCGCAGGAGGATTTGTTATTATGTGATGAGCAGCTCGCCCAATTCGAGCTGTGCTCTCTGCTAAGCTCGCCGAAACACGTTTCCAGGGTCCAGTCAAGCGCGAAGCTACCACCCATGGCGCAACACACCCTGCAGGCCATCCGTTCCCAACAAAATCAGCCACACACTCAAGACGTCTGCAGCTGGCGTTGGGCCTTTCACATGTCGCGCATGAAAAGACGAAGCGGTGGCAATCTGGGGTGCGTCGACGCAGAATTTATCCAGCTTCGTGAGGATGAGAACCACGGCCAACGACGACGCCATGCCGGAAATACCCTTTCATGGATGACGATCCTCTTCAGTGACGAGTTGTTGTGTTGATCCCTCGAAGGGTGAAAATGTACAGTATATTCAAACTGACTTGGCACCATGCCGAGTTTCCACTCACACCGGCAAGGATATTGCACACGGTATGTGAGGGTTCCGTGCTGTCCGCTTTGCCACGCCTTCTTCACGCTCTCAACCTTCGCGGGCCTCTCCATTCGGACCGATGATTTCGCTGCCAGAGAGTGCTCGTCACAGCGTGGGCGGGTGAGTTGTATGTTAGAATTGCGCCCTGTGGAGCCGCTGAGATGTCGGGGGGTACAGCATGGGATGTGGGCGGTTGAAGCGAAATCATCATCATCAATGTGATACTGTCGTCCAACCGCCCTACTTTGTACGATGCGATGTCGGCGACGCAAGAGGTTTGATAACGCGAGACGCTCGTGCATCGTTTCATACAATGCAGAACGACACTACAGCACGAGCGGAGCACTGCAAGGATGCTGGGTGTCGCTGGCCGTGGATTGGAGGTCTGGCCGTCGTGACTGCATCGCAGAGATGCGGAGTGCATACGTTGTGGAACAGGACATCTCTCGTCAGACGCTGGCGGCAAACAGTTCAAGCAATGCAACGCAATCCTGTGACAGCCGCCACTGCACAGATGATATGCGCGACGCAGCTTGTCTATTGCACAATGCAATGGACATCGTTGGCGATGACGATGAGGAGAAACAATGCTGTAATCCGAACCACAATCGTCATCTCATGGGTTCTCCGGCGGCCGTTTTGCGATAGCGAAAGAGAACAAGCACATGCATTCTCCAGACTTTGGGCTCACTCCGCAGCAAAATGATCTCAGACCCACTGGGCGTGCGTTGAGATGGAGGGAGGTTGAATTGAGGTGCAGGACTCTGACTGGCCAACACGCAATCACAATATCGATGAGCTGGAGTTTTCCCCAGGTTGACCCACCGCAAGTGCTTGAGCGCGTACAGTAGTCGCAAACATGGCCAAGATGGTACGTTGATGGGTCGTGGAAAGTGCCATGTTGCTATCGCTGGGCTACATGCACCCCATGGTCGTCTTATGTAGGCATTGTGGGCCCTGGAGCTGTGCTATGAGGGTCGAGGCATCGGAGGGGTCCAGCTTGCAAGACTTGGTGAGGTACGCGTCTGGTACTTGGTGAGGTACTTCTGGGATTGCTGATAAGGGCCTGTGGGCTGTGGCGGTGCATCGGGCGGAGCTTCTTTCTCATCGTGCGACGACGGTACCATAACGACTCGGTGGCAGGAACACAGAATTAGACGCGACTCAACAGTCCCTGCTTCTGAACACGACGCGTGAATGCTTGAGCTGGGTACGATACCGAGTAGAAGGCGCTATACCATTTCTCTCCTCCCGTAGAGAAGCCGGGGAGAAGCGCTGATCTATGTCTCCGGAGTTGGTACATTCGTAACCCGTGCAGCGCGGATCATTGGTTCGTGTCTGCACGATCTTGGCTGTACCGAACACGCGTGCGTCGTGGCTCTTGGAAGCTCGCAGACGGTGTCAGATGGTGTTGATATCGTTTTCGTGGCTGGCGACGTTGCAAAATGTCCTTGGTGTGCCTTTTTTCACAGTAGCCGTTGAGATGAAAAGTCTATGGTATACATAGACTCCCTGTCTTGTCAGGGTCTTGAGCCTCGAGTACAAACCTCGCCAATCTGTGCGGCTGTCGGCCAGGGTAGCTCCATGACTTGTGAGCTCTGTGTCTGCCGGAGCGTAAACTTGCCCGTGGCTGTCGACAAGGGGTTGGTGTAGGTAGCTGGACCTGACGATCCCATAGCTTTTGGAGACAGCTTTGCGAAATCCTTCTTCTTCCCCTCATGTCACGCCTTCCTTCGCATACGACGTACGCGGCGGCCATCGCGGTTTGTAATTTGTGCTGTAGCCCAAATAGAGTTTTGGTCGACTTAGCGGTGTGATGAACGCTTATGCAGTCATGCTTGACACTTGCTCTTTCCAGCAAGACTATCTATTCGTAATGAAGCACGAGTGGACTTCACATGCAATGATCATCGCTATCCCACTCTGGAGTTGCTGATCTGATGACCAGCTCGCAGCTTCTTCTTTGGAAAGAAGCTCTTGGCCGTAGCCACGTTGTTGCATCCCAGCTCGGGTGCTTGGCGTGGATGAGGCTGAATCCGGTTGGTCCAAGCTCTGTGGTCGTCGCTAGGGCATTTTTGCCCCGCGAAGCAAAACGCAAAAGAGTGCAATGCAACAAGTGATAGCCAGGAGGAGTGGTCAGTTGATCAATTTGCAGCCCAGTATTGATTCTTGAAACGATCAGTCGATTTACGAGAACAGCATGTTAGAAAATGTCGTAGTTATGTGGTCAGCCCAGCAAATGGTCGTGCTCGTATCCACCTTCCAACTGTTGAGTTGGAATTTCTCCTCTATTTGAGGGCCAGTCCTTGCTCGGTAACCGATCCGGAGGCTCTGGCCACGATCTCGCGAGCACTCCTTGCTCGTAGATCAGCTCCGTCGTTGCAAGTGGCAGACAGTGCGGTGAAAGCAACATGGAGGCCTTGTCTAGCAGTGCGGTTTGGTATTATAGCACGTTCAACGAACGGGGATCGCCGATGGTGCAGGAGGGCGTCGCGATTTGTGAAGGAGTGCGCGCTACTTGAGCGTTGCCGGAGATCCGGTATGGCAAAAGCAGAAGCCGATTTCGTGCCGGTCACAAAACAATGCATACGGCAGCGAATTGGGGCAGCAGAAAGAGGACGGGCGTTAGTAAGGATCGCGTAGGTGGAAATGCAAGAAAGTCGTGATAGGCCCGCGACGCGGCGGAGGCTCACGACAGAAGCGCAGCAGTGACATGTTTGTGAGTCGCACATAGACAGGCAAGCGCATCCCGGGCACACTCTCCGCGGAGCCAGGTTTGTAAGAGAGAGCTATGGCGTGAGGATAACGCAAGCTCGGCGCAGTCGCCCTCGCAGCAGTATCACCATGCAATAGGCCAGGAGGAGGAATGGACAGCCATTGTGCTTGCACAGGAGGTGAGTTCTCCGCGCGAGAAGTCTGGCGGTACTGCGGTGCTCCAACGAGCCATCTGGAGGTGGAACCAGTCTCGCAGCAGCTGCTGTGGCTGATGAGGTGGAGCAGAGAATTTCTGCTGATGGCAGAGTCGCGCCGCGCGGCGCAGATGAGCCAATGAAGAGGCGCCAGGCGCGGTTCTGTGCTCCGCGCTGTCGCGCAGGAAACTGGAAATACCTGCCGAGACCGGGTGTTGCAGTGGCTTGGTGTGACGTCTGCTGCTCGTTCACGCCGTGGCAATGTCACCGCGGTGGTGCGACGCGCCCGAGCTGTCCGCCAGCATTGCAGAGCAGGAGAGCGGTCAGCGCGGTGGTGATGATGGTACGGTACATCGTGATTTCGTCGCAGCGCCCTGGTCCCAGTCGCAAGTGGCTCAATCCTTTTGGAGAGCAGCACAGGCAAAGCTTAACCCGTCGAGCTGGGGCCGCGCTTGCCGGCAAGCGGTCAAGCGCGCACAAGTCGGGACGTTTTGTGCAGCGCCACATCTCGAGATACGTACCGCACGTCTCGTGGAGCTGGTCCGGCACGCATGGCGACTACGGTGGCAGATCCCCATTAGCAATGTCGCTCTGCTGCGCGGCGGCGGTGGAAGTCTTGAGACAGCGGTGATGACAGCGCACGCGAGGCGACGACATTACAGTGTCCGTGGCCGATCGATGCGGCGGGCCTTCGATATACGATGACGCGCGCACGGTCGGTGCGAGACATGTCGGACGCAGAATCATCTCTGCCACCAACTGCGGTCTTGCCTGTCTGCGCGTCTGAATAATACAGCCCAGCAGGCAGGCAGCTGGCCGTGGCTGCTGGTCTGCCCAAAGTGTATCTCTGCCCGTACCCGCGCTGGTCGCTCGAGGTACCCTCGAGGTACTCGGCGATCGCTGCAGGCCGGCGCATCCGCTATCGCAGGCTGCTTGGCGGGCGCTGCAGTGAGGAATTAGGTTGTCCCCAACAAGCGGCTCGCGGTGGATCGTGCATCTATCGAAGCGCTCGCTTGCTCAGCGCCCGCGCGTTGCATGCTGTGGAGTAGAGAGCCAGACTACGGCCGCCTGCTGAAGATCCCTGTGCTGCGAGTGCCCGGCGGGCAGGTTGCTCGTGGTTCAACTTTCCGCACGTCGCTCAACCGTCCCTCCCAGGCCGCCCTCCAATTCTAGGCCATTGCCAGCCATTGCCTGCTCGCAGCACTCACTGATTGATATTACCCCCAGGCCTCCCCGCGCGACGACGTGTGCTTCTGAACCACGCCCGCTGGCTGCATCATCGAGGGCTTCTTTGTTGATCGGAGCGCGACGCCAGTGGTTGAGCAATTGTCGCCGCCGCTCCCCAACACGCACACATCTTGGTTGCTGCTGCCCCACGCACCCACGAGCAGGACCAACCCAGGTTGAGACACACCTGGCTTTCTCATCGACATTTTCGCACCTGCCATCGCCAACAGCAGGAGCCTGCCGGCGCCGTCATTGTCGAAAGACACCTCGAGCGCACCCGCCGCCCGCACTACAATACACGACTGCCCGGCTTTCACTAGCTGCGCGCACCTGTCGTCGACGCATCCTCTCGCCGACTGGAACCTACTGGATCCCCTTCTGCACTCGCCCGGCGTCTCGCATCCGACGCCGTTGTTGTATCATTCTGTAAGTCTCACCTCCGCCGTCTGCGTGTCGCTATCGTCGATGTTGCAAATTCGACGCCGAACGCGGACAAAGAATGTGCCAGACCTCGACCGCTGACATACGCCAATCCCAGTGTACCGATACTGGCCCTTCACCCACCTTTTAATGCATTGCGCGGCTCCCACACACTAACCCTACGACATCTTCGACTCGACTCTCACGAGAGCAGCGATGCCGTACACTCCCCCGTCGCAGCAATCTCCTGCGTCGTCCAAGTCGAATTCCCCCGTCATCAGCAGGAGCTCGTCGTACCATCAAGATGATGCAAACATTCCTCGCTCGCCCGCCAGCACTCGACCGCAGCCGCCCCGATCAAACTCATCGACATCGTATCTGCACCGACACCGTCGATCGCCGTCGTGGGGCTCCAAAACATCGGCGGATGGCGCTCCGCCAACCCCGACAGACGCACCGGATGCCACTATTAGCGCTACCGACTTTGCACTTTCCAGCAGTCTGCGGCAGTCACCACCACCGGTTAACAACCTGCGGATTCCAACTGGCGCGGTGATGTCCCCGCCAGACTCGTCGGAAAACTCTGATGGAGACGAAAGTGGGAATAGTGATCGAGGCCGAGAGCTGGAACAGAATTGGGATCAGTTGCAACAGGCAGTGCGGCAGATTAACCTCCGTAGGGATGGTTCGCCCGACAAGGTCGGTAATCACCTCCAACAGCAGCACGCCGACTCTGCACCCACCTCAGAATCGGCCTCACCCACAGCATTGATGAGGCCAGCCTTGTCGGCCGAGGCTCGCAAAATCTCCCACTCCCGGTCGTCGACGGAGTCCAAGGTCATTCTCAAAACAACGTTCGCCGATTCTCCATCGCACACGTCTGACGAGAGCGATGAGGACGAAGGTTCTCTGTCAAAGCCGGCGCTAGTGCGGAAGAAGTCCGGCGAGCTGGTGAAGCCGGCGTTGCGGCCGTCATCCAGGCGGCGTTATTCGAGCATGCCTGGCACCCCGACATACCACAAGTCCGTCCACTTCAACGACAGCGACAACCAGACCAGACATTTTCTGCAAGTCGACAAGCCCATCGCCGTCAGTGCGGGCTCATCTCCTGTCGAAACCTACGACAGCGAGTCCGAATTTCCCTTCAACGATGATGACGGCAAGAAGCCTGAGCTCGAAATCAAGATCGCCAATTTCCCCGAGGATTCGTTTGAGCGCCGAGCCCAGCCCATCCGTGTTGAGAGGATCTTCCTGTCAGCAGACAAGACCACCCTAGTCGGAGTGTGTGCAGTCCAGAACATCTCTTTCCACAAACAAGTCGTCGCCCGCTTCACTCTTGACTACTGGAAGACCACCTCCGAAGTGGCTGCCGAATATAACAATGATATTCGCACACCATCCATGGATGGCTGTGACCGCTTCAACTTCCACATCAAGTTGTCAGACCAGGCAAACATCGACAACAAGACGTTGCTCTTGTGCGTCCGCTACAGTGTCGCCGGTCAGGAGTTCTGGGACAGCAACAACATGATGAATTATCAGATCGACTTCCACCGTGACCAGCCAAAGAAGGCTGCCAAGAAGGTCTCTATCAGGCATAACCAACTTGGTCAGCGACCACTCAATGCCATTCCCCGCAGTCGACACAATGCATCATCGGCCCGCGGTAGAAAAGACCGAGAGTCCGTCGACGATGACTTTGTCCCTGCGCACACCTCTGCGTACTCTTTTGGCTCTGCAGACGACCTGTTGTCTATGTCTACCGGGTCTATCAAACTCAAGCAGAAGCCGAAGCGTACCCCAATGTTCGCTACTAGTGCAGCTGCCCCAACCCAGCCCCAGCACGGCCTTGGTAGCAGATACGACTTCAGCTCATCCTTGTCCGCTGCACTCGGCACCGCACAGGACAAGCTGGGTCAGCGCAGTGGTCTGATGATGAATGGCAACGCTGGCCGTATCCCACCGAATGGAGGCTACTTTGGTCCACTGGATCGCACCGAGCCTGACAAGGCTCCTGCGCCGACAGAACGACCCGATGCTCTCACGACTGACCGGCCGGCCATGGGATCTGACCAGTACAAAGACCTAGTCCAGAAGTTCTGTTACGTAGGTTCTGCCCGCACCAGCCCCTCTATCACCAAGGTCTAGGAACCCAGTCACAATCACAGCGCTGACCACCTATCCAGTTCACACCTGGTCCGGCCAAAGGAGTAAGCTCTGCTGCTACGACTGCTCCGAAGTCTGCTCCTGTCAAGCAGGAGGCCAAACCTGCTGACACGGATGGTGCGAACGAATCGGACTCCTCCAGCAACTCAAGCTCATCTTCTGGCAGTAGTACTCCGACGAATGAGCAAGAGGTTAGCCAGCAACGAGTAGCGCAGTCTCCCGCTCTTGGTCCATTCATCTCTCGCTCACAATCTCCAGCAGCGCAGGTGACTGGCCAGGCATTGGGTTCTCGCTCTGCGTCACCGGTGGCCTTTGGATATCCTTACAACCATTCTCATCGCGATGGCTACCTGTCTGATACGCCCCGAGCCACCGCGATCCGTGGTTGAGAATTTGACTGATCGTCACTGCGGTGTTTCTGCCTTCTGTTTCTTCTCGACTTTGTCACTCGATATGGGAGCACGCAGCGACCTTGTCACGACGATCACGATTGCACGATATACGATCATCAGCGGAGATGTTCTCCGCATTACCGACTACTTCCAGCAACAGAACTGCGTGGCAGGACTTGGGAGATGCAGTGTTCACGCTACTACTGCTCTTGTCGGGGGAAGTTTGGGATTTTTGTTTCACTCTTGCACTTCTAGCGAGTACCGAATTTTTAATGTATGGCGTTCTGGCATAGACTTGCTTTTTAATCCTGAGAACCCGGTATGCGTGCCATTGAGTTGCTCATTTGGCATGCTGGCTCTCTAGGTGGGGAATGGGGAAACCGCATCGTAAAAAGTTGGGGTTTTGTTTTGGGAATCACTCTTCTCTTCTCTGCATGGACAAAAAACAAGAACTTTTTGTGGATGGATTATGAGAGAGGAAGGCATGGCTTGGGTTCTTCTATCTTGGGATGGTTTCTCATCATTCTGGGTTGTTCAGGCTCATGGTCGGGGTTTGTTTTGAACAGGAGCGATGGCGTTTTGATCATGGAAGGTCGGTTCTTACTTCTCCATTTGGGCTTGCTTGAGTCGCTGTGCGGCAAGTGTGCCCGGCATGTTCGTGTTCGTGTTCTGCAGATACAGGAATTTTCTCAATTCGATGATTGCTACTACAACTACCAATACATCATTCAACTTCCTCTCTCACATACACATGAATACGGACGCCATTTCCCTTTGTTCGATCTCAACAAATTCGTGTGTTGCAGCATGCGTTGTTCTTTACATGACGTACTTCCCGCCTGCTTACAGTGAAGTTTGAGAGGAGAAAATGATAAGGTGAAGTCCATGCACATGCCTGTCGACGTTTCAGACCCCTATATTATTACTTTTGCGCACGTCATTGTCTCAGTTGTTTATTTTCTGTTTTAGATGGATCTGATGAGATCGTGGAGCTAACTTGGAGTTAGTTTGAAGAAAGAAGGAAGGGGTCCTGTTACTGGGATCCTTGTTGAGGCTGAAAAAGATGAAGCGGACTACTTTGACCGGATGGTTGGTATGGCTATGGATCTAGTGACTAAGAGTTGTGGTACTAATAAGCAGTTCGTGGCTATTATGCGCTGTGGCGTGATGATGTCTCGGATTTTATATTAGTTATGCGTGTGTTTATGGTATGCAGTAGTTACTAGTTAGTTGGATCTGATGGAGAAGCGAGATCTTCCTACTGTATGCGTTGGTTAGTCGGCGCTAATCCAGAGCTACTGTTCGTCATCTCGTGACCGGAGTGGTGGGTTGTGTTTGGGAGGACAGAGTCTGCAGGTGCCGGACTGGACCTGGCGGGACGAAGTGCGAGGGTGGAGTTTGGTTATTGGCTGGTTGGCGAAAGAGCGGTATAGCGGTATAGGTGGATTTGCGGTGTGTTGTACTATAGGTTGGAAGTGTGGTCGCCTGACGCGGTTTGTTTTCTTTCGGGAGACGTGGAGGGCTTGCTGGCTGGCACCTCGTGTGCTGATGAACTTGAAGTTGGTTTGGGTTTGGGTTTGACTCTGGCTTGTATTTGGTCCTTTTTTCTGGAAGTCGCGGTAAGGAGACGCAGACGGAGCACAGTGACTTGAGTATGTATCACGGGAAAGCGACGTGGATTTGCTGCTGATGAAAATTGGTCGACATTTCCTCGGGGTGTTTGTCTTCTCAGCTCACAGCAGCAAGATGTCGAGAGCTCCGTTGCTACTTCAGCCGCCACTGCCGCTGCCGATGCCGGCTGAATTGAGCTTCTGAAATCAGGCTCCTGCTTCAACGCAACGACATCATCAATGTCAGGCAATGATACTCGGCCTATATCGGCTTTCGGCACACAGCAGGAGCAACATGTTGATGAAGCTGTTGGGGCGATCGTTTTCCACGGGAGTAGGTCTGCCATGGCATCTCATCTTCGGTCACACTTTCCAATTTTTGCAATCGTGATTTGCAGAGTTACAGCTTTCTGATCGCTCACCGTGAACACAAATAGAAAACCTGGACGCTGAAATTCGAATGATCATGTCGCAACAAAAACTACAAGAACAGGACGAGGTTCTGGCGAAGCCTTGGGATATCGTGATCGTGGGCACGGGAGCTGCGGCTTTGACTGCGGCTCTTTCTGCTGCTGAGCAAGAGCCAAAGCCCAGTATTCTGCTCGTGGAAAAAGCTCCTGAAGAATGGGCTGGCGGGAATGGATACTTCACTGCTGCGGCTTACCGCACGAGACACAATGGCCTCAAAGATATGTTGCCACTGGTGTCCAATGTTCCTGATGACTTGAAAGACAAGATTGATCTTCCTGCATACCCCGAAGAAGCTTTCCACGCGGATTTGCAAAGAGTCACGGATGGGAGGAGTAGTAAGGAGTTGGGAGATGTTGTTGTGAAAGAGAGTTTGGATGTTGTACGATGGCTGAAAGAAGTTGGTGGTGTGGATTGGTGGCTGTCGTTCAGGCGACAGGCGTATCAAGTTGAGGGCAGGTGGCAATTTTGGGGTGGACTGTGTCTGACTGTGAAGGATGGTGGGAAGGGACTGATTGCGAATTTGTTGCAGGCGGTGAGGAAGAAAGGGTGTGTGATATCGTTCGAGAGCGAGGCGAAGAAGATTGAAGTTGATGAAAATGGTGCGACAGTTGGGCTTCAAGTGGCCAAAGGTGGACAGAGGTATCAGGTGAGGACGAGGAATGTTATTCTGGCTGCTGGTGGGTTCGAAGCCAATCCGGAGCTGAGAAAGAAGTGGATGGGACCTGGTTGGGAGTTGGCGCACACTCGAGGCACGCCATACAATACTGGTGACATGTTACAAGCTGCGATCGATATTGGTGCTCGTAGAGTGGGCGACTTCAGTCCTACTGGTTGTCACAGTGTGGCTTGGGACGCAGATTCACCCAAGTCCGGAGGTGATCGAGAGAAGACGAATGAGTTTACCAAATCTGGCTACCCACTCGGTCTAATGCTCAATGCGGAGGGCAGTCGTTTCGTCGACGAAGGTATGCAACTCTGTCCATTTTGATGTTCGTTGTACTCACCTTGACTGCAGGAGTTGATCTACGCAATTATACATATGCCAAGTTTGGCAGAGCGATTCTGGAGCAGCCGCAAGGGATCGCTTTCCAGGTGTGGGACCGAGAAGGTCAGCAGTGGCTGAGAGCCGAAGAGTATCGCGACGAGATCGTGAGGAAGGTGACAGCGGACTCGATTACGGGCCTGGCTCGTAAATTGCATGATGAGGGCTTGCGAAAACCAGGCGAGTTTGTACAGACTATCAACGAGTACAACTCCGCCGTTGCAGCTTATCGAATAGAGCATCCAGATGCGAAGCTCAATCCTGCGATCAAAGATGGACTGTCAACGCAATCCGCAGCTGTTCGCCTTGGACTACCGAAGTCGAACTGGGCAGTACCTGTCAATCAACCGCCGTTCCTTGCCATCAAGGTCACATCTGGGATCACGTTCACCTTTGGTGGCCTGGCCATCAACCCGGAAAATGCAGCCGTACTGCGTGAAGACGGATCAGAAATTCGAGGGTTGCACTGCGTGGGAGAAATGGTGGGGGGCCTCTTCTACTCCAACTACCCAGGTGGCTCTGGTCTGACAGCCGGTGGCGTCTTTGGGAGACGTGCGGGCAGAGCTGCTGCTGCAAGCGTACAGAATACAACCTCTTAGGTGTAGATGCTGTGCGATCCGTGTAACGGCGCCACCGCGAGTGGCATGCTGTCTCTTGTGCGTGTGCTACAGTATCACAATCAGTTGTTTCTCAGCACTGTCCTGATCGGCCATGCTGTAGTCTGTGCTGCCGTTGTCAACGCTACGTGTGCTCAGTGTAATCCAACATTCTGATGTGATGCGAGTGAGATGCGGTCGAAGCGCATGCTTCACATGCTTGCCGGACACGAGGAGATCGTCCAGCATCCCATGCGGAGCTCATCCTTCACGACCCCAAGCTCCCGCCAATTGCGACGCAGAGATGACTTCATTGATCTCGACTGGAGCAGAACACGGTGCTCTGGTGGTTCTTGTATTCTGTGATTGTTGATACGGCTTTCCTCCACGCCAACAGGCGTTTCCTAAGCGAATCCATTGACAGTGGGCCTTCTGAGGATCAGCGAGACTATTGAGCACGTTCCATAACCGGTTTTGGAGCTGCATGAAGCCGCCTCCCGAGCGCTACGCTGGTCAACCTTGCGAGGCCGGGCGTGGCGAATTCAGTCGCGATCCTGGACGAGGGCCGCATCTGTGAGGCGTGCGGAAAATACAGACCAGGCGGAGGTGAAAAGGTGACGCTATTTCCCAGTCGCGGATGCGCCGTTAACAAGGGAGTGCGGTTGCGTAGGAGCGTTTCTCGTGCGCGTGGTCGAGTGGTACTCACTCGATCGATCCGAACCTGATTGGACAGAGGCGAGCGCTGGTGCATGTGAGGCGGAAATTGGTCAGGTCAATGCACGTCGTCCGCCCAGCCGCTCTGCATCTCCTTCGAGACCTCATCTGTGACCGTGACCCGAACACCACCACCTCACCTCGTCGGCCAGTGTCGTGGGCCGAGTGCCAGCAACATCCACCCAGCTCCACCGCCGTCTCACGCGCGTCGCCCCGCTACACCGCTCCTCCGCCGCCACCGCCGCCAAGGGCAATCGCGACCGAACCGCGCTCGCCCGCGTTTCCAGCCCGACCAGCAGCACAGCCGCCCTCGAGCACCTCCAGCTTGCTCTGACGACTCGGCCGCGCTGCGAGCACATACGATTGCCACAATACTTGCCACCGCTCTCGCTCGCTCGAACGCGCCGCCAGCATCTCACACCGACCTTGCGATCGCCGAGGACACCGTCCGGCCGTAGCGCGTCTCTCTCCGCTGGTTCCACTTTCCCGACCGCTCTTCCATCATACATGCACATTCAGTGACCGCGAGCACTGCGATGAGTCAACCGGGCACCCAGCCTGTCCCGGGAGGTGTAGGACAAGGTGCGTTCACTCCAGCCGACGTGGAGGTACAATGTCACATGCAAGTCATGTGAAAGTGGGCCCATCGCGTAGCGCGCAAAGCAGAAGGGAGCTTCGAAAGTCACGAGACTAACATTTGATTGCACATAGGGCCTGCAGAGGTGTCGCAAACGTACGTGTTAAGCCCGATGACGATGATCTCCGCTAGCGATTACTAAACAACGATACAGCGCACAGAATGTCGATGCGACGAAGGCAGGTGAGAACGGAGCTGGAGCCAGCGTCCCAGCATCCTCTTCTCTAGAACCAAATCAGCAGAACGTATCCGCCGCCGATCGATCAGAAAGCATTGGGCCACGCTCGAAGCGAAGCTTTGGCCGAAGGAAACGAGACCCTAGTACTGGAAGTAGACGTCGGGGGCGACGAGGCGAGCCTGCAAATGAGAAGTCCACGCGATCTGCGCCTGGCGCCTCCGCCAGTCGGACGAACTTAGGAGACGAAAACAAACCGAAGAAGAAGTCGGGCCTGTTTGCGATACTATGCTGCAGTGCTTCTGACAAGTCTCCTGGCGGTGACGGTCAGGATGCCGCAGAGCCTGCCAAGCCGGTGACTAAACCCCTGCAAGGAAGAACGCAACAACAACCGCAAGCTGTCACGCAAGCTGGCAGCAGCAACGCCAACACGAGCGCGGACGAGTCGAAGGAAGTCATCGATGAGAAGGCTGCCCAGCAACACCCACAAGCCAATGGGTCCAAGGGCGAACCAAGGACGTCTACGTCTGGATCTGCTCTTGATGAGAAGACTGCTGCAATTCAATCCACCTTTCCCAGAAACTCTATCGATGCTGCAGCCTCCGGATCAGCATCGCCAGCCGTTGTCCCTCCTATCGTAACAGGCGGTGCAGCTAGTTTGGCACCTGGTCCGTCGGTGCAAGTGCAAGCACCCACACCAACCGTTCCACAGCAGGAAGATGAGCCCATTTTTGACCGGACTGCTGAGCAGCAGCAGCGTGATGAAGATATCGAGATGAAAGACTCCAACGTCTTGACTGAGAAAGAGGCACAAAAGGAAATCGAGGAGATGCAACATGCTCATCAAGAAGAGACATCGACGGCGCAGCCAACGACTGGGTTGCCGCCCCCGCCCGGTCCTCCTCCAGGAACTAACGAGAAAAGTAACGAGACCTCCATGGTCTCCACGCCTGAGGGCACTTCAAAATGGCTTCTTCCTCCAACGCGACCTGAGCACAAGGGTCGAAAGTGTCTTGTTCTCGATCTGGATGAAACGCTTGTACACAGCAGTTTCAAGGTACGTGGATGCAAATATCAGCTCTCCGACATTGGCTAACATTCTATAGATTCTTCATCAAGCAGACTTCACGATTCCTGTTGAAATCGAAGGGCAATATCACAACGTATACGTCATAAAACGGCCTGGCGTTGATGCTTTCCTCAAACGGGTCGGAGAGATCTATGAAGTCGTGGTCTTCACTGCTTCTGTGTCCAAATACGGAGACCCACTCCTCGACCAGCTCGACATCCACAATGTCGTGCATCACAGGCTGTTCCGAGAAAGCTGCTACAATCATCAAGGAAACTATGTCAAGGACCTGAGTCAAGTGGGACGAGACCTGAAGGAAACCATCATTATTGACAACTCGCCGACCAGCTACATTTTCCATCCGCAACATGCAGTTCCGATCAGCAGCTGGTTCAGCGACGCGCACGATAATGAGCTCTTGGATCTGATTCCAGTATTAGAAGACCTTGCTGGCGATCAGGTCGCCGATGTCAGCCTGGTGCTCGACGTCGCTTTGTGATTAACGCTACGACACGAATACTCATGGACTTTGACTTGCAGTCGAGTCTTGTACGATGGACACTGGTGGCTCTCTTTGCCTGCGTGGAACGGCCGGCTCAAGATACCCTTTGATTTCGATACACGACGCGGCAGAGAATGCTTATCTAGATAATGTGTTACCAGATCACCTCAGCGAGCTCGGCGAAAACCAGGTCGGCAACAGATACAGACCGCACTTTCTTGACAGGATCACGCGACATACTACAATGTACAGCAGCAGCATAGTCAGATCATGCTCGCCGACAGTTTTGGTTCGGCCTGGGCTCATATCTGCGAATGACACGACATCATACCCCCACAAGAGAACTCTATACTGTTTTGACATGGTAGTCTCCAAAGCCAGGTGACGAAAAATTGGGCGTCTGGCGTTCTTGACTTGCGGATCACGACCGCTTTCAGCACATCAACTTACTGCGTTCCGGCGATGCATTACAGGCACATCTGCATTTACAAAATTTACACTGCGTCCCCTTCGGTGTTGCTTTTCCTTTGTTTTACAACACACCTCAATCGACCAAAAGCCAAGGCGTGTGAAAGAATACAATTACCCTTTCGCACGAACGCATACCTGGAGGGAACGATGTCGAGAGTTATTGTGTTCTGGAGGGAGAGCAAGCGTGGTGGAATGCGATACCCATGGGGCAGCCACCACTTTTCTTGGTGGTGTCTCTTGTTTGGAAAGTTTCTTGGAAAATCGGGGGTTTCGCGCGATGAGCAAGAAATCATATGGATGTTATTGGTGTATCATCCAGCAGCAGCAGTGAACCAGTACCAGAAGCAGCCAGAGAGCGGAGCGGGATTGCATTGCAATTGATTCGATCGATGGGGAAAACAACACAAGCAGAAAAAGCGGCGCATATGAGGCACTTCTGCCCTGGCGAAGAAAGGGCGAACACGATGCGTGCGGGCTGGCTGGCTTTTTTGGTTGTTGGTTTCTTCAATCTTCTCTTTTTCTTTTTTTTCTTCTTTCTGAGGTGCATATAGAATACAACTTCTTTGTATTTACGGAAAGAGAAAACAGATTTTGATACTATACTTGCCTACTCTCGGGTGAGCTACGTGAATACTGTCTGGTGCCATGATAAACAGAGACCGCAAAGCTTATTCGCTCAAGTTACTTGGGAGGGCACAGGAAACAAAGACTCAGGACGCTAATCAGTCAAAGCTAATATCTTTCGATTCACCGAAGGTATCCTCAGACTATAGAAACCAGCATTCATATCAACTCCAATTCCTGCTCATCTCCATCGTATACCCTCTCAACAGCATGTCACACTTGTCCTTGTATCTTCACACGCTCCGCCATTCCATGCATCACTCCGAACATACTCATACAACGACCGCACCCATCCTAAGCCTACATCAGAACTCGAAATTGACTCAGCTGTCATCAATGACTTTCTCCATCGCTTCTGGCCTCACAGCAGGGCAGCATAAAGCGCATGATGGACAGAGCCCTTGCCCATCGATCGAATACATCTGACCCCATTCTCAAACCTGCCTCTGCTCACAACTCTTCACCTCGTCGACCCAGGCGATGCAGTCTTCGGAGGCGTTGGGTAAGAATGCCGTCCATTCAAAGAACTCGGCGTCGTCACAGAACTCTCTCTCCTCCATTCACAATGCGGACAACCAATTCCAGCTTCCCTCCGAATGGCTTGGTAGTCTTCGCAGAATATGACTCGGGTCTGATCGCCTGTGATGTTCTTGGGACACATGTGCGCATGCATTGGGATGTGTTCTTCGCAGTGGGGGTAATGGGTGTATTCGTGGTAACACATGATGTACCTTTGGTGCTGGCGACCAGGGTTCGTCGGCGTCGGGTCCGATGGTGGTAGGTTTTGGACAGCTGAAGCTCGAAGAAACGTGAGATGGGCGGGAGTTCGCACGAAGATCTTGTGTAAGTCTCTCTTGCGACCGATCGTGAAGCAATGACCCGTCGCTTGGTGGTGATGAGTAGATATTTGTGCGAGTCGGTGGCGGAGTTTGAGGTCGAGTTTTTGGGAAGCGGTATTTCGATGCAACGATGTGGGAGATCAGTTCACCGCAAAGCGTGGCCTGCTACTTGTATTTGGATGTTTGGATGTTTGGCCATTTTGAAGTTTCGATCCTATTGCTGTTTGTGCATAATCGCCGCGTTGGGCGACATGGGTACGACAAACAGTGCTGACCGCGGCGCAAACGCATCGCATCCTGCTTTTCGAACTTATCGCACCTCGGCATCTCTGATCAGTCGCTAGAAGCCACTGCTTATGCTGGTCAGATTGCTTGCTGATTATCAATATCTTCAATGTTGGTTCGCTTGGACCTAGCCCGCTACTTGCACGAACGTCGAATTGATGGTATCATCCTGCGGCGGCGTCGGTGGGCTCACTTTACCACCCCTGAGCATCACAAGCCAAACAGCGTCGGCATTCTCAGCTTCCAGAGCGGCTCGGGTCTCGTCATCATCCAACACAGGCGCCAACATTTCAACAGCATGGTCGAACATTTCTGGGGCCAAGGAAATGTGTTTGACGATGGAGGTAATGGCACCCAACAACGATGTCCAAAGCAACCTTGTCGAAGTATCGCTGTAGTCTGCTGGCGTTGCTTTGATCCGCATTAAGGCAAGGCTGAGAGCGGTGTTGCTGGGCACCATGGCAGTAGTATGTTGATCTTTTACCTTCCCTGTGCCGTGGCTCCGAGGCTGCACGCTCTGCACGATATTCGCAGCGGTCTTGTTATACATCTCTTGTAGCTCAGGCCAAAGTTGCTGGACTCGAGTGCGCATGAAACCTCCGGCATGCTCGCACAGCATAGCAATAAGGTCCAAAGTAGTGGCCACTACGTATGGCTCGGTATCGTCGAGCCTCGATACAACTTCCGGCCATAGCGTGTTGATGAGCGGCAAGAACGAATTCTCATGGCGTGATATCGCTGGCGTCGTAGTTTTGATCAGATTGAGTAAAGAAGACCTCAGAGACGCAGATGCTGAGGGCAAGAAGTGCTGTGTCAATTCCGAGATGCGAAGTAGCAGGCCGTATGTTTTCGGGGCCGGTGGAGGAGGGTCCGGAATATCAACTCCTCGCTGGTCGTCCTCTGCTGAACCCGTTTCCTCTGTCTCATTCTCATCGATCGACTTCCATGGACGTTTCGGATGCGGCTCGGTTTCCTTTATCTCAGCTGCAGTGATGTGCTCCTCTTCTGCCACCTTTTCATGTAAAAAAGCGGCTAAGCCATCTATTGTCACCGGCTGCCATCGATCCTCGTAGTACTTTGCGAGGTCTTGTTTGGTGCCATCTGTAATGGCAAGCTGGGGCATTTTGGCTCCCTCCTCAGCAACCACACTCAGTACTCTGAAAATGAGTTCGACCAGAAGTGGATAGCCGTGATAGTCTTGCAGAGCAGCAAATAGACTGTCAACCGTATCCTCAAGGTACGGCAACAAGCTTGGTCCAGCAAGCCGCACCATCATGAGCAACACTTGTGGTGCCTGAGGGCTCACGTCGAAAGCATTGAGCCTCAATGACACGGCGTTGGTGAGATAGTCGACATTCTCTACAATCAAGTTCTCCACAGATTCGTAGCCACAAGACGAGGCGAAGATGTTCAGCGTGGTCATACTGTCCTGCTGCAGCAACGCGTCGGGCGTAGCCAGGCTATGCAGGACGGGATAAAGGGCATCAATGAGCTCATGTCGAAAGTCTTGACCCGATATACGACTGAACAGTGCCAGAGAGCGAAGAGCTAGCGCTTGCAGACGAGGATCTGCTACATCTTCAGAGTTGTCCGTTAAGATGTCGAGTGAGAAGGCGTAGAGATCCTCCAGTTTCTCAGAAGCGATTGAATGCGTTCCATTATCGATGACAAGGAATTCATCTGCGCCAGTGCCTTCTTCTAGCGCTCTTTGTGTGGTGTTGAACAGGAGCCAGAATGTGGCGATTTGCGTCTCTCCGAGGCTTTGACGCATGGTTCTGGAAAGTTCGCCGCTGACTATCTTGTATGAGTGTCGACTGATAGAGTTCGCCAACTTCTCAATTGTTTGCAGCACCTCGTCCTGAGCGCGATACTTCACCAGCGGCGTGTGAAACTCGGTGCTGCTCTTCCTGTCATGTACATCAAGCTCCATAGACTGCACTGGCGGCCGAATATCTGCTTCTTTCTGCGCTAGACGAGGAGGCTGAAGGGTGATCGCTACGCTATCCCTCAAGATGTCTACCAGCATTTTGTCAACCACAGTCGTATCTGTGCCACTGCTTACCAGGATATCGTAAGCTGTGCTGATCTGCCCTATGCGCTCCACTTTCACTGCTTCATCTGCTGCCTGCATCTTCGTGGGCAACGACGATATCCAATCGTGTAGAGTGACCTGTAAGAGTGCTGCAACAGAGGCATCTTGGCTGACCAGTAGTCCAACTTGACTCGTGATGATGCTATCGCTCTGCTCGGAACACAGGATCAGGAGAGTTTCCAAACAAATCGGGGCTGAGTCTTCCAGAGTTCTGCGGCAGTGCATCACAGTGAGGCAGAACTGCGCGAGGGATATTTTCACATCGTCCCGTTCTGTCTCACGGACCTTGAGTATATTCGTGATCGCTGGCTTCAGCTGAGAAGCCGCTGTTTCGAGCCACTTCCGGTCAACAACTCTCGAAAGTCGGGCGCGATCCGAAGCATGTTGGTCTTCTGTGAGGCCGGCGGTAATCTCGTCACCCAGAGTGGCTCTGAAAAGGTGGGTGAGGCTTTCGAGTGCGCGGACCAGAACTTCGTGATTGCGCCGCTGGGCAGTCTTTGGTGTGAGCAGTTTCGTCAATTTCGATACGATGCCTGGCAGGAACCCTGCTTGTATGTCAATAGTCGCCACGCGTGTCACCAATGCTTGTAGTGCACGGCTGGCGGCGATTTGAGTCTCTATCGATCGTGCTCCAAGAACATTGTCAAGGATCGTGCTGATTGTCTGTCCCAACTGGGGCACATTTGACTCTGCTGTCATCGCATCTCGTAGCTCTGAGGATCCGCTCGCAGACTCGAACACATGTCGTAAGCAATCGAGAGCATTTGTACGCAATTCATGAGTCGTCTGTGCTGAAGAAAGTCCGTTTGGATTCTCTTCAGCCATGAGAGTACACAAGATGACGACTTGAGCAGCAAGCTGTGGTTGTATCTGCGACCGCCAGCCATGTTCAAGAATGATGGCGAGGCACTGCAAGGTCAACTCGAGCGCGCGAATTGGCACTCGCTGGCTGACCTTGAGCACCTGCGAGAGCGGAAAGAAGACATAATCGGCCAGCTTGGAATCGAGTGATGCTGGCCGCGATGCCACTGACTGCAAAGTCTTCTGGACGTCTTCAAGTTTCGCGATCAACTGGCTGGCATCACCGCGAGCCGCACTGAGCGTCAGAGCGACCTGACTTAAGGCTACGCATGGTGGCTTTAAGCGTTGGAAGACCTCGTTTCTTCGATCCATCGTTGTGCCGAAGAGAGGCATGTCTTCTGGATCATCGCATATTGAGATGTATCCGGTGATTTCTGCAAGTGCGTTTTCGAAGTCCAAAGGGTGGAGGAGGACTTTGCCAGAAAGACGATGAAGTCGTCCTCGAGAGACCCGAAAGCTGCGTTCACGTGCAAGACCCACTCTCGGCGCCGCTTGTCGCGTGCTGCGTCGCCCTCATTCAATACATCGTCACTCGAGCGACACGCGCAAATGTGCGCAATGAGCCACTCATTACCTTTCTTTCGCTCTGATCACTAGACCTCGTAGACGATGGCGGCGACGAACGGTGTCGTCGGCCGCAAGGGTGCGTCGCTCGCTAGATTGTGCCGCCCACACCTCTGACATTCCACTCCAGCGCCTGCCGCGAAACCCAGCAAGAGCGATAGTGCCATATCGCTAGACGATCTTTTCGAGGACATTGAGAACGACACCGCTGTCAAAGTCCTTCCCGAGGTAAAAGAGAAGCTGCCCAAGGTCAAGAACCCTGGCGCCTGGGCAACAGAGGTCAACGCAGGTACGGCTTGCACGACTAGGCAGATGCTCTCGTGCGAAGGCTGACACCACCTGCTAGGTCCGAGACCCAAAGATACACCAAAAACGGGCAGTGTCAACAAAGTCCCGTCCACAATCGCCAAAGCCTTCCAGAATGGCAAACCCATGGCCGACAAGCCCGAGCTGTTACGATGCACCCACTGCAAACGACCGGTCGCCAAGCACGTCATAGTAAAACATGTAGAAGGCTGCCTAAACAAGAAGCAAGAGAAGCAGCGCAAGAAGAAGGAAGCCAAGGATGCAAGAGACGCAGCAGCACGAAAAGAAAGAGCGGGCAGCAGCGATGAGGAAGAGGACGGATCCAAGAAGACAGCCAGCAAGACAGGCGGCATGACAGCAAGCAAGAAACGCAAAGCAGCCGACGAAGGCGAAGACGGCGGTCCCAACAAAAAGAAGAAAAAGAAAGACGAGCCCAAAAGCAAAGCTGCTCGACCCAAAGCCCCCGTGGACGTGGAGAAGCAATGCGGCGTGGAACTCCCACAAGGAGGACAATGCGCTCGTAGTCTGACATGCAAAAGCCACAGCATGGGAGCCAAACGAGCCGTGCCCGGAAGAAGTGCACCATACGATAAATTGCTCATGGAATACCAACGCAAGAATGCAGCAAAACAGCAAAAAGCTCAGTTCGACGCCAACGCACCTAATCCGGACGACTACGATTTGCCAACCGGACCCGTCGATAGCGAAGAAGAGCGCGAAGCCGTCATGTCGAGTATTGCGAGGTCTTGGGGAGGACAACCGCTTTATCAGCCAGTGCCAGTGCCTCTACGGCAGAAATACGAATATAACAGGATGAAAGGCATGTTGCCTTCGGCGTTCGCGGGGAATCGATCGGGGATGTTCGGCAGCTCGAATACAGCCGGAGGCTTCTTCGGTTCAATACCTCAAGGGCCCGTCGTCGATGCAGACGGCATGGTGCACGCGAGGAAAGGGTGTGTGGTGCCTGGTGCAAGGTCCATGATCGCGCCTGCGGCGAGTCGGAAGCAGAGTGCTGTGGGCACTGCTTAACAGCCTCGTCGTTTGTGTTCTTTTGAAGTTTGGCGCCTTTTGGAGTTCTTTTGGGGTTTTTGATTATGGATGATACCCATGAATGTGATTTTGTTTTTGGTTTCCTGGTCAAGCAGATATCACGACAGCAAAGCAGGCAAGCGGGAAGTGGAGAAGTCATGACCATCACAATTCGTATACATTCGTAGAAATAAGACAAGAAGCGAAAACATACGCTCACTGCTACATGTTCGGAATTGAACTTCATTATTCTCCGCCCGTACTCCCACTTCCAGCACGCACGTGTCACACGTACAGTACGAACCTGAGTACAGCATCGAAACAAGCAAGAAGGCCCGTCACGAACTTCCTCAATAACCTGCATGTGAAACAAAATCCTGGCCAACTCTAGTGACTCGAGCCTCTCATTCTTCTGAAAAGCATTGGATCGGTATTGACGGACGCTACGTGATGTCTAGCCAAGAAGACGCTATGTTGCCGTGATATCCTGTTTTGTGACGCGGCAGGGCTGGTCATGCTTCCATCAGGCTTTCAGCTTGCGAAAGCCTGGAATGGCCTTTTGGGAAAAGCCACTTCGTTCATCACTCCATGCCACATACAAGGTAAGTTCCGATACATGTAGTTTGTGCATGTAGCTTTTACAGAGCATAGTCGTACAGTATCAGCGACTCATCATATGGTTGAATGTCCAGCAATATTTCTCTTCTAACCTGTCTTAGATATATGTGGGACAGATGACGAGGCTCGAGAAGTAATGGCATCAAATTTGTGAATTTCGTGATATCTCAACAAGTAGCTCAGACGCAGGTAAGGAAGCATCATTGACAAGTGACAAAAACTCCAGCTTGGAAAATTTCAAGCACAATCCCTCATAGCAAAAACGCTTCAGCAAACAGACTTAGACCAACCAGAGCGAAAGTGGCAGTCTAAGCGTCTGGTGACACGCCAACACGCTCCTTGGCAAGCAGATCAACCAAGAGTGGGCTGGGCCTGTTGTCCTTGCCACCCTTCAGAGCATCATTCTGAGCCTTGTATTGCTGAACGCTGTTGAGGTAGGCATCGAACAGGTAGCTGCTGTCAAGTGGACCACCCTTGGCCTCAGGGTGGAACTGCGTGCTGAAGATTGGACGAGTCTTGTGGATCATGCCCTCGTTGGAGCCATCGTTGAGGTTGGTGAAGTACTCCTTGAAGTCCGATGGTAGGGAACCAGCATCGACAGCGTATCCGTGGTTCTGAGAAGTGATGTGGCACTTGCCGGTCATCAAGTCCAAAGCTGGGATGTTGTGGGCACGGTTGCCGTACTTCATCTTCACGGTGCGGGCGCCGGATGCGATGGCCAGAAGCTGGTGGCCGAGACAGATGCCCATGATGGGAATGTTGCTGTTGTCCATGAGCTTCTTGAGGTTGTCGCTGGTCTTGCGGCAGTGGGTTGGGTCACCAGGGCCGTTGGAGATGAAGACTCCGTCGAAGTGGTGCGCAGTCTTGTGAATTGGATAGTCCCATGGCAAGCAGGTCACGCTAGCTCCGCGTCCCACAATGGAGCGGATGATGTTCTCCTTGACACCACAGTCGATCAGAGCGACGTGAGCATTGCCGTTTGGCGATGGCACGTGGAAAGGTGCCTTGGTGGAGACCTTGGCTACCAAGTTGATGGCAGATGGGTCGTTGAACGCCTCGTCCTCGTCTGCGTCGTACTCTTCGCCGACGGAGATTTTTCCTAGCGAAGAACCTTGCTCTCGCAAGTATGTGACGATAGCGCGAGTATCAACGCCAGAGATGGCAGGAACGCCCTCACGAGCGCACCACTCGGACAGACTCTCGACAGCAGTCCAGTGGGAGTACTTGAGAGCAGCATCAGCAACAACGATACCGCAGGCCTGGATGTTGGGGCTCTCAAAGTACTTGAGCAGTCCGTATTCGTCACGGACGTCGGATGGCACACCGTAATTGCCGATGAGTGGTTGAGTGAAGACCAAGATCTGTCCACGGTATGAAGGATCGGTCATTGACTCAGGGTAGCCTACGAGCGATGTGGTGAAGACTGCTTCTCCACTGATGTTGGCCTTTGCACCGAAGCTCTTTCCGTGGAAGATGGGACCATCGCGGATGGTGAAGGTGGCTCGATCGAAGGATGGCTTGGTCGATCGCTTGAAGGCATTTGGAGCAGAGCCAATGCGGGTTTCTGGTGCCACAGTGGCATTGTTCCTGATGAAGGCCTTGGTGATGCCAGTCTTGGGCAGACCAGCAGGCTTCAAAGTTCGGGCAAGGATGGCAGAGGCCATGGTTGAGGTTGGGTGTAGCGGGCGGTGGGGTGAGGTTTCTTAACCACTGAAGGCCTTCCACAAGTGGTCACTGATGTAGTCTGCCATGTCTGATCAGCATCTGCGTCGCTCGTCCTTTTTCCATAGCTCGGTGATTTTTGCGTGATGGTGATGGTGGTCTTATCGGGCGACGGGCGGTGTCGGATGCGTCATACCTTGCGAGGTGAAGAGTGTGGGAGCGAACACCATGAACGCGACCAGCTCAAGAGACGGAGGGGTTGGTGTCTAGGAGGAAGTTGGGTTGATGTCGGCAGCGAGGTAGCAGTTGAGCATGAGATGGTCAGCAGCGATGGGATTGGGTGTTGGTGGTCGGAGGGTGAGAGATCGGGCGCGGGAAGTTCGAAGTTTTCAAGCTTATCTGTCCACCCGGCCCTTCGGCGCTCAAAAGAGTCACAGACCAATGGCGCGGAGGCAATGGCAACGCCGCTGATAGGACGTGTGTTTGCCGGTCGTCGATTCTGGAGAGCAAGTCGGTGTGCAGCAGAGGGAGGCTGCTATCGCGACAATAACCCGTCGCCCGCCCACAAGTGACTAATAATTGCTGCTGCCACGCTCTTTGTCCGCGCCGTCTGCCACTTTCCGCTGCCACCTCCGCCCTCGGCCATTGAGCCCTTGCTTTGACCTGCACACCCCGCTCTCAGCACGACAGGACAGGGCAGCGAACAGAATATGCCATATCCCGTGACGAGCACGAGCACAACCATGCTGCCTTCATGCCAGATGAAGTCTCAATCACGCCGTCTACGACTCAAGCCAACGACTCGCCGGCACTGTGAACCTTGTTCGCATGCCGCTGTCAAAACCCCCTTCCACAGCGAGAGGATGCTCTAGCTTCAAGAATACGTGACCCGTCTCGCTGTCGACGAGGATTGCTATGTCAAAGTCTCCTGCCACTAGACATGTCAGGCCATGAGATGTGAGACAGAAGGCGCTCTAGTTAGTGATGCAGCGACAGTGACAGCTTGGTCATGCACAACATAGCACATCCGTCAAACTTCGCCCTCGACTCAGCATACCTGCGCCTGTACTTTCTCTTCACAATGCCGCCTCCTCTCGAAATTTTCACTCTGTTTCCTCCTATTGACAATCATGCAGAACGGCATCGTACATTCGAATATCTCGCTTCCAAGCAGCAAGAACATGGGTGCCCTCAAGCAAGTCTTCCGAAAAATCCCAAGCAAATATCTCCAAGCCCTCGAAGAAGCCAAACCCGGCGACGGCGTAGGCTACCCCAACGAGTACAACGGCGAACGAATCCGCATCAACAACGCCTTCTTAAAACAATGCATCCTCTTACGCCCGCACTCTCGAGCATTCCGCCTCAACCACAACATCGTCATCAAAACAGGCTCCAAAGCCCGCCTCCTCGAAGCAGAAACCATGAAACTCCTCGCCTCCCAAACCTCCATCCCCGTCCCCCGCGTCTACGACTCCTACATCCAACCCGACGGCTGCGGCGTCCTCATAATGGAACACATCGAAGGCCAAACCCTCTCCCAAGCCTGGCCGCACTACGACCAAGCCCAAAAGCAATCCATCACCGCCCAACTGAAACACTACCTCGATGAACTCCGCTCAATCACCAGCACCACAATCAGCGGCAGCATCGACAAAACCGAACCCTGCCTCGACGAATTCTTCGCTCACGACGACTTACAATATGGTCCTTACAACGACCCCAGCGCTTTCATCGAAGGTCTCGTGCACACTCTACGTCAACGCGGAGATAATTCTTGGACACAAATGGTCGCTCGGTTATTACGTTCTATGCGAAGTGAGAAGATCGTGCTGACGCATAATAATCTCACACCGAGTAATATTATTGTTCGAGATGGGATGGTGGTCGGGATTTTGGATTGGGAAATGTGTGGATTCTATCCGGACTATTGGGAATTTGTGAAGGCGTATTTGTTTGCGGATTGGAATGGGATGTGGGTGAAAGAGAAGTTGCCGGATAGGATTTTGACGCCGAGGTTGGCCGAGTTGAGTTATTTGATGCATGCGAGGAGTGTGGTTTGGCCGGGGTTGTGAGGCGAGGGGAAGATGTAGAAGTGCAATATTTGGATCAAAATGGTTTATTGTCATCAGAATTCTTTCACGATTGTGTATCATTAGGACTGGTATCTTGTTCGCTACGATGTTCGAGAAAATTTTGTCCAAACCACGTTCAATCATGAGATTATGACGATACTCGTCTCGAACATCTCGTACTTCTTTGTAGCCTCTACAACACAGAACAACAGAACAGTCCTACAACCTCGCCCCCTCCCTCCTCTTCCCCTCCTTAAACTCCTCCTTCGCCTGCTCCCTCAACAACCTCTTCAAAATCTTCCCACTCGCATTCTTCGGAATCGTATCCACAAATTTCACCCCACCCTCCAACTGCTTATAATACACCAACTTCTCCTTCACAAACGCCTTAACCTCTTCCTCCGTCGGCGCCCCATCTTTCGTCCTCCTCGTAATATACGCCCTCGGCAACTCATCCCCCTCTCTCACAGGATCCGGAACCCCAATCACAGCCGCATCAACAATTTCCGGATGCGACAATAACACACCTTCCAATTCTGGAGGAGCGACTTGGAAACCTCGAACTTTGATGAGTTCTTTTTTGCGGTCGACGATGTAGTAGTTTCCGGATTTGCTGTCGATGTAAGCTATGTCGCCTGTGTGGAAGAAATTGTCGGAGTCCCAGTCACGGGCGTTGGCTTCGGGGTTTTCGAAGTAGCCTTTTATTACTGTGGGACCGCGGACGCAGAGTTCGCCGCGGATGTCGTAGGCTGTGATGTCGTTGCCGGAGTCGTCGACGAGTTTGGTGTCGAGGTTTGGGAGGGGTTTGCCGACGCTTCCTGTTGAGTCGTTGGCTGGGTAGGGGGTTCGGGTTGCGATGCAGGAGGTTTCTGTCATGCCCCTGTGGTTTGAGAGATTAGTGGGTGTTTTTGAGAGCACTTGTAGATGAGCTTTTTTTGTCTTACCAGACTTGCGAACAAGGTGCACCCGGAGCCATAAGGGCTTGAAGTCGGGCTTGAGGGCCCTTGTCTAGAGGTGCTGCTCCGCATTGTGCTACTTTGCATGACTTGAGACTGTATTGCTTCGCCATCGGACTGTTGATTACTTGGACTGCGATAGGAGGAACGACTCCCATGTCGGTGATCTTATAGTGCTCGTGTGCCCAGAACCACGTCTTGAGATCGAATCGTGGAACAACATAGGCCGCATCGCCATTTCTGAGAGGCGTACAGAATGCGCTAGGAGCTGTCGCTGCGTGGAACATGGGCAAGGGCAGAAAGCGTCGAACTTCATACGGCTTCGGATTCGTCTCGTACACCAGCATGTGCTGTGCGGTGAGGTTGAGGTGTGATAGTTCAGCGGCTTTGGGAAGACCAGTTGTGCCGGAAGAGTATAGTCTCGCTGCTCCTGTTCGGTATGCTGTCTCGTAGTCGTTGAATCGTACCCAGTCTGTTTCGCCATGCTTGAACAAGTCGGCCCATTGCAGAAAGCCCTCTGGCGCCTTCTCGCCTGTAGGGTTGTATATGATGATATTCTTCTTATCGATCCCGTTGGCTGCTGCGGCTTTGAGGATGTTGGGTAGGAATGCAGGTTGTGTGAGAATGTACTTCGCTTTGGCGATCTTCGTTGTCTGTCGCAACCGCTGTCAGCCAAGATCACGACGTAATCGAGCAAAGAGCAGAACATACATGTGTCAACTCATGCTCCGTATATGCCGGGTTGGTACCAGCATAGACTCCTCCCGCAGCAATGACTCCAAGAAAGAAGATCGGGTATGTGATGTCGTTCAGCGAGTGTATCGAGACACAATCGCCTTTCTGGACGCCAATGGCCTTGAACCCCGCAGCAAGCTGTCTCACCATCTTCTTCGCCTGCCGCGCAGAAATCGACCTCTTATCATCCAGCCCATCAATGTAAATCGGCTTGTCCCAATCATACTTGACATGGTCGAAAGTCCAGGACAAAATGTCCTCGTGAGACAGCGGGAAATGTTCTTTCGCCAGGAACGGCATCGTGTCGGTATTCGTCTAAATGTATCAGCAGGAAAGAAGATCGTGAGACGCGCAGAAGGAAAAAGTATGCCCGAGAGTACTTAATTCCTTCTATACGAGTAGCAGGTACTCGCAGTTCTGGAGCTGCGCGGTAAGCTATCTCAGCCGGCTAGCGCTCTGCAGATCACTGTCACCGAGGCTGACCAAGGACGACTCGACCAATCTTAGTCAAGCATCGGCAGCCATCGCAGGAGTTGAAGTTGCGGAGGAGCTCGTCGGCTGTGGCTGGCCCTTGCACTTTGCTTGCCCCAGAAACAATCTGCCGCAAATACCGTGCGTATGCAGGGTATGTGCGCCATAATGGAGTGAGGGCAAGCATCGAAATCGAGGCTGGAAAAGGTTTCGCGTCGCGTGGTCAACCCTGGTCAAGAGCTGGCTTTGTCACGAAGTATGGACAACGTGTGTTGAAGCCCATGATGGATCACATATCATTGTCATTCCGATTTCTTGGTAGGTGACGAGAAGGGAATGTGGTGTTTCGCAGGAGCAGATGTGGGTCTGGGGCTGAGCGTGGCCACCGCAGCGGCTTATGCTTCGCCGGGGCACAATTGAATCTGCCCTCACTTGCATCCTCCTCCACGATGTTCAACAAATCCAATTCCGAAGTGACCTAATCCAACCAGGTCTGCAGGCAGAACAAGCATCAATGCCACGTCCTCGAAAGCTTCGTGCCATGCTCCTACCGCTGGAGCAACCGGATGCTTTCGGAACACAACATAATCGCGAACCTGTGCGTAATCACAAAGCTGATCACAAAGTAACGACGTCGACAAGAGTAAGCAGATCCGAGGTCTACAGACATGATTACGGGCGCAACGATTGTCATTGAACCAATCCCATACCATCAGCACCGAACACGATCTATACGACGACTCGATTTAATTATGTTTTGCCCATGCAATTGGCACCCCTTTGAATCTGAAATAAATGGAAACCGATACCACATCGTCCATCAATTTGCGGTCTGTGTCCGCAATCAACACTTCTCCAGTACAAAACACCGCAGGTCTCGCATAAGCCCTCTGAGCTTGCTCGGTCCACTTATTCTCCTTTCCAATCTTGCTAAGCACATACGGCTTCATGTAAAAATGCAACAGCTGACCCTCAGAATTCTTGTCCAAGAAGTGGGGACCGACGTAAATCTGGTAGCTGATCTCTTTCTCTTTGCTGTGGCTGTCGACGAAAGTCGCCCTAGTCGCGTCATGGTCAGCATTGTCCTGGATGCTCGAATGAGACGGATGTCATTCACCACATATCAGTAATGCGACATCGATAGTAGTTCTTGAGCGCGACGTTTTCGGGCAATACAGTGAAAGGCAAGAACCCATCTTTGCTCAGAATCTTTTTCCAGTCCTTGTCAAATGCGCCTGGATTCTTGGTCGATATGACAGCGGCACCTTTCTCGCCGATATCTTCTTCATGCGACAGGTCGTCCTTATCCATGAGCAATTCTTGAAGCTCGCGAAGGGCCTTTTGAAATCCGGCTGCATCCATATCGGCCGCGATCTTGATGGTGGAAGGGAGCTTGGCAGATCCAACACGATATGTATATCCGAGCAGTGCTTCGAAGAATCGCACATAGATAGCGTACTTGATGTCTGGCACTGATTGCTGCAGTGTGTGCAGCGCGTTCTGCCTGGTGGCAAGCTCTTTGTCAAACGCGCCGTTGGTCTTGACGTCCTGTGCGATCTTCTTGATCTGTTGTTGCACTTCTTCTCGTGCCTTGTATTCCTTGACTCCGCGGCAGTATTTGGTCGAGAGCTCCAGCGCTTTCAGTATAGCTTCGAGCAAAGTCCGACCTTGGATAGCCATGTTCTTGATCTCATCCTCGTAGTCGTTCAGCCCGTTGATTTCGCCCAACTCTGAACTTTCATGCGTTTCTGACAGTTCTTTGAGAGCTTCGCGCAGATCCTTGAAAGCACGACTGAACCCGACCTTGAAGGTATCCCAGCGATTTCTCAAGCTGAAGAAGTCGAGAGGAGGCCCACCGGACAGTTTACCGAACATTTCGGAGGCTTCAGCAGGTTGCAAGAGGTGGAGCCTCTCTTTTGTCTCGTCAATGTACGGTCGAATAGAATCGAAAGTATCGCGAACTTGGGAGACATCAAACAGCAGATATGGCATGAGCTCAATGAAGAATTTACTCGCAGTTGCAAACTTCTCACGGGCCGCCGAAGCTTTCGCATCCTGTCAAAGACATCATTAGGATTTCTAGCCTTCAGCAGTGCACGTGGACTTACCTTTTTAGACTGCTCGTGTGCGAAACCTAACATTTCGAACGCTCCCTCGATCTTTTCACCAGGCTTGAGCGCTACGGCAGATACTTTGATCCCGGTCAGTGGAGCCAAGAAGTCGATGGTCTTTGGATCGACGAACCTGCGAATTTGACTCTTCAAGATTGCGTTGAAGACGGCCTCTTCGGCGAGATAATCCTCTTCAGATTTCTGTCGCAGAGATCAATTCTCGCCACGCCGTGAGATTTGACCAGTCATTCTTGCCTACCTGATCCCGTTTATGGCTCTCCATGCCTGCGAGAACAACATTAAACTTGCTGTCCACGTCTTCTTGCTTTTTCTGCTCCCAGTCAGCTTGGTGCTTACCCGAAAGACAGGATCAGTCTTACCTGGTACTCCTTTTGAAGTTTCAGTGCCTGCAGGAGGGCATCTTGAGCATCTGTTCTCAGCGCTTCGACGTCAATGAATGATTTTGCGAGCAGACTCATGCTCTCTAGCATGGCATTATTGGCCTTCTTCTGGTCATCTCTCAGTGCAGTGTTTGATTTGATCGTCGTGCTCATCAGCTGCTCAAAGTTCTGAAGGCTGGTCAAATAGTCCGTCCATTTGCCTGCATTGATCAGGTAGGCATCCACTTCTAATCTCGGAATTTCGAAGCACTGAGCAGCCGTACTGAATGGCGGAACACCCGGCTCTTGTCGTGCTAGGTCAAGTGGTCTCAGCAACCTTTGGGAGTGGAAGCACAAAGTTGCATGTCGAAGGGAGTTGCGAGTACAAATGACAACGTATTTCAGCATGGATACGGCAACCTCTCGACTTGTCTTATCGTCCTCGAAGATCAGTTTGCTGGCCCTCACAAAGAGTGAGTGGAGCAGCCCAGGTAGATGGCTACAGTCTGCCTGTCAGTCTCGCGTCTTGTTGTCTCGCGACGATGACCTACGTTTGCGCTGCTGGAACGAGATCTTGGAAAGACTCAAGTTCGCCAAAAGGCACTTGTGGAATCTCATAGAGATATCTTCTCCATTCCATCATGGGCACAATGGATTTGGGGATATCTTTGATTGCCACAGGCGCAGCGACAAGGATACCTGCACAGCTGCTGCCATTCACACGAGCAATTGTCGCAAGAGAGTCGGTCTGGCCGGCGGCACGACCGACATGTCCGATCTGCAGACCAGATGAACAAGTCTCATAGACGATCGCCAGTCGAAAGAGATTAGGGTCTCCATTTGCGGCCTTGACATCGAATCTGATGACGGTGTTCGGTTTGAGATTCGCTGCGAATGAACGCGCAAATATGTGAACGACTCGGAGGTTCGACAAGTTGGTCAGTCCAGCGAAGGTGACAGGTTTCGATCCATCTGGAAGGAGAGACGTCCATTGCAGTTCGTTAGCATATATGTGCAAATATCGAGTTCCTGTGGGCGTCGACTTCAGGACTTCGCCAAATTCGAGCCTTTCGTCTATGCTCGCCTGGCAGTAGGCATGATGTCCTTGCGTCTCAAACTTTGGAGGTGACATTCTCGTTCGGGGTGCTGTTGAACTGCACCCTCGATGTTCAGGATGGTATTGCTACAGGTGAACAGCGGGACCTTGACGGACTTCATGACAAAGCCCTTTCCTCATGATCATTCTCAGGAGCCGCATTGCCTCGATTCGACCACGATTCCATGGCGGCGTGATAAGCGATATCACACCACTGCTGCGCGTTCGAGCAATCCGCGCCTTCGCCATATTCTGCAAGGTCAGCTTCACAAGCTTCATTGCACACCAGAGCTGCCATTGTGGCGGTCGTGAAGACTTGGTTCTTGCAGAGCTCCCACGAATCACGCCGGTACAACAACGCGCTGGCGCGAGCTGGCAAGCACGGCGTAGAGCTGTCGGCGCCACAGAGGAAGGATGACTGCAGCCACGAAAGAAGAAGTGGCGAGCTGAAGTTCAAGCCCCGAGAAGCCAAATCGTGGACTCTTGGCAAATCTGGCCCGACTTCCAAGTCCAGTCCAGAGCATCTGCGCATCTACTGACCTTCAATCACGGCGCACAATCACCACGTCTATTTGAGCGGGCCCGGGGACAAGTGTACTAGAGGTAACCGAGAAGGCCTACGGTTCGGCAGACGGACGAGGATGGCATTGAAGATACTACGGCTCGGCCGGACAGCTAGCAAAGAATGAGTTTACTGGGTGGTAGGAATGCCTCTCGAGGATACTGCCATGCTGATGGAACTCCCAGCTCAACACGTATCCATGGCAGACCATTGCTAAGTACCGCACAGCGCCGACATATTTACTTGGACGGCCGTGGAGAGACGGTGTACGACTATCCATACCTCTCGTGTACGAAAACAACAGCCTTTCCACTGATGTCCCCAGCTCCTTCAACCCAATACTTCGCGGCCATTCTCGTCAATATACAGCAACTTGGCCCCCCTCTTCCGCAACAACCTGTCCGGCGTATTCGGATTCGCGCACGATTGAATACCGCGAACCTCGATGCAGCACCCGAAGGTACTGCATGAAGATCCGGCCGGGCAGTCACTCGAGCTTCCGCAGCTTCCGGGGCAGCCAACTGCATTCGCACTGTAAGTTCCAGTTCCCTCCGTGTTCGTGAAGCAAACGCAGCTGTCTCCGGAACCGCATGATGTTCCTGCCTTGCAGGTGGTCGAAACACATTGCCCGCCACTGCAAGTGGTTCCTACTGGACACCGATTATTACAGCTGCCGCAATTCTCGGGGTCACTTTCAAGGACTTTGCAGGAATTGTTGTTGCATGCCTTGGGGACGCTGGAGGGGCACATGGATGTCGTGGACACTGCAGGTAGGCCCGGTCAGCTGTATGTACTGCGTGCTCTTTATGATAGTGAAGGCTTACCTGTCGTGACAGTCACTGTGGACGATGACACGGTTGTGGTAGTGACCACCACATTCGTCAAAATCGTCGTAGAGGTGGTGGCGAGAACGCTCACGACTGTTGTAGAGGTTCCCGATGAGAAGGCCGTGACCAACGCACTGATGAATGTCAGCTTCTGCGCCTTTATTGCAACGGCAAGTCTCTCCTCACTTTGATGTTTCTGTCTTCGTAGAGGTCACGGTGGTGGAGGGTCTTTTACGAATTGTGGCCGTTGGCGTCGTCACAATGCAGGAGCAGACAGTGCTGATGCACGCGAGTCTCTGACCGCGGAATGAGCGAAGGAGATCAGGCGTCTGCGCTGGAGAAGCATCTCTCTTCCTCCCGCCCGGCGTAAAGTCCATGGTCGCCGTAAACACCGTTGATGTAGAAGTGGAGGTAATAGTTGTGGTCGTGCTAGCTGTGGAGAGAACAGAGTCTATTGATGTCACAGTCGTTGTGCCGGTGACAGTCGAGATGGTCTGAGTAGAGACAATGGTAGGGCTCGTCACGGTGTCGGTGACAGTGAGCGTGCTAGTTGTGGTCGTAGTCGAGGTTGAAGTTGGTTGTGTGATCGTTAATGTACGAGTCGAGACTGGAACTCTGGATTTACAGAATGCTTGCGCAGCAGGCACTTTGGACAGTGGTAGGAAAGCAGCGTATCTTGAGCATCCATTAGAGGCATACGCATCTGTACCCGATGCAATGAGCGCCACCAAAGCGAAAAGGATGTTACGATGCATGGTCGACCGGAAATGCAACACAAAGAACTCTTGGTGAATAGCAAAACCAACAGATCACAGGAGCGGACTCAACAAACGTACTTGGGCATTATTTATTGTAAATGCGCAGAAGCAGACAGGTCTAGAGTGCTGCGTACAACCGTACAACCGTGCACCCGCGGCCTACTCTCATGGAAGAAATTGGAGTGCAAAGTGGCTGGCTGAGGACTAAGGCGCTATGGATTTGAATCCAAACCTTGATGGGACCATGGGAACGTGGCGTATGCACGTGGCCGAGGCATCAGGATTCAGGAGTCAGGTCCTCGATTAGCGAATACCTTCCGAAGGCCTTTGCTCTTCGAATTGTTTCCACGTTTCTCGTCGTCCTCTGTCGTTGTCATGTAACACCAGAGAGGCTAAGTACTCAAATCATTGAGAGCATCTCATGACTTCCATTTCCAATGCATGAGCTCCAAAGCTATGGCAGTACGTGTACAGCCCGCTTGCCCGCTTGGGTCGTGTCGTAGGCGCCACAAAGTAATGGGCCGCATTGTCACAGTAACTCCAAGCTAATATCTTTGCTGGTAGCTGGCAAGGGCATTCCTCTGGGCTGCATTGTCTGTCCAAGCTCAGCTGCCGTAACATATCTAAACACGCTCCACTGCTCTTGGTTCATCTTGATGCTTTGTTAATCGAGATCTGTTTCAGGCATTACACTGACACAATGGGCCCAACAGCTTTGCCGACGAAGCTTGCCATCTTGGATGCGTTCGCCAGCTTGGCTGATGAAGATGTTTACCGCGATTATCTCCCGATTGAAAGAGACGAGACTGGACTCAACCGCGGCAGAATCGCTGAGATCATGTCGAACTATGCTTTCCATGCCAATGTTGGTGGCCAGGATCGCGAGTTCAATGAGAAAGAATTCGGAGAACTCATGCGGCTTGTGTATGAAGAGAAACTGTATGAGAGAATAGCGAAGCTGAATGCAGCCGTCAAGAAGGTCCAAGGGACGTGGGACGCACGTATGTGTCCTTTTCGAGGAGTGACTGACATGCTGGGCTGACAAGCCGAAGTGAAGACATTGAGCGCTAGCCCAGAGAGCTCCCTGGTGGAGCAGACGTTCACGAAGCAGTTACACTCAGCTGAAGCAAAGGGTCTACGCGCCGAAACGCCCGTGTCTCTGTCCGATACCGCTATGGGCGAGAAGCTTCTGAAGAACATTGTTACACTTCGAGAGAAGGCCGAGAAAGTCGTGAAGGAAGCGAAAACTGATGCGATTACTGGAGCGATCGATGCCGTCAAAAGGATTGTAATGCATACAGCCTTCGAGATGCTGGAGCTATATATGCTCAAAGCTGAGGAAAAGTATGCAGAGTACTTCACTGCACTCATGGCCTTAATCGTCCAAGAGAAAAAGCAAGGGTCGATATTACCCGCTGGTGATGTGGTTGGCAGTGCCAGACAAGAGAGAAATCGGCGTGAAGCTGCCTTGGTCGACTTTGGGAAGTTCTATCGACGCGTGAGGAATGTCCAAACTCATGCCCTGCTAACAATCGACCTGGCACAGGGCATCAACGATTGTAAGTTGCGTCGATAATCTTGAAATCCCGCATTAACAGACTTTCATGGGCAGGGTTGAAGAGCAGTCCGTCAGTCCTTGCTGGGAAAATCGCCATGTCGCTCCTTGACGTGCAGGGCAATATCATGAGCGGCGAACTCAGCGAGGCTCGGAAGATATACATCGAGGACCTCAAACCAGCTCTGGTCAGTCGAATCTCTATGTTTCGCGCAGTCGCCCTCTTGCTCACCTTCGAGATTCTAGCAAATCGAAAGTCAGGCTCCTGTACAAAAACTTCTGGACATGCGAATGCCGTTGGACGTCTATACGTTCGGAGACAATGTTGTTGTGAGTGCGATGACAGAAACTTCCTATCGATGGGCCACAATGCTGACAATCCCCGAAGATTACAGTAGCCAGCCCTGTTCGTGGCATCGGTCTACCTAATTGTGCACCGGTGCACGGCATTTGTGAACTAAACGCAACGCCTTCCGGAGCAGCCTCATCCATTGAAAGCCAGGTGACAAAAGGCGATGACGGTGTGTATACTTTGCGAGCTCTCGCGGAACCCGAGGATGAAGAGGTCACCGGCGCTGTCGCTTTCTTCAACCTGCCACAGCCGCTGAGAGATAGTGGGGACGTCAAATATGGTTACCACAACGTGAAAGCAGGTGATCGTGGCGCTAGGATCTCATATAACAAGCCATTCGCGGAAGGAGTTACGCCCAAAGTCTTTGCCTGGCTGGTCAAGGGCTACTTCAAGAAAGCGGGCGAAGGCACGACGTGTTCGGTCTCCGCCTCCACCCCAGAGGTCCACCCTCATGAGGTTTTACAGCTGAAGGTCGAAAAGCCTGAAGGAGTCGTTGCACAAATAGGCTGGATGGCGATTCATCCAAAGAGAACGGATCTTATTGGGCAAGTTGTCACCGTCAAAGTTCCTGACGCGATGGATAAAGGCGGTGTGGCCAAGAATGATGAGCTCCAGACCAAGTGGATGCTCACGTTCCCCAACAGTCCAAAGCGAAAGATGCGACTTGTGACAACGTTCATTAGTGGTTATGAGTCGAAGGATCGTGTTCAAGCGAGGACCGCTCTTCAAACTCTCAGCAATGCCTTCGTTGACCTGGAGACCCGAGCTTCGATAACATTTACGACCTTTGCATATCTGCCGCCAGAGGACCAGAAAGTGATCTTGCCGTCATGGGGATAGAGTGTAGATGGTCGAAAATGGTTTCTGGTGGCTGGACACGGAAACACTGCCATTGGCAAGAAAATACCAGTATGATCGCCTATGCTAGCAGCGGAGTTGGTGAAGTTTTCCAGGAGAAAGCATGTATACATTTGGCTCGAAACGGTCGTGGGCTACCCAGGTCGTACCAGGATACGAAAAGTCTCGACAGGTCTGGATCTGGGGCGACTAGAAGCGGATGGTCTGTGCCAGTCTAGTCAGACAAAGCTGACGCTCGAAGAGGAGAGGACAGGGGATATATTCGCAGACGTGGGGAATGAATGAAGGCGCAAGAAGTAAGGCCATTGTGAGAGACCGATAGTGTTGTGAATGGCCACGAGCTCAATACGTCCGCATGGTGTGCTGTCGGCGCGGAACTGGTTGTTTGGTGCCCTTTGCCGTCTGTAGGAAGTTGTTTGTGCTCGCTGCTCTTTGCAAGGGTGCCAACATGGCTAATTGCGGTCGCTGCTGAAGCTTTGTCTCGAAGTCACCTCCTTGCCGATAACATGGTGTGGCCGAGTATCTCAATCGCTCAAGTTGAGATTCGAGGCACTGTGCCACTGCATTATTGGCTTTGCTGGATGCAGTTCCCCTGCGTGCTATTGTCGACTCGGGCAAATCGCTGGTGATCGCACCGCTCATAGAGGCTGCGAAACAACAGCGACTTAGGCGCCGTTCGCGATGTCTGTGCTGAAAGCTTCGCCCACTCTTTGGCACACCTCTCGGACAGGCATTGGTCGTCGCGCAGGCACTGCGTACCAGGTACAAGGTGATGTCGGCCAGATGACCCAGTATAAAGCCCTACCTCAGCGCTGTCCACCTGTTGAGTTGCAGTATTGCTAATAGGGTGTCGAGAAGCACTCTCGGGCATTGTTACAAGAAACTCGTGATTGACAGGTTGTCAGAGATAACCGCAGTGTTCCAATAGCGTACGTGGCTTCCGGATACCGACGAGATGGCGATTACCAACATTGGCTTGATGACTATCCTCCTGGCAACCAATTTGGTTTCCATGACCAAAGCGCAAGGCGACAACGGAGTTGTGTGTCCCGCAGACGGAACTTATCGCCTTGTGCGTATACAGTCTTCGAGACTCCGATAATGGATACAGCCCTTCAACTGACCTTTTGTATCACAGTTCTGTTCTCGAGACGGCTCGATTATCGTTAGTACAGACCCACACGCTATGCACATGATCGTACGACAAGCAATAATGGTTCATCCTTAGGTCCAATGCGATCCTAATGGGAGGGAACGCATCAGCGAACGCTGTCCGCAGGCGAGTTGTCAACCAACTGGCTACGGTAAAGCCTTTTGCGCAGCAGGAGGAACGCCGAAACAAGGCCAAGGAGCTACTTCATGTGCGCAAGTTGCGGCGTATGGCGAAGGAGCGTTCACATGTGATCCGACGTATAGCTATCTGGTAAGTCAGGAACCCACACGGATAGGAGGGAAGGCGAGAAAGAGTCTGGGTACGGATTTGGCTGATTTTCTTGGAATTTGTTAGTATCAATGTTTTGGAGGCCAGCCGACGAACGGTCAAACATGTTGCCAAGGGTGTTGTACGGCGACTGGAGGTCGTGGGTCTTGTCATCATGGCTGACGTTGAGGAAGTACAATTAAATGTTGGAGAGCGAGGAGAACGTCGAAGGACAAAATAGCATGACGTAATCATCGGAATGGAACAATGAAGGTGCGACGCTTCTGCGTAGCAGTCTGAAGCCCCCGTCCCATCCGCGTCCCACCTTCTCGTCCTTCAACATCGCTCCGGAGCGCCTTTCGTTCGTCTGATAGCATTTGCACCTCTTTCAGTATGCTTGCCGATCCTACGGTCTCTTCCTCATAGTAGGCTGAAACCGGCTCGTCGTCCGCGACTGCCCTCGTCAAACACCCTGTCACCAGAACTCGTCCCGCCTCGCTGCATGGAGCCGATCAAGATGCTGGTCTACCGCCGCCGACGCATGCCCGACGATGCTGTGTGAAGCATCATTCTTCATGCAAAAAGCTATACTTGGCCAGGCAGGCTGTACGGGCGGGTTGGGAACGTTCCACGTCGTCTCAACGCTGCGTTGGAATTGCGCGTCTTGCATGTCGGGACGCGACTTCGATGCAGATTGTTCATATCATACGCAGCGGTCTTCCCCAGGTCGCGCCTGTGCTGGCCTCGCGTGAGTGGAGCACTGTCGAGGTGCGGATGATCTTCGACGGAGGAGGGTGAACAGGTGCTGCCACAGGTGGGACAAGACAATCTTTGCGCAACGCCCACTGTTTCCTCTGTGTCGTGCTGCGCGCTTCGTGCTTCTCCCATGGCAAGATGTCTATACTCGGTTAGCACCTCTCCGTGGGGAATTCGCTCTCTCCGAACCACCCACCTAGGACTTGACTTCTGTCTGATGCTACTCCAAGCATACTTCGAAATGCAACCGGTGAGACCGGGCTACCGCAATTCTTCGGACAGAGCGCATCTTCTGCGTGATATTCGCCCACCAGCAGTGGGCAGGCGCAGTGCCCGTTCAGGAATGTGGTCTCAAAATGACCGCAACTGAATTCTGAGAGCTTTGAGATGCACATTTCCAGAACCGTTCCAGCATCGTGCTTTACCAGAGCAATCGAATTCGCTGCAGCGCGCGCGCTGATATGGAAATACGGATCAAGGTTAAAGTTTTGACTGAGCTCTCCTGACCAACAGGCCTGCGCAGCCAACCCGATCCGATTTGACGAACACGCGGTTTGCTTTCGAAGACAACAGAAGTGTAGCTGCCAACACTGCCCTCCTTCGGCCGATCTGGTCATCCATTTGGTCGTTACTGGCATAGCTCGGGAGTGATATACTCTTTCAGCAGCCAAGATGAGGTGTGTCACGGACCGTTTCCCAAATGGTCTCATCTGCTGTTGCAGGGTTGATGCAGCCCGCGACTTGAGAGTCAAATTTGGCACTTTAGGCGCCTCCCAGATTGAAGCCCTCATTGCGAGCGAGCCGCTTCCAATTCTACCGATAGGGACCGGAAGCGTCGGTTAATGCATAGCTGCAATGTCGATTTCGCAGAGCGAGGAACTGATTCGCGCTCAAGACCAGCGTCCTTCATCCAACCTAATGAAGGACCTTTGTTCGAATGTGGGCGACAGTCCAGATGGCAACGCCATGATCCTACGAAATGATCAGAATCCTGCCGCTGGAGTGCTACCCACGCCGACCTACCATTTCGCGATGTCGGAAGCTGCTAGGCTACCAACACTGCTTCTCGAAGACCCTTCACTGTCACGAGCGAATCTGACATCAAGCTCTGGTAAGGTATTCTCCTTGGCTTCCGGATCTGGAGTGAACTTCGCGGTGGTAGGCAAGTTTTGGTTTGGTTCCAACCCACGAGCGTAGCACTCCACACTAAACAAAGTCAGCGGCTGCCGAAATGCAACCTGGAGCACCTTGTACTTACCACCTCCCAGGCGGCTGTGTTATTTTCATACCTCGCGGCTCGCAAAGGTAGTGTGGTGCGATATCTTGCAAACATACACTTGTCGTGTAGACCACGTGGCCACAAGAGTACGATACGACGTAAGTTCCATAGCACATTGTAGCGCACTAAACGACCAGTATTTGCTTCCGCGGCGGTTTGCAGTCCGATGTGGATACCAATGGGCCGTTCATGCAGGGTGCAGAGGCTCTGAGTCTGTTTTCATGACCCCATACGTTCTGCGAGAATTGGCGTCTTTTGCTCACGATGGCAAAGAAAATGAAGAACGAAGTATTGTTTCTTTCTGCGCAGTGTGTACTGGGCGATGATGGAAGTGGAGAGATTTTGTCTCAAGCTAGTGAAGAGTGCCCGCTGCAGGAACACGCAATTCGATCGGATTGGTAGCGGCAGACTAAGACAAACATCATAGATTGCGGAGCAAAGACACAAAAAGTACGAGGTTGACATGTACCGTGGCATTGGTCCGGTTGGACTGGAACACGAAGCATAAAAACTGTGATGATCGCGTTTTTTCTGTGGGAAAGTTTTCTGTTGGCGTTTGGTTGGTAGAATTCATCAACCTCGCACCTTGTATAGCGTGTAGGCGGGCAACAGCCAGTATACAACGGAACCCTGTGTGGCAATTGGGCTTCGTGACAGTGGCGGTGAACAACCACGGCTCAGGCAACTATTTCTCTTGTGCTCTTCCTAGCGGAAGGATCGTGTCGTTCCCGTTGCCGCGTTTTTACACCGCTTTTCGTCGATCGCAACGGTCTTCGTTGATCTCAAAAAAAGTTGAAGCTGTCTCTATGGCAATGTCTTGATCTCAGTCACGAGACCTGCCTTGGACAGACGCTCGAGATATGCCGAACCCAGTGTTGCGGGGGTTAAGACGCCACCACCTAGCTCGTGTGCGAAGGTCTTGTCGCGGGCAATGGTGACGGCAGCTTCGGCGAGGAAAACGCCTGTCAAGTCGTACATGCTGCCGTTCCAACGCATGCGACCGTATGCTCGCTTGGGATCATTCTCGTCTGACACGTCTGCGTTGGCAATTGCACGCCATTCGCAATGCTCCTTGCTAGCTTGCCTATAGTTTATGCGTCAGCGTCGCTGCTCTCGGCCTCATCTCCGCACAACGACATCACTCACTCTTTTGTTGGGCCTTCTCCAGGTTGATAGACGAACTTCTTCAGTAGCCAACGTACGGGAGGCAGGATTAATGCTACCATGCCGAATGTGAGAGCAAGATGTACGAGAAATCCTTGGACGCTGTTGCGGGCTTTCATGTAAGCGCTGAATTTGAATTTGCGGCCATAGTAATTGCCATTGTCGATCAAGCTCCAGGTTCGGTTCACGATTGGAGTGTCGCTAGGACCTTGGATGCTGTCCGTGAGGAGACCCAAGTCTGGCACAGTCCGAAGACCAGTGAGCTTCTCGAGCAATGGACGTCCAGGATGACTTGGCGCCGGAGCGACCGATAATGAATACGGAGACATGGTCTTCGCAATCTGCCCAAGCCCATAGGAATCGAAAAGTGTAAGGACTGTGTCCAGTGTGCCGCCGCTCGGTGTTCCGTTCAAGTCGTAGATGGTGTCTACAAGCTCGCGGGTGCCAACATTGAGTGTTTGACGAATGTGGGTGACTAGAGCCCAAGCGATCAGATCTGTGGGAGCACTCTCTACACCGTTTTGCGGAATCATGATGGCACCGTTCTTCTTCGCCAGATCGTGATACTTCTCGGTCATGTCATACACCCATGGCACTTCGCCAGTGCAGTCGAGGTAGTGCGTGCCTGTCTCTGCGCATGCTGCAAAGGCTGCTTCGCCATACTTGTGGAACGGACCAACAGTGGAAATCAGGACTTGGGTCTTCTGTGCCAGGGCGGACAAGTCGCTCTTATTGAGCTGCGCGGTCTCGATGCCAGGTTGCTGTCGATCAGGATGTTCTCTGCGAAGTTCCTCTGCCAACGACTGGAGTTTGCTCTGGTTTCGCCCTGCTATCGCCCATTTTAGGTTTGTTGGGAGTTGTCGAGCAATGTGTTCAGCAGTGTATTTTCCTGTGTAGCCCGTGGCACCGTAGACGATGACTTCGTATTGTCGCTGAGATTGTGCCATTTTGGTGTACGATGTGGATGTAGGTATGATGGTACTTTGAAGGAAAGGGAATGATAGATGTACGGGTATCTCTACCTAGGCTGGTCGGAAGAGGAGCTCAGAACAGTCGACTTCCGGCTTGCACATGATGACGAGGCTCGTCTGCCTCATTGCACGATACGAATGGACCAAGCACGTGGATTTTGATGCTGTGAAAGCATTCCATACGTGCGAAAACCGGTCCAATTCTTGTCCCGGTGCTCCAACTAATTGCACGACTTTGCTTTCGCCGTGTTGTAAGTTGCACCTTGATGTGCGCCTTTCTGGCGAGGGGCGCGATTGACGTGTGGAATTCTCAGGCACCAAGGCAACCACAACGCCAAGCCAGGTGCACTTCGATTTTCTCAAGCCAATCGCTCTACACGACTTTGAACTTCAACCACCCAGCGAAACCTTTGTCAACCACATAACACCGCTACCATGACGAAGCGCACGAAGAAGGTCGGAATCACCGGTAAATACGGTACCCGGTATGCACACCTCCCACGAACCGCGACACCCTCGATTAGACGGAGCACGAGTTGGCACCCTGCAACTCATGGAGGATGACATGGCTCTGCGAGAGGCCACGCAAATACATTCTTGAGGACATGTTCTGACAATGGGGAAACAGCTACGGTGCTTCCCTGCGTAAGCAGGTCAAGAAGATCGAAATCTCGCAGCACGCCCGTTACACTTGCACATTCTGCGGAAAGGTGACTGTCAAGCGTCAAGCAGTCGGTATCTGGAACTGCCGATCATGTGGAAAGACTGTCGCTGGAGGCGCATACGTCGTGTCGTACGTTTTGGACATGAAGAGAGAACTTTGATGGTCAGGAGGAGTGCTGACCGAATACACAACAGGACACCCGCTGCTGCTGCCACCCGCTCTACCATCAGACGTCTGCGCGAGATTGCTGAGGTTTAGGAGGTCCATTTCGGTGCATGGGGAGGATACCACGGAGTTATACATGGACTCGCACAGGCTCAGCATGTGATGCCCAGCATGAGGCCACGGTTTTCTAGCGAACTCGACGAATGAAACTCTCAGAAACGATCTCCACCTCCTTTCCACGTATTTCGATGAGAGACGGTTTACATTTCTCTCGACCGATTCTGTGACGCACCTGGCTTTTGTTCCTTTGTTGTCCCCGTGCACAGATGCGACCGTCGGAGCGAGTTGAAGGTGCAATGAAACGCTGTGGCGGCCTCACTTGACCTCAAATACAGACGCGGAATTTTAACTAAACGCAATGTGGGTGCATCCACTATACGAACCAGTCCTTAATGCTGCATTTCTACCTGAACTAGGGTTTTTGTCACTGACTTGGTTGGTCATGCACGTCGTCGCGGAGGCGTGACCTTCGGATCCAGGTCATCAGCTCAAGGCACGCTTGGCACCAATCATAGGCCGCGATGGCCGCTCCCGCCGACTATTAAAGCTCACCTGCGCTCGTCTTCCTTCCTTCAACCTCATGCTGTTCGAACCTCGACCACATGTCCGCGCCTCCATATACGCACAGCAACACCTTGTTGACTACAAGAAGACATGGCGGACGCGTGCATCGTGTGTTTAGGTGACCTGCGCACATCACCTGACGATGATCAACCGCCCGAATCGACTGCCGCGCCAAGTATTGGTGGTATCAAGATCGAGAGCGATGACGCCAAGATACCAATCAAGTCCAATGCGAAAAGGTACCACCCCACGATGCGTTGCACGAGAACTTGACCTCGCTGTCACGGCGACCATGCCATACTGGAGGCCACCACGCCATGCTCAATATCGCTACCGTTACGGTACACGATACTTCCTCTCTTGGACGGCTTGAAGATCTCCATGATATTCGCCAGATAAGCTTGGAGGTGAGGTTTTTCCGCGCTCTGCGCACATGCATGGCGAATGGAGGCCTCCAGTATGGTTGCAGAGAGCAACGAATGCTAACGTGTTCTTTCTACAGTGCCCAAGTTGACGACGAAGACATTGCCCATCTCCTGCCATGCAAGCACGATCTACACCACTCTTGCCTGAAACCATGGGTCGAACGCGCGAACAGCTGTCCGATCTGCCGGACTGTCTTCAATGTTGTTGAGGTCAGCCACTATGTGGGAGGAGCTGTCTATGAAAGCTATCCAGTCCAAGACAAGACTCAAGAGGCGGAGATAGATCCCAACATGATCGTTGAAGAGGACGAGCTCTTTGACGTGGAAGCATTCGAGCCGTGCCTGATCTGCGGTGTGATGGACGACAATCACGGTGTCATGTTCTGCGATGGGTGCGACAAAACTGTCCACGTGTTCTGTGCAGGCTATGATGATGCGCCAGAAGTCTGGTACTGCGAATCATGCCTGGCGGACCTTGAGAACGATGCCGACCTTCCAGGACTCGCCGCTGCTGCTCGCAGGCGGCCTCGAGCACGCAACACGAATGGCAACGGTAACCGAGCAGCACCACCTCGACGTCGGAGGAACAACGACGCTACCTGGGCACGCGTATGGCAGGAAGTGTCGCGTCGACTTGATCTGGACCTCGACTTTCCATTTGATGAGGAAGTGGACGAGCGACAAATCGCGGAACAACGACAGGAGTTTCTCCGCTGGCAGGAGCGTTTTCGCGTTGCCAACCGGGCAGGGGCAACCAACCGCCTCCAGGGAATCGCTCGTGCCAATCTGCGATACAACGATGCTGCGTTTCCCCGACCTGAACCAGAGTCTCAAGAGGAGTTGCGTGCCTGGAATGCGTTCGACAAAGCTCGAGAGTCCGATGATGCACCAACACAGGTGCGACGTCGCAAACGTCGTGCTACCGATTCGCCAGCATCTCCGAGTGAGCCACAACAATCGGCAGAACAACCACAGCTGAAACGTCCGCGACTTCGACGTCCACCTGCGCCCGAACAGCCCGAGTCCTCTGCTGCTGCGGCAAGGCGACGAGGTGAAGAGCCAACCTTCCTCTCTTCATTATTGCGGGAGGTTGAGAACAAGTCAGCATCAGCAGCATCGCCAGCAACGTCAGACCATGCCAACGGCCAGTACTCGCCACGACACACCTCACCAGTTCACTCGCCCGTGTCATCGGAACCAGGTACTCCCAAGGCTACCACTCCGCCACCTCCTCATCGACCTTCTTCTCCCCCGCTCTCATCTAATATCCTGCCTGCGATCTCGCCCGGGGCTACATTTTCTCCCTTCTCGCCAATCACCACTCGAGATGATCCGGATCAAGCCAATCGCTCTCGACGCCGTGCAAGAGGTCGCCGCATCACTGCCGCCGATGACGAAGAGCGGAACGGCGCATCCTCATCTGATGACCGCGCAGGATCGCACTCCCCATCACGCAATCTTTCTTATCCTGCCAAAGAGGAAATACAGCGCATGGTGAAAGTCTCACTCAAGCCTCGCTACGAAAGAAAGGAAATCAACAAGGACCAGTTCACGGATATCAACAAGTCCGTATCGCGAAAATTATACGACATGGTCAGCAGTGCAAAGACACTTGCAAATCAGGAGGAACGCGAGCGGTTGCAAGGAATTGCCAATGACGAGGTGGCAAAAGCAGTCAGTGTTTTGTCTCTGCAGGCTGGAGACACTGTGTCTGTACAGGCTGGTGATACCACAACAGATGCGTCGGATTGAAATTGAACTGTTTTGGAGGCGTGCTTTTGCACGCTACACGAGCATGGAATGGCGTTTCACCCTCGGGGCAAGGGTTTGACGCAATGACGATCTAGATACCCTGATGTAAATGACGCGATGACTATGATAATGGCACTGTATATATCACTGCCTATAACGATGCCAATGGCTTTCCTCTACTGCTTCTCAAGTTATGCCACCTTGGCCGACGATCCAGTAGCTTTCGGCCAAGCTTCATGTTTCGGCCGGCTTCGGCGTGTACTTGTACATGTTAAGGCGTGCACGGCGTATTTGTGCTTCGACTACACACTTTCGTAATGAACATATCTGACAACCATGGCGTCGCAGCAATCGCACGTTATTATCATTGGGTGAGCATTCAGCTCTACATCGCTCAAAGATACCACTGACAGCTCCACCAACAGAGCCGGCGTGATCGGTCTCTCCAACGCCGTGTTCTTATCTGAAGCCGGCTATAAAGTCACCATCGTTGCAGCGCACGTACCAGGAGATGAGAGCATAGAATATACCTCACCATGGTAATTAGACTCAAAAAAGAACTGTACATCATAGAAATCCGTCTCATCTGATCCTCACTCCAGGGCCGGCGCACACTGGCGCACCCACGCCACAACCTCTGAACCCGAACTCTGCGACTGGGATATCCAGACTTTCAAAGAATGGAACTCATTGCTTGAAGCTGAAGCCAAAGATCCCAATTTACCGAAATCTGGAATTAAAATGCAAGATTCGATTCATTATTGGGATGGGCCGATTGCAGAGGATTTGTGGTGGAAGGAACATGTAGAAGGGTATAGAGAGCTTGAGAAGGAGGATGAATGGATGAGAGAGGTGAATGATGGACGACCGAAGAATGCTCCAGAGGTGAAGTTTGCGGCTTTTTCGAGGGCGCATAGTTTGGATGCACCGGGGCATTTGGTTTATTTGCAGGAGAGGGCGAGGAGGGCTGGGGCTCTGATATTTCAGTCGAAGTTACCTGTTGATGGTGGTTTGAAGAAGGCGTTAGAAGCGGCTGAGGGGATCTCGAAGGCGATCGGACGTGGGAGTGTGGATGTTTTTGTTAATTGTACGGGACTTGGGGCGAAGAAGCTTTGTGGAGATGAGGCGTTGTTTCCGATTAGAGGGCAGACTGTGCTTGTGAAGGGTGAAGCGAAGGCTACGAGGACGAGATATCATTCTGGTGTGACTGGGAAGGGGGATACTTCGTATTGTATTCCGAGGCCGGGGACTGGGACTACGATTTTGGGTGGTACGAAGGAGGTTGGGAATTGGAGTTCGGAGCCGGATGAGGCTGTGACGAAGAGGATTCTGGAGAGATGTTCTTGGATGGTGCCAGAGTTGCTGACGGGTCCGGATGGAAGCTTTGAGTTCATTAGCACTCAGTGTGGATTGAGACCTGGGAGACAAGGTGGGCCGAGGGTTGAGAGGGAGGTTGTGGGCGGAAGGAGAATTGTCCATTCTTATGGCCACGCTGGAGCTGGATGCCAGAACAGTGTTGGCAGTGCGAGGAAGGTGATGAAGTTGGTTGAGGAGAGCCTTGGGCAGGTTGGGAGAAGATCCAGACTATGAACGACAGACAGATGAGATCAAGGCGACAAGTTCCAAATTCTCAGGTGCTTCGTCCCGGGCTTGTGTACCAAGATCGCAAGGGTAGTGATGTGTTTTGACCAATCATGGTGAAGCAGCGCTAGTGAGTGTACGCTGTTGAATGTCTTCACAACGTTGCCCAAACGTTTTGTAGACATGTCATGTCATCGTGGAAGTGAGAAGGGAAGGAGAGTTCACGCGCTCCCGGTTCGCGTCAAATTCGCGTGATCCCTGTCATCGGCCCGAGCAGCCGAAAATGACAATATGCAGCTTCCCGCGCAACGTTGCGGCCTCTGGCTTCACAACCACAACACCACATGAAGTGAAGCACGAAAACGGCAGGGCAAGTGAAGCGCGAAGCGAGCTTCACGTCACACAGCTAACGTTCCCACCAGCAACGTCCCGATGAAGGAAAACCAATCACCGAGCTAACACAAGACAACGCTCCTGCACGTAGCCGCAGATACAGAGCGCAGAGGCAAAAAAGGACTGATCACAGATCTTTCCTCTCCCCTCTCGCTTCGTCTCTCACTACAGCGGTCGTGTCGATGGCTGAGTCAGAACAGAAATCCTAGGGTAGCCGCCTTTTCACCAAAAACTTCAACTTCAGCCTACGCCACACAACCCCTTCAACTTCAAGCCACCACATCTCTGCCGAGCTGAGAAGCACTGAACGATCTTGCCAACGTGTTAGCACTTATGGTGTACCGATGACCGACAAATTTTCGATCGAGTAAAGACGCCTTCTTTTCCTGTCTCCTTCACTGGATCAGGAAGGAAGGTCGTCTTGCGCTGAGATCACGCACAAAAAGATAGTTTTCAATCGTAGGGCACTTGCTCCGTTCGACTCGAAAGTTCAGCTGCATGCTCAGTGAGGACGCACAGATTGGAGGAGAGGTGGGAGGTGGTTGTGGGCGGAGGTCGTGGTACGGTTGTTTTGTCCGCTGATGATCGTTGTGCAACAACGAAAATAAGCCAAATATGAGGGCAACCGGTCTGTCATGGACCTGGTTGTCATTGATGGTATCTTTTAGAGAGCTGATCTGAGGACAATTCATACCTACCAAGGGTGCTTTTACTGTCGCTTGAATTCATTTTTCATAGACATTGTGCTTTTTTGCATCATACTACATACGCTTGCTGAATGCATCTCATCTAAACAAAATCTTGCTCCATTGCCAACCTCAGAATCTATCCCTCTGCTTTGTTCGGTAGATCGTGAAGCCAATGTAGCCACCTGCCACGACAATGCCAAACAGAATGAACTTGACGAAGAACCAACCCCAACCTCCACTTTCGCCTTGCGGACGGGAAATCGATCCCTTGTTCTTCTTCCCACGACCAGAATCTTTGTTGCTCCCTGCACCCGTCTGTCCTGTGGGCGAGTACAAGTTCTTAGTCTCCACCTTGATAATATCATGATTATCCGCCAGCTCTCCCGTCTCCGAGCTGAAGCCCAGATAAGTCACAGTCGGCAACTTGACACCCTCGACCTCAAAGCACTTCGTCCACTCATCCTCCTTCTTATACATGAGCTCCACACTCAAGCTCTTATCCTGAAAATACCGGATCTTCGCCTTTGTAGGAAAATCCGGATTCCTCAATCCTCTCGCCGAGCATCCCGCCAACTCATTCGCTTTCCCATCATTCTGCTGATCGTACGCCGTCTGTCCATCCCCGACCATAGCCATCACATAAGGAAACACCACTCCCGGGCGATTATTCTTATACGTGTCGAAGAAAATCGCAAGACCTTCGAAGCGGTCTTTCATGCCGAATACTGTGCCCATTTCTGCGCGTTCTTTCGTCACCCATAATGCCATTCCGTCGCCGAAGAGGCTTCCTGTGCCGTGGATTTTGAATTCGAGCTCGATTTCCCAGTTCGTGGCTGTGAGGGGTACGCGGCTGTAGAGCCAGCCTGCTTGCGAGGGTTGGTTGGCTGTGAGGCGGATGTATTGGTCGGTGCGGATTACGGTGCTGCCGCCGTAGTCCCACCAGCGGGATTGCATGTCGGAGTCGAGGAAGGGCTGTTTTTGGAGATATGTGTAAGCTAGATGCCCATTCTGCGGGACTTTTCGAGGAAGAATGGGTTTATCGTACCGACTGCAAGGTATGTGTCCGCAGAGGTATGGACTTGATGTCTGATGGCTCGCCTGCATTTTGCGCCTGGGTGAAGCCAGTCCATGCTGCCAGCAGTACGGAGGCCACTTTCGCCATGGAGAGAATCGCCATCGTGGGCAGTGCTGTTGATTTGGCTAGCGGGTCATGCGCCGGATGTTCAGAATGGAAGGAGAACGATGAGCCTCAGCTCGAAACGAAAAGAAAAAGGCGTTGCAGACGGAATGTCGTGGGTGAATGTGTGTTCGTGTTCAGGAGCATTGGGCTAAGCTCTGGGATACCAGCTGGCCATAGTCGACCTGCTGCCCCCAAAAATGCAGGGTTTCCAGCGGCAGCGCAGCCAAGAAAGGATCGACCGTCACGTCAATCTTTCTGCATGTGAAGTACATGACCACAGTCTTCTTTCCTCACATTCGGTCGACTCTTCATCAGCAGAACCATGTCATCATGGCTCGCAGACATCGCCGGATCGCATAGAGTGCAGCTCGGCGTGACTGCTGTCGTCTCCGGAGCACTTGCCGCCACCGCAGTGATCGGTCTGCAAGAAGCGAGGAGACGCTATGATGTGCATGATCTGAAGGATACGATTCCTGATTTGCAGTCGCCGCATGAGATTGGCAGAGTATGTCAGAATCTATCTCAACGTCAAACAAGACAGAACGCTGACTGACGAGAAGCCAGATTAACAATATCGGTGGCGCAGAGCCCGAAAATAGCCAGCAAAGCAGAGACGATGAAAGAAGTGCTGCATTGGCCCGTCGAGCAAGACTGGGAGACTACGATGACAACCTGATCCTCGAACAACTCGCCCGTAATCGTGTCTTCCTAACAGACGATGGCCTCAAGAAACTTCGCAACGCTTTCGTTATTGTGGTTGGATGCGGTGGCGTAGGTTCCCACGCAGCAGCAGCTCTTGCTCGTTCCGGCTGCGGCAAGCTACGACTGATCGACTTCGACCAAGTGACACTGAGCTCACTCAACCGCCACGCCGTAGCAACTCTCGCCGACGTAGGAACCCCCAAAGTCAAATGCCTCCAGCGACGTCTCGAACAAATCGTCCCCTGGACCAACTTCGACTGCCGCAACGAACTCTTCAGCGAAGCAGTAGCAGAAAAGCAACTCTCACCCTGGGAACAAGACGGCCAAACCCCAACCTTTGTCATCGACGCAATCGACAACATCGACTCAAAAGTCGCCCTGCTATACTACTGCAAAACCCACAACCTCCCCGTCATATCCTCCATGGGCGCAGGCTGCAAATCCGATCCCACTCGAGTTTTCATCGGCGATATCTCCGCATCGACAGACGACGCTTTAGCAGGTAGTACGCGCCGCAAACTCCGCAAACGAGGCGTGAAAGATGGAATTCCAGTAGTGTTTTCCTCCGAAAAGACAGGACCCGGAAAAGCTCAACTGCTCCCTCTCCCGGAAGAAGAATTCCAAAAAGGTTCCGTGGGAGAACTCGGTGTGCTTCCCGACTTCCGCGTTCGAATTCTACCTGTCCTCGGCACAATGCCCGCAGTCTTTGGCCTCTGTGTTGCCAATCATGTCATGTTGGAAATTTCAGGTTATCCGCATGATTATCTACCGAACAAGCTCCGAGAGAAAATGTACGAAGGCATTCTAGGTCAGGTTCAAGGTTTTGAGGAGAAAATCGCAAGGCATCAGGGTTTGGATCCTGTGGGTTTGCGATTGCCCATTACTGCGGACGATGTGGGATATCTTGTGGAAGAAGTTTATCATGGACGAAGTGCGATTACTGGACTTGCCGCACGATTAGCATTGGTGAGATGGAGGAGGCCGGAGGGAGATTGGATTGACACGAAAACTGCAGGCCAGAAAGCAGATATCCTGAAATTGGAAGATCTGGTATGTATGACCAAAGATGAGATGGTGAGGCACGAACAATTGGTGATGAAAGAAGGTAAGGCGCCGGAGGAAGTGTATGATCAGGAAGTGGTGGAGCGGGTGAATAGACGCCTAGAAGAGGAGCGGAAGATTCAGCATCAGCGATAGAGAGAACGCCAATGAGGTTCAGGCGATCAGAAAGCGATCTATATGTACAAAAATCTGCATTCATTGTACTCACTCGGATCTATCTACATGCTAGAAACGCAAGCTTATGCAATAAAAGCAATTCGCGTGTCTCATCAGACTTTTACTCATGTATCGTACAATCCATCTCTCTCAAAGAACGATGGTTCCAGCCGGGGGTCTGCGGCAAAAGCTCAGTAAAGCAAGCCGCGAGATATGCATCTCGAAACAAGCTGCAGTTTCCCAATGCCGTGTGCATAGCAAGATTATATCATAGGCCAGACCCATGAAATGCTCGTGCGAGTGTTTAGTGCTCCCGCAAGGATAGGCACAAGAAGCCCTGTCATTAGTTGCTGTTCGTTGACTCATATGTGAGATCATTAGGATCGCTCAAGTGCAACAGAACCAGTCAAGATGCTTGTTATGCTCTCAGGTCGTCGACGACGAGCTCGTCTCATTGGAGATCAATTGGCGTCTGGCATAAGCAAGCTGCAGAAGTTCGTTAGCACCCACCTTAAATTCAAAACAAGTATTGTGCATCACAATCTCACCTTATCAAGCGTCTTGGCCAAAAGCAAATGCTTATTCACCACCGTATCAATCTCATTGCAAATATTCCCTTTCACAACGATATCGCATTCCTGCGGCAACCATCGCAGGATATCGAATCCATTGGCATATACCGTCGTATTCCCTGTCGTTCCACTACCATCCGCCCCCGGTAGGGTGAACGGCATGTGTATGATGAATTTCTTGAGTCCAGAGCAATATCGTAAACTGAGTCGTACCGTCTCCTGAAAACGTTCCAAAATTTCATTATAGGTTGGAATTTCCAATTCGACGTGCTTAATTTGTCGACGAGAGCGTTGATGGAGGTGGCCGAGTGTTTGCATGGCAGTGTTGAGGTCAAGGACGAAGTGGTTCTCGCTATAGAGCACACTTCGGGCTTCTTTGTAAATTTCCTTGCTGGCTCGAAGAACGTTTGTGATTAGTGGATCCTGGTTCTGGCTGCGTTCCGGTTCTGGCAGAGGATTCCATCGGCGAGTGTCGGCTGCGACGCGTCGAGGTCGACTTCCTGGGAGGCGAACCACACCTGGCGTTGCATGCTCATTGCTGGAGGAGTTCGGAGAGGCGGCTGGTGCGGTAGTGCTCAACGGTATGCGACTCTGGCGAGAACTACGCGTCAGGTAGCCAGACATATTCGCGGACGACCCGCGGAAAGAGGCCTGCGAATCCAGTGTGCCACCAAGCCGCTGTCCGCCTTCTTCTTCTTCCTCATCGTCCGAACTCGATCCGCCCTCCACCGTCTCGTGTGCCCCGAAGCTCTCCCCATCTTTCTCCTCTTTACTCACAGGCGGCAACTCCCTCTTCGACAAGAGAATATTATAAGGCCTTGTCAGACAAGCCCTCCAAATCTCCAGTCGAATCTCCGTAGGCAGGTCCATGACAGGAAACGGTTTGACGTCCTTGTCCGTGATCGGGCAGGTCTCCGGCTCAGCTTCTTCCTCATCATCCCACTGTCCTATATCCTCAACCATCTCCACATCTCCTTCATCATAGTCTGCGACTTTGGCCTTTCCCTTTCCTCGTGAAGACCTTGAAATGTTATTCCCATTCACCATCTCATCCACCATGCCCTGCACCCCACCAAGGCTACTCGCCTGCGCCGACAACATCCCCCTCCTCGTCCTCGTCGCCCGTCTGTCGGATCGACTCTTCGTAACGCGAGCCGTGCTGGTAATTGAAGAAGAGGCAGGCGAAGCCACCGATTCCGGACTCGCTTGAGGGATTGATCTCGCCATTCATGCGACGGGCGCAGAATTTCCAAGAAGAAAGCGACCACGTCTCGACAAAAAGTAGGATATTGCGGTTCGCGATGATGCTGTGTGCTGCAATGCGTAAGTGCGTATGCGTGGTTGTTGCCGAAAGCTTGTTCCAATCCGAATTGCGGTTCCGCTGAGGTCAGTGTCAAGTGTTTAGTTAGGTGGGGGTTGGGAAGGAGCTGAGACAAGTCGCTGTTGGCTGGATGTCATCAAGAATTGATTGTCGCTGCCTGTGAACAATGACCTTACCAGCATTTTCAATTGAATTGTGCTTTTTGTTTCTTTTCGTCACAAGTCATTGGTCTGATCATTCAGTCCCAGGCAGCAGATGAATGCGCAATCCGCACAAGCGTGATGCATGTGATATAATGAGAGTCCGGCCGAGCCTTTGAACCGTGGCTCATTATCGGCCACCAACGGCCTCTCGCCGCTCGTCTCAACTAGGAAACGAATCAGAGATGTGATAGTGACCAGGCGAAGATTATTGTGAGTGGTGCTGATGCATTATTGCTTCGTACGTAGTCTGACAACACTACGCACGAATATTATTACTATATTTTGACATACGATCTGTCTCTTCCAAGTTCGCGGACGAAGGACGGCAAGCCTGCTCGTCCATCCAGTCACCCTTATGCGCCAAATCGCCAGACGACTCAGACCTCTCTCTCTCTTCTTTCCACCTCCTCGCGCCCCGTGGCGGCCGTCTTGTGCGACCCCGTATTATGTTTAATGTCGATCAGTCATGTGTGACTGTGATCGCCTTGTTTTGATATTCCCCGTATTCCCCGCCTTGACCGACAGCTGCGAAGCCTGAGCCTGTTGCCGCCTATGATACAGACACAGTCGTACACTCATTATGAGACAGGCGACCAAATATGTGCCTAAAAGCACGCCCGACAAAATCCCTCCCCTTTTTTTGTGGCGCCCGCGAAAGGAAAAAGACAACTTCGGAATTAAGCGACTGGACTTCCTTTGGACAAGGCCGGTCTGAACAAATGAAATGTGAGTGGTATAATCTGGTGGAACGGGGGTATCGACAGCCGGTGATGAAACTCCGAATCGATAAAACGCCGTACAACCTCAGGAAAGCTGGATCTCGCCGAATGCAACCGTAAATGGATCTGGGGTATCACGCCGGGCCATGAACTCCGGCAACGTCGATGGAAACGCAATTGGGCCAAGGGGTGCCTTGTTTCGGCTTCAATTTGTACCTCTTGCCCTTTAGGCCGTTGATGGTCTGTGACTTTGAATGGAGATTGATGTCGCAGCTCTTTGCCATTGGTGTGTGGCAAGCGCAACATAAGTCTACTGCTGCTGCGTCCACATCTCTTGTCGTAGCCCGCCGTTGTTGTAGTCGACGGGGCCTGTGCTGTGTGGGCGAGACACTGTCGGTGCCTGGTAGTACATGTGGGAGGCATTGACGTTGTGCGATGCGTACCCGTTCGCATCTGGATACCCGTAGTCAGTGGTTTGGTGCTGAGCCGACATGGCGTTGTGTGGTGACTGCCATCCGTTGATAGCACCATTGATATGCGGACTATTGTTGCCGCTTGCCGCCTGTTGTTGACCATTGGTCGTAGGTGGCTCCAAAATTTGTGGAGGTCCGTTGTAGCTGCCTGATGGGTTCGAGGTCAGTGGAGGACGCTGTTGGGGTGTGCCCTGGTTGGGTGGCATTGGATATTGTTGAGGCGATTGAGCGCGCGGTGAGGGTTGGACCTCGTTGCGCATATGCGGTGGCACAGCAGCCATGCCGCCGTTCATGGCGTTCATGTAGAAGTCGGAAGGCTGCCTCTGGAGGGTAGGCATGCCGTTCATACCAGCAGCTGGCGAATTGGTCGACTGGCGATCTGGTTGCGGGAGTGGTGACTTCCCATCACCAGAGAAATCGTTCTCCTCGTCGGATCCTCGTGAGCGACCTCCTTGCATGGATACACGTGAGGCAAGTGCCGCAGCAGTGGCTGCCTCTGACTCTTCAATCGTCCCGGTGTGGTGGTTCTGATGCCTCGTCAAGGTGGTACGACGAGTGAAGGTCTTTTGGCAGTCGGCATAGGGGCACTTGTATGGACGTTTGCCAGAGTGGATGCGACGATGGCGTGCGAGCGAGCTACTATCTGAGAAAGGCTGGTGGCGGGTCAGTCGGCGTCTGCTTATGAGATGGTTTGATAATTTACCTTGCCACAACGCTCGCACATGTGCGGCTTCTCACCAGTGTGCACACGTGAGTGAACAGTAAGCGCTGAGCGCTGGATAAACTGCTTGCCACAGCCAGGGTGGTCGCAGACATGCGGTCGTACTCCGCTGTGAATGCGTTCTACGTCACGGGTTAGCGTGATTTGCCACAAGGGATGAAACGTGAGCTTGTCGCACCATGACGCGCCAGGTCGCTTCGTCGGGCAAAGCCTTTGGAGCATGTCGAGCACGCGAATGCTTTGGGCAAACCGCTGCTGCCTGTACTGTTCCGCCCTCCCTCCGCCGGGCTCTGCTCCTGCGGGGTGCTTTGCTGGGTAGCACCTAGTGTGGGTGTCTGTTGGGGGTAGCCGCCGTCTTGCGTGCCTGCGGGCTGGTATGAGTGTTGCAGCATGGGCATCGAGTTGTTTTGCGGCATCGACGGCGAAGGGTACCGCATGCCATTCGTGAGCTGGGCGGCGATTTGCTGGTATGCCACCGAGTTCGCCGGGGCCTGGGACGAGTAGCGTGAGGAGTGCTCGGAGGAGTGTGGTGAGACGCCGCGGTCAGAGCCGTTCTCGGATTTTATCCTGTTGCCCGCGTTGGGCACGTAGAGGTTCTGCCCGGTGAAGTGGCCATTGGGGGTGTGCATGTCGTGGTTCATGCTCATCTGCATGGGGACCTCGTACTGCATGTTTCGGTTCGCTATTGCGCCTGGAATCGCCCTGTTAGTGTTCAGTAACGTGTTGAGGTCCATGTCCGCCGCGCCGGTCAGACTGTCCCTCCTCTTGTGACGCTGCGCAAGCAAGATGTTGCCAATGGACGGTAGAGACATCCAATGCTTGGTGCGGTGTGGGTGTGTGGACGTGTGCGTGTCACTCGAGCACCAAGAGGGTACTGACTGGATCAGAAATTTTTCGGCTGGCAGCAGCACCGAGACGACGCGAGGGTCGTGGTGTGTCGTGGCGACCGGGCACTACACGACCACTCGAGTCGGCGGTCGAGCTCGCTGGCGGCGTGCGTGGGCGAGATGGGCGATGGAGATGCGTTGCTGTCGAAGCTCGAGCCCGATCAAGGATGCTGGGTCCGGGCGTGGGACCGCGCGCGCGAAGGTCACTGCGTTCCTGCAGCTAAGAGAGAGTGCCTGCTGTAGCAGTCGGTCAGCAGCTGCCACGATTGCGAGTGAATAGACACGCCCGCAGGCTGGCGAGTGCGACGGGCGAGGCAGCGATGCACTGTTCCGCTCGCTGCCCGCTGGCTGTTTCCTGCGCGTCGTCTCCTGCGAGCGGGAAAAGGAGGTGCAGGCTTTTCCACCGCCCGCAGCGCCGTCTGCTCGTGCCTGCTGGGGTCCACGTACCTGTCAGGGTGCCCTCGACGACCTCGCCGTGGTGCAAATGTGCAAAAGAAACGCTCCAAGCAGAATACAGAGAGGATGTTTGATGAACTGTTTCGCGCGTTCTGATGATCCGAGCGTTTCTGGTCGAGGAAGGTACGGGGATGGGCACGGCCGCTGCCGCAATGCCAAGACCTGACCGTTTATTTCGGGTGCTCGCTCCTCTGCGAACTCTCCTGCGTCTGTTATGATGCGACGCGTTGATTGAGCACTTTTGTTTCAGCTCGCGCTGATGAGCCTCTAGCGAATCTTCTTTCCCGTGCGCGACTGCGGAATGGCTGTCAATCCACACGCTTCACTCCCGTCAACGCCACCACTCTTCAAGCCTTTGATCGCTGCGAGCGGTGTTTTGTAGCGGCGCAAACCAGCCAGTGAGCCAGTTGACGATCGCGCACTATCGTCGGGGGCTATTCCGAGAGGTTTGCAACGTAAGGGTCTGCTGCGGCAACCTGTCGCGACGTCCAAATGTGTACTGATGAGCGCGCAAGATGCTATTCACCACTCGTCTTCACACTGAACCCGAACGTAGTGCAGTTCTACCCGGTCGATTCACCCTACTCCCCAGTTGTGGTGTCCAGTTGGTCGCCAGATTCCAGTGCTCCGTATGGCCAAAAGCTGCCTTTTGCCTCGAATTCTCCTCCGCCTATCACGGTCGTATTCCCTTATCCTTTCCCTTGCCGGTCTCGATCCCTCAATGCTCCAACGCGCGGCAGTCAACTCAATCTCGATAGCGCGGATTCGACCTGCGAATGGCGCTCAGATGTCCACGAGTTGCAAGGTAGGGACTGGTGTGACTCGCTGACGTCCTCACTCCAGTAAGATGCCAAGGCCGTATAGTCGATGACGATTGTGCTTTGTACAGTGAATGGATGTATTAACAGTATGCGGTAGGAGGGGTCCAAGGAAGGAACGTGTGTAGAGAGGTGGTATGTGGTGACTATGATGATGTAGGGTCAAAGCGAAAGAAAGTCCAAAGTCAGTGCAGGGCACGCGGCGTACTAATGATATAGCATTCACACCACACGACGACATAAATTGCTAGGCTCCAGGTATTATTGTTTCCGTAGTCGAGAGATTGCGGTCCATAACACCCACGTAAAGCGCACGCGCCTGACATGCGGGTAGGATAACCCTGGTAGACACTGCTAACGACAGGCCGACTTCTTGGTCAAAGCCACAGCGGCACAGCGGAAGGCATTGCACTGACTGAACCCAGAACACGGCAGAGCGACGGCAGATCTGCCATGCATACACGGCCAGGGCGGCAGCAGGCAACGTTGTGCATCGCTTCGGACACCGTTGCTTCTTGTTTGCCTACCGACTTCAAGCTGATCGCGGCCTGCCTTCCGGTGTCTGGTGCTCACTGCTGGGGATGTTCGATTTAGGATGGTGCAAGCGCCTCCTTCCGCGAGTCAAACTCCCAGCACTCAGCAAAAGTTGATTGCAGAAAACCCGAAGAGCCAGGGATCCTTGTTTTATATATTCTGCTGTCAGGTGCGAACTCGATTTGGCACCGAACGCGCACCGCATGCTCGCATGAATGGCGATCGGGACAAACAATCAGATGTGCGCTCCGGTTAAAGCTGCGCTCATCTAAACGAGACGGCGGTCGCGGCAGTTATGCCTCTAGAATGCGCACTAGAAGCCATGGATTTCATCTACGAGACGACGGGCTCTGACGCCATGTGGTTACGCTGGAGCTCCGCTTCCAGTCCTAGATTTGGTTTCTGGAAACTGAGCCCCACGCTGACGGCGTCGAAAGCCGAGCCTCTTCGACACGCTCGTGTGTAAGGGCCAGAGACACGGACTCATTTCGCCTTTTAGTGTGCTGGCCCGGTCGACGCGGCTCGAGCTGCACGCGCATGCGCTGCGAAGTTTGTACTGACCTCATCTCTTCGCTCACGGACTATTCAGCTGCCGCTTTCTGCTCATCGTCGCGTGCGCGCAAGCAGCCGAACGTTCGGATCGTTGTTGCTTTCGTGAGTCATTTCCGCAGCTCGATTCTCCGCCAAGGCAGAGGCCAACGTAGCTCACATCATACTTCGCAGTCTGTCGCAGAATGCTAAGAACCTGGTGTTCGCGCCCAATCGTCCGTGGGCTGATCCACTACAGTGGATTTTGGAGAAAATCGCTCGCGGGAGTCATCTCTAGGCTCCGAAGATGCTGTCCAGCTCAAACCGGTTGTTGCAACCTAGTTAGCCTGGTCAGGACTCATGGACACTGCCAGTGAGGATGGAATGTCTGTGTTGACTTAGGTAAGAATAGCGTTTCAAAATACCCTGGACAGCGTTCACCCCTGTGCAGGGGTGGTCAGAACCCTCGTTTACCTTGGTCAGTGGTTCTATTTCAATCGGTCCAAGTGAATGCATTCATTGCCTCTGATCTCAAAGACAGTGGATCGTGGATCAATCTGCAGTGCTCAGATAGGAAGGCATCTGAAACGGCGACTGACGGTTTCCAACGTCTTTCATGTCAACGCTTCTGCAGGTATCGAGTTTGGCTTTTGGGGAAAGCTCTCACACCGTCACACGAGACACCAGTGTGCCTGTTTGACAGGCGCCGGGTAATTCAATCTTCATGCCGATCTGGTTTCCAAAACTAAAGCGCACGTGCTTCGTGGTTGCCGGTTAGATTGCGCTCGCCTGGCGAAAATGCCGTCCTGCCCGCGCGTGACGTCTCCGGAGAGCAGTTTTGTCAACCACGCTGCAATATCGTCTATGCGCAGCTTCTTAATCATCCTTCCGATGGGGAGAGCCAGCATTGTAGCGGAAATCTCGTGAGCTTGGCTTTCATGCAGCAACCTGAGATGTGACCGTGCTTAAGCTTCCCTGCAGCAACAGTGCGTCCCGGCTTCGCCCATAAAGTTGGTCGTTGGAATGCTTGTGTCGGCACTGCGTCCCCGACAGAACGGCTCCCGCAGGGCATTCTTCGGAGCGCGACATGCTCGTGTTCTGGGCCGTGTTCTGACAAAAACCCGCATATAATCCGCCAGCATTACGCTGCCACCAAGAGCATCGTGATCCAGTGCTGGAAATTGACTGTGTGGCTGTGCTATCTGGCGATGTCTCCTCGAATTCATAGATGAGGAGCGGCAGAGAATGCTGTTGAAGATTCCGCGAGCCAAATTTGTGGTCCAAGAATATGTGCGAACAATTTGCATGCCGTGAGTTAATAGTGCTGCAGCGGCACATGAGCCCGGTGAGTGGATGGTCGACAAGTGGGAGGTAGTTCATGAGGGATTCGGTGCAAGCTCAGGGAGTAGAGCACGCAGCGCGATATTTTTGTTGCGCTGTCCTCAAAAGGTGAGTGTCACTATTCGGTGCATTGTCCTTCTGCGAGCTCCCGTCTGCGACCTTCCGAGGGATGCGGTCCGAGTACTCGGCGTATGTTCTGATGTGAGTGTTCGATATCTGTATAACATTGACTCCGGCCAGAGATCGCGAGTGTTGTGATGACGCCGATGGTGTAGCGACCAGAACCCAGCTTTTTCCTACCTGCACCGAAAAAGGGAATTTTCTGCACAGCTGGGAGGACGAGCAAGCACCGCCGCTGCCATTTCCGCTGCAGCATCTAGATGACATATTTCGCCGAGGTCTGACTTGACCGAATCGACACAATTCCGCACAAGAAAAAGAGGCGTCGATTTCACATGCGCGTGTCTTGGAACGCGAGTCTGGAAGGAGGGAGGGCGTGAGGGAACATAGCCGAGATCTTCGTCCATGCAGCAGCTCGGCGGTCGGCGGTACGCAGCAGCCTTGATCCGTAGTTAAACCCCACCCCACCAGAGAGCCACTGGATGACAGAGCGCGCAGAAGAGACAATGGCACGCCATTTCTGCTACTGTTTTCGAGTATTTACTACTGTCTGGCACCCACCAGCCTCACCACCATCAGCATACTTCACCCCTCTCCGCAACGCGTGACAGCTGTGCTAGGATCAGACCAAGTCGACCAGGTCTTACGGAATCTTAAGCTTTGAGGGACCGATTCTCGAGTCATCATACTATACTATTCCTCCGTCGCGTCTCTCACACTCGCAATACCATCCCTCCTCCTCCTTCCGGCCAGCGACCATGGCGACCGTCAATGGCGATGTCAGCTTCGACACTATCCCCGACGCCGTAGAAGCATTCGGTGAAAACCTCTCCAACACTTGCCAAATGCTGTGTCCCGCATCGCTAATACCGGCCCATCAGCACGCGGGGAATTCATTCTAGTAATGGACTCCACCGACCGCGAAAACGAAGGCGACCTGATCATCGCCGCCGAAGACTTCACTCCCGCCAAAGCCGCCTTCCTGATCCGCTACTCGTCAGGCTACATCTGCGCTCCCATCCTCCCCGCCCTCGCCGCACGTCTCGAGCTCCCGCAGATGGTCACGCATAATCTCGATCCCAATCGAACAGCCTACACAATCACGATAGATGCTGCAGAGGGCGTGACGACAGGTATCAGTGCGCAAGATCGTAGCTTGACATGTCGGAGGTTGGCAGATGCTGCTGTACAGAAAGATTGGTTTCGGAGACCGGGGCATATCGTACCTTTGCAGGCGCGTGAGGGTGGTGTCAGAGTTCGTGCGGGCCACACTGAAGCGGCGGTGGATTTCTGTAGATTGGCTGGGAAGGAGCCAGTTGGCGTGATTGCGGAAATGGTGGAGGACGGGGAGGATGTGCTTGGGAAAGCGGAGATGTCGGGCGGTTTCGGCATGATGCGAAGAGATGGATGTTTGGCATTTGCGAGACGTCACGGACTGAAAGTTGTCACGATTGAGGATCTGATCAAGTATTTGGAGAGTGGAGATGCGACCAAGGCAAAGCAATGATGTGTAAAGACAAAAAAGTATGTGGATAGTGTACAATATCCTGAAGCTGTTCAAAACTTCTAGTGTCTGGCTGTGGGCTTCTTCGGCTTCCCTTCGATTCCATCAATGACCATGATGCACTCATTCCAGTGCAGTGGCAGCGAATCGTGCGTGTCCGCGGAAGCAATTGCTCCTTCAGTGCTACGCTATTCCCAATGCCCTCGATTGGAGCTCACCTCAGCGGCGTGGTGGCGTAAGTCTTGTGTGCGATTCTGCGATTCTGCGATTCAACGATTTTCCATGCCATCCTCAGTACGTTTCGGCGGAGTCGGCCAGTCTCTTCCATCTCGAGCTGGGACCCAGCTGTCCCCTTGCCTGTTGTCTCTCGAGGGCGCCCAAAAGTTGCCGCGGGTAGGTGGGCGAATCTGCTGTTCCCCTTCCCTGCTATCCTTTGAGGGCGCCCAAGAGTCGCCGCGGGCAGGTTGGGGAGCCTGCTGTCCTCCTTCCCTGCTATCCTTCGAAGGAGTCCAAAAGTCGCCGTGGGCAGGTTGGCGAACCCGCTGTTCTCCCTCATTGTTCTCCTTCGAAGGAGTCCAATGGTCGCCACGAACGCCTTGGTGACGAAGCACGGCGGCGTCGTAGCGCGACCGCTCGAGTGGACTCGACAGGATCTCAAAAGCCTTGCGCAACTATGAAATTGTAAGCGCAGTGTCCCGCAAAAGGCGTTCATAATGATACCTTGTTCGACTCCTTGATCTTCAATTCTCGCTCCGCCTCGGTTGGTTCGTCGTAGGCCAGGTTTTGCTCTCTCATTTTGGTTTCGAGTGCGTGGTAGCTGGCTGTGATTGCGTGTGCGCTCGCTTCTTGTGGTATTTGGAGAATGTCGTACAGGTTAGGACCTGCGCCATAGCATTAGCCTCAATTTGTCTCGTCAATATTGCTTCGTCTTACCGCGCGCGGTACCGAGACGGCGACGAGCTGATGATGAGCGAGCCATGCTGTCTTCTGGTGATCTCGATCGTGTTGCGTGTCGGCGATGCGACAGCTGACCAACTTAAGACTGGCAACGGCCGTTTGCCGTCATTCACTCAGCCATCGCTGGTTGAGGTGATTGGCTGCCTAGCAGCTACGACGCTTGTCGGCCATTCGTAGTCCGCACATCGCGGTATCTGCTCTGATGCGCGGAGCAAACGACCTGTGTGTTCAGCCCAGAGACGTTCTGATGCGTTGGTGGAAAACAGCACAACTCTGGTCCATGATTTCTGTTTCGGCGGCATCTGGGAAACTTCCCGCAAGTTCCACGTATATCTGTGCCGGACGATGTTTAACGCCTCGAATCTCGATCTCAACCTGACAGCCACGAGCCCGTTGCGCTTCAACAGCCATGACAACGACCGGCTTGAGCCAACTCGACGCCTGATCGTCCGGTGTCTCCTCAATCTGCGCCTCTGTCGGCTGAAGCATTTGTATCTCAAGGTACAAAGACTGCAGACCTGTCATGTCTGTCCCAAAGAATCTCCACAAGTCTGCCCAGTCGCGATTCGCTCGATTGTTGAGGTCCGGATGCCTTGGGATGCGCATGTGCAAACGAAATCGGCGAAAGCAAGGCAGTCTTTGCTGAGGGAGCTTGAGCTTCAAGAGGCCGAAAGCTGCGAAATTTTGACTGAACACGAAGGTGTTGCTGCCGTAGAGGATAGGAACGGCTTCTGAGTACATTTTACGGCAGGTCAAAAGCGGAGCGAGGAGTCCTGACATAGCACTCCTTCTCGTGACTGAGGGACGCTGGTCGTAGAAGGCGTCGGAGCATTTGTGCTGGGAGCCTTCCTCTTCGATCTGCTCCGGCCGGTTGCATACATAATGAGTGATGCGACTCTTCGCATTCTGGGCATAGCAGTGGAAGACTTGGCCTCCGAGCACCATCTCATAGATGATGACTCTCACATCGTACGGCAACTTTGACAGGAATCCGGACTGTTCTTGCTCACTGCATCGCTGTTCCGCTTCCATATACGCCAAGACCTGCAGTCTCTGCCAGATACTGTCCTGGGATGAATCGAGCGGCGCCGTCAACCGCCTCGGTCTAGTCGGTGGCGGAGAACGCAAGTATGTTCCAAACGGAAGTCCCAGGAACGGCTCAATCTGTCTATTCGCCCACTGCGGCGAAGGGCTGACGTTCACGAAAGTGCGCAGGGCAAGGTCGCCCCATGAGCCTGCTCGTTTCAGCAATATTTTCCCGGAATTGTTGCTTATAGCTCAAAGACATACCGAAGTCTACCATTTTCTTCTACTTAGATGATGGTCATAGCGCACGGCAGAGATGTCTATGGTGAGAAGTAGGGCAACTTTTCACGACCTGCTGTCACATGGATTGCGGAAGGTGCGGTAAGCACACTGGGTATACGCGGAGGCTCATCCGGGTCTTGACTTTCTTGACAGTGTGTGATTTAGCGGAGGCGGCGAGAATAATGAGGTTGAAGATGGCATGGCTGATGCTGGAAAGGTGTGGCTTGGAAGTTGCAATTGAGTTTGAGATGATTCGCGGGTTGTGTCGTGATCAGGCTTCGCGCTCGGCGATATTTTTGGCCCAGAGGAGCACAATCTCGTATCGCATGGGACACTGCCGGATTCCATTTTGTACGATATTCTACAGATCATACCGGACTCATTGGAGCGCAGTGACATCGCGTTGAGGGACAGCCAGTTCGTGGATCTTGATCTCACAGCCTTACACAGAGACGACGCGTAAAGGAAAATCATCACGCGTCGCAGCACAAGGTATGACCAACTCCGCGGCCTTGCTATATCAAATACGCGATCACTCAGCCACTAGATTGCTCTGAAACGACGAAGTGCTTGATGATTCATGCGCTATCAAGTCTGTGGTGAACCTCCACCGGACAACGCCTTCATTTGCTTCTGGCCGCACTTATGCTGTCATACCATGCTTCTTGTGGATATCAATGACCTTTTGCACCTCATCGTAACTGCCCAAGAAAATACCGCTTCGGTCGTGGATGTGTTCAGGCACGACAGTCAACATCCGGCGCATGTTGCTGTCCACGGCTTGACCACCAGCTGCATTCTGTTAGCCAAATCTCTTCTTGGAGGATCCAAACAATTTGCAACTCACCTTGCTCGAAAACCATGGCCATGGGACCGCACTCGTACAGAATTCGGAGCTTGCCCTTCGGCGACTTCTTGTCGGCTGGGTAGGCGAAGATGCCTCCGTACAGCAGTGTCCGGTAGGCATCGGCCACCATGGATCCGATGTATCTTGCAGAATATGGCTTCTCGGCGTTCTTCAGGCTCTCCACCCACTCCTTGACTGGCTCTCCCCAGTATTTGCTGTTACCCTCGTTACAGCTGTAGATTGCTCTTCGCTTGGGCATCTGCATGTTCGGGTGTGTAAGGATGAACTCGCCGAGGGCATTATCCATGGTGAAGCCATTGACAGCACCGCCCTTCATGGTGAGCACAAGCTGAGCCGATGCACCGTACATGGTGAACCCAGCTGCAACGAGATCGGTACCTGGCCGGAGCAGGTCCTCTTTCGTGCCCTTTGCACCCTCCTCGAGTCTGTAGATGCCGAAGATTGTGCCCACTGACACACCAGCATCCAAGTTGCTACTGCCATCGATGGGATCGCAGGCAATAGCGTAGCGTGCATGAGGGTTGTTGTCAAAGATGATAGCTTCCTCCTCTTCTTCTGAGACCAGGACACGGACACGGCCGCTCGAACGCATTGCTGCGATGAACACATCGTTGCCAATCACATCAAGCTTTTTCTGGTCATCGCCGGTTGTGTTCGAGGATCCCGCAAGTCCGGAAAGGTTGATCAACGAGGCTCGTCGGATGTAATATGCTATCGACTTGAAGGAGAATTGCAGTGCGTGGCACAGCAGCCTGTCCCACGTCTGTTAGTGAATCTGCTGGTCAGATTTCTTCTCACACATACGTAAAGTCTCCTGTTGCTTCCTTGTGTTTTGACTGCTCCTCACTCAAGTATCGCGAGAGTGTCACAATCTCGGTGTTGATGCTCTCGCCGCCAACAGCTCCTCCTTCAGCTTTCACGCCAGATGCCATCTTCGCTGTATAATTGTTGAGGAATTGCTTTTCAGAATCGTCCCAGCGTGCACTCTAGTTTTGCTCGTGAGCAGCCTCCTACTACGTAGCAAGTACGAAATCTGAGCTTCGTGATGGAGCAAAGCCCAGTATGATATCAGCAAAGTGGAGTATGAAGTATGCTGGGCTGAAGAACGTCACAAGGTGAAAGAACTTGGGAAGTTGGGGGGAGAAGCAGCAGTTTTCTTCAGTGTCGGGTGATGGCTCTACCTTTAAACCATGACAAGCTATTAACAAATGCCGCGGTTATGGTATCCTCTCTGCCGCCCAGCACGAGGCCTGGCAGAACGGCTACAACGAATGCGTCGTTTGCTTCTCCAGTCCGCAACCCAGCGGGGCACTTGGAGGGGCCCGCATCCCGGTTGCTTCTCGCCAAATGCGGGAGCGACCGGGACGTGCACAGACTGCCTGGGGGGCTACCATCGGCTTTGCCTTCCGCTTCGTGACAATTGGCAGCGACCACACTCCTGCGAGGCATTTATCAACTTCTTCATTTATCGTGCGCTGCTCCCAATGTTGGCGCTATCGTATTTCCGGCTGTTCAATGACCCCCACAGCCGCCATGATACCCCAAGCCAGATCGAACCAACGTGCACGAGCAGCACAAATGCAAGTTGAAAGTGGCAGACAGCACATGTTCTTGACGGAGTTAGAATAGAGCATTGTCCTTTCATCAGTAAGAACCAGGGATCAGAATCATGTCCCGACCCTCCACATCGTGGCAAAAACAAGATGCGGGCTCACTTCATCCACGACGGTCTGCGCCAACAACAATCACATTGCATACTCCGGCAAAGGCGGTCTTCACGCTGGCAGACCGAGCTCATGACTAAGAAGGTGTCTCATCAAGATCGTCTCTCAAATGCATGTCATACTTGATAATGGATGAGGAAACGTGAGCAGCACGATTGTTTTATAACTGGAAAAGTCTGCTCGATCTTGGTCTGCTCTCTCCATATCGGTTGCCTCGGCCAGTCTTCGTGCCAGTGTAGGCAATGTCCCTAAGCGGTCTTTGGCCAGTCGAGGAGGACAATTTCCAACATGAAAGTTCGTTCTTGAGCGAGTACAATAATGTCTTTCGCAGGGACTGCTAATCCGACCGTCTGTAATGAATGTCGAAATATCACCAGATTGGGTAAGATTGTGCTCGATTGGGAGGATTCACGCTGACAATAGTTCCAAGTGGTCTGACATATATCATTTGCTGTGGCTTTGATCCTTCAGAATGTGCGGATCTGCTGGCACTGATGCTTGTAGTTGTGCTTGGAATCCATCTCCAAGAGCATGCTCTCGACCGAGCAAACACGACGAAACCTGAAGGTGCAGCCACTGCAGCCATTCAAACAAAGGTAGCTAGTTCGAGTCCATGGACGAGGCGATGTTGCCGACGCGAACGAATATCAGTACCGTCAACCAAAAGACCCATGTGTCGAACCGGCTGAGAAATTGCCTGGCAAGCGACGTCGAAATCAAGTCGTAGTCTCCGTTAGACTAAGCACCATCACGTCATACGAATTCTTCGAAGGACGAAACATTCTGCCAGCTCTGTTGTTTAGCATTCGCGTGCTTCACTGTCATCGGGAGAAGCACGAGCAAGGGACTGCATAGGGTTCGCAAGACACTATACAGTCTGAAAACGCTTCCCAAGCGTGAGATACTGCACCCGCCCTCCGGAAACCTGTAGTCCGCACAAGCTCCAAAAGGCAGGGTAATTTGTCTGGCATCCTGGCAAGAAAAAAAGCTGCCAGTCGACTCGACAGGAAAACTGGGAGTTGTCGCAAGTCAAGCTCTGCAAATGACTAACACTCTGCGGCTACGACTGCGACCTGCACGATGTTCCCCTCGAACACATTGACTTTACGATGGACAGCACAAGGGAAGTGACATGCTCTTTGGAATTGCACGGGAGGACTTCTTCGCGTTCGAGTACTATTCTACGACATTCAACGCTCCATGTTATTCGAGGTGGTGTCAGCCTCATCCAGCAATCTCACCTTGATGATACTACTACTCAGCTGTTCACCAAGTTGGACAGCATCAATCCCTCTGCTATAACTGGGAGGTATGTCACCGGTCATCTGCCACACCAACCACGCTAGCGCTCCTGCATACGTACTGCAGGCCAGAACCCACTTCCCGCAGACCGCGGGCTAGACTGACAGCTGCACACGTGGCACGCCGAGACCTTCCTCCACAAAATATGCAAGAATACAAGATTCGAATCATGAAATCTTGGAATCCTACACACCTCGCTTAATTATACAACACACTGATTCATATCAGGGGTCACATCTTTGTGTTTCTGAATCATGACCACTGCTGGTCTCCTGAGAGAAATTACACCAAGAATGTAGTGCCACCGGGTAGGAGTGCGGGACAAGAAAGAAAAGACCGTTTCATCCGTATGCGTATGCGTAAGCGCAATCCTCACGGCTGTAGGATGTGACAAAAGACTGAATCTGTGCGAAGCGCAAAGCGTTTTCGGCGCCGAGCGAGTTGTTTTTCTGGCACTTTTGGACTTGTGACGGATGTAAATTGTAGCCGTGAGCACAGACCACGCTGCGACTATTCACCTCGCTTGTCCTGTACTTGCTCGGAGCACATTGTAGGAGGTTAGTTCTCAATCAGCCTGCCACGTTTCATTTGATTAGGGCTTAGACGTCGGCCCGAGAGCTGAGCTCTCTACAACCGCAGACCTACTAGAGTCTGGCCGTAGTTTCAACCCTCTAGTGGTCGAGTTATCGAGCGATGCGCGCCTTGCAATGATGTCGCGAGGCTCGATCGATACGTGATAATTTAAAGCCGACTTTGTGATGTCTTAAGCCCTCTGTCGTTTGCCTCTGCTACGAGACAAGCGTCAAGCCTCGAAGAGCGTCCACTGGAATGCAGCGTTGACTTGCGACATGCACAATTCGTGTGTGCGCTATCGGTCAGCATTGTGTAGCGTCCCAAAGATCAATGAGATACCGTGTTGGCCGGCTCATCCACACTTACCACGCTCGCATCTCTGATCTCAAGCAAAGCGGGCCGGGAGACTGGATGAGTGTTGAATTTGGTCGTCAATCAATTGCTGTCTGCTCGGGTCACAGGTGATGAATGCTGTATTGCCTCAGTTGTTCAGGTCATGAAGCCATGAGGCCATTCAGGGGAAGTTATGTGGATTAGCACTGGTCCTGGTCCGATGGAGCTTCGTTTGAAGGAACATCCGACCAACAAGAAGAGCTTCGTTGGACATTTGCAGGAGCTTGTCCGTGCCTGGGCTTCCGTGTCCCTCTGATCAGAGCTGAATGAATGCAATTCGCTGTCCGATCCGGCAGAGGCAGAGTGACAATGCCAGTGCTCACTCCCTAGTCTTGAGATGCAGGTTCGATTTCTGACTACGCGCGGCTTCCTTTGTGTGTTCATCTCAGAAAGCCCGTCGAACACGTCTTGCTAATCTGCATTTGAATGACTACGCGGTGAGTCGTGCGCCTGAGGACGCGCAATTGTCGGCCGTGCTCGGAGCGCACGAGCAAAAGATTGGCGATCGATGGGTATTTGCCTGGATGAAGGAAGTGATGTATTCCGCAAGAATTAATCTTGTGTAGCGATCATGAGCCGCCAGAACATATGCTCATAGTTGTCGCCGTTGCCTGTGTTTCGAGGTTGTCAAATCCAGCTGGCAACTGAATGCCTTCATTGTCCCTTGACTGGTCCAAGACATGCTCTTCCTCGATGTGTGCATTTGTTGGGGATCAGGGAGCGCTCGGCGACGGCTCAGGAGGCAGCTAAATCGTTGGCCATTGACGCGCAGAGGACGGGCCAGAGCTGATTCTGGCCCAATAGAGCAGCGATTGCCGTGATACTGATCACTCATCGTCCTGTGGTCGCACCACAGAACTGTCCGGTCGTAAGTCCGATGCCTTTAAGACGAGCGCACCGGTCTTAACGTGCTCGTGCAGGTGAGTGTAATCTCGGCCGCAGAGGCAGGCTTGTACTACAACGCATCATTCTGCGTATTGCCAGTATCGTACGCTGCATACGCTGCGAGCGACGTTTGAGTCGCAGGGGCCATCATAAGTTGTGATAGGACGGTAGGCAGTGCGTAATGCTGTGCTGGCTGGCTGGGTCTCGAGGAGGGACTTGATGCTGTCGACGTTCTATCGGTCTCGTTCGAGCTTCGTGGCCCAATCGATCCCAGGCGAACCTGCTTGGATCAACGTCCGCCATCGGCGCAACACTGGGTCCTACATGCATGCAAAGCTGCGGCACATTGCGGCGTTGTCTACTCATGGGCTGCTCTCTTGCTCTCCAAGCGACCGACTAGACGTGGCCGTCCATTATGCTGGCATTGTCTGGAAGAATGTATCCAGAGTGCTTATGCGCTGGCGCTTTTCGGGCGCACCGCGTTGCGTGTTTGCAGATCTCCAAGGCGCTGAATAGATTGCTGAAGCTTTGTGGGTGTTACCATGATATCGCGTCCTCAAGCCGTGATCATACCAGGCCTAAAAGGGGTAAATCCCGTGGACCAGTACGCGAAGTCGTAGTTGTTGCTCAAGTGCAACATCTGATATAAGATTCGTGGTCCGATGAGCAGCATGCAGCATGAAGACTGAGTTATAGATCACGTGCCATCCCTCAATTGCAAGGAGATTGTTTCGGAGAAAACTGCGAGAAGTGCAAGACCTTGTCCGGCGCATGAGGTCGTGCCGAAATTGGAGGTAAGAATCGGACACAACGCTCGGCCGAGTTCCATTGATAGGTTGCGGCAGCACGATACGTCGCCGAGAAAACGCAGCGGCCGCTCTTTGACGACTATATCTTGGGCTTGCAACCATCGGTGGACCCGCTCGACGTCGGGTCGTTCCCCGTCACCAACCATTCCCCGCCATCCTGGTTGGATCTGGCATTTAGGGCAATGCACGTGGCTAGTAGAACAGTCACGTCAGTTTCCAGACTCTTTCTTACGGTCTGAGATGGCACCCTGCAAGACTAGGGTGCACACACTGGCATGATGACCATGACAGTGATCATGAAAGTCGCCGTCATGCGTCGCGCATCGCATGCTTGTATGAAAATTTGTGGTTCCTGCTTTTTGATGGTGTAAGGTCGATGTCGCTGTCTTCATGCCCAAACTGGCTTGGCCGTGTTCTCTCCAAGCAAGGCTTCGCCATTATTGAACCACCCTAACACATTTTCAGTCCCACTTCTGCCAAGCGAGGCTCGTTTATCAGCGTCGACGTCTCCACGGAGGTAGCACCAAGGATCTGCCTCGTGCAGGAAGCTCGCCAGCTACCTGCCAATAACGTCGGCGACTATCGAGGAAGCGTGCGAGGTGCCCAAGAAGAAGTAGCAGGTGGCCAGGGAAAATATCGAGAGAACGTGGATCTTGCTCATGATCTTCGAAGAAGCTCATACAAGTTTTTCGAGACACTTCGACCCCAGATTTGCGCCAGCCCTTCGCACTACAACGCCTAATAGGGCGCCACGATCTGCCTGATTTGAATCTCGATCTCGGACGACAAGGGTCAGCTTGACAGCAGCACACGCGGTAAGACCCTTTGGGCAGTCATGTCAAGCACACGTGGTAAGCTCACCGCCGATACCGTCGACGGTATCGGTTCTGCCTCGGATTCCAGGCCAGAAAGTGTGCGTTTTCCCGCCTCAGGTGCCTCATGTTTGGATCTGCTTATCTGGCGGTGGCTCGTAACTCACCAGGTGCCAGGACAAAACGAAACGACGGGCAACATCCTCGCCAAGTAGTGAAAGGGGTCGCATCAAGAGGGCTGTTGAGGTGGCATGTTGGCCATGTCGCAAGCGGAAGGCAAAGGTAGCCAGCTTCTCGCACCAAATCGCCAATCGCTGACCAGAAGATCCCAGTGTTCTGGAGAACGACCCTCTTGCGGGCCTTGCACACAACGCGGAGTTGATTGCTCGTATGAATACGAAGAGGGATTGACGAAACTCGGTTGGCTCAAGGTGTGTGTAGAGCGACAAGCAAACGACATGACCTCCAGATGCTCATTGTACGAACATCGGCATCCACCGAGGAGAGATCGGTCGCTTATGCTTCAAACGCCTGTTTGTCGCAGTAACAGAAGAGATTTGCTGACTTATCTGATTCCAGATGAAGCTTGACGAGGCGACAGCCAAATCAGATAATCTAGAATTCCTGTTCGACCAGCTGCGCACGAGGTCGGATGAAGAGTCGGTGGGTTGTGCCAAATGCCGTGGCATGAGTGGCAGGCCATGCTGACCATGATTTGCAGTCCATGATACTTGCCATCATTCGTCTGGGAGCAGATCTCGAAAAGGTCGTCAGCCAACTGAAGGAGGCCCCACAACAAGTCTTCAGCAAAGACAATGCCCTCAATATCGACCACTTCATGACAGACAGCGGCGATGCTGATATTAAAGAAGAACCAGCTCCAACGCCGCATGTCTCCCCCGAACAGTCGACAATGTCGGGTATAACAAGAGGTCGCATCGCGTAGCTCTGACTTGGTCAAGTGGAGACCAGAAGATAGTTGCAGCCCAAAGGAGCTGTCGACGAAATGAAGAGCCACTGACCATCTCGTGACTCATGGCAATGCTGGAGGGATCTGTGTCTTCTGCGACTGTGAGGAAGCAGGTGAAGTTGACAAGGAGAAATCTTCAACCAGTGCCGAAGATGTCGAGGCAGCTAGCCACTTGCGAGATACGACCGTTTCGACTCGGTCGAGCCGGTAGCTGTTCCCCGGCCATTTCCTATCGAGCCATTTGGGGGCTCGAAACGCCTGTGCTGTTGACCAGGCTGTAGTTGGAGATTCGAAGGGAATTCGCGTCACAAGAGTCGCAAAGCGGAGAGGTGGCTTGTGTCGAAATTTCAGGCCATGTGGGTACACCGCGTGAGAAGGATCGAAAGTCGCAGTGGAGTTGCAGTTTTGTCGTTGGTACGTTGGAGTGGGAAGGAAGGGTTGAGGAAGGTGGAGTCCAGCTCCGATTCCCGATCACAACTCTAAAAAGTCACTCACACAACTCTTGACGTGGCAGTAGAGAACATTTATGTCGATGATCCTCTTTACCTCCCTTCGAACTCATATACCCACCTCGTTTCCGCTCTGCGCCCGGGCGGTGACTCCACACTCCGAACCTCATCAGCAAACTTCCCTTCTGTTTCCCTTATATCAAACGTCACCACCCTCTTCACCAATCTCCCCCGATCCATGAACCAGACCTGCACATTCCGCCAACCACCTTCAGGACATTCCACTTCGGTCTCGAAAAACTCGTCCGAACGGGCTGAGAGACAAAAAGTCAGCGGAACTCCGGCCGAAGGTGGATTGAGCTCCACAATTCAAACACGATTCCGAGAGAACGACATGTCTTGAAGAAATACGCACCTAGTCCCTCAGTCAAATATCCAATCCCCTCTTTATGTTCGAATTCACTCCCTCTCACCCACCGACATCTTCCTCTTGTTGCCAAAACTCTCCTATCACTTGTTTGAGAGTTCATATTCCAACTCTTCTCCTTCTCCGCCATGGGAACTTCAACAACACCATTCGTCCACTCGCTCCACTGCCCAACCTTTTGTGGCGGATACCAGCGCTCCGTCGTACTAGGAGGTACCAAATTGCTCGTTACCTGTTGTTGTAACCCAGCTCTTGAGGGGGAATGCGAGGGCGAGGAATAGTTGCTTCGAGGTTGGCGAAGGATCTCAGTCCGAATGAGAAGTTGGGATGGGTAATGCGATTGGGTGATCGTCAAGTAGATGGGAGATGTGAGGAGTGCTTTGCGCGTTGGAGATGGGTAGCCTGTGAACAGTAAGAACAGATGATCTGGCTTGTTGTCCAATGTCGAAATGCGGAAGTTGGGGTGTAATACCTTGAATTTCCAATGCTTTTGGAATGCCTACACTCAAGCCCTTGCTCATCACCCACTTTCCCGAGAGGTCTCTCAAAGTCTTATTGTTCTGTAGATATGCCGGCGAAGGCATATCGGGCGAGGTTTCTGTCGATGTTTCTGCTTCTGTAAATGGGTCGAGGTGTGGACGATGTATTGCACTGCTGTGATCATGCGCAGAGGCGAATGTATAGGAATGTTCCGTACCATCACCCATCTTGACAGGTTGGGCGCGAGCCTCCGCTTGTGGCGAGATGCTAGATCGCTGCGTAGGCCTAGCACAACCAGGCGTGCCAGGAACCCAGGACAAGATGAGAAAAAAGTGGCCGACACACGACTGCGCACCTACCTATTCCAACAAAGCGCTTGGACGATCACGAGTATAATTAATTGATTTTGCGGCAGTCGAACATGCCGTGCTCGCTAAAATGGTTCGCAGTCCATGAAGCTCGACGATCGGATAAAGTATCAACGTTTTCCAGGGTCGCGCTTCGCGTCATCATTCGCGCTTCTTCCTTCATTCTTGGTTCCGATTTGCCTTTGCGCAGACTTGACACCTGGATCGTGTCTGGCAATCCCATGCTATTCCCGCACTCAACCGTGTGTCTGTGTCGCATCAGGTCCAGCAACCCTGCCCATTGGCCCTGTCAGGAGACGCGACTTTCCATTTCGGGAATGCGCAAACTTCAGGTTGACAGTTCATTACACGCCGGCAAGCGGCGGCTATCGTGTCGGTAAATGCGCATTCGAAGCGCGAGTGAATGCATGATGCACGTGGCGCTCGCGAGCCTAGTCTCAACCTGACTCAAAGACGCCCTGATTTCTTGCGTTTCATGGTTCGTACCTGTTGTAAGATGCTCCACCCTGTTTGTCGGAAGCAGATCTCAAGCCACTCGCGCCTTTTTATGCCCGTTGGCATCCACCTCGGCAACTGTGTCGACAGGTGAAGCAGCCTGATCCATCTCCTCGTCTTCATCGTCTGTAATGGTCGGCCGCTTACGTTTGGCAGCGCCAGCCTTCGTAGCAGCATTGTCACTGCTCTCAATTTCGCCATTGGCGATGGCCGTTTCGCGCTCTTCGATTCTTTCGATCATTTCGGTATAGGCATGCTCAACGCTGTCGAGCGCGGACTCCAGCTTTTCCACGCGCTCCTGGTGCTCGATCTGTGCAAGCTGATCCTTGTTGAAGATGTACAGCCGATGCTTGGCGTACAGTCGCCAGAGGTAGTAGGCTCTATCGTTCTCATTGCTCGCCTTCAACTTCTTAGTGATACGGCTCCGGGAGCGATTCTGATGAGGGATGCGAGAGAGTGTGTGCATTTCTACCAGTCTGTCGAATTGGCGGGGCATGATTTTTGTTCTCATCATGATGTCCTTGCGCACGCCAACAGGTACGATTAGATCGACTGGGATACTGAGTTTTGGATCGATCTTGTCGGGAGACAGATCGCTCTGGATCTGGAGGCCTGCAAAATCGGGAAAGTTCGCTCGCAGATTTAGCAAGTCACAAAAGTCTCGCAGGTCATCGAACTTCTCGTTTGGATCCTCCACTGTGAACTCGCGTACACACTCGGGAGATGTGAGATGCCTGAACATCGTATTGTAGAGTTCTTGCCCGTGTCCGGCACCATGCCATGGAGGAAGCATGAGGAACTGCGATAATCGCTCACGGCATGGTAGGTCGAGAGGCGAAGCGAAATCCGGTGGCTGCGCAAGCTCGTTGGTCTTGCCATCCACAATAAGGAAGGCATCCAACCCCTGCGATGACGGCGAGAACGGATCAAACTGCACGGCCTTCTTGCGCTCGGGGAATGTGAAGTTGCGATATGATGTGCCATAGCCTGCGAAGGTGTACGCGGACTTGTCGACCTCGTAGACTAAGAATATCTTCCAGCGGGCGGCTGTCCAATCCTGCTCCAGCTCCAACATGCTCCCGCCGTCAATGAACATGGGCACCAGTATCTGCATGTTCTCAAGAATCTCTCGCGCCGCTGGATCAGCCAAGCTAGCGCAATATGTCTCGTAGCTCTTTCCATTCCTCGTGTAGGAGTGGATCTTTTCGCCCGGAGGTCTGAAGTCGGTGGTACGTTTCGATGTATCCTTGTCGAACGCTGAAGCAGGCAGAAACTCTTTCAGAGCAGTCTTGATATCTGTGGGTCTCACTTCGCCCTGGGCTGGGAACTTCTTGCCGTATTTGATGTGTAATTGAGGGTCAAGGTGATCTGCTTGGAAGGATAAAGTGATGCCTAGGTTTTGGTACCCAAAGATGGCTTCCTCATCGCCAAACATGGCATATGTGAACTCCGGTTGGAATGAGGCCACAACTGAGCCATCTTGGCGAGTGAGTTGAATCGTGAAGCATTCGTTGCTGTTGCTGGACCATTCGTCCACTTGCGCTTGAATCTCGGCCGTCAACTCGTCATCGTCCTCCATGTCGATGGTCGGTTGGTGAGCCATTGTGTGCGTCGCGAAGGCGGTGTGATATGTCCGGTGTTGGTATTAGCGATGTTGATGAGCAGCGTTTGCTGGAGGCTGCCGCGACGCTAGTGGAAGGACGTGTAACACGCGACAGAGAAGACGCGACTGACGTTTGAAGCTCGGAGCGCGAACTGGCCTCAGCTCCGAACTGCCAACTTTAAACAACTCGCTCTCCCATTCGGCTTTCACATGCACTCACTTTACGACCTATACGACTTGACGATTGTGTGTTTCGGGCATCGCAGCGGTATTTGAGAATTCGAGGAGATCGTGGTCCAATGGTTGTCAGTTGCCAGTCTTTGCAGGAGGTTGAGCAGTACGCTTTGGCGCAATAAACACTCCCGAGTCAAGATGTGGGACGGACTCCTGCTGCTGCTCTTATTGAGCCTTGTCATGGCAGGCGCGTAAGTGAATGTGGTCGCATAGCATAGACAGCACGTTATTGACAATTTCAAGTTCCTTCGCTGCTGGCATCCTCCCTCTCTCGTTCGCCCTCACACCACGCCAATTGCGCCTGATCACAGCATTGGGGACTGGCGTACTGGTCGGCACCGCATTGATCGTCATCATACCGGAGGGCGTCGAAACATTATATGCAGCGAGTGGGAGCGATCATGGACACAACGCGAATGTCGCAGCGAGAGGACTTGCGCTCGCGAGGGAATGGCCTAAGGAGGACCGAAGTATCATTGCTCGGGACTCGCCAGTGGCAGCAGCGCTGGAAGTGAATGCCAATACACACCCGGGCTTCAGAAGTGGCCCAGACGATGGATTTCAGACTGCGCCGCAGGCCGAAGGCTCGAATCCCGCATCCTCGGACCCAGGCCATGAGCCAGGAGTAGTTGTCACCCCACCCAGTGCCCCAAGCCCAGCACCAGAGCCTGTGGATCGCGAACCACACGTCTGGATCGGAGTGTCCATGATATTCGGTTTCATATTGATGTACCTCATCGACACCCTCCCGCGACATCTCCACAAGAGCTCGCGACCGCAGAGCTTCCAGATCAACCTCAATTCCTTCAGCTTCACGAACGGCATGCCACCTGGAGATGCACCAGAGCCCATCGCCGAGACCGCGCAAGCGCCGACATCTCGTCCAAGTTCCACAACCATTGGCTTGGTCATTCACGCCGCAGCAGACGGCATCGCCCTCGGCGCATCGTCAACGTCGAGCAGCAACTTGAGTTTCATCATCTTCCTGGCATTGATGATCCACAAAGCCCCAGCAGCGTTCGGTTTGACATCAGTCCTCCTCAAACAAGGCCTTTCAAAACGAACAGCGAGAACGCATCTCATTGTCTTCTCCGCAGCTGCGCCCATAGGAGCTATCTTCACCTTTCTGGCCATTCATGGATTTGGGTACGGCGGAGACGTAGAAAGTGCAAGCACAGAATTCTTCACTGGTACGTTGCTGCTCTTCAGTGGCGGCACGTTCCTATACGTTGCGATGCACACCTTAGCAGGATCGCATTCTGCTCACGGGCAAGGCGAGAGCGGCATGAATGGGTATGCGGGCGTGCCGATGGAAGAGGGCTATGGAGGGAGTCCGCCTGCGACAAAGAGTGTAGAGGAAAGGGGCGTTTCGGATATTTTGGTTACAGTAGGAGGGATGCTGTTGCCGTTGCTTACGCAATTTGGGCATGTGCATTGAAGGGTCAGTATGTAGGAGACATATACACCAGAGCACCCGATGCTATTTCCAACTTCACTACTTTCGGACGACTCCATAATTCTCCATCACGGTGTCTGCTGCAAAGGCGAGCTCGAAGCGGCGCAGAAAGCCATAGGTCATCAGAAGACGATGGCCGAGGGGCTCGTCTGAGAGAGCTGCTGCAAGCTGGACCTTAGGAGACAAGTATGTGCTGCCTAAAATTCAGAATACGCTTATATGGATTGTTGCTTCGCTTTGAAATGATGATAACTGAGGCGGCCCATTGATCATTCAACCAGACCAGATATATCGACTTGGCTCATGATGAAAGAGTATGTGGTGCAGCATGTCCATACCAGTAGCAACTGGAGTATCTAGCATCGTCTTACGGATTGTGAACGATTCCTTCAACCCTTGCTGTCCGCCGAGGAAGCGTCGAAGACATTGCCAAATGGGGACTTCCCTACGGAGCAAGAAGCCGCTGGAATGTGAGCACGTCCTGAAGGTGGATGATGGCGTGGGTCCACGGCGTGTGGATGGCAGGCTCAGTTCCGAATATGGTGCCCTAGCTCCACTGTTTCCGCTGTGTTCTGGTTCTGATCGGAGTGCAAATGTGATAGCGATCCGATGTGGCGCTTGCTCTGGGCATTGTGCATCGTAGACGACCAGGCATAAGGGCATGATGTCACGACCAAGGTATGGAAGCGCCAAAAGCAGCAAATTGGTCTTGTAGATTGGCTCAGAGAGCGTCATGGCACAATGCGGCCCTCTCAACCAAGACCAAGACATCGGCTATCCAGGCACGACAGCATCAGATCGGCCAGACGAGGGCGAAGCATGGAGGCAAAAGCAGCGGAGGTGCGCAAGCCTGGCGTCGTGCTGTCGGCAGCTTCTTCCAAGTGGCAAGTCCAAGCCGTGATCATACTCGAGGCTCCACGTAGTGAAAAAGAGCCAAGGGACGCTGCTATGCTTTGTGCGAGGCAACGTCGAACCAGTTTTTGACGGCTCTACTGCCATCGTGAGCGGCACGAAATACTAGACTCTGTCAGTAACCAAGCGAGCTGATGTAGTCTTCAAGCTTACATTGACGCTCGGCTTCGTCCAAGCCGCCCAGGAATTCGTTTCCCTCTCCACCCTGCTGCACTTGCCTACTGTTTTGCGCTTTGTCCGCAATCTCCATCGCACGCTGCTTAAACGACTATAGAACACATCAGCAGAACCCAGTACTACCGCAAGCAAGCGCACTTACATCAATCAGAACCTCCGCGACAGCCTCGTCATCGAAAAGTGTCAACATGTGCTCGCCCATACCATAAAACCATTGTGCTTGCTGCCTCAGCTCCACGCTTTTAGGATCAGCACTCAAGGCATTGATGACGCGCTTTCCCAGGCAATTAGGCATATCGACTGTGCAAAGGTATCCTGTCCCAGGTCCAGCCGGTTCCGATGCGCCCAGGACTCCGCCAAGCCAGAGGGGCAGTTCGAGTTTCGTTCCTTGCTCGACAGCAGTGCCGTTGTTGAGAGGTGCCAGTTGGGGAGCGGCGAATTCGAAGGTGCATGGTGCCTTCTGAGCGTCTGTGAGGATCGCGCTGGGATCGTAATATGTCGACATGGTGAAGGGGACCGCGACCAGGAAGACGCGTTCCGAACGCGTCGAGGGCAACTGCAGTGCTGATCGTCTCGACCTGGCGTCTTCGTGGCAATATGTATCACAGCAACACGTGACGCGTGTTGAACGGATGTATGTCGATGAGTTCGCCGACGTGCATGTGTCAGCCGGAGGCGTCTAGATGGGCGTGGAGGCGACAGGGCTTGCGTAGTCGTGGTTTGCCTGAAGTCGATGATACAAAGAGACGCCAGAGGTCTCCGTCTGATCAGTGCGCCTTCGCCATCAACTATCGCCGCTGTCTTGCCCTCTGACGGAATCTACTCGTCTGTCCTTGTTGTCTGTACTTGTTCCGTTTACCCTGCGAGTGATTGCCGGCGAGAGAAGAAGAAGAGTTCGCGCCAAAAGAGTTCGCGCCACAGTTTCCGAGCCACAGCGGCGTCGGTTCGTCCTTGGCAGCGAGAGAGCGAGAGACAGCGAGCGTCACACAAGACACGACCATTCCTGCCTATCCCACCACTCAACCATCCGTTTGCTGCAGCTGGCCACTCTTTGGGAAGGCGAGACCTCGACACGTATCCGAGCGCGGCTTCTTGTGCGACGCCCCCACGCCGCCACCACCTCCAACCAGCACCGCGCATCTCCAGCTCCCATAGCCGATCCAGCTGCACCTCGAGTGTCGTGTGAGCTTCACTTCACCAGCATCGCTACCCGCCTATCAGATCCCGCCCCAACATTGATCGACGGATACCCTTCGACGCCTCCAATGAGCTGGCGCGTCTCACATCCAAACACACGCCAAACATGACCGACGTGGGCGCCGTACATGATCGTGTGTCCGAGCTGGTTGAAGAAGCCCACCACAACAACGATCGCAATGGACCTGCTCTGTACGCATCAGGCGAGGAAGACTCGCGCGCCACTTCGCCAGGCGTTGGCAACCGAGTAAGTCTGAAGAGCGTCGACGATGGCGAGGACATCGAGCGACTGGGCCGAACGCGGCCGCGGGTGTTTCCATACCAGAAGTACCTGCCTTACGAGACGGAGACTCGGGAGCAGCGCGAGCAGGACCTGGATGAAATGCTCAAGCATCTCTACATCGCAGTAGCGTCGGGCGACTTCGTACCCGGCGCGGTGCATTGGACAAAAGAGATTCGAGGATGGATGAGCTTGAAGTTCGACCTGACCAAGGTCCAGCGCGTCAAGCTTGTGAAGCTCTACTACGAGCTCGCGTTGGCGCCAGGTCTGGAATATGGAGTGTCAGAACGCTTCGCGAGCATGTTCATGGTCCTCACGAAGCGCAAGCACTACCTACGACCCGGCAAGGACCTCACGCTAGACTGGCGGCCTCTTTTCAAGGAGATCAAGGTCTTTGTGCTTCCATCGGAAAGCAGTACCCAGAACACCTACAGTTCGAAGCGTAACATCAGGACCCTGACGAAGTTGTGCACCTTCGCCCAGCTCTTCTTCGATCCGAGAGAGATTCCGGCCATGTTGGAGGAGTTTCTACCATACTACAGCATGTCCTTTTCAGAACAAGCGTTCGTGGTCTTCGGCTTGCTGAATCTGATGCTGCCGACTGCGGCGCCTCCTGCCGACGATCCCAAGCTGCAGCCGCAGTACTACCTTCCCACATTCTTCCATCTCTGGTCGACGATCAATCGATCGATGACAACTGATATGCGTATGCTTGACATCTTTTCGCGGCAAGCGAGGGACTGCCTTGGAGCGTCTCACATTCCATTTGGCCCAAGCGGCATCTTCACAGACGAACAGTCATCAATGGTTTTCACAGCTATTCTGCGGTTGTTAGAGATCCCTGTGGGCCAAGCAACGACCCCGTACAGCCCGACTGTGGACCTTGCCGCTGGTGTTGGCGTATACCTCGACAGGGATCCCAGAAAACACCCAGTCTCGCACAGCATTGCCAGGTGGATTGTCATGTCATTGTCCCCGCAATGCCTTGAGGCAGAGAACGGACGTTCGGTATTACATCAGCTCGAAGCCCTCATTCAAGGCATCGAGACATTTTTCCATCCCTCAAATGCGGGCGGCTGGACAAAGTCATTAGCACAACTCGTGTACTACCTGGCGGATTTTTTCGTCATGCGATGGAATCGTGAGCAAAGCGGCGAGTACGAGATTCCGGAAGATCGCAAGCTGAACGAAGACGTGAAACGTCGCTTCGTGCTTTGTCTGCGAGATGTAGTATTCATGGGCATCTACGCCAAAAGCGGCACCGCCATGAACTATTCTCTGAGCACATTGCAGAGCCTGGCATTCCTAGAGCCCAACCTCATTCTTCCAGGAGCACTACAGCGCATCTATCCTGCGATGCAAGGTCTGGTCGAAGTCCACAGAACGATATCATCGATCCGTGCGTTACAGATGTTGAGTAGGATCATCGCCCGAACGAAAGGATATCGGTGCCATCTTACGACCTTACTTGGCTTGGCACTGCCCGGCGTCGACGCCAACGATCTCGACAAGACCATGCATAGCTTGGCGTTCATCCAGTCCGTCTGCTACAACATCCCACTCTACGATCTCACAAAAGAAACCAAGAGGGTAAAGAGTGAACTCAATGGGGACTTTGAAATGGTCGACGACGGCTCGCCATCAGCGGCAGGAACTGGCACTGGGATAGCAGTAGAGTGGATCACGGGCCAAGTGGCACGTTTTGAAGAGGCCGGACCACTGCTCGAAGTTGACTATTCCGCTGAGCTGAGCGACGAAGACGAGGAGATGATCCTCAAGTCCTCCACAGCTGGCTTTGCCGAATTCCTGATTAGCTTCCTGGGACGCGTGTTCACCCTCCTGCAGAACTTGCCAGATGCCGCGCGAGTGAAGAGCGGCAGCCCTGAGGAGAATGTGGTCAACACACTGCCGGCCACCTTTAGCCCTCTGTTGGCCAGCCTAAGTCCCGAACTGTACGACATCGCACTCGAGCACATTGCTCGATTCGTGTCGAATCACGTCGTCCACCAAGCTCGAGACGCAATGGCCTTCATCTGTAACGCACTTGTCAAGATCTCCCCAAAGAAGGCTTTGCACAGACTCTTACCTGATCTTATCTCAAGCATCAAGACTGAGATCACGGAGAATGGCGCCGGCTCCACCCGCACCACAGGTAGTGAAATCTTGCCTCGTGATCGAGCGCTTGTGTGGCATGTGTCTCTGCTTAGTATGTGCGTCGTCCATGTCGGAGGAGATGTGCTCGACTTCCAGGACGAGCTGTTCGACATCGCTACTTTCATGCAAGACACCTGCAAGGGCATCCCACTTGTGCATGTGTCCAACTTTGTGCATCACTTGCTGCTCAACCTGACGGTCACCTACGCAAGAGACTTCGACCTGTTCAACAAGGCCGACTTGGATCGCGGTCTTACTTCAGAGAGCTGGGGCAAGATCACCGACCCGGCAGATGTCGACATCAATTGGCACGTTCCTAGCCAAGCAGAACTCGAGTTTGCCGTGCGCATTTTTGAGACTCAAGGCGGGCGTGCTCTTCAAGCATTGAACAGTCTGATCTCGGATAAGGGATCGGTCACCCGTGACGGGACTGGCAAAGACTGGTCTGACGAGGTATCTCGGAATCTTGTGCTGCTACGGCTGGTCATCAGCGGCATGTCCAGACTGTTCCGTTCCGACGATGGCACAGTCACGCCTTACGTCTATGTCAACGCCAGCCCGGCCAGCACTGACGACAATTTGACTCTTGAAGAGGCCATGCCTGATACTGTTTCCATTGCTGACGCCGGGGATCTGAGCGTTCCCGAAGATGAGCAGGTCAAGCGTTCATTTCAATATCCAACTGGCTACCCTCTCGACATTCACAGTCCACAACATGAGACTGTGCATCAGTTACGCAAGACTGCTGGCGAGACTCTGCACAAAGTGCACGAATTCCTCGTCAAGAACCAGGAGGATGATGTACCGTGTTTCAACGCACTGTACACTGCATACCGGTCCTGGTTCGTGGACATTGGCATAGAACGCTCAGCCCACGTACTAGACCGACTCACACGCCTCCTGAGTGCGGACATACATCCTTTCAAATTCTCTGGAACCAGAAAGCAGTATCCTCGGCCTTTGCTTGTGCGACGAGCCAATCTCTACCATTTCCAGCGACTGCGGTTCAATGAGCATCCGCGGGCGGCATCAGAGCTTGACAAGACACTCCTGCTTGATCTCGCGCATTCGAGCACCTCGGTGTATACTGACATCCGACGCACCGCCCAGTCTGCGGGTGAACAGGCAATGAAGAGTATTGTCGGTGCCAAGCCACTTATCATTCCGCCATTGCTCGATGCCTTGGAGAATGCTATCAAAGCTGGCGATCACCCCAAGATTAAGGGTGCTGTTTTCACGCTTCTCTTTGGCAGTCTTGCAAAGCCAATTGGTCGCAATTGGAACTTCGCGCCTCGCATGATTCGATTGTTCATCCAAGTCTCTGAAGCGGATAGGCCTAGCATTCAGAAGCTTGTCGGCCAGTCAAGCTTTACAATACAGGATATGACTAAGGCTATGGATCGCATGGTGATCCTCGACGAAGCCACCTTGGAAGCGATTTGGCCAGACAATCGGGACTCGACCGGCCTGACCGTTGCTCGCTCATTGGACGACGCAAAGACTCTGATCCCTCAGAAGAAAGAAAAGGTGCGAAACCGGCGCGCCGTCGTCGAGAAGCGCAAATCAGAGATGGCGCGCGAGCTCATCGAAAGCGTGCGCAACAGCCACTGGAAGAAAGCTAGTAGAACCGCTGTCATGGCTATTGGTTTGGACTACCGATTCGAGACAATCGCCTCGGACGATATGCTCGAGCTCGTGGTGAAGGGCGTGATTGATCCCCACCCACAGCTGCGCACTCTGTATGGCACAAGTCTGAACGCAATTTTCAGCTTGGCACAAACAAGAGCACTTGTTGGTCACAAGTACGAGAACTACCTGTTGGATGAGCAGAAGGATCCGGATGAGGTTTCAATACCTACTGAGCGAGACGACCCCAGCTGGACGCAGCGCTACCTAGACACGTTCGCGAAGCCTGACGCCGATGCGTACATTGATGCTGACTACCCAGGTTGGCTCGTGTGGCAGAAGACCATGCGCGGTTTCCGCACAGGACCAAGTCAGCTCGAGTACGATGCCACTGAGCAGAAGGTGCGCGCGAAGATGGGTTCTTTCATCGATCGACACTGGCTCTCCACGTACTTCGGCTACATGAAGCAAGAACCACGAGACAACGCTGATAGGTTTCGCATGTCGTTTTCCATGATTGTTGCCTACGCAATGGATTTGATGGCCGATGGTCTGACACAGGCTACCTGGGACGACTTCAAGGATCTGGCCCAAGCTGTGTACGGTGACGGCAGCGACAAGCATCAGCATCGAGCCATGGCCGAAATCATTGGCGCCATGCTCAGCAGCTCTGAGGACTTCGAGCATGATCTCCGTACTCAGATCTGGGGCTTTGCTTTTCCAATCGTGCGCCGTATCTTCACGGATGGTCTCACTCCCGAGAATATCTCATACTGGTCGACTTTTGTCACACTCATCGTTGGGGGCAAGGATCCGCGACGTGCGTGGCCATTGATTGACTGGTTGGCGGGCTTCCGTCTCGACATGAACACAAGCGCTGCGTTCAAGGAGAGCTCCAAGATCACTCTGCTGCAGCTTGTTGCTGGCGCTGCTGGATGGCACTTCCAACTTCATCGACCCATCATCCAGGACTTCCTGGATCATCTCGATCATCCCTACAAGAGCGTCCGAGAAGTTATGGGTAGCACATTGTCTACTATCTTCCGCGGTCGCTATCACGAATCGTACAAGGACGTGCCGACCTTGCTTGAGAGTCAAAAGGCTGCATCGTCCATCGGTAGCAGGCCTTACCAGCCTACGGAAGAGTACAGCAGTATCGTCAAAGACGTTTTTGATCGCCTCGAAAACTGGCGCAAAGAACGTCCTGTGGGAACGCAGACGCCGACATCCTACACACAAGCAAGCAAGACAGTATTGCTGTGGCTGGATGGCTCACTCGGCTCGTATGATTCTACTACCTTGGTTCCTTTCTTCCCTGGCGAATTTATGGAACAGCTATTGCACATGATGGACATCAAAGAAGATCCCGAGCTGCAAGCCTTGGCTTATCATGTTTTCCGCCACCTGCCCAACATTCCACATCGCCCTGGTGAGGATGTACCGTTCGTCGCTTCGCTTGTTCAAATCGCCAAGAGCTCAGTCTCGTGGCACCAACGCTTGCGAGTACTCATCATCATCCAAGTCATCTACTTCCGCAACCTTTTCCTCATGGACGCAAAGGAAGGCGAGGATCTCTTCAAGTGCGTGCGGGAGATGTTGCACGATGTCCAGCTCGAGGTGCGTCTAGGTGCTGCCGCGACCCTCGGTGGCATGGTTCGCTGTTCACCAGCAGACTATCGCACCAAGAAGATTGCCGAGCTGAAGAAGCATTTCACGAATCTTCTGATCAAGAATCCACTGCCAAAGAAGCCGAAGGGTGGCCTCGCACGTGCTGAGGGCACCAGTACTCCTACACAAGAACAGAACAAGCTCGTCCTCACTCGACACGCCGCTGTTCTTGGGCTCGGCGCGCTTGTACAAGCTTTCCCGTACACTTCTCCGCCACCTGAATGGCTGCCTGAAGTGCTGGCTACGCTTGCTGGCCGCGCCTCCAATGATCCCGGCATGGTGGGGAAGAGCGTCAAGACCGTGCTCAGTGACTTCAAGAAGACGAGGCAAGATACTTGGCATGTGGATGTCAAGGTAAGATCAAGCCTGTCGAGTATCCTGAAGATAACTGTTTGCTAACATTCTTATAGGCTTTCAATCCCGAACAACTCGACGATCTTGAGGGCGTGCTCTGGAAGAGCTACTTTGCCTAGTCTAACACGACACGTGTGGCTCATTCCGTCTTCGGGCAAGAGTGGAGTGGACAACGAGAAGAGAATGGATGGAGAGGACAGAACGAATAATGAGCTTCATACCCTTGGGACTGCTTTTTGCATGCATTGTTTGGAGCGGCATTGCCTGGTGCAAGGAAGGTACTTCGCTTCATGTTCCTCTTCCCTCCTATAGGGGCTGGTGAAGGGCCTTTTGCGGTGTATGTGTAGACTGACTTCGTCGAATACTTCTCGGCATGAATGTTTCACGTCTACTGCTGCTTGGATTCATACATCCTGTGTCTTTTGGGGGCGATCTCTCGTGTTCCTCTCCGTTTCACGGTGTGGGCAAGTACAAGGACGATGGAAGTCAGAGCGGGTGCGCATGTTCATAGGCAGGTGAGTTAGTGTGGTGTGGAAGCTGTGGTATTACCGGCCTTATATTGATCTGGCAACAGCAAAGAGTTCACGGCATCGGACAAGAACGATTACACTCTACAGACAGGCAGCTGCCACTGTCGCGCTCTCTCAAAGATGTGGCTGCAGGGCAGGACGCATTGGAAACGGAGATTGAACGCGTCTTTTAGAGGATCGTGACTCCAACGCTGGCCCTGCGAATGGGATCGGACGGCACTTCCCTAACAGGCTATCGTTCACTTGAGATTTACAAGTCTTTCCAATCCTTCCAGTGGAATGATACATGACCCCAGTGGCTATTTGGAACAATTGAATGCTGGGACGCGCTGCATTTCCTCAGAAATCGGCTTAGCGAGACGCCTATCATCTCCAGGCCCTGGAAGCTTTCCAAAGGTTTAGCAAGCGGATATCTGTGCTACTTGTAACTAAGGTGGCATGCTGGTGAATGATTATTGGGAGAATCGACGCAATGCAAGCCTATCTCCAAGAAAACAAGGTCAGTGCCCATCGAACTTTGTAGCGTACTGAAAGCACGCAGAGGCGGCATAGATTTTGAGAAGTACATCGAGTCTAGAATGCCTCTGAAGCATCGCAGTTCCATTATCCCAGTCCTCGTGGAAGTTCAGAGGCCCGCCTTCCGACATGAACCTTGAGACGCATCGTGATCCAGAGGTCTCTGCAGATAGACAAGATCCCCTTACACACCTATTTGAGCTTTCAATGACGTGGAGCTATCATTTGGTCTTGGAGACACAATACGTAAAAGAGTCGTCTCTGGACAAACAAGATCACACCATTCTGGTGTTTCGGACACTACACAGCATCGAATTATTGTCTTCTTTCCGAGAAGCGGTCCATTGATGACTGACTCCGGAATGATCGCCAACGTGCTCGGGGAACTTTGTAGACCTCTGGAAGCATGCAGTTGTTGCACCTAGCAGAGAAACGCTTCGACTGAGGCGTATCTCCAGAATCTAGGGGTTGACCCTCGTTGGTGTCCGGAACAACGAGTGGCATGCTGTCATCAAATGAATATCGAGACAGAGCTACTAAGACCAAGTTTTCCTAGCATAGACTGGAAAGAATGTACAGGATGGCTCGGCATTTCACATGGCCAGTACGCACCTTGTACACAGCTCCCTACTAGCGGTGCGCAAAAGTAGCTGTCCAGCCGGCTTTGAGCCCGTTCGCTTCCTCTTCCTGCATCTCTGCATCCTCTTCCCCGTCTAACGTCTCCTCTTCATCATCCACAAGATCCTCCTTCCTCTCTGTGTCTGAGCCATATCCACTGACTCCCTGGAACTCCACACGCCCAAAAATGTCGTAGTACTCCTTCCAGACCACACACGATGTCAGTCCTAGCAAGGAGATGGACTTGGACTCCCGTTTCTCCGACCACTCTTCAAATACACTGGTATTGCGACCTGTCAGCGAAACCGGAGATTATCCATAGCCAATTGGCTTGAACTTACGCCATTGCGCGGTCGAAATCAATTCTCGATGCGAAGTAGGCCATGGCAGTGTGCATGGACCCAGGCCACTTGACGAACTCCAGCGGGATCAGCTCGGTTGAGATTCGATCAATTGGGCCCTTCTTTGGCTTCAGATGTGCTGGCATCTTCTCTTCCCAATCATCGCCCCAGTAGTGGTTGATCGCTTCGCGGCAGAATGCGCGGCTTTCAGCGAAGCGCATTGTCTCGAGTCGCGAGAGATCCCATTTCTGGTTCTCTGGAAGCTGCGCCTTGTTCTTGTCTCCGTCTTCATGTTCCTCTTCCTCGTCGTCGTCCATCTCGTCCTATAACTTGGTCAGCAATCGTGGGCTTCAGAGCGATCGACTGTGAAGGTATATACTTCGTCACCGTTCTGGCGCCGCAAGAAAAGCCTCAAATTCTTCGCGGTCAGACTGGGGCGTGGGCCTTCTTCGAGCTCTCCGCCACGAGAATCCATCATCTCGACGTCGTTGTCGGCCGTGGACCCGGACAGAGGCGACATATTGTCGGCTTGTCTGGTTCGCGCCTGCTCGAGAAAAGTGGTCGCGCAGAAGAGCTCGGTATGCATTGGCACTGTTTGTTGGTCTTGGCATTTTCACATGTGAAATCTGCGGCTAGTAAATCTTAAGTCTTTCTGGGGTCCAACGGGGCTGCAGCTGAAGTACTAAGAGCAACAAACAAACTGCTGCTGTCGCCAATCACCCGAGTGGCTTCGTGGTCGACGCGGAACATTCGTTTGTTCGGAGCCAGGTCACTGGTTCGAATCAGCCTTGGGAGCATTTGCTCCAGAACCTCATGCGTAGTTGACCCCGTCAAGTCAACTAGCATGCGACCCCAACTTCGGCGCTGATTACGCCCAAAAAACCCTGGCCAGGTTTCATAAGACGGATCACCACATCCTTGTTCTTATGTTTTGCTCTTCGAAATCTTTGTTCTTTTTTTTTTTGTCTTCCTTTGAATTTTGCTTCTTTTGCACGATTCTTTTTCTGCTCTGTTCTTAGGTCTCGTGGGCTGCTTAATGCCAGCTGGCCCAGCGCGTGGGAGATCTTGGTGGTGGCATTTTTGCTGAGTTCTCTCTGTGGAAGCGCATAGGACGTGTCTTTAAATATGTAAGCTTGCGCGCTTCAAGCTGGAAGATTAGATTGACATACACGTGTCAGGTAACCGTACTGTCATTCTATGATTCTGACATGTACGTCTGAGGATTGATACGGTCGTGGGCAGACTTCAGACCACGGCTGCTCTTTCTGCTCTTTCTGGGATGGGCCACCGGATGGCTGAGAGCTCGGAAGGAATCAATGTCATGGCAGCTGAAGCTGGTGAGCATCAGATGATACAGACTCAAAGCTGAGATCGGCCGAGTCATGTCTTTGTATTGAACTTTTCGGCGTTCCTGACGACTTTCCCCACCAATTCCTCAGAGACGGATAGAAGCCCTTGCGCTGAAGGTCTTACTTCCTCGTGGCAGGCCAAATTTCTTGACATTCAACGTTGCCGGGAGAATCGTGACTGCTTCTCGAGCGTCTTTCATCGTCCTGGCTCCTCGATCTGACAAAAACTCCCGGATATATCCCATTCGAACGCGCCTCGTAAGTTGCCAATTTGCGTAGGGTTCAGCTCTTGGACTTTTTGCTCAAGACCTTCCGCCTCTGCTTGATCATGTATGTGAACATCATGTATGATCCTATGCCGTGTCAGCGCTCCGCGACCCTTGAAAGTTGGAGTTTACGCCACTTCAACTCACCAGGCACATACAACGCCAGCAAAAAGTAGAAAACTGGCCTCAAAATCCAGCTGACTTCGGCCGCCGGCGTCACAGCCTGGTACATCAACCACCACTCACACACAATACCCACAGGATAAAGCGCATAGAACATGGAATAGCGTAGCCACACCAGCCACCCAGGAGCTTTCCCGTGCAGATTCAACGCAAGATACGCATATCTAATCGTATCTGCTATGCTCCATGCGATTAGTAATGTCGGAAATGCACTCGAAGTCGCTGTAGTCATCGAGAAACCAGCCCAGATCAGCCAGACCTGTATCACGCGTGTCGCAATCTGCGTGAACGTGCTGCCGAGTGGTGCTGGTATGAGGCCTGTGGCTGAGTGGACAACATCCAGCAGCGAGAGTGTTTGGATCATGCGGGCATCGCGTTCGACCACGGAGTAGACATGGAGTCTACCGCCGGGAAGTGCTTTGAACGTGGAAACCAGGACGTAGAGCCACAAAAGCGAGAAGATTGTGTTGTATACTGTGAGATACAGTGTTCGGCCTGAGGATGATGGTCTCGATGCAGGTGGCGGAGTCATGTTTGCGAAGAGTTTGGGAGACGTCTGCCTGAGATTTTGGAAATTCGAGCTCGACATTAGTAGTTCTATCTGAGGTCCTCGGCAAGCCACACGGTCTGAGGTCCAAAGCGGTGCTTCATCCGTCCACCGAGCATTAGCCAGTCTTTCGTGGATTGCATTGTGGAATCTGTGGATATTTCGAAGCGTTGGTTGTCACAAGGCGCATCAATGATTTTGTTTCCCCGTTTCCGCCGCCTCTACACGAATGATATGCTCTCTAGAGTGATGTCTTCAGCGGCATGGTCCCCTGGGTTTCAGCTGTTGGCTGAAATCGACCTTTCCGGGCTGAAGTGCGTTCCAATTCGGCTTCGTCTTCGTACTTCGCCAGGGAATGGGCTCGTGGGCTATTGCCACGCTCAGATAGTGATATTTGCCTCTGGTGTGAGCTTTTCTTCCCTTGGGTACCAACGTGGCTGCTGCTTGTGTCTCCTTAGATGTGCTTCCTGTCAAAACCCTTCCATGAAGCCGGCGTGGGAGCAGATTTCAGCCTTGAGGTGGCTGTCGGATGATCAGAATATGGTGTGAGATCTGCTCAGACTCATCTTCACATGACCAGCATAGTGTTGAGGTGAAGTGGTCTTCTCCCATTGAGTGCCGACAGACGGAAGCTAACGGCTGTGTCACCTTCTTCACCTGACGTTGCCAGTCTTGGCATCTGATGTCACTTTGCATGCACTTGGCACCTCTCTTCTTGTCGCAACTTCTCTATTGTGCCTCTTACTGGCAACTGTTGACTATACGAGCACTATCTCCAGCACGCATGACCAATTTCTCGGTCTTTCCTGGGGCAAAACTTCGCAACATGTCTCTAGACCACCAGCTTTTCCCCATCTTCGCTCTCCTGGAGCCTGAACGCGTACCTGCCATGTCCTTGGCAGCCATGCAGCCACGCCTTTGTCGCAAGCATGGAGACCTTGCCATCGACGGATGCCGCGTGGTGACTCCGCGGAGACTCTGCCAACATCAAGCTTCACAAGAGTCTGGATGAGATCTGTGGGGTCATAAGGCTGTGATAACTAAGTATGGGTCTTGCCTCTTCTCCTTCTTGCTCTCTCATACTCCTGTCGCTTGCATGGTCTAACCAGCAAGATGTATTCTCATTATACTCCGCTACTAATACTTCTGATTCTACTGATATGCCTCGCAAGACCTGCCCACGCCTTCGGTGCCGGCAACATCGCCTCGATATCCTCAATCGAAGGCGTAAACTATCGGCATGGCGATATTATGGACGTGGTGCTAACCCTCACGAATGCACGAGCCTTTAGTTCTGGACTCTTAGGCCGGCCAAAGAAGTTCTCCAAACTCGATGTCAGCAGGCTGTATTTTGGGAACTGGCTCCGCGATTACTCCCAAGCAGTCGACGTGGCATCTGTTCGCTTCGTGAGCGCAGAAGCTGTCGTACTCGTTGTCTGGATCCTAGGGTTCATGAGCTTCGGATACGGAACGGGAGAATTTGAAGTCACGAAAGAAAGGCTTGGAGTATACATACCTGCTGAGCACGTCGACAATCCTCGAGGATATGCAGATGGGCAGGATGCGAGACAGTATGATCCAAGATTGCGAGGACCTGTGGACGAGAGAAGGGAACTCAGTGTCGATCCAAGAACGGGGATGAAGAACTACATTGCAAACGAGGATATCGGGATCGCTACGAGCTCACGATTATGCAAGAGTATCTTGCAGGACGCGATCGAGCTCGGCAGGCGGTACAAGAGGAGCAACAAGGATGAAGACTATTTCGAGGCTTTGAGGCTACTTGGGACTGCTTGCCATTGCCTGGAAGACTTCCTCGCCCACAGCAATTACGCCGAGCTAGCTCTGCTTGAGCTGGGAGAGAGAAATGTCTTTGCGCATGTAGGTGACAGGACACAAATGAGAATCTCAGGTGTACGTCATCCAGTGTATCCTGTCACGACAGGTACATTCGGAGGAGTGGACTTTCTCCATTCCGTCATGGGAGGGTTCACCGATAAGATGGAGGCTAGCGAGATTGGAGACTTAGGCGACATTGTGGCTGAAGCCCAGAAGAAGGATACCAGTACGCTGAAAAGTCTGCTCATGAAGCTACCGAGTAGCATTTTCAGTGGGAGGGATAGCAATCCAGCACAACAAGCGGACCAACTGCAAGCGAACGCTCAGGCCCAGCAAATGGCGAACTTGTCGGTGTCTCCGAGAGATCCGAAGCAAATCACGATACAGATGGAGAACCTCCGTCAACAGATCTACCCAATCCTCGAGTTCCACGATCGAATTATGAAGGCTATCTCATCTGCAATTAGCAAGATCCCCATCCTACCGGATCTCCTCGACAAAATTTCTGAACAGCTGAACATCTGGGTGTTCACCTTGATCGCGCCTTTTATACTGCCCATCATTCGACAAGTCAAAAAGGAGGTGGAGGGAGGCTCTTCAGCAGTGATCAAGTCAAGTAAGGACGCTCAGCACATTGTGTTCAACGATCCGTATGCTACGGATCCTACACATAGTATGTTGTCAAAAGACCACTTCAGCAATGTGCTCAATGAGCCTTGTGGACGCGCAGCGATGGATACGGTTGCTTGGATTGTCCCACAGATCGTTGATGCATGGGATGATGATACAATTGACTCGAGGCGAGTAGCTGCACGAATTGTGGCGGGCGTATTTCATCATCCTGCACAGCGCGGTATGGCTTCAGATGCGGCGGAGGGAAGAATGGTCATGTTTTCGAGTATTGAAAATTGGTGGAGAGGACTTAAAGATAGGGAAAGGCAGGAATTGAGAGCTAAGCTTTCGCGAGAGGGCGTACGTGCTTCGCGACATCACAAGGATGGCGTACATGACTGCGGGCATGGCGGCGGCAGACCACTTGGTATGCCTGGTGTGGGCGCGGGGGCGAGGCCTCAGATGCAGCAACATCGTCCACGACCGCAGAGCATACCGCCGAACATGTCAAATGGTAGCGGGCAAGGAGGCAGGACTTCTTCACCGGCTCGAATTCAAGAAGCTCTAGGCGGTGGAGCACTCGGCGCGGCGGTCGGTGGTATCGCGAGCGCGGTCATGGGCAAGACTGGGTCAGGCGATCAACCGCACGGAAGAGAAAGCTCTCCTCTCAGATATTCTTCTTCGCCCGGCCGCCGTCCTCAACAGCCGCACGCTGGTAGGGGCAGAACTCACGCGCGAGGCCATCACATGGGCGGGAGACATCATGCTCCTCCGCAGCCTCCGCGACCTGGGCATGCTCATCACTACCATCCTCAACCACATCCTGGTCCAGGTCCGAATCGAGGTCGCGGAGGTGGATTTCTGAACACTGTTCAGCAGCATTGGCAACAGCACGGCAGTTACCATCTGCCTGGCCATGACCGGAGAAGGAAGCATCGCGGGCAGTCCGGTCACGCGTTTCCAGGGTGGTGAGGATGAATTTCGAGGGACAAAATGTGAACGCATCATCGCCGGGATGCATGCGCATGATCTCCATTGCAAGCTTGGACGTAGCTCTGGCCAGCTTGGAAACCAAATGACAGCGAAAGATGATTGATCGCTGAGGGGACTTTTGCCGATCCGCATACTCACTGCTCGATCCAGTCAGTCTCCTATCTGACCGCTTCTCTGCGCGCCGCCATGCCTTCCGACGGCCGGCAACGAGTCGTCTGCTGGATATGGAGTGCAAAGGTCTTCTGTTCAAATGGTGGGATGGGAGAAGAAATCTTTCAGGAAGGATTATGCGATACGCATACCACAATGCACATGAGCTCCGTTTCGTGAGTGATATCAAAGCCGGACAGGTTGGATAAATCGAGCCAGAAGGATCTATGGAGAGGGCTGTTGTCACGGTCTAAGAACGTATCGCTACATCATCACCGGCGTGACTCAAAGCCAGGAACATTCTGGCGGCCTATCTCGTGCCCAGACACTGCCTTAGGCGCTTGCCAGAACTCGCTCTTGAATCGCGATGGAAGTGCACCACCACCTTGCCACCTTCAGGAGTGAGTCACGGGTCTGAGCAGGAGGTAGTTGGCGGCGCCGAAGGTCAACCAGCAGACTCAATCGGTGTAAAATTTGGGCTCGTGCGTCTGGACTGCGCAGACGACCACATCGCTGCAAAAGAGCAGCTCCAACAACTCGCGGACGACTACCCAATGCCTGAGCCGCGACACGGCGAGACACACAACCAGATCCGCAATCCCAAGTTCTAGAGAGGCCGCACCTCGCCAGGAGCTGACATGTCAGCATCCTAATCAGGATTTGTCGCTACTCAGCCCGAGCACTTCTCTGTGCGCCTTGCTGGCTCCGGATGTGAGGCGGATTGAAGTTGCTTGCTGAGGAGATAACGATGCTGTACACGGATTCTATGTACTGGGGTCGGAATTGGGAGGGTTACTAGTTGTTACTCTGATTCAGTACCTCTCCGCGTGCCGTTCTTGGCGAGAGACGAGAGGCGATGAGCTGCTGCGTGCTAATGGAGAGAAAATAGTCTAGGTTGGTATGACTTGATCCTTCGGGTCGATTGCTACAATAGCGGTTTAGCAAGTATGTTGCTGTCTTCAGAATCTTGTACACGACTTTCTCCCATTCCAATTGCCTTCTCACAGTACAACTCCTGTATGCCTACGAAGGTTGATGCTCCGGCGGCATACCTGCATTCTCCACTCTCTCAGCCTTCTGCGCAGCTTGCTTCAGCATAGCCTCCTTCCTCAGACTCGTCTGCTCCACAATCGTCTTCGGATTCCCGAACTTCACTTTTCCTTCTGTCACAGTCACATCGTCCAGCTTCCCCAACCGCTGCAGCTCCCTGTAAATGTACGCCGTCACCATTCCCAGATCTTTCATATCCACGTTTGGATCCGTCTTGAACACGTTCCTCCACACAGCAGTCGCCATGACCGCGTCACCTTTGATCAACCCCTCATCATACGCAAGCTGCACACCTCTCCACTGCGTCCACAGGTCCTTCAAATTCTTATTCCGTACTCCTCTCGCTGCCATGCCATGCCACGTCGCCATGCGATCTTCCGCAGCGTAGAAGAAGTGATCGAGGAGATTCTGATGCCAGTCTTTGACGTATTTCTCTGGGAAACAACGGAGGCGGACTGTTAGTAGCCACATGTGGATGAAGAGGACTTGTGCCCAGCTGTTGAATGTCACCTCTAGCCCCAAGCCGCCTTCTGACTTGGGTTCGAGCCACCATCCTGTTCCTGAGCCTAAGTGGTCGCCCGCGGCGTTCTGAGGCGGGTTCTCGGGTGGGGTTTCAAGTGCAGATGGGATCGTGTAGTTGCATTGTCGGGCGCACTCGGTGAAGAGGTCTTCGGTTGAGCCATAGGCAATGTAGGGTTCTGTTGTGCTGCGGAGGGCGGAGTTGGAGCGGAGTGTTGCCGCGAAGTTGGTGATCGGATTTTGATCGGTGGAGGGAGTATGGGCGTCCCAATCTTGCGGGGGAGGTGGTTGGATGGGTTGTGATGCATAAGGCTGTTTCTTCTCTTCGCTGCGTGTCGCTGCGCTTGTGAAGGCGCGTTGAACTGCTATTCTTCGCGTTGGCTGAACTCTGGGCTGGTGGCGAAGTGCCCGTAAGCAGCTTGTACAAATGCTTTTGCTCGCCATGGTGATTGTATGGGCCGTGAATGAGAGAAGTGAAGTGGGAGTGCTCTGATCTCTATGTCGAGCTGTCTTCGATGATGCTATCACTGACAGAAGTTGTCGCCCATTGATCGACGCCAAGAGACGCTCGGGCCTTTCCTCTTTCGTTCCATCGCCGCGGGAGTCTCTCTCGACTTCCACTTCCCTCTGCCATCTGCCATGAACAAGTCATTGCATCTCGCGTCCGAGTTCGTCATCAGCTGTGGAACGGTCACTTTGGACGTCCAGCGAGCAAAGGTCCTGCTGATTTGCTGTCGAAAGACGAACGAAGTACTTTTGCCAAAAGGCAGGAAGAACATTGACGAATCTCTCCAGGCCGCAGCTCTCCGGGAAACATGGGAAGAGACTGGTCATCGGGCTGTCCTTCTACTGACACCTCTTCCCACTCTGGCTACTAACCAGGTCGACGGGATGCTTGGCCATCAGGAGCCCATTGCAGTCAGCCAGCGCGTGAACCATGGTGTACTCAAGATCATTTTCTGGTTCAGTGCCGCCTCAGATTCAACCATATGTGACCACGATAGGCCGACGCCAGAGGATGAAGATTTCGAGACCCTCTGGGCTGATCTTTGCGACTATGAGCGGTTGCTCACATTCGAGGATGACAAACAGATGGCTCGGCTGGTAGTTGAGGCCGCAAAACCTCAAATCTCCCAGTCTTCCAGTTGAAATCTGTACGCCGACCCACTCTTTGCAAAAGTCCTCACAAAGTTCTTTTCCACTGAGTCTGAGACGCATGATCTTTCTGAAACGCAAATTTCCCCCTACATGGTGCGGGAGGCATATCTCAGTAAAGCAGCAAGCATTTCAAGCAAGCAACCACATCGTCGGGAAAACTCCTACAGAGAGGGTCTTCTGCATCTATTCGCTGTTCACCATCTCCATTCGGCCCATTCACCTCTACTCGTGTCGTGCCAATCCGTGAATTTCTCATTGAAAGTGAACGCTGTGGTCGTGGCCTCACAACATTTACTGGAAGCACTTAACCTAATGCTTAAAATTCTCAAGAACTATCTTCCACTATGCTTGATTGAATCTATATATTCTACTTGCCCCCGTGCTGCAAGACGACTCTCATCTTCCACAGCCCTGTCCGAGATTCAAACGATTAATTCACTCACAAACAGAAGACATTATTTCACACACTCAAACGTCCCTCTCCGACAAGACACTAGACATGGAGGCACCAAGAGACAGGACGGTCTTCGGATATCCCCTGCCGGAGAGACCGAGAGCTGCTGCACATAGATAGAACGTTCGTATTCATGGTCAAAGAGCTTCATTTCGGAACAATGAGTCTTTACACGTCCACGATGTTCGTATTGTTTTTTTGAACAAAGCGTTGTCACAAGGATATGGCCTTGATGTGAAGTGCAGTAAAGGCAGTAAGCATGGATCTTTACCAGCTGGGGTGACGGCTAACTTTCAATGCAGCTTCTTAGGGCTGGAGCTAGGACAGAGCGGCATCTCGTACAAACAGCATTGCAGCTCCACGACTCGTTAGGGCCTCGTATTCTGGTGCGCTTCTCGGGTAATATAGAAGTACACGTTCGACTTCCAACGGTGGCATTGATAAAGATCGCCGCTACTTTCTCTGTTTCTCTCACATTTCAAGTATACTTCCAAAGATCGAAAAGTTTGTCGGTTTGGCCATGGCAGCCACCTCGCATGAACCGGAATCAGCCCTAACTGCCGGTTCTTCCGTTCCGGCAGTGGTATATAGAGCCAGCTCGTTCGCTACCTTCTATAGAATTAGACATCTTTATTATACCGACTTTGACACTTAATCGAATACCCTCTATAGAGGAGCCTACCTATACTA